AAAAAAAGAACCGCGGCTGCATATGGTTGCGGAAAAAACCTGCTTGAGGGTTCCTTACCAGTAACTTACCGACCCGGCGCCGGAGGGGGGTGGTAAATTACTGGTAAGATACCGCATCACGTGCACTAAAATATCATGTGACCGCTCATTTTCCTCTCAAATTCCTCCCAAAAAAAAAACCGAGCGCTGCCGCGCGGCGCGCCACCTCGGATGTGCTCTTTGCACAATGCTACCAGCTGCCACTTTCATGTGGATCCATTGCTATACATATGATTCCCAATGATAGCAGACTGTCTCGAAATCACTTGTTCAGTCCATAGAGACTGAAAAGATCAAGGAAAGTCGACACAGCAGGCAGGGATCATGGTGTGGCGCTTGAGCCACACCGGCACAAAGACCTGCACGTGACCATGTTGCGGGTAAGAAACTCCAGGGCGTCGGTAGGGGGTCGGTAAGATACTGGTAAAATACCAGTAAAATACCGGTAAATAATCGTTTTGGGAAAAAACCTCGGTTTTTTCCGCAACCATACCGCGGCACCTCGCGGCACGTGATGAGTAATCGTGACAGCTCGTGACGGTTCGCGTCTTCCGGACCCCTTTCGCTCCTTTGCTCTTTCTTTGGAAACGGCGACTCACACCGACTCTAGAACTGACATCTCATGCATAGCATGCATGTTATGTCTCTCCGTCATCTCTGGTGCTTCTTCCAACGTTGCCTACAGTCATACTGGCCGCAATAAAGGCCGCGACGATCATGAACGGTGGCTTCATCTCATGTGCATGCGGCTGGCACTGTATATCGTTCTCAGATGCATCTTACCGATACCATGGGACTACTAGCCTCTCCTCTCGGTCTCAATCTCACTCAAACGACTCTTCTCGGAATCCTGCGAGATTGATTTTGTGCTGGGCTCTCTTGCATCTTACGCCTCACCACACTCGTCTCGATTCAGCGTGACTGAACCTTGGTTAGCTGCCCACCTTTCAGGCCGTTGTCTTCTCTGCATCGATCACAAGGAACATGTATTGCGCGCCTTTACAGCTGTTGGACCGTCATGATCACCTTGAAGGATGTCGTGATAGTAGTTATGCCTAGAATGACTTTTGTCCGTCTAAACACGGTTCATCGTATAGTCATCTTGTTTGTGTGATACTTAGCCTCTGCCATAGGTGGCGTAGTGGAGGTGATTGCTCCGCTATCTATTGAGATAGTTAGCTCACTGCTACCTTCATAATCGAATGTATACCTGTGGCTCCACTAGGGGGAGCTCTGCTGGCCTTCCACCAAAACGTGTTGATGACCCGAAGGTCGAAATAGTCAGGCGGGCACCTCGCTGGCAGTGCGCCTTAGACGCGGGTGGAGCGTACGTGCAATTTTGTCATTTTGCACAAATATCATTCTCAAGTGTATTTTACTCATTAGCCGGCCTACAAAAGTTCTTTCGAGTTAGAAGCGTGTTGGCCTCGTGTTGTCGCAACGATCTGGAGCATGCCGCAGCGTCAACTCGAACTGATCTATACTTGTAACTTGTCTCTGTTTCATGCTTCAGCTCACGCATTGCACTCTGAACATCTGCAGACTGTGAGGAGATAAAACCGCTCGCTCTCATTGGGTTGCGTGGTGACCAATGGCGCTCGGAAGCGCCAACAGAACTCGAGGACAAGGCGTGGCTTGGGATCCGTTCGACGATCTCAAGTTTTGTTCAATCATTACGCATAGTACGTGATGGTCTAACGCCCTGGATTTGGGGTCTCGTACGAGAGCTTGAACATCCTCAGAAGATCGGACGCAAGAAGACATTAACGGCGTGTCTAGACCAAGATTGGACCACTCGTCCGAGGAAGAATGCTCAATGAGGTACGACCATCTCCTCATTCTGCATGCCGTTATGTTCGCGTTCTCATCTTAGTGCCCCCTTCAGGAGTCCGGCCCTCGACAAAGACCCTCCGAACCGAGGTCTATGGGAGGAGACGGTCTGGACTGTGCGTATCTACTCCACACTTTGGTCATTCACCCTCGCTATCGAGACGCAAACTGCAGATGCAGCGCCTTCCAGTCGAGAATACCGGTGTCATAGGGCGCTCTACCTTCCCCATACGCATCAAATTCATTTATCGACATCTACAGTTCTCCACCACGCTCCCCACATGATGCAGCGTTCTTTCTTCTTCATCGCCCACAGGAGTTGTTCTAGGCATGGATGCGAGCCGAAGCATCAAGACCTATATAACAGCCCCCTCGTCGTCCACTCATCCTTTCCCGACCAGGTTACTCTCACCTTTCACCCCATCTACGCCACTTGCCTGTCCTTCGGTTCCAAAAGTACTACACCGCTACACCATGTCTGCCTACGCCATCCCCACCACTTCGCTCTCATACGAAGACCACGTTCGCCTCTTCACCGTCCTCCCACCGGCTCTGCATAAAATCATCTGTGCCACACCCGCTCGTATCTACCAGTCCGGTCTCCAATCGTCTGACAAAGACTGGCAATACACCGGTCTGAAAGGCATGCTCGTCTTCGGCTGTGACAACCGCTCTCGCCTGTCACCCAGTAATCCTGGATTTTACGACGGCGGGAGTTACTGGTTCAAGCTCGTCGACTGTCGGAGAGGCAAGCTGGTGTGGCAACACCAACTGCAGGAGATCCTCGAGTATGAGGCCGACAAACCTTTCTTCCACGCATTCACTGTCAAGGTATGTACTCGTTTGCGAATGACCTCTGTGGAGTGGCGTATGACTAACCAGTCTTGACCTTGTTGTAGACACGGAAATTTGGATTCCGCTTCGACGAAGACGACGAAGCTGCTGTCTTCTACAAAGAGGTCCAACGCCGACTTATTGACATTCGTACGTCATTCTCGGTAATTCGCTAGCCGTCCGCCAATACTAATCTCTTTACGTCGCTCACAGCCCTCCAAATGCCTCTACCTCCTAAGCCTACCAAGGTCTCATCACCTAAGAGCACGCGCCGATCAGCCCTCAGCGGCTCCATGATCTCTCCACCCGTCCCCAACTCCTTCCAACACGTGGCACACATGGGCATGGAAGAGGCCGGCAGCCGGACAAAGAGCTGGAACGTTGCCCCAGAGTGGACACACTTGCTAGAGAAGCTCGGAGGGTACGGCATCGACGCGGAGGCCGTCGAGGAGAAAATCGAGTTCGTGCAGGGATTCCTTGCCGGTGTGGAGGCTGTGAGCAGTTCACCTAAGAATTCGCCAACGAGCACGCCCCTCTCGACTCCTCCGTGCACCAGCGACGAGGAAGATGACTATTTCCACGTACCAAGTATGTCATTTGATCTCATTCTCAACCGACCGCCGTACTGACTACATGTCTCGATCTCTAGCATCGAAACCTAAGCGTTACGAATCCCCACGACGCAAGCCGTCTACGCCACATTACGCACATTATTGAAGCCATCTCATGTTCTTCTCATTTTTCCCTCCTTTTGCATGGTTCACTTGCTCTCCTCTCCTCTTCTTTCTCCTCGCATCGCATCACATTACTGTACCATCATTCACAAACGGGTCTTCAGGTCGACTCTCGGTGGCTCATCATCGCGCGGACGCTCTCTTTTTATGCGCTCTCTTTCTCCATGTCTCTTCTCTGTTTCTTCTGGGCCCGGTCTTGTCGGACACTTCCTACCTTCTCCCTACTCAGTACTCAGCTTGTGGAATATCGACCGCCGTCCTCTCAGTTTTCCTTCTCTCTAGCTCTCATATACGCACCTCACGCCTCGCATTCCCGGCTCCCCATCGCATCGGCATTTGTTGTACAGTACAATGTTTTAACGCTTATTGTATTTGTATCATATCACGCTTTGAAAAGTACTTTTGCTACCATGCAATATATGTACCATGTTCAGTCCTACGTGCGTGAGCGTGAATGGCGGGCAGCCCAAAAATTTGGCTACAGTGGTGCGCGAGACATGCGCGGGGAAGGAGCTGAAGGGACGTCATAAACGTCATCGATGGGCGTGGTGGTCTGCGTTGGAGTGGCCGGAAAACGTTTGAAAGATCCCCAATGCTTGGAGTGAGAGTGGTGTGATGACTTATTTGGTTGGCCATGGTAATGTAGAAGTCAGTCTCGTTGAACGAATACTTTCAAAATAAATATAAATCTATAGCCGTCTCCGTCGACATACGCTCCTCCTGTTTCTGCTGACCTCCTCGTCCGTCACAGTCGCACTTCTACACTTCAGAACCTCGTCAGATCGCGTCCGAATATCCCTGAGTGCGAAAAGGAAGGTCAGCGTCTATCGGCCACACCCATGGAACCAGTTCAACTACGTGAACCACTCACAGTTCAAGAACCTTCCATTCCAATCACCATGACCAGGCCCAAATGCGAGTTCATCCACAACACATCACATCACACAGCAAACCAGAACAAAGTCAGGCGCAGTCAGTCAAGTGCCCCATTTCTCACGAGCATACCATGCGCTCCGGGTTCCAAGGAGGTTGAACATAGATACTGCACTCACCAATAGATCGGGATCAGTATCCTATACACAGGCGCAATAGTACCGTATCAGCAGGAGCCACCACAGACGAGATAGGATGGATAGTCGATATGAAATGGAAGATGAAGCTCGAGGACGAATCGATGAAGTATGGAGTATGGAATGACGCACTTGTTTCGAAGACTGACGGTCATGGTGAAGTATGCTGAGCGCCACAATAGCCAAGCGATTCTGCCCGTCTCCTTGGTCTGTGGCCCGCTCTCTGCGTGGCTACGATCGTAGATAGCTTTCCTGTGGAAATACGGACGGGGAAAACGGAGTTATTTTGAACGTCCATAGATGAGGCTCAGAAGGATTGGAAAGAAACGAACCAGTCGCCCAAGTACGCCAAGGTGCCCTTATTGTGGAACTCGAAAGGCGTGATGTGCTCCTTGTCTTTAACGATAGTGTTGAGCTTCTTGTGGAGGTACATGGCCTTCTGGTTCGCCACTATTCACAATGGCAAATTAGGAAAACGGCCAGGACATATCGAAGGGAAGAGCATACCCTGTGCAGTAGCAGGTAGCGCGACTCCTTCTATCATTGCTGCATCTCCAATGCCCCAGACATCGGGGTCAGGCGTTCCGTCCGCACGAAGAATATTCAGGTTATCGTCGGTGAATAAGCTGATTGGGTGTTAGGTCGACTGGTGTACCTCGAGATGTGGATGAACTGACCTTCCAGTCTTTGGGTGCTTTTTGTATTCCTCCGGACTGATTGTCTCGATGAGAGGGTTCGGAGCAAGTCCAGTCGACCAGACAAGGAGACCGAATGGGACTAGACACAAGCTTGTGAGCCTTCACCAGTAAATCGACCGTATATGGCATGCATACCTTCTCCCTTCTCCTTGATGAACATTCTTCCCTACGACCAGCATGAGTCGTCTCAGCCGGTGAAACCAAAGGCGAGAGACTTCGGTGATACTCAGTACTTACAGACTCGACACGTTCCACATGATGGCTTGTCATGAGCGTGATACCATCTCTTTTGAACTTCTTCTCCGCGTATCTAAATGTGGTGATTGTCAACGAGTGACCCAAATAATCCGTATGCGCAGACTTACTCGGCCAATCCACTGTCGAAACTACCAAGGATATTAGGGGCTACGTCATAGAGCGAAATCTTCGCAAATCGAGCGAGGTTTGGATAGTGCTTCGCGATATCCGTGTGCAATAAGTCATGCAGTTCGGCAGCGAATTCAACACCTGTCGGACCACCACCTGATACGTCCGTAGAGGTGAGTGAATAAGCAAAGAAAACAGGACACAGGCTATGCAACGCACCGACGATGGCGAAATGTAGCAAATTCCTGCGCTGGACATCGGTGAGAATGGGTTGGTTTGCTTGTTCGAAACCTGAAGAGTGCCTCGAATGAGCATCAACCGGTAGTGAGTATAAAGCCAATATGCAAACATTCGAGGATTCTGGTTCGAATCATTCTCGCATCTTTAACGTCTTTGAGGAAGTGTGCGTGCTCCTTCACACCGGGGATGCCGAACGCTGTTACGGGTTTCAAGATGAGCCATATGTTTAAGCAGAACAATGGGTATACGAACTTTGACTATAGCATCCTACTGCAATGACCAATCTCTGACCGATGAAGCAGGATGGTGAATATCTTGCTCAAGCAGATAGATTGAACCATGTCCTCACATCGTATTTGATGTCGAACGGTGTTCCGGTGCCGGGGTAAGTTGTGAGGGTAGGATCTGCTTTCGGAGCTGACTTGTGCTCGAAGGCAAGCGGAGGCGTGGCGGGCATCTATAGATGACTACAGGGTCAAAAGGGGCAAGCTGCAGGGACCGAGAACGCACGTACGCATTGAACGGTCTTCCGTTTGAAGTCCACCTTGTCGCACCATGCTTCATATATCCTCTGCAATTTTGGCCAGAAGATATACGAAGTCAAGTAGGGAAATATGGGCTACGATGTTTAGTGCTTACCGCAGATGGCGAGTATCGTCGGACCTGTAACTAATTATGAGAGACCATGTAACTATTTCAAGGAGTTCTTACAGGTTCAATGGCACATCGGAACTCCAAGGTCCCTACCGAACAACTCGCTGGAAGAACGTAAATCCACACAATGAGTACACTTTCACCTGGCTCTTCGCGGGGAATCATACCGAGGAGCGGCGTGAAGTTGAAGTAGTTAGTCGGAGAGATCAGGGTGACATCTAAATGTTATTCAGGAATAAGCATGCTAAGTCAAGTAAGATAGAGAAACATCGTAGTCCCATTCACTGGGTCGGCCAGATGCGCCACAACGCCACAACAGTGATCTGGAGGACTTCTATGGCTCAAATTTGATCTCAACATCGATCGTCAGGAAGTCGGATGAGCCGATGACGATGGCTTTCAGGAGCCTAAAAGCCTAAATTTGCCTAAACGCTTTTTGGAGGAGGGTCGAGCACGGTCGAGCATGCAGGCAATGCCGAGGCAACGCGCAAAGGTCTCGGACACAAACATGCAAAGACGAAATGACTCACTCCATCGTTTCTTGTCGACCTTGCGCAAGACTTCGTATCCGCCCCACCCGGACCCAAGAATCACAAGGTTTTGCTTGTTCCTAGCGACAGATGCGCTAAAGTTCCGAGTCAAAGGTCGAGACACATCCTTGAAGGTCGTGAGACCAAGCGTGTGCCGACGAAGCATTGAGTGACGAGGCTGGTGCTTGTGAGACGAGCAGGTCTAGCCGACGTTCAAAAGGACGAGACTCGAATGGTCGAAAATCGGAGAGCAAGAATTCAAAGAGATTTCCGAGAGGTCAGCGGAGGTTCTCGGAAGAGTCAGCGTGCGGGGTCGCTCGGGAGTGATTGCGATGGCTGTCTGTGTCGTGCCACAAGTTCAGCTGAAACTGAATAGTTTCAAGTCTCCATTGAGCGGTGTACGAAACATGCAAGAAACACGTTGAGACGTCCCGAAACGCGTCTTAATATTGTGCGCAAGCCTTGTCGTCATACAATGCTCAGTGACGGAGACTGCTGGAGACTGACGGAGAAGGTTCATTTTGGATTCCCGAGCCCGAGAAGTGAGAGTACGGCTTCGGCTGGCTTCGGGCACTGCCGTCCACTACCAGGTCGCGGAGTTCGGAATCCGGCAGGGTCAGGGAGGCTCAGCAAAGTTTCTCCCGACGTTCGACAAGTTTGCGCTCTTACAGTACTGGCCACCTTTACTTCAGTCATGTCTTCCGATACTAGGTCACTCACCCGAGGTCTCAATATTATTCTTTTTGTGCTTCAGTGCTAGCTTCTCACGTGCTTCGTAGTGATTCGGATTGCTTGGGAGTTCAAGGGATTTCATAGCGTCTGCTTGCCAGATCCCGTCGATTCCGAACATGCCACTCTCATGTGTCCAAGACTCGGTCCTGGAGGAAGTCGAGACAAAGTCTATGCGCCCGACTAGCAGTGGTGCAACACACGGACGCGATGGCTTGTACATCTACAGGCGGCCACTGGAGTAGGGCTCCGACAAAAAGTCCACGGCGGATGGTACCCCGTGTTATTAACTCGGTGGCCCCCGAGGGACTTTCTTACAGGTGTTAAAAACAGTTAAAAACACATTATTTAAATCGAATTAAATATTATTTTCACCCCCAGGAGCTGCCAGTTTCGACTGGCCTGGAGGGCTTTCAGAGCACTAAGAGTTCTTTTGATCGCCCTTGATCACTATTTGAACTCTTGGAGCAGGCTCTACAGCACATACGCTCATGGTATGTGCGGTCGTTGGCGAAAACACCCACCGTACTTAAACTTGGACGTGGACGAGACTCAGCTGTGGTGAGCGAGTCGGACTGTGGAGTCGACATCGTGGGAATCGGTTCGTATAAAGGTGTGTCTAGGTCGGGTTAGGGGCTCGAGAGGATGGAATACGATGTCAGGGGTGATCAGGAACTCGAAAGCGTCTTGCCTGAACGCGTATCTACTCCTCCGGACGTCTAGATTTCTTACACTTTCTTACAGCTCTATAAACCAGCGTGTCGGAAGGGCTGTTAATAACAAGTTATAAACAGTTATTAACAGCACTTTTTTACAGCTGTTATTAACAACCGACTTTTTGTCGGAGCCCTACACTGGAGGCTGCTAAAAGATAAGTAACCACGGCACGCATGGAACGCTGAAGCCCGAGTTTTTACTAGCAAGAAAAGCACGAAGAAAGTGCGGAGCGCTCCATTCCGAAAGAAGGTATAAGTTTCAAGCCTCTATCTAAGTCTTACCATGCCGGCCGTCCTCGAGTCACGGATTCACACTGAGGCTGGAGGCCTGATCATACGTACGAACTCTACTAGTTCGGTACTGTTCCGAAGGTGGGTCAGTGGTAGTCTCTGTGTATCTCAGCAGTCCATATCTGACAATCCTTCCTCCTCAGGACTTCTCAATAATGATTCCACATCTGACCATCCAACGCCGCCACTACTGCCACCCGTCTTTCCATTCTCGGGACCAACATACACTCGTTAGCTCCGTTATAATGGCATGTTGTAGCTGGGAGTAATGTGGGTCCGCACTGCCGAGTCTCCGTTTATACACCTCCAGAGGCTTCGTCATCGTGTCTAACGCCCGACGCTAACGACCGCCGAGATCGTTATGATTCAGCAAGTTTTCTGACTCCTCCGACCTTGTCCGTCATTGACATGTAAACAAAACAAAAGAAGTTTCCCGAACATCATCTGCTCATTATAAAGGGGATCCTCTCTCTCTCTCATGCCCTACCACCCACACTTGCCCGAGCGATTTCTCAAATCCAAACTCTCTCCCTGTTCTCAAAAATGTTGTTCGAAGTTCGGGCCAATCATGCGCTAGACAGTAACCCTCCGGACGCTGATCTTCACATCACCACGCATGGGTCAGACTGGTTGTGGGCTGTATTCTCGGTCATGCTGCTGGCTGATCTCCTTGTCCTATTTTCTTCCCTCCGGGTGCGTATATCCTTGAGATTGGCCTACAAGAGCTCGATTACTCATGGCTCGATAAACAGAGGCCAAAGGCGTTCATACTCCACCAACTCGCCATTATAATTCTCACGACTTCCTCAATCGCATATTTCAGGTTAGTTGTGAATGCTCGTCAGACTTATCGAAATCTAAGCTCCTTCGCACAGCATGGCAAGCGATCTCGGCCACACCCCCATCACGGTCGAGTTCAATAGGTCGCACGAAGGTCCTCTCACGCGTGACATATGGGTACGTCTATACATATTGACCAACGGCAAATGTATATCTAACTGCCGGTTTGTGCCATGTTTAGTATGTGCGCTACATCCAATGGTTTATCAACGCCCCCCTCCTCCTGCTCTCCGTCTTCCTCGGCACCGGCTTCCCCCTCGGCGCTACCGTCTCGACCTTCTTCCTCGCAGACGCTGCCGTCGTCGTCGGACTCGTTGGCGCTCTCGTACATTCCACCTACAAGTGGGGTTACTACGTCTTCGCAGTCTTCTCCCTCTTCTATGTATTGTCAGTACTCTTCCCTCAACCCTACTTTTCGATACGTGTAAGCATACTGATGCCTGGCTGTATTAAACTTTGTAGTGCCCATCTCATCTTCCACACCGGTCGTAACGAGTTCCCTTCTCCAACTGGTCGCACTCACGGCGCCTTCCTCGGCACCGCTCTCCTGCTGTCCTTCATCTGGACGATTTACCTCATCATCTGGCCCTTCACCGATGGTGGCAACGTGATTAGCCCAACTGGCGAGGTTGTTTGGTACGGAATCGTAGACCTGCTTGCCGGTCCTGTATTCTTGGCCTTCTTTTTATGGACGCATCGGGATGTCGAGTTGGGATACGCGGCGGAGAACGGCGCTGTTGTGAATAGGGACGTCAAGGCGTAGGATGGTATCGGTGGGAAGTATTGGCCAGCTGAGCGCTACGGTCAAATTTCCTCCTCTCTCCTAATTCATCCCGCTCCGCTCATCCCAAATGCTTGATTGGTTAGCCATTCGGGTTCTCTTTTTGTTATCCGTTCCTCTGCCGATGCACTGTATATTATTTGTTTAGCCTAGATTTTTTCTCTCTTCTCTTGCTAATATGCGTCGCTTCAACGCAGTACACCCCCTTCACTTATATATATGATGTTGTAATTTTGTACGGTTTGCCTTTCCTCTTCTTGGTTTTGTTGTACCACCTTCAACTAGAACATACCTGTACTTTTCTTCCTTTCACGACTTATCTACGAAATTTAATGATTGCTTCTATCATGCCCTCACTCCAGCTTTGGCGTGTTCTCGGAATTGATAGCATGAGGCTGTGCCCAATGAACGCAAATTGAGGATATGTCAAGATGAAAAAGGACAATAGATTGAGAGTCAAGACTGAAGAGGTGTGGCGCGCTCAAGGTGCCACAGAAGCTATGCTCAGCCACGTGGACGCCACGCTTTGCAGCCCAAGCGACGTCTCCACCGCACGGCTTGTCTTGCTCCTTCAACCTCGAACTTGGGCTGCCTCACTGCTTTAACTCTTCAACTTTCATCACTAAGCTATCTTGAAACACGTATTCATCTACTTGTCATGGCCAAAACTCGCTCCTCTAAGAGAACTTCCAAGAAGCAGGCTGCCGCACCACCACCCGAACCCGAGCCAGTCGTCGAACCGGCCGCACAAGAGGAGACACCCATCGCTGTCGATGAGCCAACCGCTGCTCCAGATGAAGCGCCAGCCGCAGAGATAGTCGAAGAAACTTCAGCGGCGGAGAAACCTGTGGAGTCTGAGGACCAGGAGATGGTAGTGGACAGTCAGGTGCAGGAGGAGGCAGTGGCAAAGGAAGCTGAGAAGGCAGAGGAGAGTCAAGGGCCAAAGTTAACGCTGGAGGAGCGAAAGGCGAAGTTGCAGCAGCTCAGGGCGAAGATGGTGCGTTTACTTTCTCATTCTATTCTTGACAAGTACCCTAACAATGACGCGTCTGTTCGTGATGCTTTGTGTCGTATGTCACAGCGGTCATCAAAAATTGCTAATCGTGCCAGTATCATCGAAGAGTCCGAGAAAGCTAAGATGAGCGTACGCGATGCTGCAAGACTGGAGAAGCAGAGGAAGCTCGCAGAGGTCTTGAGAACGAAGGCGGACGCTGAGGAGAGAGGAGAGGATGTTGAGAGACTGAAGAACTGGGAATGGACGATCGAGGAGAACGACGAGTGGGAAAAGAAGTTGGCTCGCAAGCAGAGGAGGGCAGATTTCGAGTTCCATGGTGCGTTTCTTTGCTTACCTCTGCGTGGCTTCAGTCTCGGTGCTGAATGTCGTGATATTCTGGCGTGGTTCAGACGATGCGCATGCCGCCCGGCGACGGTATAAGAAAGATTTGGATCAAATCAAACCTGATTTGGCGGAGTACAACCGAAAGAAGGAGATGGCTATGGGGCTTGCACCAGGTACTCTGGCGCGCTCAGGGAATGCCGTTGCATCTTCGTCGTCTTCATCGGCTATCACCTCGTTCAACCCATCACAAAGCGGAGAGGTTTGTCCCGATATTCCTTCACTTGACTTTCCAACCACTAATTATCGGTGCTCTATGACACTCAGCTTGTGCCCACAAGTCAGCAACAACAGCTAGCAGCAGAGAGCCTTTACCGCGATGCGAACAGCTTGTTGTACGCTGACAACAAACCAAGCGAAGACGCAATCGACCGCGTAGTGAGCAAGATGAACAAGGAGTACGTCTGCTTGCATTCTCATAGCTAAACACATTCTGAATCCTGCCTTGCCTTCCAGTATAGAGAAGAAACGCAACTTCTCGCGGAAACGCGCCAACGAGGACGAAGGCGATATCACCTACATCAACGAACGCAACCGTGTGTTCAACAAGAAGGTTTGTCTAGCCTTCACCCTGTCTTCGATGGTACACGTACTAATCCACGTCGAATTCTAGATCGCTCGGTACTACGACAAGTACACATCCGAGATTCGGGCCAGCTTCGAACGCGGTACTGCTTTGTGATCTTTTTGTTTCTATTTTTGTATTTGTATCGAGTCGTATGGACTCGCGCGACGCTTCTATTCTCGAGGTTATAGTTTGGTGGCGGACTGTAATTCACAGTTATTTTCAGTCTTCAGTGATAACATCGATTCGTACAGTTATCGACGATCTTCGCCTAACCTGAGTCATCGAAAGAGGTTCTTGGTCACGAATGCTGGGATCCTTGTGGTTCTCAACATACACTTTGCAACGGGTTATCTCATTCTCGAAGGCATCAAGTTGGGCTACTCTATTGGTTCGTCTATCCTGCCGTTGCTCGTATGACCACCAGTTGTGTTTAACCCCAATATCACGTTGACAACACCAGGATTTCTTTCCTTCAAGACCAACCCAACTCCTGCAATAGGTCACCAACCTTTGGACCATCAGTGAGATCTACTCGGCCCCGATGTTTGCAAACTTGCTTGAACGCTTCCTCCGTGTGCTCTTGCACGATCGTGATCTTGGTGTATAACCTTTGACGTTTTGCTCATCATGAAGACCTCGGCCTACATACTTCATGCGTTTATCATCACCGAGTACTGAGCTACTCGATGCTTGACACCGATGGCTACCAGCCTTTACCCCTTACGAAGCTCGACGAAGACGCGCGCTCCCTGCTGCGGTATGTTTCGTGTCAGCGTTCGGTTTGATGCCCTCAACCCAAAAATGATCTTTGCCCCCGTCCTCCGTTCCAGCGCGCAAGACGAACTCGTTTGTGTTATTCTGCCAGAAGACCAAATGCTATAGAAGATTGTCCATACGACTACTCGTACGTATCTCTGCCTGCACCCTCCGTTCACAGCGGCGGCTCTATGAGTGACCTAGATCAGGGTGTGAGATACGGATTGTGTGATTCGTTGCTTTCTCCTGAACAAGTTCCTTCCCAAAGGTACTCAGCACCGAGGGTCCCGAGGCGGCCTACGATAGCGTATGCCTCGAGGACGGAAGTGCTGACCGGTTGCCAAAGATCTTCAAGCTCACTCCCTCTTCCTTCCCCTCAACGTTCCCATTCTCTGTTACGAGACTTGCTGTTCTGCATCTCGCTCACACAACTTTCGAAGATGCGGAGATTACCTCACTGTGCAGTATTTGTTTAGTCTGATGGTGGTGAGAGTTCAAGCTCTTCATGGATGTTAAGTAGAGCGGTTTCGACTTGTGGAAGGACGTCAGAACTGCCGATCATCCAGGCTGCAGCTTTATCGGTGACGTCCTCATTCCATTCAAAGCGCCTTTCATTTCCCGTTAGTAATCTCGACCTTTCTTCCTGCACAGCTTGAAGGGTCTTGGGCGTATCTCAACGGCACTTGCCATGGTCATACCATACTAGACAGAGAAGCATGAATTCCTCATTTCGACTGGCCAGATCCATCGTGGCTTGGATGGCGCGATAACCGTCTGGGAGACCCTGAACACCGCCCGTCATAGGTAGGATCAACGGCGGTAGTGGTCAACTTTTCCGGAAATGTGCCTTCTTCGAAGGCCATCCCTATCGCTTGCATGCAATGAGGCGAAGAGTGTACCGATATCAGAGCGGTCAGAACGAGGAAACGTGATATTCGGTGGGAATAAACTGGATCGTGGGCACTCTGAACTTTGTTGTCTTTGTATCATGCTCTTGCCCACCGGGCGCCACTGGGGTCAGGCTGGCTCATCATCCTCTGATATTTCGCTACTTGTCTCATATGCACGGGCTTCCTGCTTTTATGAGAGTCGACAGATGACCGTACTACTCTGTTGGGCACCGGAAGACCGTGGTCAGATGGTCCAATAATACGAAGCAGCAGATGCGTCAGGTGGGAAGAGTTACTGCAAGCTATCTTAGGCGCTTTTCTACTTATATCGGCGGAAAGCAGGTATCCGAAGAAGTGTTGCTCAAGTTGTTCCCTCATCATTGCCGTCATGCCAGACGTCCACGAACAATCTCAGCCATCGGCTGCTCTTCAACCTGACCCTGAGAAGGATACTGTGTTGATTGAAGGTGGGCAGACGGGCCCGGTCTCGGGAGACAACACAGAAGGAACGTTTCATCAGGCTCAGCTGAGCTTCAAACCGACTCGGAAGCATTTCTTCTCGCCTTTGGACCCTTCGTATGCAAATGCTGTTCATCGTGATGCGGCAACGGTACAATTCACGCTCGAGGAGGAGGTATTTTTGTGGTTCTTGACTTCTTTTCTATATTTCGTGTGTCTGACCGATTTCTTGTCCTTCCAGAGAAAGGTTCGTCGCAAGATCGACAACCGGGTCTTGACGCTCGTGATACTCAGGTGTGCCGCTTTTTACTATCATAAACTCATGATTTCTTGCTAACACTTTCGGCCCTACGCGATCGTTGTTGAAAGTTACATATGTGCGTGCATAGAGTATCCGTTCACATGTCGGATTTTGATGAACATTCTTTTACAGTTAATCAATTCGGTCAGAATGTCCCTAAACCACGCACATCTTACCACTGACGATAACCAAACCTACAGACAGAACGAATATGTAGGTTGATTTGCGCTTCAATGAATGGATACGCTTGTTGACGGGGACGATCTGCATCTAGAGGAAACGCGCATGTTATCACAGCATTCAACGAAAATTATGTACGCCCGAGACAGTAAAACCCTCGAGGATATAGACAGATATTGACTCTCGGTGACAGGGCATCACAACGAACAGCAAGTGGACTTTAGCTCTCAGCGTTTTTTACGTCGGATATTGTGAGTGCCGACCCTGTCTGGCTGTTTGTCTTGCACTCATATCTGCTTAGGTCTGTTAGAGATGCCTGCCAACGGTAAGCGCAGCCTGTATTTATTCAACGACCATACTGCTTAGAAGACTCGGTACCTAGTCCTGCAGCGTTATATTGGAGCAAATCGCTTGTGAGAACGGTCCACCGTCCGGTTCCATGATAGGAATGCTTAACGTTACATATCCTCCGCGTATAGCTTCTTTCTATCTCTTACCTTCTGGGGGATTTCCTCTCTGTCTTTTGTCTATGCGAAGGGCTACGCTGGGTTGTTGGTACTTCGGTGAGCTCATCCAGTACGATGACCATCAGACGCACGCAACTCACGTTCTTCCATTAGAGTATTACTCGGGATTGGAGAGGCAGGTTATTATGCTGGGATGATATATTACTTGTCGTTCTGGTGCGTGGAAGCTTTGACTTGTCATCCACATGACCTCACGAACGATTCGATGGCTAGGTACAAACGGTAAGACTTGTTCATTTCTGTCGTTCGTGACTGCTGGCTATCATACCAACCTTTGTCTAGGCGAGAACTGGCATTACGCGTTAGTCTGTGCATGACAGGTACTTTACCTGGTGCTATTGGGGTAATTGAAGTCCCGCATCAAATAAAGAATACCTGTTCATCTCCACTTTATTTAGGGACTTTTGGCTTTTGGCCTGGTCAGGGCACATACTTCTGTACTCACGGGGTGCGTAGCCTTACTTTTCATATCGTCCCTCCTTCTGATTTCCCCTACCGCAGATGGCAGTTCTTATTCCTAGTCTGTGTTCACCTGCATCTGGCCATTCGCATTAGTTGACGGACCCGTGTCTCCAGATCGAAGCGATACCAGACCTCGTCATGGCTTTCGCGATCCTTCTGTGGCTGCCATCCTTCCCGTTCTCAGCAACATTTTTGACCCCTAGAGAAAGGGCTATCGTGAGTGCCCTTTGGTTGTGAAAAAATAGCTTTGTGGGATCACTTGCTTTACTAGGCCCAGGCACGCTTGAACTCCGACCACAAACCACGATCTCATGGTGGGATGAACGGCTGGCAAGGGCTTAAGGCCATTTCGGTTGACCCCAATGCGTGGTTGTTGATGACCGTCTACGCTTCCTGTACGTCTACGCCCTTCGCTTTTTGGCCTTGCAAAAATCCTGACTTTCAAACATCTAGTCAATGTTGGAGTCGCCACCATTTCGTACTTTTTACCAACAGTAAGACATCGTGATATCAGGACTCAGGTGGACTGTCCGCTCACAGCGTGTTTATGTAGCTCATCAAACAGCTCGGTTTTACTGCGATCAATGCACAAGGCTTGACTGTGGCACCGTATCTCGTCGGGTGGTTCATGGTTGTATTTCAGGCGTGGCACAGCGATCGTACACATGACAGAGGCTGGCATGTCGCTGCTTCGACTGCGACAGCGTTCGTGGGTTATCTCATCCTCGCCACATCCGTCCAGAAGAGCGTAGGCGCTGCCTACTTCGCGTTGTTCCTCGTCATAGGCGGGCTGTATAGTCTCTTTCCCTTGGTAATGTGAGTGACATTGTCACTCTCACTGACTGGTACTTCTGATTAACGATCTTTTTATTGTAGGAGCTGGGCTGCCAATGTATTCTCTCCCACTTCCAAACGTGGTGTTGGAACGGCCTTCATCGTGTCGATCTCCAACTGTGTTTCTATGTAAGCACTACATATCGATAACTTGCTGTGATTGGGTTTCTATCTGGGCATCCAGATCTGTCTGAGACCGTTCTGAATGTCCGACGGATGTTCATCTATCACAGTCTCATAGAATCCTCATGTCCTGATTTATATTCTCAGCGCCTCCCCACAGATATACTTCGACGCAGAAGACGATTATCGTAAAGGCCATGCCATTGCGGCTGGGTGAGTACCATCTTCCGTCTTCGTTTTTTGTACTTATTTTCCATTTATATTATCAGATGCCTGTTCCTTTCGATGCTTGCAGCAATCACCTTGCGGTACCGTCTCAAATGGAAAAATAAGAAAAATCAAAAGGAGCTTGCAGCTTTGGAGGAGGGCAAGGTAGAACCTGTCGGTTCCTCTGAGGAAGTGGCAGATACAGATCCCCGTTATGTCTTCATGACCTGAGACTAGTAAGCTGCGAACTATGCTCGTTTTTCGAGTCCAAGTTTGTTGCCAGTGTATGAATTTTATGAGCCTCTTGACGATCATAAGTAATTAGAGTCATTGAAGCTCTAAAGGCCGGGTGCAGTGTGCGAATGAAATGTGTAGAGATATCGTTGTTCATCCAGCTCAAAAGATTGATTTAATTGTTCATTGGCTGTTGATAATACCCATGTAACTGGCTTAGATGAAATGGAACTTGTCAGACAAGAATCGTGCTTGTGGCCACAATGGAGCGTCTGGTGCCACACCGACGCCGGCAGCCATACAAGTGTACGGCATCACCGGGCCGGGACCGCGACGCGACGTGTCGCGCTTTTCCAACTTTGTTGACGTCTCTTTAGGATACACTCATTTGCGCACCAATCTTCTGTCATGCAGAATCCAAAACCACTAGAAGACCTCAACCAGGTATGGCTGTCAACACTCCACGTAAAATTTGTCTGACACCTAATGTAGGGCGTGATATATATCCCCTACGACTCCAGTAAGGAGCCCCACACTACCTCATCTCGATTTCTTCTCATTTCCGTGGATGAAGGTGAAAACAGCGAGGATTACGGTGGCGAGGAGCCACAAGATGCCTCTCTATTGGTCCCGGAAGAGTATGCTTCAGTGGGTCGTGACACTCATGACCTCAAGGATGTCCGACTCGCCGCCTATTCGGCGGCATGGAAGCGATGTTTTGACCGCATTCACGTACGTCCATGCCAATGCGAGATAGCATCAAAGAAGTGACCGTTGGAATGGCTTCAATCAACTTTGTATAGGAAATCATAGGTACCCTCTATCATCCGGTCGGCGAATCTATCGTGAAGGAAGTAGGAAATGTCTATGCGGATAATGAAGTGTTGCCAGGACTTCCGCACGCTGAAATACCGGTGATTGCGATATCTGGTGAGTTCATCCCCCGTAATCTGTTCTTCTGTAGATATTGAGCCCACTCCTACCCAAGCCACCGACGCAGGTTCATCTTTCTTCAATGATATCGCAAACCGGTTAGAGGGAGACGACAATCCTGAGGATGAAGAGTCTAGAGTGACTGAGACACGTGTGACACACTTGCACCCCTCTGATTGTTCGACTCTTATGTCCGCTATGAAAACTCTCGTGATGGGATTCGTGGACAAACCGCCGGATGGCGAAACAACGAGTGCGTAACGGTCATATATATTTCTGGTTTGATCGTTGGCCTCACATGCGGCTAGTCAAGAGAAAGCCGACTGCAAGTCTTGCTAGCTACGACATAGAACTTCTGAAGGTGTGGTACAGAGCGTTGAAGGAATGCACTAGTGAGTCTCTGGTTCTCAGATCATGCGGTACCTTTGAATTAATCTCTGAGGTTCAGGAGAAGACAGACCTTCTCCTCAGCTTGCGGTCATGATGCATGATTTTGAACAGTTCGACGATGCTGTTGTGCGCGACTTGTTCTACATCTGTAGGTTCGTCTTGAGCTCATATGCAGGCTGTCCCCGTCTCATCTCTATGGACAGCTTGCACGTACCCGAAGTCCCCCTCCTCTTCCTACTCTCACTATCATCTCCGCCCGCGCCGTCCTATCTGCACACAACGTACCCACGTTCCATGCTCTCTCTCATGCGACTACAAATATTCTCGCTACCCTCCGGCATTGAAATTCTAGAAAAATTGGTCGAAGAAGTACCGATTTACTTGCCTCACCTCGACACTCTCGCAGTCCTAACGATTTCTTGCATATAGACGTTCTTCGACCTTGCCTTCGAGCCTGATGTTATGGTAGGACCAACTACTTTGGAGTATCTTATAGACTTCTTCACGAGACATACCTCGTCTGTCGACGGGTTCACCACAGTTCTGCAGGTGTGCAAGCTTCACTCTAGTTGGGCTGATCCTGTCTTAAGCTTCAATCTAGCTTGCCCATATGAAACACTTCGAAGATCCTCTGGCCGTCTTTACGCATCGGGAGCATAGTCTCGCTGAGGAAATTCTTGGTCAACCTGAAGCCTTCGGGTTCTTAGACACCCTTCTTTCACGCTGCCTACCCTCGTCTCAGCCTTCCGACAATTTAAAAACTGCTCGGCCTCGACCCATACAGCACAAGGGCAATCCACCCAATGGCAACCGACAGCCCCCCTCGGATATACCAAGCTTGCTTTCGACTGTTCGAAACGCACATGACGATTTCCGGACGCTCGTCCGCAGATTTAGAGTCGCACTGAGGACGATGCGGGTAGTGCAGATGGCGATGGTCGCTCTAGGCCATAAGAGTGCCTTGGACATTCGCGACAACTATGGCATAGGGATCGAAGCGGATGGGACTGGAGCGGGGTTGGCTTTGCTAGCAGAAGCTTTAGCAGGCGGACGGGATTTCGACAGGTACATTCGGGGCCTTGGCCGGATGGTGAAGTAGGTTTTTGTTCCTCGTTAACATACAATGGTCCGCTCATCCCATACGTCCTATAGAAAGCTCTCGACTCCGGAGCTCAAGATTGTACTGGAGTCCTTAGGCGAACTTCTAGACTCCGTCCCTGACGACTTCCAGGACGATGATCTGGTTGTAAGCGCACGCGGACGAGTCGAACAAACACTCCAATGGCTAGAGCAAGAGCCGGATGCGGCCTCTGATGACAATCCTTTCGAGAGCGATGGGGACATATTCGCGACTTCCGGACGAAGTGAGGCGGAAGGGGCTGAAGCCGTCAATGGCGCACCGCCATCTTTAGCACGGAGTATGGGCGAATGGCTGGCTCGCTTTTGGACGTGGGTTACATTGCACACTCCCGCATGGTATTGTAACTCTGATGCTAATATCCATGTTGTTCTGCAGCGACAATATCATCGACCTCGAGGAAGCCAAGCTGTGGGATGTGTGGTACATGGGGTCCACACCTTTCCCTTCTGAGGTTAACCCAATATTGCTTTTCTCCATGAGAATCGATAACTTATGTACTTATTGCTCTAGATAATCAACCCTTCTACTCGAGCATCCATCATTGCGGGTTTGCTCAATCCACACGACTTCTCCACGGCCGCCGAGAGCAACTTAAATGAGACCTCTGGGCAATCTCAAACACGCAGGATCGCTTTATGGGAGTTGCCGGACACGAGCATCCTCTTCAGACGATATTTGGAAGCTGGACGTATGATCAACGTGTATGACTGGTACGAGAGTTTCGGGCAGATATTAGAAACTCAGAAACAACACCAGCGCCAAGCACAGAAGGTTCACGACGGCGGATCTGAGGCGGACGACCAGGAGCACGATGATGATGTCGAGGCGGAAGCGGAAGATGAGGAGGAATGGAAGATGCATGTTCAGGCGAGGTTCATGAGGGCGTTGCATGAGCTCGACTATGTGGGACTCGTCAAGCACACGGGTAGGAAAGCGGACCATGTCATGCGAACAGCGTTCGAAGCCCTGGAATAGTCGCACTCAGTACTTGCGGAAAATCATGCATCATTCGATTGGGTCCCTGCAGTGGACGTTACAAGCTTGATGGGCAGGTCTGATCACGTATATTATTGCACACATATTCTACTACGCTATCACTTGGCGGGACGCACCACAGTAGCACGACCATCATATCGGACGATCTAGCACGAACGATATTGAGAAAAAAAAACCCCCGGTAGCAAGTCCTGGTCGACTATGGATGCCTTGAGGATTTTTCAATTATATCTTCTCGTTGGAGAACGTGAAGGGAAGCACGCAAATGAGCAGGACTCGTTTAAACAGACAACATGTATTTGATTCGGACAGAAAAAAGAGTACAGCATCGAGACGAGAACGACACCCAAGAAAAACCTATGGGATCGAGTAGTCAGCACAGAGTCGGAGAGGAAATGGGAGTAAAGAGGGCAAGAAAAAGGTAGTGTTCAGGATTGCAGAATATAGTCAGCAGGTGGACGCGAATCCATTAGACTGTTGAGCTTGATATGTGATATTCTATTCATCATAGAGAGGTGGTGAAGAAGGAACAAAGGAACAAAGGAATGTGTAGAAAAGGTATGGGCCAAATGCGAATCAGAGCAAACTAACGTACCATCAAAACCTCTCCTCATCCTCCGGGCGCTGAAGGTCGCAGAAGTTCTTCAGTAGAACCGGCCGTCTTCGAACCTTTAGATGATATTAACCGAAGGAGGAGAGACAAACAGAGGAATGTGAACGATGGAGTACATCAAAGTACGAACGAGGAGGAATAGACAGAAAATTTCCTTGATTTAGCGGCGATAAACTCCGCTCACGCTCCGCTTCAAGTAGAGCCGACCAATTGGTCTGGCTAGGGCCACCGCCACCTCAACTTCTACACCTCGAGTTGCGAAGTTTCGAGGCATGTGGTGCCCTGAGTTTTGTGTCGCTCGGCGAAGATGTCGTCGCTCAACAAATGTGAGACAAGGTGAAGCAAGGTGGTACATATTCATAGTCGACGTAGGAATCAGGGAGAAGCTCCAGAGTAAGTACATAATTTAAAGTAGGCGCCATCCGACAACTTCACAACTAAACACGTTGATAGCTCAAAGCGATCATGAAGAAAGAGAACGCCTATGAGGGCAGACGTGACTTGAAAGCAGCGTGGAGTTTGACATCCTGACTTGCCCGTTATGGGATCGAATTCAACGAGCGAACCTTGACGAGCAGCTTCACGAGGTCGGAAACGCTACAAGTCGGAGAGTGATGGCGCCTCAGATGCCCCTAGGAGCTCCTCTACCTCTGCCCCTGCCTCTACCTCTGCCCCTACCACCGAAACCCCTTCCGCTTGCGCTGTCAGGTGCAGGGGTGACGGGAGTCGGCGGTGCGTTACTGTCTGGCTCGGTCGTGCGAGTTAAGATGCGAGGAGGTTGCTGAGGGTTCCTCTGCAATATAGTAGGCACAGGAAGTACAGCGGCCTCTGCGCGTGGAGGGGGTGGTTTCTTTGGTGATTGTGTGGGTTTGGTGACATGTGTCGACGGAATACTGGCGGAATCTTTGGCAATGACCTTGGCCGGTATCTCCTTCTCCTTCCCCTTGTCGGCATCAACTGCTCCTCCCTTCTCTTTCTCCTTGTCCCCTCCACGCTCACGACGGGGTTTCGCTACTCCGGCGCCACTCAGGGCAGCCTCGAATTGCCGAGATGCACCTATACCAAGAACAGGCCGCGGTCGACGTCCGCTTGATGCGCTAGCGGGCGTAGTAGGAGCATTGGGCTCGGATGCAGACGTGGAGGCTGTGGTGGAAGGTCCAGCACCTGACGCTGTTTCTACAGTCGACGTTGGAGTCTCAACACGTTTCGACGACTGTTGTTCCACTCGTTGTGGCTGTGTCCTTGGCTGCTGGCGCCCAGCTCGCATAGCTCTTGGAGCAGTTGGAGGCGGAGGCCCAGTGGCAGAGGTGATGGTGGGAGCAGTAGATGGTGCAGAGGATGCCGGCGTGTTCTGGGACTGAGATGGGTTTGTTTTCTGCTGCTGCTGGGCAATTTTCTGAGCAGCCGCGGCCTTCTTTGCAGCTTTCTTGCCGGCAGGAGTAGATTCAACTGGCTTGGCCGCAGGTGGAGGCACGGGGACGGCTTTCTTCTTCGGATCCTCTTTCTTGGACGCAATTTGAACGTCTTTGTAGTGAGGATGGTTCCGAAGGATGGCTTCCTTGTCCTTCTGGGCGCTCTTCTCCGCCTTCAAAGCTTCGAGGAGTGGTGTTGACTTGGGTTGAGGCTGAGGTTGCGTGGATGCAACTGGGAATAAGAGTTAGAAATGACGCAACCAACCGAGGGCGTGATCCATGCAAACACGTACTCAAGGTTTCGAGCAGTGATTCATTATCGTGAGGTTTGGTGCTGGAGGTATCGAGGAGTTGCATGAAGGAGATGAAATCCTCGTCTACGGAACGAGATCAAGATACCGCACGTTAACATAGGAGTATGAGCTGAAAGCGCACCTTTCTCAATAGTACCGTTCCTACTGTCCATTTTCTTCTTCTCCAAAGGCGGGATCTTCTGGTACGGCGCGAACTCCACCACCGCTCGCGATTCATTTCCTGTAATATTCGCTTGCCATTATTTCTCCGGTGGCCTGTCTGAAACAATGAATTCGCACCAGCTTTGTCACGGAAGATATGGCCGTCATAGTCTCTACTGAATGCTGCCAAGAGTTCCTCGCTCTTGAAGGCAATGTACGCTCGCGAGAGTATGTTCTCCTTGTTCACCCTGTGTGGGGCGCCACAATCTGCTAAGACGTCTCGAGAGGCCAACAAAGGCCACTCACTTCTTCCTCAGCTTCCCAGGATAGAAAACCTTCCATATAACGGTATCATCGTTGACCCAATTATGGACGCTCTGCCAAAAGATCTCTTCAGGGAGGTTCGCAGGTAAACGCCGTACGATGGTTTTCAGACGTTCTTGCCCGCCTGACTTGCCGGAGCGTTTGCTGGACTTGGATCTCCTATTTGATATCTCTGGAGACGCCATGGTCAGGATGAGCAAAGAGGGAGAGCAGATGTGCAGCAAGATAACAAGCTATGTAAAGTTCGTGAACGGTCAATATGATGATGGCGTGGCGGGAGAACGTGCGATTACGTGAGCCGACCATCGACGAGTGATCGGACCAAAGTTGACCACAGTCTGAGGACGTACATCACTACCTCATTTATTTATCACCATATTCACCATTGTTTTGACCTCTCAGTGTTTATACTCCATCCTAGTCGTCCCATACTACTTGAAAATTGCCGCTTGCGCAAAAAAAAAAAGTCTAGATTTCGCCGTGTCAGCCTGGTTCCAAGCTTCATCGTGCGTAAAGCTGTAAATGGAGACACGCATGTTCTGACCACCTTCTTACCTGTAGGCACATAAGGAAAGATCATCGCGAAATGTGAGGGTCGCAGTGAAGAATTTCTCAATGTCCCAGACTAACTCGCTACCATGCGGCGCTGGCTCAACGACATAGTTACTACTACCACACTTCCGATTATGGCTCGAGGTTCCCGCTCGAGAGCGATAGCTCATCAATCGACTTCCACTAGTAACCAACATTTCATCAATTACATCCAGCGACTACCACCAGAGCTACTTCAGCATATTTTCTCCTACTCTGTTCCGCTCACGAACGGTCTTAAGGATCCGAAGCCCCTTCGTTCGCGTAATTTCGATACCACCGAGGCTCCATGGGTTTTTATCCCTGTCTGTAAACAATGGAGGGATGTGACTCTCTCCTCACATAGGCTGTGGTCGACCATTGCCATACGCGTGGATTCATTTGCCTTCGACAGCACGGGACGCGACGCTTTCTACTTGAAGACGGTCATAGCCCGATCCGACGGCTGCCCAATATCGGTGCGCTTGGACAGCAAAACCTTGTTGAAACTTCTTCACACTGGTATGACGGTACTTGTCGACATTCTTCTTCCAACAACCCAACGCTGGTCCTTCCTCGAACTTAACGGCCCTGTCGACTGGTGGAGTTCTCATATTCCTGTCGATCAGACCTTTTCGAGCCTGCGCGAGTTGGTCCTTGGTCCGGTAGGGTACGACATATACGGCCCAGGAGTAGCTCCAAAGTGGCCTTCTGCTTTCTCCCTCAACCATGCTCCTCAGCTACGACGGCTTACATGCAGAGAGCCAGGTCTGACGGATTGCCTCAGTCGATCGGGCAGCGAGACCACCCTTCCTTGGTCGCAGCTCACATCGTGTCAAATCGACCATGAATATGACGTTCATCACGATTTTCACCATTTACTTTCAATCTGTCCCGACCTCGAGTGCTTCCGCCTTGCGGGAAACGCCGTAGGCTTCATCAACAACCCTCCGACGACTCTTATCTCTCATCCTAGTCTGACCGAATGGCATTGCGTATGGAGAGATCAGAAGGACCTCGACGCTTTTTTTGAGCTTCTTCCTTTCGTGGACCTGCCGTCCCTGAAGGTCTTGACATTTTGGATCGACTGGGACGAGATGCTGGATGCGCTGCTACCCAAGATACCTTTCTGGTGCTACTCAACCGCCTTCATCTCGTTCGTGAGACGCTCGTCCTGCACACTGCGTCACCTACGGCTCACATCTATCCCATTTGATAACGACAAACTTCTTTCCTGCCTCGAAGCCTTACCTTCCCTCGAGGTCTTGGAAGTCCTCGCATATCCGTCGAAGAAGTCCGATGTTTCCATGTTACACAACGGCGTCATTTCGGACGACTTCATCACGCGTCTCCACAATCATCCGAACGGTCTCGAGAGAGGAGTCGTCCTCCTTCCCAATCTCACGAGATTGATCCTTGAAGACCACCTGCTAATCGAGGACGATGAAGCATTCGTCAATATGGTAGAGTCGCGCTGGAATATTTCCGTAGATTCGTCGTCTGGCTGTGGGCAGAGGGTTGCGCGTTTGGAGACCGTTTCTCTGGTATTACCAGGCACCATGGATGACGGGGAACTTGATCGATTGGATGAGATGCGGAACGCAGGCCTTGATGTCTGTGTCTATAGGAGACGACATCGGTACGGGCCTGGAGGCAAGCTCAAGCAGTTACTACCGGCGAAATAGTGCGTGTGTATTGCTCCAGCACCAGACAAATTCTGACGTCCCTACCTCTTATCTACGAAGGAGACCGAATGAATATCTCTCTTCCAACGGCTTGACGCGCAGTATCTCGACCCAAGAAGGCCAGTGTGTTGCTGACGGCCACCGCGCCACTTTTCTCGAACGTCCAGGTCCTTCATGGACCCCTTCCACCCGTTGTTCTCATTATTGTAACATAATATTTGTGATCATCGACGGTCGTGTGGCCAGTGAATGATCCTGGTCAGGACAAAACGGTGCACGGCGCTATTCGGAACCACTCCAACGTGGCCACCGTAAAGCCTCCGTGCGATAAATTGCCACGGTTGAACTTCGCACTGAGAGCGGTCAGTGAGCTTGGTCTCTCCCGTGGCTCTCGCGTGGACTTCATCTTTGCCCGAGCATTCCCAAGATGAGAGTTGTCCACCTAATGTGGCCTAATTGCATGAGCCGAGGGCTAGCTCGTGGGCCCTATTTCCGTGTAGCCGTGGTACCTCAGAGCGTCACCTATCACCTCTATTCTTAACAAACTAAGCTTCCATAGGCACCCCCCACCAAGCTGCATCTTCCAGAGCGTCTTGGCTCCGTGGAAATTGCTATACATATCGTGCTTGCTGTGCTCATTGTCCTCTAAGTGGATCTTTCTTCGCGAGACAAATAGGTCTGTTGTGGTCACCTGGATACTCTCCCAACCTTGACTCAGCCCGTCGGTCCACATAAGGAATGCCCGACTGCTATCACTCAGCTCCTGCTTTACAATCTTTCCCCAGAACAGTGTATTCGGCATTCATAGCACGATGCATTGGCGGTTCGTTGTGTTCCATTCTGTGGGAATAACCATGTGTATAGAACCGCAGCTGAAGCCTGACTTCCTTCAACCTCCACATCGGAGACCGCATCGACTCTTGTACGTCGCTACCCATGCTACATGTAGCCTGGACGTCTGTACAGATCATGGGCATTCGATTTTGCGAGAATCCCGCAAATTACATTGATTGTTTCCGGTTCTCAGAACCTCGATCATTCGTCCCTTGCAGTCGGATACACACAGGGAAAAGAGTCGAAAGACCTTTCTTTCGAGCATTCTGCACATCGAGGTACATCAGACCTTGAAAATGGATGATGAAGCACGACCATTGGTTTCCCTCGGCAAGGAACAGCTGCAAAACTGTAACCATCGCAGTTCGTCATGGTACCCCGAATTTCCTAATGCCTCGAATGAAGCAAACTCGGCTGTAGATTACTACGAAGCTCCGCTCGTACAGACCACACATTCTGCAACGCGGAAAATGCGCACGATATGTATGAAATATTTGGTCATTTTTAACTATACTTGAGCTGGAGCTCGTCTCGGCCTCCGGTTTCGCGGCCTCCCGTCGTTTCTGATCAAACACTTCGAGCCTAATGCTGGAACATTTTACTATGCGGGCTCCTTCCTGTCTAACACGAAGAACGCTTAGGATTCTGACGTCTCGAGATACCGACGCGGACTCAATAATATCGTTCACGGTGTGCCACTTTCAGGTCTTGTACTTTCCACGACAATAATATCACAGGATGCTTTCTATCCTCGATCCTCAGACGTCACTTATGAACCGCAGTTGGCACAACATACCACGCATCGCTTTGCTTCAGGTCGAGGCAAACCCGAATGCCTTCATAATAGCGGCAAATTACTGTGAATCGTCCCGTACACACATGGCGCTGTCTACAGAAGGTTTGGGCATTTCAACTGATGTCTCAGATTGGAGTATAACCTCGCCAGATTAAGTTCGGATAAACACGATTCCCATACGTGTGCTTGACACAAGAACAGCGGTCGTGGCCTAGGCTGGGGTGCATGCATATATGTGCTAGTGCCGCAGCTTCCCGTTCTGCAGGTGTGGTCTTGAGTGTGACAATTCTAGTCATCCCGGGAGACGTGTATGCGCCGTGCGAAGGCTACATGACCTTCTCCTAAACCAGCGAGTACTTGCCCCAATCGCACCATCAATCTCAAGCTACATGCCTAAAGTAATTGCCGTATCACCCACGATTCTCTCGCCGGCCCCGTAGTGCCATAATCACCATAGTATGGTGGCATTTATTCGGAACACGGGGCCCTCCACGCATCAAATATTCCACAAAGAAGGCACCTTTGTGGTCTGTTTACTGGATTCGCGTCAGCGCCTGTACTCGCCTAATAAGTTGTAGTCATCTCAGCTCCATGGTGTATTCCCGAATAGAGAGATGTAGGTGATCAATCGGCTGGTCGATTGTCCGTCACAGTTTAAGTACTAGAAGTGTAACCTATCCCCACGTATCGGTCTAACTACTACCTGTGTGCGCGCATGCTTGGAGAGCTGGCCTATGTATACGGTTACCCGCCCTCAATGAGAGCATTCTCTGGGGTTAAAGATGATAAAATTCCCTCCTTGGTTACATAATCCTGCTCTAGTACCCGGACCCCACAACCTGAGTGAGGTACAGATTTGCACAATTTGCACCGGCGCATTCATGTTATACTTGTTATTATGTGAGCGCAGCAAGCTATTTTATTTCCGAACGATTCATCCTGACCTTAACATGGACAGGAGGATACCCCATTATACTTGACGGGCTTCAGATGTGTGTGTCACTGCGCCACAGTGGCACTTGGTTTTGTTCCAAGCTACCCCGGCCCGGCTCTTCCCGGTCATGGACCCGCGCCACACCCAACTCGCTCCGGTCGCTCCCGATTTTTACTGCATAACTCAATCTCCTTCCACCAACTCTCCTCATTGTCTTGTCCGTAAAGATCGCATTTCGTCTCTGGTTTGCGCTCCTCTTGATCACTATACCTGAATAAGGCCATACGGCTGACTGACTCCCCGCGAGTGACGACTGGTCTACAACTTCCATCGGCTGTCGAGGTGCGGTTTCTTGATGTTCGGAAGCCTAGTGTCATGGTTGACAAGGTCAGAGGCTTATGCAATATAGTGGGAAGTTTTCATTTGCAAGCGCTGATAATCTCTTCGATGGCTCAAGGATGTACAAATGTCGGTCTTGACATTTAACGACATGCTCAACCTGCCGAGATCGGCCCAAGTCGTGTCCTGAGGCATTTGTGCTTCCGTGCCCCTCGAAGACCGGCAATCATAGTCCTCGTCTTCGAGATATGAATTTGTAGCCTCAGATGTATATCATATCAGTAGGTAGACCGCTTTTAGGGCTACTCAGCGCGGTGCTACATATTATGATGGCACTCGAAACTCAAGCCCGTGATTTCGTTCCCTGGGCACGTTCTGGTTATAATGTTCTTCAGACTTCCGAGTCTGAGCCTGATCTGAAATGTCGATGCGATATCGGGTCACCGGCGGTTGGTTAATGGTTGTTGTATTGCGATATGGATGTGGCGTCGAAGATGATCTTGGATGATCTCCCTCCATTCCTGCTTATTGGTTCTACCTTCGTTCTTACTTTGTGGTTCCTACTGCGCCGCGCCGCCAGGCTGGTAGACCGCGAAATACAATGTCATCGCAAAACCGACGCAGGTGTCCAGACGGTGTATGGTGGTTAACCTCCTGAGCGCTCGGAGATACTCGTCAAAATCGATACGTGTTACATTGATTGCTGTGTTTGGCTTCAATGCGAGCTGTATTCCAAGGAGACACCAAAACTTAATTCCATCATCCTCTTTTCTTTTGGTAGTAAATATGGTCAGGATCGCCCCACACCAATGACCACGTACTTCAATCTGGACTCGCCGACGACCTCACTCCTGTGTCAGCTACGTCGTACCTTCAGCTGCACCTAGGTCAAAGTCCTTCGGTTCCGTAATGCTCTCCAACTCGCGGTTCGAACAGATATAAAGTGCACCACTCAACCGCTCACGACGTACTGCATGGAAGCTATGCATCCACAGTGCTCACGAAAGAGGGGTGTTCAGGCGTTAATATCGCCTGAAACCGCTCTAGCCCGTATCCGGGGTGTCTCTGTCTGGGGCGTGATGTACCCTATCGTGTTCTTCTGCTTCGGTTTTCTTTAGGGACACCCTCACTGTAAGTTCCGGATTGGCGCTCATAACACGAGGTCCAGACGACGTTACTCTGGGTGCTTATGACGCCAAGTACTGTACCAGTGAACAGCGGCTATACGAAACTCGTATGAGAATGGAGACGAACGCCGGTGCCGGTCACTGTGTTCTTGACCTTCCATTATTTGGTGGTGAGATGCTCCTCCTACATGCGTTCGAGTTCGACACCCTCTTACCCGCTTCGAGTTCTTCTCGCAGCACCACGACTAACCTCCTCCCCATGCATCTGTCGCGTGCGCCACACGTGGAAGTTGTGTGTGTATTCCGGTGCGTTATTTTTATTTTAGGTTTCCCTCACCTATGAACAGATCTCGACTATGAAGCTCAGAGCTTATTCTTCCTCCCTCCGTCTCCGTTCCTTGACGCGGGCTTACAGATGCAGACTCGGCCATGAGTCGAACCCAATGGGTAACCGCGGTTGTAAGGTTTGCTCAAGCCGCTACGGAAGTTTGTTTGTCTTGTTCAAGATCGATGCTGGCTGAGCTTGAGGTTCTTCAGCGGCTCAGACGCTATATGTTGAATCGTAGCCCACCGATCGGTCAATGTCACATCGTGGGTCCTTTGGCGCGTGTCTCGAACGTGGTTTTCATACTCACTAACCACTTCGCTCTGCTTCTCATATTTTCAAGCTCAGAGTCGACTCTTGGTTTCGCTATCAGGTGTGTGAACTTTGTTCAATGGCAGGTACAGCGGTCCTGAGTATTCTGGACACCAGTGGAAGGGAGGCGATTTACGAGCGCGAACGGGGGGTATGTTCCCAAACCTTGATGAGTGGTCCGAGGAGAACTCTTTCGAACGACATGGGCGTCCTTGGGATGCCAGTGGCGTTCGATGATCCCTCTTTCGACCTGCCGCCTTTGTCTAAAGTTTGAACGACGACGTATCTCATTTACGACCAAATTTTACTGACCCCGACGATTACGACCCTCTTCTCGTTTCCTGATATTACCATCGCCTACCGTTGTTCTTGTTCGGATAAATTCACAGCAAGTAGCGGTCCACCACCACCACCATCACCACCACCGCCTTTCTCTATTGGTAGTAACATTTCGAAGGGGAAGAGGAAGCTCGAAGCTCGGGATATTTATGTTAATGTTAGCTTCTTAATCTCACGAGAGGAGGAACGTCGGGAGAACCGCCGTTAGAGAACAGAATAGAATGAGAAAAGATCCCGGTCAGTCAGTCACTCGCGGCAGCTTTCCATGGCCGTGAAGTATGAAGCTTCGAAGTGATCTCAACTTGAACTACTCCTTCTATAGTGCCTCCGCGATAGCGTCGTGGCCTGTCTCCGTTGCGGGAGTCCAATGTCAATCGTGAGCCTATTTGGCCTGTTCTGATTCTCATGATACGCCACACCTCTCACACCAAAAGCAAGGTACATTATGAAGAGCCTGTACTATAGACTGGGGACTGAGTAGCGAGACAGGTACAGAGCACAGCGTAACGTCACCGAACCGACAGAGTTTCCTTCTTATTCGGCCCCCACTTAGTACTGTGGGTCTGTGGCCACACAGAAGCCATACGCTAAAGTTGGGTGTGGGGGCGGAAGCGTCGCTCGCCACGTTCTCCTCGGGCGCAATGCGCATCAGAACTTACGAAGTCGGCGAGGTTGAGTTTTTGGAGAACCGGGTGAGCGCTATGTGACGAAAGTGACAGAGAGAAAGATAGGGACCGTGGCTGCTACTAATAGCTTAACATTTATATTGTGATCGTTCGGTGGGACCTCTGAGGGTGAGAAGCCGCGGTATCTGTTAACAATGTCTGGATCGGTGAGCCTTTGTTGCGGCAAAGCGTGCGTACACATGAACCCGTTCGCGGTCCTCTTTATAGAACGGTCAATGTATGGATCAGGTAACCTACATATTGAAATGTTATACCCACGTCACATTCTTTCTCAAGGTTGTTATTCATGTTTGCTTCATTTCATATATTTCATATGGTTATGAGGCTGCTAGGACACCACATCCACAACATCAACATCGATGGACATACTGTACGTCCCAGCAGTTAGACGACGCTTACATAACGTGGGAACTCCCATTTGGCGGGAGACTCGCGCAAAATTGGCGGGGGCGATGGGCCCCTTGGGACACCGGACGTCGCCTAACGTCTGGGAGGTACAGTATGCATGTCTTTCGCTGCCATGGCCATGACCCCAGCCGTGATCGCATCTAGTACCATCGCGGGAGCTGCGGAGGGTTTAGACGTTTAAGGTAGTTTATGTGCATAGGCGTACGTATCGTACTGTTTTCGTACTTCGGTCTGGATTTCGTGGTTCGACGGCCAAGCTAGGTACTGATTGACTGGCTGACTGGCTGGATGGCTGGATGGCTGACAACGGAGCCTCAGCCACCGTCAGAGAAAACTCAATGTCATGGCGATATATATTCAAGTCAACAACCCTTTCTTGCTCTAAATGCATGCCACAGTTCCTCTAGCCTGAGGCTCTCACTCGCGGCTCGGAGGCAAACTAAACTATCCTTGTCCGATGGCCGAGAAGACCATGGCATCTGCTGAACTCTTCGGACATTGCGGTCGAGACTTGAGCTCGTGTTCTCACTAGAGTTGATGGTTGACTAGTTGACAGGCCGTAAACCCTCTGGATGGTACTAGTGACGTCGTGGTGGCTTGTTTCTTCTGTTCTGTTCGAGTAGGTACTCAGGCAGAACTTGTCTGGACATTGACGTGATGTGAAAATACAGTTCACATCGCCTGCACTCACACTCCTAAACTCTCGCTGTTGCAGTCATCACTCGATTATCGCACATAGACAGAAAAAATCACGCTCGAGCCGTCTGGTCCGTTTATTCTCCAGAATTTTCGGGATCTCTAACTCGACGACTCTGTAACGGCTGGTAACGGAAACCATAGACGATTCGGATCGTGTACCCAAACTCTACCCTGTCTTCTAATTTGTATTGTCTACATGAGACCTATCGTCGTTTTTCAAGGGTAGTATGCCAGTTCTGGACTGCAGAGGAGATTTAGACGTCCGCGGAATACGGGACGTACCGACATTGTATCTTACGGCCTCCTGCATTCACCTTCCATCCTGTACTCACGGCCGGCTTCGAATGGACGGTCGGGCGGTCGGACGGACGCACCGGATATGTTGAGATATCGCCCGTTCAATGTGGCCAAGAAACGTGGTAAGATGGCCGTTAAATGCACGAACATGGACACGATTATTGATTTCGTAGTCAGCTTAGATGCCAAATCACTCACTGTCCTTCGTCATACGTATGTTCAGTACGACCAGGTCTGCGTTCATCGCGACGGAGTTCGCGATTCTGGGAGGTCCAAGTAACGTATGGCCTATCATCATACTGGCGTTACCCAAGCATAGCAACAAGTGCCTGGTGAAGTGACCGTAGACGCGAATCCAACTGTAAGACGACCTGAATATCCTGTAGTAAACTAGGTGGCATTGCGCTCGAGTCCCAGAACTTGTCGCTGATGAAAGCGAGGACCAACAACCAGAAACAGTTGGAGTAAGTTCGAGGCATTTCTTATTCCTATAACTCGCCACAGGAGGTGGCCCATCATGATGCTCGTCCGAGTCAACGTCGCCCCAAAGTAAGCACTCACCGAAATATGCCCTGGCCCAGTACCTTCCAGTGCCCCAAGACCGGCTATCTCGCCACAGCCGAAGACCGCAAGCCCATTTGAATTTTCGAACGAAGTGTTACAGATGGTGCAGTGCACAGTCATGTTTGATCGCCCCGATCGGGGGCTTCATCCCTGAATCTATCTATCTGATATGTGTAAGTGACGAGTAAGCCCTGAATCGGACACTGGAAGGACGCAGAGGAGGCAGGTGGGGGCCAGGAAGATCGAGAGGCGGGCTGTTGTTACACCGGTAACTTTCGCCCAGACCAAAAGCAGTAAGAGAAGGAAGAGAAGGAGGAGGAAAAGGAGGGAAGAAAGACAGAATCGGACTGGCAACTTGGAGTCGAATGAATCACCATCGTGACGAGCCTCGTAAACGCGTGTTACGAAACGAAAACAGTCCTTTTTTTTCTAATGAGATGGGTTGCATGTGGTGTCCTCCACAAGAGTAGTCAGAAAAAACGACGCTTGCCGCGTCAGGAGCGGTGGGGCAATATCTTCGCAATAGGAGAGGCACCGCACCGAGCGGAGGTCGGCACGGGAGCGCGATATCCGAAAAAGGCAATGGAGCGGACGCGGCGGGAGCGGGATCGGCGCATCGGAGATCATCGGACGCCCGGAGTCCTTGGCAAGAGGGAGTTTCTCGAGGAAAAAGCCGTTACAAAGCCGCATCGAGAACTTGACATGGAGGTGAGACAAAGCGACTGAATGAGCCGAGAAACGATACTGTGGCGGGTGGCCTGACATGGATTGGAATTTGCGCAAGGATCGCCGCCGGCGACAATCCAATCAACGAAGACGTCATGGCTGGGAGTCTCTTTCTTTTGAGTGTGCTCATGGGTGTGAATATTTGGTGTTGGAAAAGAGGCAGAAAGGTGTGAATGCGAAGACAAAGAATGGCTGCTGACGAAGGCGCAGAGGTGCGGGTGGGCATGAAAGAGAGCAAGTCGAATGCCGGAGCCTCGAGGGAGGAAATGAGAACGGGTTCTACGATCGGGAGGAATCTGGCATGATCGGAACGTTGTGGTGGTGGGAATTTGCAAATCTGGATGTGGCAGGCGGGTGCGGGTGTGTGGCGCGTGTTTGGCGGCGGTGGACGCGACAAAAAAAGCAGGGGTGTTCTGGGTGGAGAGCGGCGGGTCCGAGGAGTCGCAGGAGGAATGGGAGTCGGGGAGAGGACTGGAGAAATGCAGGAAGAAGTGGCCCAAAGGAGGTCGGGCTGAGTAACGTGCGAGCGGCCACGTGGGGTCAGAAGGAAAGGGACGATATGGATTATCGGGGAAGAGCGGTACGCAGCTGCTTGACGTCCACCACAACCGTCGGCGACGACGACGAGTAAGAAAGACAAGCGGTAAGCAGTGCGGTAAGGCTATTAGGGCAGCGGCTCGTGCTGGCTTCGTTTGTGCGCGAAGGACGATCGAGTTAGTGCCCGGCTCGATTGCGGGATTGATCCCGGAGGCAAGGGCCACTCGAAACTTTCAAACTCCTCACTGCGCAAACTCGGAATATTCTAAAAAACCAGACATCCTCCTTTCGTCATCCCACCCGTACGTCTCAATCCCGCCTGCCATCTCCTTTCTCTTCCGCTCCCTCACCATCTCCCTCCCCTACCCATGCCCCAAAACAAATGACCTTCGCCGAACAACATCTCCCCACCTACGCTCACCCCCGTCCGCACCCCATGGCTGACTCCCGCCACTACCAACACAATCCTAACTTCCCCGTCAAGTCAGAGTCTCCGACGCCCTCAGAGCTCTCAGGACACCCGCCCTATTCTCTTTCCGCTCACCACCACCACCACCATCCTCTTCCGCCATCAACCACTCCATCTTTATTCAGATTCGGCTCCGGACACCAACACCAACAACCTACTCAACTTCCGTCCTTCAACTTTATGGCTCACCCGTCCTGGAATGGCGCGTCCTCGTCGCACCAATACTCGTCCTCGCCGCATATGCATCTCAATCTACCGCAGTCTATGAACGAACACACAGTGCTTAGCATGAACGACGACTATGACGACGGAGACGAGCTCTCGGAACTACCCGGCTCCGCGATGGATGTGGCCCCCAGTGGTTCTGGCAAGTCGTTCGAAAAGATCGTCAGGAGAAGGAGCAGCAAAGGTCCGTTTTTGTTTCCTTTGTGGAAACCGTCTCTTTCCGTCTCCATTCTTTGCTGCTGACGACCGTGCGTCTTGACGCGACTCACACCTCCAACAGCTTGTGATCAGTGCCGGAAGTCTAAATGTAAATGTGAAAGGTCCGGCGAGAACGAACCATGCAAGAGCTGTATTATGTTGGGAACGCGTGAGTCGACCCTTTCTTCTTTCTCAGAATATTCGCCGAGGACTTTGATCCCTGGAACACCTCGGACGCTTTCCATCCGCTTGCGGCGGCCCCGTTCTAATTCATCCCTTCTTGAGAACCTGCTCTTTGGCTCCCCGCGAGGGACCCATTCAATCCCCGCCCACACTCCTCTAGATCCGCACAGAGTCTCTTCGTACGTTTACTGATTCGTCCTCCCTAGCTTGTACATTTCTTGGTCCGTCCAGGAAGCGTGGCCCACCAAAAGGCTACATTGATGCTATCGAGGCTCGCCTACACCAGACCGAAGCGCTTATCGGCATCCTTCTAGCGGCGAACGACACGCGCGCTCAATCCCTGCTCGAAGACCTTGCTCAGGTATATATTTGTTGTTTATAATTAGCTGCTCCAGGCACTTCATTATAAAGTGCGACACTAACGGCGTTCTCAGGACGGGCTTGCTAAGGAGATCATTGAACGTGTGGATAATTCTCCGTACGGTATCAAAGGACGCAGCCGAGGCGCAGATTCGGCCAATCCTAACAGGCCCCGTACATCAAGCACACAGCCAGGGCAAGGCGAGGGATCGAATACGAACTCGATAAACTCAACTCAGTAAGTGAAGAACATTCCGAAGACAATTATGTTATCTCTGATGCACTTTGCGCCCTGCCTCGCCTCAGTCCTTCGAACGAGTGGCAGGACAGCGTGTCTGCACGAATTAACGCCCTTGCCATCTCCCGTAAACAAAACATATACGCTCCCGGCGATTCTCCTGCCTCCAGATATACCGACGATGGTCCACGTCAAGGACGACCTCTACTCTCCCTTACAACTCCACAGGACGTTGCCGAAGACCGCTCGCTCTCACCCGCCCGACGCCAACGGCGACGTGTCGGCGACGAGGGCCCATCTTCAGCTCACCCAGCCTCCCAATCTCCCTCCCGGTCACCGCGGCACCGACCCTCAATGGGTTCGATGCATGACCGGTACGCGAGCGGATCTCCGGGTTTCCAGGATGCGACTGGAGATACAAACACTGGCACCTCGGACGCGCTCGACGAAAGCTCGGACGATGAATTGGCGGGGGAAGTGGGTCAGTTGAGTTTGAATGAGGAGCGGGAGGTACGTTACCACGGCAAAGCCAGTGGTCTGCACCTGCTCCACGTCAAGGACCGTGTGGACGGCAGAAACGAGGGTGGAATCTGGTGAGTGCTCGGCTGTTCAGTCGCTGACTTCGGTCCGATTCTCTTTGTCTTCCCTATTCCTTCTTTCCTGACGAGAGTCTATCATGCTATTAGGCGCTTCCCGAAGGCGAGGGTGTGGCCTCCCTTACCATGGAATGCGACCTCCGCCAAGGCTTCACCAGACTCTTCCCCTACTCTGCCTGATCTTCCGATTCAGGAACATCTACTAGATCTCTACTTCACTTACGTCCATCCCGCGCTGCCCATCGTTCACAAACAGACTTTTCTCGAGGATTTCCGCAATGGGTGAGTAGAGTTTCTCCGTGGTTCTACCTTTCATATCTGGCCTTGTGTTCTAGTTCCGTAAAACCTTAGGACTGACGCGGAAATCGCGCTCCTTCATTGAATTGCTGATGCGAATGCGAATAATTTATTTTTCTTCATAGACAAGTCGCTTCTGGCCCGTCACCAAGTTCGAGCAGCTCGGGCCCGACGTCACCGACAGGGTCTTCGCCACGTTCCAAACGCACTCCTATCTCCCAACTGCTCCTTCTTGTCATGTTCTCCATCGCCGCCCGATACACGTCCCGGGGCGACGCGGATGCTCCCACTCCCACAGACGGCTCGATGTGGCCGGCAGGAGATGTCTACCTCGACCAAGCGAAGATCTTGTTGAACGATTGTTATTCAAGCTCGAGATCGAGTACGTGTCAAGCTTTGCTCTTGATGGGATATCGAGAGATTGGGATAGGAGCGATGGCGCAGGCTTGGTTGTATGTCGGCATGGCGGTCAGGATGGCGCAGGATCTGGGGATACACAAGAGTGCGGACCGGTGGCAGCATGTGGGTAACTCCTTGTTTAGTCAAGTCGAGCTGCAGGAAAGGAGACGGGTGTGGTATGGCTGTGTTATTATGGATAAGTATGTTTCGACATATATCGGTAAGTGATACCGCGCGTTGCGTCCGCGGTGAGACGATGACTGACGCCGTTCATGCTGCGCAGGACGTCCGCTGTCGATTTACGAGCGAGACTTCAATGTCGAGCTGCCCAGCCTCTCGGAGGTACGTCGTCTTTCTTTCTGGCGCTTTGATCGTACGTTGACCGTGGAATGACAGGTCGAAGAGAACGAGGAATGGAGGTCACATCCCTCGGACCCGTTGATGTACGACGAAAACGAGAAGGAACCAAACCTAGCGCTGATCACCCTACCCGGCCGTGTAATCTCCTGTTTCAATGCCTCGGCGAAGCTATGTACGTTTCGAGTCACATTATTTCCTTCCTTCATCCTATTCGCTTCCATTCAATCAACGTGTTGACATGTGCCATTCGACTCCGACAACAACGACGTTTTCCATGCCCCATCCGCGCAGCCATCATCCTGAGCAAGATCGTGCAGGCCCTGTACGCCGTTCGTTCCGGTCCTGGCCGACATGCGGAATCGTTAAGGTTGGATCAGGAATTGGACAAGTGGTATTTTGAGCTCCCGGACCACCTACGGTACGATTCTGCGCGCTCGAAGAAGGGGGCGACGCCACCGCCACACGTTCTCGTATTGCACATGCAGTACTGGTGTGTCGTACTGCTGCTGCACCGGCCATTGTGAGTTTTTCGTTCTTCAACGCGACTCTCCGAGTTGCTCCCTCTATTTCGTCCGAAGATGATTCATCCATGGGGCGTGGGCGCTCACACACTCGTAACTTACTCGCTGACAATCTTCCTGTGATTGATTCTCCGTCTATAGCATCCGATTCGTCCTTCAGCACAAGTCCAAAGGGTCACTGTGAGAACTCCTCTTGGTCTTTGTTCTTTCTGCGACCGAAGCTTACCTTTTGCTTGCTCCTTTGGGTAACCAGGTCTTCGTCGCCTAAAGAAGATCCACAGACGTGTGCGATCTCGCAGAAAAACTATGACCTCTGTGTTCAGGCCGCGAATCATATTACCTCCGTCGTCGCCACATACAAAGATAATTATTGTATCAAGCGCGCACCAGTTTTCCTGTCGTACTACGTCTTCAGTGCCAGTGTGATGCACGTGACAACCCGTGCGTCTCATTTCCTCCCATTGTTCCTCATGTTTGGATCGTTACTGAATCTACGTTGTCTCTAGTCAATGCATACCCCGATGATCCACAAGCACGAATGGGACTCATCGCCTGCATGGACGTCCTGAAAGCTCTCGAGGTCGTCTGGCCAAGCGCAGGACGTGCGTGGGAACTCCTCCGAGGCTCGAACGTTAACTCGGCCAGCGCAGCCAGTGCCTCACCCGATCTCTCGAATTCCTCGCCTTCAGGCCGACCAACGTCTAAGCGCACCGCAGAGCACTTCCTCGAAGACTCGCACTTCTTCTCCGGCGTACCAGTGCCAGGTTCTGGTCCTCGTGCTTCAGCTGGAGGTCCTGGTGCGAGTCAGGCTTTCCCGTTGACTGCGATCTCCGCCACGGCGGGCAACCCCAACCCGTCGAATCCGAACATCCCCCCAAACCACAACCCACATGGCCCCGGTTCTCATTCGTCGCAGTCTCATTCACATAGCGCAGGCTCGAATGGGAGTTACTACCCATCCTCGTATGATCGTTGGGCCGGAGACGGCAGCCTGAGCACGTTCCCCGCGAGCCTGTCGACGTCGGTGTTGCCGCAACAGTATAGCACTGGGTTCGTCGATGATCATCGCGCGAGGGCAGCATCAGCAGACGGCGGAGGGGGCGCGCCGGGATCGCAGAGGTATCCTCAATATTGGAGCGATTATTCGAGCCTGGGGTCGTTGAGCACTAGTTTTGGGGTACCGATGCTGCCGCCGGAGTCGTTGCAACACGCTCAGCAACACCAACAGGGGCAGGGGCAGAACCAGACGCAGAATCATCAGGGCGCGGGCCAAGACAAGATTTACGTGCCGGAACAATACCAACATATGTTCGGTGAGTTGAATTGTTCCGGTGTCGTCACACGTATTTCTCACCACGGAATTATGTGGATGTAGACTGACCTCCTATTCCTTGTCTATAGCGCCTCCATAACAGCTGAAAGACGCACTGGCGCGTATCGTTTGGACTCGGGCTAGGGCTTGGATTTTCGGTTCAGATTCGTTTGTTGGTTCGTATCGATCATCATACTGCGTACTTCGTTGTGTTTTCCCTCCGTTTTGCATTGTACCCTCTTCTTCCTTGTGTCTACTTTTCCTTGTCACTTTCATCAACTTCCCCGCTATCACTCAATGATCCCCCTCAACTCAAAATCTCATCTCTATCTCTTTTTCTATTCGTCCTCTCCTATCTTCCCATCGTAGTTTCTAGCAAACCATTCGACTCGTCATAATTCATAATCACGTATCGTTCGCATTCTATATGTACATCTGTACCGTTTCTATCGGTTGGTTGTCAGAGTCCGGCTGTTTGTCCCTTTGGCTTGTCTGTCTGTCTCTGTCGAGCATACATTCTACGCCTCGAGCTCGCAGGGTTTCAACACCACGCAAGTGCTGTAGCAGACCTCGTCGTCGTGCTTGCCCTGCCTTTTCTCGCCTGCCTCAGCTTCTGTCGGGATTCAAATACCTATGTATCTACTTACCATCTCGGTCTCGGTCTTCGGTCTCGATCACTATTCTCGATTCGCTTCTTTCTTCGCCTTGTCCCTTCGAATTCTTGTTGTGAAGCATATGCTGTCTGTGCCCCTTCCTCGTCGTTCGACATCATGATCCCTCAAACTTCTCTCACATATCCTCTGTTTTCACCAGCACTCACGTATTTACTTAGTCTGAAGCTTCCCACACGACCCCTAGCTCTTTATTACTATTGTCGCTTCCAGTTCTGATCCAGCTGATCGTACGGTACGAGTTGTATCCTTACTCAGATCCCAGTCGTTTGTTCCATCTGGTCCGCTAGCGCCGTAATGTTCCAAGTTATTTCAATTATTATACCTCGAGTTAAGCATGCCCTTCTCAGCCCCTGTCATACTTACTCTATCGTCGGACTTCCGAGGCCCATCTTCTGAGTGAACTGACCGAGGCCAGCTAGGCCAATCGAACGGTGGAAACTCCTCAGTCGGTCTTTCAAAAGGAAGGGCACACTCCGATAGTAAAGTTTGTTTCGCTATACCGGGCCTGCAATTGCGTTGCAGACAATAGAAAGTTCGGGTGACGGGTCGGGCTCCCCTGTCGACGCAGACGGCAGCGGAAGACAGGACAAGTGACTATAAATGAAGATAGTACGCCGGCGGTCGCTTCTTGCCTCGAGATCGACAACCGTATCTGAATCTGTAGCGGTTCAAAGTGGTCGCTGCGAATCACATACTAGGGTGCATGCATGAGGGCACGTACGGCAACGTCCATTTTCATTCTGCGAAACAGGTACGAGAATTTTTTTGCCAGTTGGTGCGAGGACGGCCCTTAGCGGCCTCGAAATTCTCAGTCCTGCACCACGAACAGGTGCGGTAGGCTACCAATAGTTTTCCTACTCCATGGACGCCACCAGCATTGTACCACAATGATGCCATGATGATCAGTGTCAAACCTGCAGCTCGAGAAGATTGCACGAGTTCGAAACAGGCACTACGCAGAGAAGCAGGCGCGCTGGACCACTGTAACTGACAGGCTGCAAGTGCAAGAGCTCCTGGCCGTCGATCGATATGTGTTTCAAGAAGGAAATTCTCTTCTTCTGGTCTGACTATAGGCGACGCTGTACGGGAGGGTCCATGTGGATGCACAAGAGGCGTACGTCCCCGAGAAGCGACCTGCGACCTTCCGAGAGTCCGAGTCGTACAAATGCAGAAAGGTCGGGTCGTAATATGCATGCATACGTTGACGTAGAACAAAAGGGGCCGCCGCGATTTTCGGAGGGCCGAGACGAATCTATCTGGACCTACTCAATTCAAAGTTGCCTTCAAAAAGAATCTCGCAGCAACGAACTGGGGGACCGTGACGGTAGTCGAAGCGAAGGAAAGTCCATCGAAGTAACGACGGTGTGGACGCCTGACTAACACATGGGCAGCTCGGGTGTCAAGACGAGACACACCTGCGGCCGCGCATCGTCTCATGTCCCAGGGTGCGCGGTATGTAGTACGTGCACGCTGGGCATCTCAGCACTGGAAATCTAGAACTTTGTGGTGCGTGGAGAACGCAAAATTAACCACTCCACGCACCATGAATCGATCGTGTCCATCTGCTGCCTAACGGCGCAAAGTTAGGGATTCTATTTCGAGCGTGACCATTTTCGCCGTGGTGCTGAAATCATGAACTTCGAGGCATGCGGAGTGTAATGATCTAAAAACTTCCAGGAGGCGCCACAAAAAAGGAGCATCAGGGACAATATTTGTCGTGGATGCGCGATGGCCTCTCGTGAGTTGGAGCTGAGGCTGACGAGAAAGAGCTAGAGCTGAAAAGGCCGTCGCCGCGGTCAACGAAGAGCCTAGCCTCAGGATGAAGCTACCCTTTTGGTAAGACGGTCAACATGTGGATGATGGAGTCGTTTCTGAACCGAGAAAGGAATACATGTTTGGTCTCCGGAAATTGGGAATATTTTGACGGCTAACACGACTAATATTCGACACCGGCGGTGTCTGGATGGTGTTGTTTTGCAGGAACCGGCCTGAACCGGCGGCCTCCGATGAGGAGGCGCCCGCACCCACGTGTTGGCAACCGGAGCGCTCAGCGCCACTCGAGTCGCCACACGACTAAATGCAGCTAGATGCTGGCAGAGTGCCGTGGCCCATGTCATCGTCCTCAAAGAGGCTGCAACGAATAACATTGACAAACGGTTACAGATAGCAAGAGATAATTGTGAAGATTAAGCAATGACAGTCCAAAAAAAATGATTTACCACCCAAAGTCAGTTGAAGTGATGGTCAGCCAGGTACACCTTCTTATGTTCAACTAGAAACGTTATGAGGTGGCGTAAACCAACCCTGGCGTTCAGTCGCTGTCAAGCTCGATCTATCGAAACATAGTAGTCATATGTCAGTATTCTGCACTGAGCACACACGGCACGACCAGCTTACCACCTCAGCATTCTTCGCTCGCGCTCGACTTGCCGCAGCTCTCCCCGTCGTTCGGGTTCCGGACGGTGCAAAGCTCAGGACGGCTTGCTTAGTGGATGATTTGGATGTGGCAGCCTTCTTGGCCGGTGCTTTCTTAGCCGCTGGTTGACTATTTCGGAGATGTGTCGGGTCAACGGGAAGAAGTTATGACAATGTGGCCAGCAGAAAAGGAACACACCTAAGCACTGCAGCACGGCTTGTCTTTTTCTTCGGCTGAGGCTCCTCTTCTTCTTCCTCGTCGTCGTCTTCTTCTTCGGAATCACTTTCCACCTGTCATACCAAAAAATTAGCTTTTTGTCGCCGAAACTTCAAAGATCAATCTTGACTGACCGCTTTCTTCTTGCCCCTCCCCGTCGTAGTCGCTTTCTTCGCTGGGGCTTTCGCCTTAGCCGGCGCCTTCTTCGCCGGCGCAGCAGCCTTGCCCCTTCCTTTCTTTGGCGGAGGAGCCTCATCGGAGAAATCGTCGTCGTTCGCATCAATATCCATGGCCATTGAGTCGACAGACTTAGCGTCCTCGTCCTCATCGTCTTCCGAGCCAGCGAGGGCCTTGCCCTTGCCCTTAGGCTTCATCGTAAGTTCTGCATCAGAATTTATGGAACAGAGGTGATTGAGATAAGTGAACTGTTACCTTTGGCTTCTTCCCGTGAAGTTGCTCTTCCTGGTACTCCTTTTCCGTTTGTTCTCGTACTCTTTCGAGCTGATGAGAAAGTGGGTTTACGAAGTCAGAAAGACGAAGCCAAGGTTGTTGCTGACATTTGCTTACGATATTGTCAAAGTTCTCTTCGGAGAAGTCTCCCTTAGATTTCACGCCCTCTCGCAACGTTTTCAGCATCTCGTTCACATGTCTAAAAAATAAGTCGTTCGTGGTCAGCAAACCCGCTCTCCAAGGCCTCATACATCTAAAATAATTGCCGGAATTTGAAGAGAGAAACTTACGTCTCGATCGAATGTATATCATCCTTCTCCACAAACACCTGCACCGCATCCGCCATCCCATTCTCCCCCAACAGCTGTAACTCCTGTGCCCTTAAATACTCCTGCACAAGCGTATGCACCCTCACCCTTCCCAGTCCACCCTCGCCGTCTCCACCCATGCCAGCGATCCCACCGTCGTCGTCTTCGTCGAGGAGATTCGGCTCGTCTGCAGCTACACGCCGCGCTGCGGATTGTTTGGCTCGATGGAAGGTGAGGACGTCGCGTGGGTTGGCGAGTTTACCGGTGAATTCTTGGCCGAAACGGATGGGGTTTGACATGGAGGGGACGCCTGTTGTGTCGACCTGTGTGCGTGTACAATCGAGTTTAAGTGATTCTGAGGACCTACACGAAGGAATGCTGAATGAGCCGTACCTTGAGACGGACAAGAGGGAGCATGGAAGGAATGGGATCGTCCCCTGCCTCTGTGGCTTCCTGGTTCCTCTCTTGCCAAGTATCATTAGCTTTTTGGATCAGCTCGTTGACCTGTTAGCATATTTCTGTTAACACGATGCAGGAGGTAACGAGATAGGAAGACCGGGTGCGTACGCGTCCTTTAAGATACTTCGTAATCTCCATCTGGTCCGTCACATCAAATCCGACCTCCTCAGCGACCTCCGTCAACACCACCTCATCCATCACAAACGGTCGTACTGTCCGCAGAGGAAGCGGGGTCATCTGGAATTCCTTGCCTTGGATCTTTAGCAACGCGACATGTCTGCAAGAGTGAGCAGTCAGCTACGAACAGTAGGACATGTATGTGGAGATAGGATACTCGCTTTTCTATTGACTCGCCCTCTGCAAGTGATGTGGCGACGGACGATCCGGGTTGAGAGATGAAGTAGCGTTTCCCGGCAACTGGTTCTGGGACTATACGACAGTCATGCTCGTGGCCCCATATAACGAGGTCGACACTATCATCGAACATGCCCTCTGGTACAGACTCTTGCGGCCCGTGCCTCACACTGAATGTGGAGAAAAAATTAGAGAGAAAAATACTGAACTCTTGAGAAAGGGGAACAAACCGGTTCTGATGCAACAACAGCACGTTGAACCACTCGTCCTTATCCTTCGGCATATACATCCTAACCCTGTTGCTCCGCAACTCAAAATGCATCCTCGCATCCTTCACATTTCCAATCCCGTACAGCCCCAAATGCGTGTTTCCTTTCTTCAACAACACCGGCCTCACAGCGATCCCGTCCTGCTCAGCGGCGGAGGCAGCTGCGTTGGCACTAGAGAGTGGGAGATCGAGTTTGCCGATGTAGTTGACGAGACCGGAGACGGAAAGCATGTCGAGGGCACAGAGCGCGCCTTCTGGCCCTGCACCCTGTGGGTCGTCGTGGTTGCCGTGGATGGAGAAGACGGGAATACCGACGTTGAAGTTACGGTCTTCGTAGTTGATGGCGGGAAAACTAAAAGGTCATGCCAGGTAAGTCAGACTTGGAGTCTGGGAAAGATCATTGTGCTTACGAGTAACCGGCTGCCTTTCCGTCATTTGGGTCGCTCAAGAGCTCCATTTCTACGGGCTTGGTGCCCATTGTGTATTCTCGCAGGAGGCCCATGACTTGGTAGAGACAATCTCGAGACGGTCGATTCTCGTGAAAAAGGTCTCCAGCGAGTAAGATGAAGTCAACCTAGAGAGATCATGAGCACCCATCATAGAAATAACCTCCACAGCTTTTGAAATGGGGTGCACCTCGTTCTTGACCGCAAGCTGCAAGATTTCTCGGAAAGTATTGATTGAGTCCTGGCCTCGTATGGGATCGCGTTCATTGTATCCGATATGATTGTCGGTGGCGAGTAGGATTTTGAACGTGTCGTCGGCATCTACATGAATAAATGGCGCCATACTTCAGAACACAGCTCGGTTATGGAAATGATAGAACGGGAACAACTTACACTCCTCTCCGATGGTGGGTGGTGGTAGCGCATGTTCTTCATCGTCACTCATATCGAGGATTGAGGGTGGGAGTTAGGCCTTCAGTAAATGGTCTATAAGCCAACAGCAGTAATATCTTGAGATCACCACTTTACACTGTAGCGGAAGTTGTCGAGGGGCTAAAGACAGCGAAGTCAGCTTTCATCAATATTGTCGTCCCTACTTCAGTGGACGATGAAACGAGGATCACTGGAGCAAGACGGCAACTGCTCGACACCAAGCGCAGAAAAAAACAATGACAATCATCATAGTTGCATAGTGTGTGCATCGTTCCAGTGTAACGCCATTACAAGGCAGCAGTTGAGGAGTGTCGTGGCGCCACATGACTGTGATTGTTCCCAGCTCAGGTAGCGCCATCCAATTTATGCAGGAGCTATGCATAAAGCAAGATAACACTGACTTACAGATAACTCGTAGGGAGAATGTGACGATGTGAAGGACCCAAGCAAATGTCTCTTTTGTGTCCTGAACGAGTCAGAGACGTGACCGTGTGCGTGAAAGCGAAGTCCTAGAAAGTCTGGTGAAGGTATTCTGAGAAGAAATGGAGCTGTATATTCAGCTTTAATGTGCTACACAGAACCGAAAGGGCACGTACTGAGCAGAGCACAAGGGTGGCGAGGATGACAGAGAGGAAGGAGCGTCAAATTCAAGAACAGCGTCGCGTCGCGTGAAAGCGCGTTTCTTACGTAACCCACGCGCTTATTCCAGACGCCGCCCCTTGCTAAACCCATTTTGTCCGCAGTACGCACAGCACCAACAAAGCGCCCCGCGCTCGTCCTCGGTCGGGCTGTTGTTGATATCTTCATCGCCCATCCTTACTCGTCTTCCACTATAATCAGTACGACTCTTGGCTCTTAGAATTGCCGTAATATTCAAAGGCGACCCCATTCTCACGGCTTCTCCATCGCTACGCGGTTCAGACACTTTCTTCCGATTCAACCTTTCTGAGAGACAGTCAAGATGGCACAGCCCAATCCCCATCCGCCGAATCGTATGCAAGTCGTACGTGTCAAGTCGTTGAGCTACTTGGTTCATCTTCCAAAGATTTCTTCACATGGCAGGCCGGTACCGTTTCGTTCTATTTAGTCGCTGCATTAGCGGTACGTTTAGTTGTCCTTTTTGCGTCTCGAAGTATTGCTCATCTACATTACTTCTGCTTTGCACCAGATGGTGATGGCGTACTACCGTTCCTCGTCTAATATGTGCTTTCGCTGACCTGACACTGCTGCTCTCTGTGCAATAGTAATAAATGGGTGCTCGACGTCACCACCGCCCCACTTTTCTTTCTCTTCACACAACTACTCATCGCCGTCGTACTCTTCCTCGGCGCCAACGCCGTTGGGATCATCAAAATACCCATCCACGTCGACATGATAGTGATCAAGGGCCTCGCACCTATGATCGCACTCAACGTCGTTGGCCTCAGGTGCGCCGTCCTCACCTCGCACTCGTAGACTTGTCCAACTCACACACGGTCCCGACTGTCCGCCGAAATACAGTGCCAACAATTATACCCTCAAATTCGTCGATGCATCTTTCTACCAAGTCGCTCGCGGCCTCGTCCTCCCACTCACCGTCCTAACCTCATACCTCTTTCTCTCCTCGCCACCACCGTCACCCCGAATCCTCCTCTCATGTACCCTCGTTACCTGCGGCTTCTTCATCGGCGTATTCCTGGATCACACTCCCGTTTCTCCCCTCGGTCTTTTCTTCGGTATCATCAGTAGTGCTATGACGGCGTCACACGCCGTGGTCATCAAGAAGAGCTTAGAGGTCGTGGGCGGGAGTGCTCTGAATCTGAGTTATTACTCGAATTTATTGAGCGCGTTGGTGTTGTTGCCGTTAATTGTTGTGGCTGGTGAGGGACCGGAGGTGATGAAGCTGTTGGTGGGCGAAGGCGACGGTTTCAAAACAATTTTCTGGGGGTCCACCATCACGGTATGCATTTTCTTATTCTTTCTTGTAGTGCTGTACTAACGTTCTGTTGTGGAATGATGTTTGCGTCCGGTACAGGGAGGTCTCGGATTCTTGATGTCCATTGCAAGCACGCTCTCCATCAAGATCACGTCGCCCATCACACACATGATTTCGTCCGCTATTCGAGGCGTCGCGGCTTCTCTTCTCGGGATGTGGCTCTTCAAAGATGTCCTTTCTTCGTACGTTATACTTGTCTAAGGTTTGGTTATTGTCCAAACGCTGATTATCGTGTTGTCGTTTTCCGATGTGTAGGGGCCGTGTATGGGCCATCGCCGTCATTCTGTTCGGATCACTTCATTACACCTGGGTCAAGCACATCGAGTCCCAACAACCATCCGCTAAGGCAGCTTCAAAAGCATCGTATGACAGGATACCACTAAGCGACCTCGAGGAGGCCGAGGAAGGGAAGCGCGGGATAGAAGAGACGAATGGGAACGGAAGAGCTCACTGAGCGTCCGTTTGCTGACACTGACTACAGGAGAACAGCGGAGGATGAGAGATGGTGGGAGCATGCTATCCACAGTGACGGGGAGCCTACACATTGATAATTGACCGAGATGGAACAATGGACGGTATGGATCGGATAGTATTTATTCGAAGAACGCTGTGTGTGCTATTCTATCTCGACGTCTCGATAATGCATATGCTTTTGATTTGTTCCACTTTCTGAGGGCCACACCACCAGTCATGATAGGGGCGTGCCACCCCCGGTTCTACGGCTCGTCCGGGCCGGTACGTGAACACCGTTATCCGCGCTGCTTGAATTCGCAGTCCTTATCCTCCGCCGAGCTCGTCGTCGCACACAACGTCCAACCTCACGTTCAAATCGCACCAGCGCTCTCACCTCGCCCAACGCTAAATAAAATTATGTCAAATTCCAGCCCACTCCTCAACCTACCCCTCGAACTTTTCCTCCCAATCCTCTCCCTCTCCCTGGCCTCCCACCCGACGCCCTCCCACGTCCTCCGGGTTTCCTCCCAAATTCACACACTCTCCTCTCACATCCTCTACAAACACCTTTACTTCCGCTCTCCAGATGTCATGGTGAAGTTTATAGAGAATGGGAAACCCTCGCGGAGGCCTCGGAGTGTGGTTGTTGACTTGGCCGGGGGTGCGGTCGGAGGCGGGGCGTTTCGGGCATTGAGAGGGGTGTTTGAGAAATGTTTGGCCGTGGCGGATGAGGATGTAGACGCAGATTTGGGTGAAGATGCGAGTGGAGGGAGGAGAGGAGAGGGTGGAGAGAACGGGAATGGAGAGTGGAGGTTACCGTTGGAGCTTTTGAAGTTGAGGTTGCATTCGACTAGCAATTCGAATACGGATGATATTTCGCTGAGTGCATTGGGACTTGTCAAGTGAGTTAACCTTCGATGCTTTACTACCTGTAGACGTGTCTCATGACCTGTCCCGTACCACAGTCCAGAAACGTTCATATGGACTGGACCAGATCCAGCGCACCATTTCTCTATCGCTGTAAGTTTCTACTTTGTTCATTCCCCCACATCACACCCTGAAAGGACTATCACCTCAATAGCCACGCTCACGCTTACCTACAGATCGTCCCCACCGCGTTCCGTGCCCTCCAATTCCACTCCGCAAACTGGACGAACCTCACATCTCTCCACCTCTCCAACATCGCCTTCCCCTCCTCATCCTCCCCAGGTATCCCACCCGTCCCAGTCAAATTCGGCCACTCACAACCAAGCATATCAACGTCCGTCGTACCTCCTTTGCCCATTCCAGGACAAGACGCCAGTGCAGGAACGGGGATAGAGGTCTTGTTTCCTGGAGGGACGCCGAAGTTGAAGAGACTATATATCGGACAGGCGACATTCGTCCCGTTAGGGGCGTTGTCGGCTTGGATATGCGATAAAGACGCTTTTTCTGACCTAGATGTAGAAGGCATGGATAGAATTAGAAGGGAGCGGGATACTACGGCTGGAGAGCTGGAGAGCGTAAGACTAGTCGACTGTTATGTCGAGAGCATATGGGGCTCTCGAGTTCGGAGATCAGATGTCGAGCGTGCGGCTTGCGACCTTCCTCTCTTCGCCTCTGAGAGCACCTCTTTCTCCTCTGCATCTCATCCCCACAGCTTTGTACCAGGAAATAAAGTGTCGTACTCATTCGACTCTGGGATCGGATTGGAGGAAGAGGATTATACAGAAGTGGAAGCGAGGAGGCGCAGGAGGGATAGGGTGGTGGTGAAGGTGAGGAGGATAGTTACTTGTGAGGCTGTTACGGAGAGGATTATGGGCGGGGATAGGGTTGAGGCCGACGGGAGGATGATGCTTGAGTGATCGTTGAGCATCAAAACAGGACTCGAAGAAAGACTGGACGCTTTAGGAAATTGCCTGTTGTGGCATGTTGCGTTGTAGTGACGCGCGAGCGCGCGGTGATGCGGAGAATAGGGGCATATGTCGGTCGGTTCATCTTTAAAGTTTTAGCCTGGAGGGTCAAGGATAATAGAAGGGATGCGGTTGATTATTATATTTGTAACCATATTGGAACTGCCTAGATTGTATGGCTGTGTATTCACCATGGAAGGAAGGAAGGATAGAGCAACTGAGGACAGCTAATTATCGGTGACAAGTGTTGGACAGTCCATGGCCAGCGTTCCGCGGAAGTCAAGACTAGTATACGGCATACCATGCCAGGATATATCTAAGAGATGCATTCCATAAAACAACGAATCAAGCCCACGAGAGCCCGACGATGTCCAGCCACCACAAGTCAGCAACTATCTGGAAGGCGAGGCGCACGAACGATACATACAAATACACAGCACCATCAGGCATAAACAAAAAAGCATACAACCAAAACCTCTCCTCTTCAAATGCCCATTCTATACATGATCACGCCCTTCACAGATCCTTTGAACGACCCGAGAACCCTTCCCTCTGCTATGCCGTCACGTTAATACCTTCATGATGACGCCGTCGGCGCCGAAGAAGCCCTCCCCGCCCTCTCAAACGCTCCATCCGTAAGCTCGTACGCAGGCCTATAAATTCCCTCCTCTTCTTCCTCGCCTGCTCCACACGGATTCCCATTCCCATTTCCAACAACCTCGATCTTTCCTCCTTGACCCATCACAAACCCATTCGGCAACACTTTGTCCGGCCCATCAGTATCGTAGCATGTCTCCCCCGGCGACTCGATGATGTGCAGACTGCTGAAGTCCGGCAACGGTATACTGTCGTGCCTCTGCCTATTTTCGGCGCCGTTGAGTTTGGGTGTGTCGTTGGTCTGGGTGGCAACGGGGTCCCCGCACGTCGTCTCTGGGTCTTCTAAGACGTGCAGTGTATTGACATTCGGAAGCTCAGCGCTCACAGGTGTGGCGGGTGCGGTTGAAGAAGGAGCCGTAGAGGCAGAGGCAGAGGCAGAGGCAGAGGCAGAGGCAGAAGTAGAATCGGCCTTGTGGCGCGGACAATCACAGTCTGGTGCGCATGTCCTGGAGGCATCATAGGAGAGTACGGTGAGAGATGCCATGGAAGGCAAGGGGTCGGATTTCTTTGGGGTCATTTGTGGGACTGGTGTCGATGGGTTGGATGAGGAGGATGAAGGCGAGACGCGGAGGGCGGGGTTGCGGAAGGTGTTGTAGGTAGAGCCAAGGGAAGTATAGCTGTGTTCGTGGAAGGGATAGGGGTAAGATCCGGGCAATCAGGTTAGGTTTGGAGCGAGTAAAGATAGAAATGGAGCGGAAAGGGGTGTAGAGTCGAAGTATTTTGAGCACGTACCCCTCGTCGTACAGCGAACAATACGGTACGTTGAGCCGTCGGAGGAACGTCCAGATGTTAGCGTAGGACCAGTTGATGATGGGATGTATACGAGTGAACGACGCCCAGTTCTTGTCAGTCTTGTTCTGATATCCTAGCGTGGCTATAGGACACAAATAAAAGATGCCGGAACAATACAAAGCCAGAGTAGCTCAGCTAGGACAGAAACGAGGAGAAGGAGATAGACAACGAGAACGCACCTCCATGTGGATCCGTCCTCCTCGTCCCAATGAATATTCCCTCGATCCCCGGAAACTTCTCCTTATAAATTTCGAGCGCCAACCTCATACCCTCTCCACCCTTGGACTTCACATTCGTCGAACTGTCGACCTTCTCACCCTTCGCGTTCGTCCCCTCCACCGAGACGCTCTCCACAGTCTCTTCCTCCACCGGCGGCACACATCTGAATATGTCCAACTTGTACGCTTTGGCTGCGTCGTCTATGAATGTTTCGAGGGCGGGGAAGGGGGAGGGCATAGGTATGTATAAGGTTGGAATCTTGGAATAGGTATTGCCTGGAGATCTGCGTGCGAAGGCGGCGGCGTAGAGGTGGAGGAGAACGGTACAGTCTTTGCCTCCGTTAAAGCTGAGAGAGACCTTGTCCAAGCTACCAGTTGATGCAAACAGCTTATAATCAGAGTGAATATTAGTATGCAGATGAATGAAGACAAACCCGAAAGCATCGAGTGCTTGGTCTATGACCGTCAGCGCTTCATGTACTAGCGGAGCGATAGGCTCATTGGACGAAGCGAGAGCGTATACCTCCTCTGCGACGACCTTAGGGTCAATATCGGGGATAGTCATAGCGGTCTGTGAGATGACTGGTGCGAAAGGATGAGGAGCTAGAGTGAAGGACCTGAGGTGACGTTGATTTCTATCCTTGCGGCCGGCAAGTGATTGTCGCCACAGTGGCCACCGACGCCGTTATGAAGCTCACACGTGCTGCCACGCCACGCAGACGCCCATATCCTCCGGCTTTCTGGGTTTCCAGTCCTCTGAGACATCAGCATACCAAGTTCAGAGCCTGTCAAACGTTACCACTGAGTCGGAATGAGGAAAACATTACGTCGAAGATGCACACCATAGCCCCTGAATCACACAAAGCGTCATAATCCAAGAAAGCATCGTGTATATACTCCTATAGCATGAGAGACTCGAACGAAGCGACAGCATTAACATAGCACAATAACATATACATATGTTACAAGCGACCGAATTGCAACATGGTCACCTCATAAAACAAGAAAGTCGACAGCAAACCACGATCCATCCACACGTTCTGTCAAGAGGATCCCCCACCGTCCTCCTGAGGTGTCCTCCCTCTCGGTACTTCCCTAACCATGTCATGGTCCACGATACTCCTTGAATAAGCCTTATCGTCCCGGGACCCCTCGTCCTCATCGCTATCAGAGGACACAGACGATCGTGATTTCCGCACAGATTCATCCTCTCCCTTAGACTCGCTCCATGGCTGCCACGCCAATTCTGGCTTGTCGTGAGCACCCGCATGGCTACTATCGTCATCTGAGTGCGCTGAGCGAAGAGATTGGTCGGATGATGCCATGGACGTCGACTGGCCAACATTGCTCGGTGAGTTGGAGCCTGATCCCGTTTCGAAGTCGGAGAGGATGATATCGTTGTAGGTGCGCTGGGATACGTGGGCGGGGCCGTAGATAGTTATGCGAAGGTTGAGGGTTACACGGCATATGAGGACGGTTGTAAGGCTAGAATAAATAGAGAAGAGATATTGAGAGTGAGTGTGTTATGCAAAGATGGTAAACCGTACCACGACGATGGTCTGTGGACGGCAAAAAAGGAGGATCATCAGCGAAGGACAACTGGAGCCAAGGCAACTTGCAAGTGGAGCATTACATACATTGCAAGAACAGCTCTTAAGTTCGTAGGTGCATGCAAGATCATGATGACCCAGGCAAGATTTATTGAGAATATGGCTCTGCAAAGATTGTCACAGGTTTTTTAAGCAGTGAAATTCACTTTCAGCAACATTTTAACCGAGATATTACTCACGCAAAATACAAGGCGCCGTCCGTGATCAAGTTATCGATGAGACAGCTTGACTTCTCGCCAATCATGGCGGGAAGGTTGGTAAGGTGCATGTAGGTCGTGCGACAGATAGTAAGAACGAAGACAAGGGTATCGAAGGCCAGTTCCATGAAGAGGTAAATTGTAGAACTCCTTCGCGCCTTAGGTGGAAGATATATACAGACTGTTCATATTACGATGCACGCCGGTCAGAGAGTTTAAGTCATGAGACACGGAGGGGAGACATACAGTGGTACTGATAATTGTCCAGTGGATCGGGAGCCGCTGGGCCCACAAAACAATTAGTATGGAGTAGACGATCCGATGAAAGCGGTGTATCTTACGTGTTCCTCCATGTTCGGTCCATTGCCATACACCGATGACGGTTTGGGCAGCCAGAAACGACGATAGAACGAAGATTATGAGTTTATTGCGATTGTACAGTGCCCACACTCTATCGATGGCCGATCAGGATCTCTGGCTTAACGAGAAGGACAAAGAGGTGGACAACGAACCGAAACATCATGAGCACACCAGCCGATACCATCAAGGGTATTGAAACTCCCACTGTCGCGAAGTACATCCATCTCTCGCACCTTTCTCTGAGTTAGCGCAAGGTAGTGAATGGAGGACATGACAAAACGTTGGCTTACTTGGAACGATTGATCGAGGTTGAAAAAAAGCCTAAACTTGTCATTAGCTAAGGACACAAGCAATGGCTCATCATTATCCAGAATGAACACACCATAGAAAACAACGATCATCGCAAGAGGAGAATAGTAGCGAATCTTGCAAAGGGGAACGGCGTAGGTTAGACGAATCCGAAAATTCCGGCACGGAAGCATCGTAATTAAGACTCACAAAAAGAAATATCCAGAGAACTGGTCACCTATGAGCTGTGCATCAATCATGTGGAGATTTTGAATGAACATACTGTGGTTTTTCCTCTTCTTCCAGACACCGTGTACCTTCGTGTTCGATTTGAAGTTGATGACAGACTAGTTGAGCACCGGAAAAGCCATAAAATGTAAAGCGTACGCACCTCTTCTGACAGAGTACAAGCATGATCCCAGAAGAGAATTGTGAAAGCAGCGAGGAAGAGAAACTTGCCCGCCTGACTACACCGGGCGGCGAACACACGGTAAGTACTTGAGTTCAACTATGCAGACGATTGGACGCACGTACATCTGCTTTAAAACATCCTCTATCTCCTGAAGTGGTTCAAGGATCCCGTCCGTCGTATTAAATACGGTAGAAAGGTTGCTCATGAAGACGGAGTTGGGTAGCTTCAGTCCAAGACTCGATCGCTAGAACATCGAAACTTGAACAGAGTAGAGATCTTCTCGGGTGGTCAGTCAAGCAAGAAGGCGTAAAGGTCGTGGGTCGTGACTAGAATCGTGAAACGAAGCTATAAGGAAGTAAACTGTGCGGGAAAAAGCACAAAAATAAGCCAAGGCTAGCTCTTGGCCGACCGCACGCTCTCAGAGACAACGTTCAGCGGAGTCTCAAATCTGCTCTGGCGTTCCAAATCTGGTTCCGTCCATTGCCGACGGACGATCATTCGACCTTCACATGACAAAGGGTCACTTCGTCGGTCGGAGTGCCACCGCCACCAAGTCCAGATCTTGGCCAGTTTGGGTTACAACCAACACAATCAGAGTTATGCAGCGACAAAATCGCCAGCATTCATGCATCATGTCTAGAGCGTCTGCTCTACGTAGAAATATGGTCACAGAGTGTACACAAACCTCGGATGCCTATCCCCCAGTCTCTTCCTCTCCTGCTTCGAATCCCACCCACCAGGCTCCTTCCCTTCCCCCTTTTCTCTCACCAACCTGTCCACTTCATCTTTCTTCCCTTGATTACGTTTTGATAGATCCCACATGACGACAGCAGAGAAGAACGCCATGGCGAGGGCGAAGGCGAGATTTGTGGCGGACGCGGTGGGGTATCTTGGTGAGTCGGTGAAGAGCCATGTAGAGACGATGCCTTGAATCAGGAACGTAGTGAGATGAAAGTTCAAATGGTTGTGCTCGGTTTGGGATTAGATCACTGTACATACCACCCATGTTGGTGCTGATGAAACCGAATGCAACGGCCGTTGCTCTCCTGTAATGCGGCTGGACATTGTTGGGGTTCCATGTACACAGACAAGGGGCAGCAGAGTAAATCCCTGTGATCTGGAGGAACAGCGCGGCATAGTCTGCATGTACGTTTGATGTTGCTGGTAAGGATTGCGAAAATACTGTCAGACTCTTTCAAGATATCTTCTAACAAAGAGCTGAACAGACCTCTGAAGAGTGCGTATCCGGCGGTGGCGATCAAGCAGACTAAGATGGTTACAGGGCCCCGCATTCCCATCCTGTCGGAGAACCACGAACAGACCAAACTGACGACGAATGAACAGGCGTATGGCGGTACCTAAATGTTAGGTATATAGTCAATACGACGTGCCAAACATTACATACTCATCCGTGATCACTCACGGTAAGCAGCTGGGTGCGGACGGTGTCATACCCGAGGGACTTAACAATCGTGGGCGTACTATAACAGGCACGAGAAGAGTCAGAGAAACGCACATTGGTCGGGAAGTCAGAATAACCTACAAGTTTGCGAGTCCATAAAGCTAAAAGAGACAAAAAGATCAGTATTAGCCACAAAGGATGCTCATGTGATGTCAGAACTCACGGTAAGTCCCAGCCCGAACAGCGGGATGCAGATGAGCAGCACATGAGGTGCATTGACTACGACGCTCCAAACCTCGCTCCAACTAAACTTCTCATCATCCTCTCCCTCGTCCTCCACATCTCCGCTCCAATCCTCCGCCAAGGCGCGAATGTAAACCTCTCTTTCATGTGGCGTGAGGAGACCGACGGCAGAAGGCGTAGCGGGAATCCACAAGAGACTGACGAGCCCGAAGACGGTGGTAAACAAACCCTCCTATTTTTGCCACAGCCGTACCATATTAGCACATGAGCGAGCTATATGAGAAATAGAGCTTACGAGCACAAAAATCCAAGCCCACCCTCCCAGACCCCGCATACCATCCATATTCTGAATAGCGGCAGCCAGTAATCCGGAGAAGGCACCAGCAAGAGAGGTAGTACTGAACATCATAGCGAAGCGAAATTGCATGTCATGGCGTTTGTAGAAATTGGAGAGATAGAGAGTGATTCCCGGGAAGAGACCACCTGTCGCGAATATAATGAAATTAGCCAGGCAGAAGACAAAATATAGGGTAAGCCAAAAAGGTGGGTACACTTACCCTCGAGCGCTCCAAGGAAGAATCGGCAGACAAGGAGGCCGCTATAAGATTTTACTGCACCTGGATGGGCAAAGCGAAGACAGTCAGACCACTTCAGGTATCTTGCAATGAGACTTTTACCTTGACAAGCACATACCATGCCCCACAGGATTACCATGACAGGCAGCGTAACATTGGCTCCAAGACGTTTCATGAGCAAGTTCATAGGTAGTTCCATGACGATATATGGTACACTATCAAGACAGAGCGAGTAAGTGATACCGCCTGAGCTCAGGTAAGAAGCAACAGATGCAGCAACGCCGTAAAAGAGCAACCACGTACTAGGTGATGGTGAGAGCGACAGAAAACTGATGGTCCGTCATCCCGAGGTCCGTCTGCAGACCTGCAATGCGAGCATTCCCAATATTTCTAAGGGCGGAATCAGCATGCAGGTATTCGAAGACAAGAATTCAACGAATCCACTCACGAACGATCCAAGAAGGACAGCAGATAATACATAGCAACAATGGGGATAATCGCAAGGTCCATCTTCCACAAGGCTCTTCTTGCTACTTTTGCGTCTTCAGACGATAGACCTTCAACATCCTTCTCGAATTTCTCCTTCTCATAATCAGGTGAGGCGGCCGTGGTAGAGGCGAGGGACGGAACCATTGGCGAATGTGAACGCGTGGGTGAGCCAGCCATGATGATTGGCTAGGGTAAGAGGATCTTTGCTATGAATTTTCCAGCTTTTAGTGAGGATGAAGGGCGAAGGGATCGAGAGGGGGAGCGGAGGACAGGACGGCAGTCAGGGAATGAGTCGAAAGATCACAGAGTATTTGAACGGATGGACATCTCGTCCGCCGAGTCATATTGCGACTAGCCACAGGCCAGAGCAGACGCAGGCCACTTGCGAGAAAATGTCCTGGCGGGACAATTTCAGCGAGGAGCTACTCAGCTAAGTGAGCGGATGAATGGAACGTCCGTGCGGGGTACGGCGGCGGACTTTATCTGAATACCCGGACGAGTCGTTCCGCGTTCTTCAAGGCACGGAACCCAAATACAAATCAGAGCGCTCGGAATCCGTGATATAACTGGCTCCTTTGCGACTGACACGTTTACCCGGCGAAGAGTCTTCTCCCTCCTCCAGGTTTGGTTTTCGTAAACTACCTCCCAAAGTCATGCTCTGGCATCAGGATCATAGGTAGGAAAGCTGGACGGATGATAAGCAAAATGAACATGCTGGACTATTTGATTGCGGGTTACGAAATAGGACCCGTTTTCCGTCCTTCCGTCCGAACAACAGCGAAATGTCGGCCGACGTTCATGCAGCAGAAATGTGGCCCAGATACATCGAACTGTGGACAGCTGTGGACCGATATCTACTGGGAACGGTATATGTGGCTACCGTCGTCGATGTAGGCTAGGCCTGACTGAACCTCTAAATGGCTCTGTGCGGCCAAGTCAAGGGAGGAAGAAACTCCTCTACTTACGCTCGAGGATTTGGTGCGGTTCTGACGCATTGCGCGGTTTATTCAAGTTGTCGCATCACGCATTGACTCTCTACAGGATATTGTCCATTCAGTGGTTAAAAACAACAAACCCACCTGTATGTGTGTATGAATTTACTTAGTCCAATCTAACAAGCTTCCCGCAGCTCACATCGTTATATCACCACAAACCCGCTTTCATGCCAGTCTCTTGGATAACTTGCGAACAAACAGGCAGCCCTTACTTCGCAATGGCGGCGACCTCGTAGAGGTACGTTCCAAGCAGCTTGGTCTAGAAGTGAACCCGAATCAGCGAAAATGTACTATGAATGGGAAGCATGACGAGTTGTTTACGCCTTCGATGAAATTTGACTTGTCGAGCTTCTCGTTTGTCGAGCTACAAGGTATGGTTTGAAGTCAACAGAGAGAAGATAATCCACAGTCGAGCAATGGACATACTGAGCACCATCGTCGCCCCTACCCATCTGCAGAAGAAGGATGTTCACCCCGAGTGCGTCCGCAAAGGTCAAGGTGATTGGAATGGATCCTCCCTCCCTCGTAAGGTCGGGAGTTTTCTTATAAATTAGCTAGAGTCCATGACACGAATATCAGAAAATCGACATTTTCAAGGCGGAGAAGAGTGTGCACACCTCTGTTGCCCGCTTAGCAGCTTCGTAATTCCAGTGTTTATGATTCTCGACCCAGCCCTTGCCGCCGTGCAACTGTTCGATAGTAAGTTTATTCTTCGTTCCAAGTTTCTTAAACTCTTCCTCGACGTGTTTGACTATCAGCGAGTACACCTTCTCCGGCGTTTGCGGCGGGACGAGGCTGTGCGTATAGAAATCAGGATGGAATCATAGCGGTATGCAGCTGTGAATCGCACATACCGAATACTGAACTTGCCTGACACCTTAGCAGGAATGACGGTTCTGGAACCAGCGTCACCCTCAATGCCGTGAAGGGACAAAGCGGGATAACGCATGCGACCCATGAGAACGCTTGACTTATCATCGCTGAGCGCGACAGGGGCCCCAGCGGCCTCCTCGACATCCTGAACAGAATAGTCAAGCTTATCATAAATGGCCCTATTGTGGTTCCAGTGTGTTCAATACACAAAGCATAAGACACGAGGACAGACAACATACCTCTCCTCTTCGTCAGGCGGGGGAACCATCTCGTCCACACCCGGGATGAGGATGTTACCCTGAGTGTCCACAAGCTTGCTCATAAGAAGAATAAGGTCCGTCATGGGCTCGTGGACTGTCCGACCAAATACACCAGAATGAAGATCCTTCGCGGGGCCCTGGACGGTCATTTTGACATAGGAAATTCCACGAAGACCGTAGGCGAGGCAAGGCGTGCGAGTATTGAGCCAATAGCCGTCCGAAATGCATACACAGTCAAGGCCGTCGAACCATCCATCCTTTCCTTTTCCAACTTCAGAGACAACTAGGTCATTTAGGCCTATGCTCCCACTCTCTTCCATGCCCTCGAAACAGAATCGAAGGTTGACAGGAAGTGGCATGCTCAGTTCGTGGTGGGCTTGGAGGATGTTTATCCAGGCGAGAACAGGACCTTTGTCGTCCGAGGATCCACGACCATAAAGACGACCGCTTTCCTTGTCGTATGTGAGCTTGAAGGGTGGGTATGACCAATCATCAGAGAGCTCTGCCTGCGGGTCACGATATAAATAAGAGTACAACCACTGAACTAACACGAGCATAAAAGTACACGCACGGGCATAACGTCGAAGTGGCCATATATTAAGACCGTCTTCTTGTTCTTGTCGTTCCCGATGCGTCCCAGAATCACTGGAGGGAGTTCGAGCTCTTGTCCATCCATGACATGATTCCCAAGGGGCATCTGCTTGGTTTCTACGCCGTACGACTTGAGCTGATTCTCAAGGAAATCGGCCATACGAACGACATCCTGACGGCGATATGGGTCGCCCGAGACACTAGATTAGACACCAAGGTCATCAGTCGGCTACTAAACACGGCAGAGATTGTGAAGTTTGAACCACAAGCCGAGATGCAAACCTCGCATGTTCACACACAAGGGGAGTGAGCAGGTGTGTAAAATACGAGATTCTGCTTACCTCGGGATTTCAACAGCCTCTGAAAGACGCCTGATGAAATTCTCCTCGTTCTTGTCAACATACGAGAGAAATTCAGGTGGTGCTGGCATGTTTGACGCAGAAGGAATCTGAACTAAGTTGTTCAAGACCAAAAAGGGTGTGTATGGCAAGGAACGAAGGAGGAAAGTTGCATTTAACGTGGGCCTGGATCTAGACTAATACTTTATATCTGTGATCAGTGCTCGCGCAAAGTACTTAGACGCGGAGGCCCTGGCATGGCCGCATTGAGGCTTGGTTGACCGCATTGAGCCACATCAAAGGCCACCTCAGCGTCCGAGCCGGCCGGCCGGGTAATAATCCCTTTCTCAACTCCTTCCGACCCCTACGACGGTGTCTCTGTTTTGAAACCACGATGGTACGAGTTATTCTCCCATTCTCTGCCGCTTCGCAATAGCCAGGCATAGGCATGTCATTTACTCCGGCATAGCCATCCTCCAACCGTTAATAGCCCCTACATGGATGAAAGTTTGAGACTCCCGGAGGCGAGCCTCGCCGTTACTTGTTCCTTTACGATCATGACCATCACCAGTACAGTGGCTAGTGTACCGATAGTTCTGTGGTCCACGAAATCAATGGGACATTGATGTCGCTCAAGTGAGTTGCCAGAGTGCAGAAGGAACGACGTAATAGGCGATGGTAGAGAGTGCGTAGCTTAAATTCACTCACGATCCGGAAAAGACAGAAAATAACATATAAGAACGATAGGACTAAAAGAAAGCTCCACTTTCCACAGAACTTCTTCTTGCGACTTCTGCGTTTTCAGACGTCTCGCCCGTCTCCAAAATTTTATTCTCAGAGGCGTATTGAAGTAGAGCGGCTGTAGTAGCAGAGGTGAAATGTAATCGCTGGCGAATGCGAGCCTGTAGGTGAGCCAGCCATAATGGACAATGATGACACGAGAAGGGTGACGGTCAGGAAATGTGTGGGAGGATGGCAAGATGTATTCGAACGGACAGCAGCTGGTCATCTCCTCCACCCGATTGCGACGAGCCACAGCCCAGAAATGAGAATCAGTGTCGGCAGGGCCCATGGTCCATTCACTGTTTATAAACAACGCACTCACATACATACAGTTTTTCGGATTCAGTGTGGATACAACAAACATCTTCGAAAAATATCCCTACAAACGTGCCCATTTCATTCTGTCCACGGTCTTCGCTGTATTCGCATGAGAAGCCTTTCTCTATTTGGTGATAGCGGCGATCTCGTAGAGGTAGGTTCCGAGAAGCTTAGTCTGAGCGTGAATGTGAATTAGGGAAATATCATTGTGAGTAGTAGGGGGTTGCTTACGCCCTCGATGAAGTTCGACTTGTCGAGCTTCTCGTTAGTAGAGCTAGATGGTAAATTTCAACTTCAGCGGCGTAACGACACCCGCAGCCATGCAATAAGACGTACTGAGCACCATCGTCGCCTCTGCCCATCGGCAGAAGAAGGACGTTCACACCGAGTGACTCCGCAAAGGTCAACGTGACGGGGATGGAACCACCCTCCCTAGTGAGATCAGGGGTTTGGTTGTAGATGAGCTAGCATCCCACCTGTATCAGTAACGGCGATGGCTCAAAATTAAACCTAAGGTGCAGACCTCTGTTGCCTTCTTGGCAGCTTCGTAGTTCCAGTGCTTGTGGTCCTCAACCCACGGCTTGCCGCCGTGCAACTCCTCTATCGTGAGCTTGTTCTTCGTCCCAAGTTTCTTGAACTCTTCTTCGACATACTTGAGCACCAGCGGGTTCACCAAGTCGGGCGTCTGTGGCGGTACGAGACTGTATACGTAGAAATATCAGAATAGAAGTGCGCTAGCGCGTTGTAGCGAAGGATTCATACCGGATACTGAATTTGCCTGACACTTTGGCGGGAATTACGGTCTTAGCACCAGCACCGGAGAAAGCGCCCTCAATACCGTGAAGGGAAAGGGAGGGATAGCGCATGCGGCCCATGAGTACGTCTGACTTCTCGGAGCTGAGGGCAATGGAAGCACCGGCGGACTCCTCGACGTCCTGAATGGAGTAGTCGAGCTTCTCGTAGATAGCCCTATTGTGATGGGATAGTATACATCCAAGTTACTCGGAAGCAATGAAAATAAGAGGATAAACGGCGTACTTCTCTTCCTCCTCCGGCGGGGGGACCATCTCGTCAACGCCGGGGATGAGGATATTACCCTTGGTGTCCACAAGCTTGCTCATAAGAAGGACAAGGTCCGTCATGGGCTCATGGACGGTGCGACCGAACACACCAGAATGGAGATCCTTTGCAGGACCCTGGACGGTCAGTTTGATGTAGGTCAAACCGCGAAGGCCATAGGTAAGACAGGGCGTGCGAGTATTGAGCCAGTAGTTGTCGGAGATGCAGACACAGTCGACACCGTCGAACCATCCATCCTTTCCCTTCTTGACCTCGGCAATGATGAGGTCATCAAGACCTTCACTTCCACTCTCCTCCATCCCCTCAAAGCAGAATCGCAGGTTGACGGGGAGTGGGATGTTGAGTTCATGATGTGCCTGAAGGACGTTCACCCATCCAAGAACAGGGCCCTTGTCGTCAGAAGATCCACGACCATAAAGACGACCGGTTTTTTCGTCGCGTGTGAGCTTGAAGGGTGGGTATGACCAGCCATCAGAGAGCTCTGCCTGACCACATGTTCATGTTCCCGATATAATATTTCAGTTCGCGAAGCGGCAGAAGTGTAGGATGACACGCACGGGCTGAACGTCAAAGTGACCGTACAAAAGGATAGTCTTCTTGTTCGGGTCATTCCCGATTCGCCCCAGAATCGCAGGAGGGAGTTCGAGTTCTTGTCCATCCATGACATGTTTCCCAAGAGGCACTTGTTTGGTCTCTACGCCGTATGATTTGAGCTGGTTCTCAAGAAAATTGGCCATACGGACGACGTCCTGGCGGCGAGCTGTGTCTCCTGAGATACTATTTCAGAGATAAAATGTAGCCGATCAATATACTGCTCGTGGATAGTAGAACGGTGAGCGGTATGGACACGGCATCTACACGATGCTACTCTGAGGGAGCACAGCAAACATGACAACAGTAGTTTCGAATGATTCACAGCAATTTTATCAAATCGAAAGTAAAGTTTCTTTGTACTTGACGACAAGGTAACGACTCGTGTGAGAGAAATGCTGTCTGCTTACCTCGGGATTTCCACAGCATCTGAGAGACGTTGAATGAACTTCTCTTCGTTCTTGTCAACGTACGAAAGAAACTCGGATGGTGCTGGCATGGTTGAAGTGATCTCAAGACCGGTAGATGGGATGCCTATGTAAGATGACGATGGAGAGTAAGGAAAGGAAAGGCAACGCAATCCGTGTGCAATCGCAAGACTCGGTTTGGCCACATTGTCGCCACATCAGATACAGGTGCCAGTGGCGTCCAAAGTTGAGCCGGCCGGCCGGGATACCCCTTCGCACTCCGAGCAAGCCGTAGAACGGTGTCTCTCTTTTGGAACCAACGGGTATTTTTTCTAGATTTTCTGCTCTCATAGGTAACAGCTAGGTGTCAACCATGTATCGATATCACGATCGTTCAATAACAAAATATAGCTCTATAAAATATGGAGCACTCACGGTGAGTGCCGTTCTTATGTGCTCATATACTGTAAGTACAACCAACACTTGACCAATCCTGACCTCTTCATGATGTATGAGCGCTCCCTGGATTCGCTTCCGCATTCCAGCGTCCTTTCGTGGCGAACGAAAAAGGCTCATAAGCCTGAAAATAGTTTTATATGGCGAAACAGCGCGGCTCTTATGATTAAATCACTCTACCTAGTGCTTGCAGAAGAGGCATCCCACTGGCATGGCCCCCGGCAGAGTTTTCCTTCGCCACATTGTTGTACGAGAGACCGTCAGATTCTCAAACAGTACGACTTGGCTACGACCCGAGCTTCTTCCAAGCTGGTCGTACATAATGATTCGGATAGAACCCCCGATATCGGTACCTCGCTCGTGTTCGTCGAAATGCCGTAACATCGTCTAGTACTCGGTTGTTCGGGTCCCACTAGATCTCAGTAGGGGTCTTATGACACGGCCCCAGAACTCATTTCTCTGGCCAGAGAATGCCCCACCTCGAGCGCGGGCCCCGCATATGACGGAGGCAGCAGCAGTCGGCGTATTTCGCCTCGAGCTCTCGCATGCTGCTGAAGGTGCTACAGCACACATTCTCTTCAGATAATATCCCGAGAGTTGTACAAGAAAAGATGGCAATAAATAAAGAGCGGACAGAGGCGGCAAGAAGTCTCTCGTGGGAGAAAGGAAGCGGGACCCACCTCGATCTCTGGGCTCGTAAAACTCTGTCTCCAGGTCTTCGAAAGCGCCCGTATGTATCATAAAACCCCTAGTGCATCAGTGCGGGCTAGAGCTAGAGACCATTGCACTCTCCTTTCCCCCCTTTTCTTCTTCTCAGTCCGTTCCAGAGGCATACCCTTCATCCAAGGACAGAAATGTCGGACATCATGAAAGCACCTGCGTGAGTACTGGCTTTTCATCAATGTCTTGCATTCGAATCTGACCAATACCATATCATCGGCTTTCTTTATAACACCACGTCTCGGCTCTGTACCAAGTCCATGGAGATTGAAAGGACAAACTTGGACTCTCGCCCTGTCCGGCCTCCCGAAAGTCAGCAACTTCCCTTCCGGGTTTGTGGACAATGAAGAGGCAGATGCGTTGTCTGGATCGGCCGGACAGTTCATTGGGGGACTCGGTTTGGTCATGGTGCGTCATTTTGTCATAGTCTGAAGTAAGTTCCGTTGACGAGACCTTGTTATTTCAGGTTGTACGATATAGCGGGAGCCCTGTTGGTGCGTTATATTAGATCTCAATGTGTGAAGCCATCTTACATCTCTGAGTTTCCCCTACCAGGTCCTTGTGAGTTCTATATACCTTCCTTATCATGTTGCACTCTCATATTTGGACTCTAAATGTAGACGATGAGCTCATATACTCGCCGGGAAAATGGAAGTACGCAAACGGCAAGACCGCCTATCGCATTACCAGGATTTATGTCTCGACAAAGGAGTCAGTGGAGAATGGTGTGTTTCTTACTCTATTGACAATGTAACCTTTGTTCATCCTACTGCTCTCAGGACGTCGCAACTGGAACATACCTAGTGAGCAGCTCACTGTCTCCACAATACAGCTTGCCTGCTCATGCTTCATCCGCCAGAGCACGTAGCTGACTTCAAGATCACGCCTTCGGGCGGCAACACGACCGTTATCGTCAGTAACCCTGGCTCCAATACGCCTTTCTTCCACGCCATATTATCGCCCATCCCGCTTCTCTCGAAGATACCCCTCCCTGCAGCACTAGTGAACGACAAGGATGGTCTCGTTCAACCTCCGATCCCCGCCGGAAGTAAGCCCGAGGAAGTGGGGACTGAAAAATGGGTCACTCTGCCGCAAGACATGAAGGGTACGGTGAATATATTCAAAGGGAAGGGAATGTTGAGTGGAAAGGTGGGAGATGGGATCTCCTTTCCTGCAGTCGCTCCATGGAGTATCGGTTTGACTATACCCAACCTGAACATGTTGTTCCCTGAGCCGACATTCTCCGATAAGATGTGATGTCGACTGGCATCACGCGTAGGCCCTGCTTGCGGCGTTTTCTGTGCGTCTCCGCACGACGTTATGATACCTGTTTTATACACTGATACGTGTCATAAGCACATTGTTTACGCCCTATTCTTTTGGCCGACACGCTATGTCGTCGGATATCTACTATGAAGCCGGAAACATTCTTCAAATCTCAGGATCATGTTTACCAGACCACTCGTCTGCGACCGATCGTACCTAGGTTGAACAATGAAATTTTAAGTTGACGCTCATCTCGAAAACAAACGCAAACAACTCGAAACACGATAACGAAACATTCCTCGACAGTCTACAACCTTGAGTCCATCTTCCTTTACGCTGCGTCATCCTCTCCACAACTCGCGAGTCCCGACGCTCTCGATCCTCGCGCGTCAAAGCGAGACCAAGCTCGAAGAACTCCCAATTGTTGCTCGCCACACCAACCTTCTGAGGACGCTGCCTGATTGGGTAAGTCAGGATAAGGATGAGGGCGCTTCGGGATGTTACGATGTAGCGTGAGCGAGGCCGAACTTGCTTACACTGTGGTTACACACCCTGGCCCACATCGAACGGAATCTCCGTATGAAAATCTCAGTAATCACTGAGCTCGTTCAATGGTTTCTTTCCTTCTGTTGGTCCATTGTTTCGTCCTACAACGTCCATCTGATCGGGAAATGCGTCATGAGGCCTTCAAAATATGTGAAGGCTGGTCAAAGGCTCGCGGAGGCTTGTGGAGGCCATGTACACCTACTCGCGTCAATAGTCTACTGTTCTCCCGTGCTGTCGTGAAGGGCGAAAAAGGAGAGATAGCTGGGCTGCGACGCTTCTAACATCACTGTATAAAAAGAGGCTCGCATAGGATAACCTCAAAGACTCAAGCTAGCCATTCGCTCAGTACATCCTGGTGTACTTAAACATGGCGAACTCAAGTGACAATGAGGCGCATACGGACACGACAGGTACAGACGCATATAAAGCCCACCGCATAAAATATACATACGGGATATGCTTACCCTCCGCTGCTCTAGGAATAGATTTCACTAAGAAGATCCGCCACGACACCTACGCCTTCATCGATCCTCTCAAACCACCGTCCTCGCATAAATCCCACTCCGTCTTCATCTCAGGAGCGTCCAAAGGTATAGGCCGCAGCATCACTCTCTCGTTCGCTCGTTCCGGAGCATCCAAGATCGCTATCGGTGCACGTTCCTCCCTTGACTCTGTCGAGAAAGAGATCCTGGATGTTGCTTCGAAGGCAGGTCATCCAGCTCCCCTTATACTCAAGCTTCATCTAGATGTGCTTGATAAAGACAATGTGAAGCGGGCGGCAGAGGAGGTGGCGAAGGTGTTCGGTGATGGAGGGTTGGACGTGTTAGTGAATAATGCGGCGTATTGGGAGAGACTGGCGCCTTTGAGTGGGCCGGATGTGGATGAGTGGTGGCACTCTTGGGAGGTCAACGTCAGGTCCGTCAATCTGTGCAAATATAGTAATGCGTTAGAGATATTTAGTATTGTTTCGATGTGGATGTAGAGGCATATTTCTCGTGACTAACGCTTTCCTGCCGTTTGTCTTGAAGAGTAAGGAAAAGACAATCATCAATGTCAGCTCAGCTGGTGCCCTAGGAGCGAGTCCCGGGGTAAGAAATGTTTAGCGATCTGAAGGTCCATGAGACTGATAACCTTGTTCTGTTTCATTTCAGCTCTCCGCTTATAGCACGGGAAAACTGGCCGTCCTACGACTCACAGAATATCTCGTCGTCAGTTTAATATTTTGAGCGACGAATCAGCTAGGGTGTACTCACCTTCGTCTGTAACATCGACAGGTCGAAAATGGTGCTGAAGGCCTCATAGCGTACGCCGTCCATCCAGGCGCCATCTTGACCAACATGACACAGCAACTTCCTTCGGAGGCATATCATCTCCTAACCGAAACGGTGGAACTGGCGGGAGACACCATTGCGTTCTTAGCGCGCGAGAGACGGGAGTGGCTTGCCGGTCGATACATCAGCTGTGAGTCTCATCGTTGGTCTAGTGCACGAACCAGAATAAGCTGATTGTTTCCACAGCCACTTGGGACATGGAGGAGGTTCTTTCGCGAAAGGCGGAGATTGTGCAGAAGGACAAGCTGAAAGTCCGCATTGTTCTCTGAGCGGTAGTATCGTGCTTGGGAGGAACGTTGTATGATTCAGTCGACTGGTTTAGTGAAAGATGCTTGCTTTCGCGAGCCATACATTGTGTGTTACCTGCAGTAGCATCAGACAGTGAGTGAATGGAGACATGTTTCAGGTCAAGAGAGAGGGCGAAACTCGGGCCAGAAACATGAGCACAAGGCAAGGATGGGAATCATCTTACCTTCTGATCTACGGAAGTTGTATGACCTTCAACGATCCCAGAAGACCGAAGACCTAGGATTACGGATTTGCCACCTTCGTCCCGCCCGACGAAACTCTGCTCGGTAGCTCAAGCTTGTTACGTCCGACGATCCTTTAGATAGCCTGTCTTGGCTTCTGTGGGCGCCAGTCATGCTGCCATATTGTTGCAATGTACAGCTAGAGGCCGACCGATGAACATTTATCGGTCGGCCTGTCTTCATGACTCTGAGAACGGTCGGAGATAATTCAGTTGCCGCCATTACTACTGATGCACACATATAGGGGAGCGCACCCAGTAGGAACCATCCATAATTTCTCTGTGCATCTCTCGGTACGAACATGGCAAGCGAAGAGCCCGCAGAAACCACAGGTACGTATCTATATACCCGTCACCCCCTCACCAAATATTACACAAGCTCATACTTGCATTCTGTCGCGTATTAGGAGTACGCTTCACCAAAACAATCCATAGCGACACTTACGCCTTCATCGATCCTCTCAAACCACCGGCATCGCACAAATTGCACTCCGTCTTCATCTCAGGAGCATCCAAGGGCATAGGTCGCAGCATCGCTCTCTCGTTCGCTCGTTCAGGTGCATCAAGAATCGCCATCGGAGCCCGTTCGTCACTCGACTCTGTCGAAGCGGAGATCCTCGGCGCTGCCCAAGGCGGGTCATCCGGTTTCCTCTCGTCGTCAAAGTCCAGCTAGATGTGCTTGATAAAGAAAGTGCGAAGAACGCAGCGGAAGAGGTGGCGAAGGCGTTTGGCGATGGAGGAGTAGACTTTTTGGTGAACAATGCGGGATTTTCCGCGGGAATGAAGCCTTTTGCTGGACCGGATGTGGATGTGTGGTGGCACACTTGGGAGGTCAACGTCAGGTCTGGCGGTTTGTTCCAAAGATGGAGATGCAATAGAACTTATCAACATTGTTTTGTTGTGGACACAGAGGCCTATTTTTTGTGACCCACGCTTTCTTGCCGCTTGTGTTGAAGAGCAAAGAGAAGACTATCATCAATCTCGACTCCATGATTGCGCTAGAAGCGAGACCTGGGGTGAGGGATTTTTTGATCAGTCTTCAAGATGTGTCCGACAAGACTTATGGTCTGTTCTTCGTTTCCTCTCAGTTCTCCTCGTATAGCGCGGGAAAGCTGGCCATCCTGCGACTCACGGAGTTCATAAATGTAAGTTTCGCACTTTCAAGCCTCAGCAGTAATGCACCGGGCTCACCTCGATGAAACACGTTTACAGGTTGAACACGGTGCTGAAGGAATCATATCATACGCTGTCAACCCGGGCACTGTCTTTACGGACATGGCCAAGGTGCTTCCTCCAGAGGTACATCGCTTCATAACGGACACCCCAGAACTGCCGGCAGACACCATCGCATTCCTTACGCGTGAGAGACGAGGATGGCTTGCCGGTCGCTATCTTAGTTGTGAGTCTTGTCGTTCGTCCTATACTTACATGCATGAGAAAGAGCTGATCATTCTTCGAGATAGGCACCTGGGATATGGAGGAGCTGATGTCGCGCCAGGCAGAGATTGTGCAGAAGGATAAGTTGAAAGTTCGCATAGTCCTCTGAACGGTACGCAGTTGAAGATGCCGCATGGAGTGAGGAACTGTGATGCAAGACCCATGTAATACATTGAGGATTGAAATTATCGCAATATCGTGCATCACCTGCAACAGATGACGGGCGGTAAGTAATCGAGACGGATCTCCAATCGCGAAGGAAGGAGACATTCATGCTTGGACAAAGGTGCAAGACAAGAATGGGAAGCGTATTACCCTAATAATCTACAGTATAAGCAACAACCCCACAAGACCCAGAGGGATCATGCCGTCGTCTACATCCCGCTAGGAGACTGACCCGGTGGAACTCTGCTCGGTGGTGGAGGTTTGTTGCGTCCGACGAAACCTTTCGACAGCCTGTCATCCTGGCCTCCTTGCGAGCCAGACGTGCCCGAATTTGGGAGGACTGGACTCGAAGGGCCTCGTGGTGCCCTCACCACGGAGACTCCACCCGTCTGAGGTCTGCTCACCATGCCTGGTCCGGCACGGGTCACCTCGCCACTGGAACTCTGAGTCTTGGTGTCCCCGCTATCACCACTGAATATTCTGTCCCTTGCAGCCTGGTATCGCGCTTCTCTCTCAGCAAATGTTGAACCACCTTTCGAGAGATCTGTCGAAGATCCTGAAGCGGAGGTTGATGGAGATGTAGAGGCTGGGGACCGTTTGAGAATGCGTACAGGGGCTTGGAAAGCGGCTGGTGGGAGTGCGGAGAGACCTGCCGTGGATGATGAAGTTTGGGAGGGTGAGATGACGAGATTTGGCATTGGTGCCTGCGCGTTGCTGCGAGCGTTGAAAAGATTATCTTAGTTCCCAGCACAGATCGGGTTGGAATGCAGACGAAGGCTCCAGATGGATATTTTCGAGCACATGGTGGCTGAGAGAAGTAGGGGTGAAGGTGAAAGGTTTACACACGCGTTATTCCAGATCTTAGAATTCGCCTCTTCGTCATTTGCGTCTTCAGTATCAGGTTCATCTGCATCCCAGTCATCGGGCACGAGTTCCTTCGCAGGGCGACGAAGAATGGTCCGTTGCGTTGACTAGGGCGAATATCAAGTTTAGCGAGGATCTGACAGCACAAACAATGATCTGGCTCACAGACGGGGTATCCCAGGAGTCAGAAGATTGCGGGACGGCGGGGCTTGCTATTGACATTGTGTTACACAGTTCGCGAAGAATATTCCGGGATATCCGCGATGCTATAGAGTTTTGACTTTAAGAGTTCAAGCTAACGTTCGAGTATGAATGTTGCAACTATTGAAATAGGGCTTCACTGAGGCAAGACAATAACAGAGACAACGGTAGCGACCCGGTGGGAGTGGAAGTGGTAAGGAAGGGTTGGCAGGCTACAATAATTGGGATACAAATGTGTCGACGCTTATAGCATGGGTGGCACCCGTAGTGTGGCACCTATGAGCACGGTCTCGATGAGTCGTTGCAGGTACACCAAAATGAGCTGCTGCATTGCCGTATAGCAAAACACTATTGGGGGCTCAAAATATAGTGAGCCGTGGTTTGGCACTAAAGAATAGGAGGGGGCAGAGTGTGTTGTAGGTGACATGGAAAAATTATGAGTTAAAGGGTGTATATTACATGCTCATGCGTGCAGCAAAGAGTGACAAGCCGTGTGGGGGTAGGCCAGTCGGAAAAATTTCCAACCTCAATTATCCAGGTCTTCTCAACAGCCAGCTGAAACCATCTCCAACAACGGTCCAAGTCGCCAGCCTCGCCGAAAACCACCCCTCTCCCAATCCTCTACTCCCTCAAGCTGAAGCAACCTTCTCGCAGGTCCACGTTCAAACTCTAGCTTCGATTTGCTCCGGAGATAATGGTGGTATTGAGGTGGATTCTCCCATCGTTAATGATGGTGCGGCAGTGGCAGCCTTGAGGGCTTCCTCTGCCTGGAGTGCATGGGCGGCGTCACGTTCGCCTTCGGGACTGAATAGGACCTTCTCAAGCTTGAAGCGCTTTCGTGCTGAGATTGGTGGGCAGTTTCGTATCCTGACTTCGTCTTCCACGCGTAGTCCTGGACAATGTGGAACAAATATCAAGGGTGAGGACCTGCACCGTTCCGGAAGACGTGATATTCGGGTGGATCTTGTCAATAGTGAACAGGGTATTGGGTGAACGTACTATTATGCTCATCATGGATAAGATACTTTTTGCTTCGCACGATACGCTATTATATGAGAACACAACTTAGTATGTTGCAATCTATTGCTGTCCAGCATTAGCCGCACCTTCCGGGTTGTTTTGTGCACCACGAATCGGGATACTGTGACGGTAGCTGTTTTGTTCATGAAACCGGCTTTGGTCACGATACCAGTCAGAGCCATGGGAGGCATCTTGTCTAAGAATTTGAGAGGTCGAAAGGTGAACAGAGTTGTTGGCAAGGTAAGAGATCTCTCCGTTCTTGTGCGTGACACGCGCGAAGTGTCACAAAGTAACCCTGTGACGTAGTGTGACGTACTGTAACTGAGGAATTTCGCAAGGATTTCGCTTTCGCTGTGAACGACAACAAGATACTTTCTGTTTGCATCTCCGCAGACTGTTCCACGTCAGCTTTTTTTCCGCCGAATGCCCTTAGGACTCCGGACTCTTGGATAGGCTACCTGGAGTATTTTATACTACTCTGTACTACGTAGCGCAATATCTCCGACATTTTTAACTCCAGTCTCAGGCTGTTTCAGGCTTGCATGCTGACCATCGACATCCTCATCTCGAACGAGACTGTCAGGCCGCCCTTTCTGAGCTCGCCGACCATGTCTCAAACTATTAGTCCCAATAAAAATGCAGATGTTATCATTCTGTCGCTCTGCTCGAAGCTCATTATCGAATCTTGACTTCGCACCTCCAGCATCTCGCCTACTGAAGTATCACTCAACACTTCTTGCATTCAACACTTTAGGCAACAAAGATGCTCGCAATCATTCTTCTTACTCTGCTTTCGCTTTTCACTCCCGTCTTTGGCTTCAACAAGGGTTCTATCTCCACGGCTCTCTCCAACGCTGTGCCAGCTCTCATCGTTCTGCTGGTCCTCCTTGTGCTTGCCTCTCCCTTCGCGTACTTCACCGTCCACCGTCTCCGCCTTGAAGTCGACCGTACGCACCGGAAGCTTCGCCATAGCAAGGCCACCGTCGAATCTCTTAGTCATCGCTACATCCTTCGACCCAACCCAAACAAGTCTCCACAAGAGCATCCCACCAACACGATCCTCAAAAAACAACTCGATGGCTCCCTCGCAACAATCGACGAGCTCAAGTCTTATATTACCACAATGGCTGCCGCACAGGCACGTACTGCCGACGATGCACGAAACTTCAAGGATATGTTGGACGAGGCAGTCCAGCAGAAGCTTGTCTTCGAGCGGCGCGCGGAAGTCGCAGTTAACTTGGCCAAAACTCAGGCGAAGAAGGCGGAGACTGCTTTGGACAAGGTCTACGAGCTGGAGTGCCGTCTGGAGGCAAGGGATGCTGAATTCTACGATGCCCGAAACCGAGATAGGAAGGTCGACAGCCTCGAAGGAACGGTAGAGGACCTGAAAGAGGAGAACAAGGTTCTTCGCCATCTCATTTGCGAGTATCAAGTCGCGGGTGGCAAGAGGGCCCACATCGTCCAAAAACTGGAGAAGAACAAGGTTCAAGCCATGCGACCGGAGGCCTCCAGCATCATTATCCACGACCTTAACATCGTCACTGTCCAGAACGATCTTGACGTCCAGAACATACAAACAATTGGAGAAGAAGTCTCCACCAGCAATAACGCCCTTCTCGCCACATCTGCTACTATCGCCACACACGGCATCAAGCATATCGACCCGCCCGCTCAATCGACTCCGGGACTCAACCATTCTGCTCCCATTCACGTTACCCCTTCGGCGTACATCATGGTCGATACACACGTGCAGTCCTCCACCAAGACCCCAGAGATTCTCGACTTCGATATCAGGGACTTTGGCCAAACGTCTCCCATCTGCACTACGCCCTCGCTCATCTCTGATTCCGACAACTACGACTCAAACGACTCTGGCTACGACTCAGAGAGCACCGTCTCTTCGCCTAACTCTCCCACTCCCTCTCTTATCTCTGACGGCGGCAACTCCAACATGAACGCCTCGGATTGCACTTCGTACTCGGATTCGGACACCCTCACCCCAGAACCGACCTTCACTTCCTTCCTTTCTCCCGCCACTACCAGCAGCGCCTTTACGGACCATACCCTGCTCATGACCGCAAAACACCAGTATTGGAAGACGATCTGGGCGATGAAGTCTGCGAGTATAAAGGGCGAGGCTTGAGGGATCGCGGGGGATGGCGCATGATTATTTTTTTCTCTTATTGCTGTATCATACCCATGTGGGGTTGCATTTTCTTGCTTGTGATAGTCCTTTCTCTCTCTCTCTCTCTCTCTCTGTATTCTTTTTCTTTTTGGTTTTTATGTCACCCTTTTTTGTTTACGATGATACAATGATATCGAGAGGTCTCCGCGCCTGATTTGTCCTGCAGTTTCGAGTTCGTGTGAACCGTCAACAGAGTCTATGCAGCTTTCATGACAAAACCAACAAACATCCGTGATAGATGTACACACTCCAGGTATCTTCGATTCATATTCTCACGCCTCCTACAGAACTCGCACGAAGTGTCCAACTGATCAGACTGGCCCCCACTTACAAACACGCCTCCTCCCTCTAAATCGCTTCGCTTCCTACATAGACCTCATCTCCGACGTTACTTCCACCTTGAGCGTTGAGCCTCTAAGCAGTAGTCTTCTTTCCCTTCCCCGTCCTCGCTTCCGTCTCATAGTTCGCCACGAACCACTCGACGGTCTGCTTCAACGCGACATCAAACGGCGTGAACGCGAACGTCTTGCCGCCCGATTTTGAAGGCTCGTTGATGAGCGAGAGGAGCCTCGCGTTCGAGGCGGGCTTGCGGAATTGGCCGTCGGCTTTTGAGGTGTCGAACTGGGATTTGCGCATGGAGGTGAGCCGTGTGAATTGATGGGGAGGAAGGAAAGACGGAGGTGGAATAGAATAAAGTTCGAGGATCAAGAGAGAAAGGAGAGTACGGGTGGGGTGGAATGGAAGTAAGTAAGGATTAGGGCTTACGGTGTATTGGCCCTTGAAGTCCATGGTCTTCACGATAGCGTCAGTTACATCTTTGATGCTGACCTCCTCATCCTCGCCGACTGGATGATACGATTGTCAGTGAGTAATTCATACCGATCAAGCCTGAGAGTAAGTTAGAGGTCAGAGGATGAACGCTTACCGGAGAAAATGACAGGGTCGACTTCATCGTACTCCCTCAACTGCCAGATGAACAGTTTGGCGAGGTCGTGAGAGTAGATGAACTGTCGGAGAGGTTTACCGGTGCCTGCTACGACGAAGGGCGTGTTGTTCTCTGTTGATAGACATTTTGTGTTAGTTGTATCGAGTTGGGGAATGCAAGGTAAGGCACGCACGCTTTGCTAGGTAGCATTTGTGAATGAGGGCGGGGATGACGTGAGAGTCTTCGAGATCGCTGTCGTATACAATAGTTGTGATTATTACGGTGCCTGGGGTTGAAAGGATGTTTAAGAAGCACGCACAAGTTGTCGTAAGGTCCAAATACATTGGTAGGGATAGCCGAGGTGAAGTTCGATCCAAACTGGTCCTTATAAGCCCTATCCATACACACAATCACTCATTCAGCCACTCGCCACAACATACAATCTAACCAGGATAAAGTTTACCCACCTGTTCGCGACATCGACCATCCGCTTTGAGTGCGCATACCCGAAGTTACTCTCATGCGGCAATCCGAGATGGATCTTGTTCTCGTCGAGAGGGTAGGAGACCTTGTCGGGGAAGACGCATGTCGATAGGCAGGATATGACCTTTTGGACCCCGGTAACGTGCGAAGTCCAGAGGATGTTGTCGTTGATGAGGGTATTGTCACGGTAGAAGGTGAGCTAGAGTGATAGGTTATAGGTTCCGTTTAATGCGAAGAGTACGTGATGAGTGGGAGCGTATAGGTACCTTGTATTTCATGTTCTTGAAGAGACCACCGACTGTATGGACGGACATACATGTAGCGTTAGTCAAGAACATCGCTCACTGGTATGAAAAGCATGGTAGGATAGCATACCGAGTGCAGCAAGATGGATAACATGCGTCGGCTTGTATTTCTCAAACAGCTTCTTGGTCGCCTCTGGATCACTGCATCATCCATGCAGATTCAAACAACCCGTATTCAGCACTAGTCTTGGATCAAGATGAGACGGGAACAAAAACAACGCACCGCAGGTCGCCCTCTTTCGAGCTCGCGAAGACCCAAGTCTCCCCGTCCCTCTTACCGAATCTCGAGTTCGCGGGTTCGGATTCGACGATGTGTTGGATGGCACGACCTACGAGGCCGGTACCACCGGTGACGAGGATGACTGCGTTTGAGCTAGACATGAAAGATTATCTGAGATTTTGGACTGTTTGAGCGTAGACTGGTCTAGAGGAACGGTAAGATGCCAGGAGAGGAGATGGTGGATGCGTGCAAGGAAGTTCGGTTAATGAACGCAGCTTTATTGCTGACCAATTCGGACCCTCTTCTTCCGCGAGGGCCACAGTGCGTCCCTCAACAAATATAGCTTTCGCGGCGTATAATGTAACAGAGATAATATATCTTTCCCAGATGCAGTGAAGACTGATTTGATGAACTCTTTGTTCAGAGCATACAAGTTTCGTCTGGGCTGCGCTCCGGTGTGGCGCGCCACACTTACTTATCTAAATTGAGAGCATTTTCAGATCATATCGCCTCATCGAGCACGTCCCGACTCCCGATCCAAACGCTTCAAATTCATGGACAAGTTTCCGAGTGGGAACTATCAAAAGAGTGGGCGTCCGAAAATACAACGGGTCTTCACCTTCGTAAAGCCGCCTCTCGACTCATCCTGGTCAAATTGAGACTACGCTTGTTGCTGGGCTCGGTATGGAAAGGTCCCCGCACTACCTTCCTCGGATGGTCGAGGAAGGTCGAGGACATCCCCAAAGAGACTACGGAAATACTGCGGTCCAAAAATCAAACAAAAATCAATCATGATGGCGCCACCCACGACGGTGTCTTGAACCCGGGCTACTGAGCTGTGTGTTTGCCATAGAGACGTCTGTGTATAAGTTATATATGTGGAATACATTCTGCATGTTTCTTGTTTCTGTGATAGTACAGAGGGAAACAACGCTATAGAGAAGAGAGGAACTGAGAGCTGTGGCGTGTGGCGGATCGCCCGGGGTTAATTGCGCCAACCGATCGGGTCCGCGCAGGGTGCTTGGATGTAAAGCGCGTCTGCCCCGATACTTATCACTTCCTTCCTCCCCTCATCTCCCCCGTTCCCCGCTAACCATCCCCATCGCAGTCGCCAGAGTCCAGCTGTTGCTCGCAACTCGTTCTTTACAATAAGCACAAAAATGTCTGGTTCAATTGAAGGCATTTCTTCCCCGTTCGCGAGGCTTAGCTTGCCAACCCCAGAGGAGTACCGTGCTCGCAAAGTCGCTCTCATCTCCGGTCTGTCTCCACCATTTTTTGTTGCTTTTCTTTTGCTCAAATGGCACCTTTACTACCCATGAAAAGGTATCACTGGCCAGGATGGATCTTACCTGTGAGTATCATGTTGTTGCGTGAGCGCCACCCGCGCTTGTACCTCGGTCGGCCTTGCTCATTGTCGAATGCTATAGGACGGAGCTTTTGTTGGAGAAGGGCTACGAAGTCCACGGTATCATTCGTCGCTCCTCCAGTTTCAACACTGGCAGGCTACACCACCTCTATCAAGACCAGCACGAACGTACGTACTCGGTTCTCCACTCGCACCCCCAATTACATGCCTGGTCCCCCGTTTTGTTGCCATCACGCGACCGAGTGTGCAGTTCTCGATATCCCAAAATTCGTCCCTGTTTCGATGCTTCATCTTCACGCATCCTTTGCCTCATCTAACCTAATCGTGCCCCTGCAGGACCGAACAAACTGAAGCTCCACCATGGTGATCTCTCGGACAGCACAAACCTCGTCTATGTCCTTGCCCAAGTCCAGCCCTCCGAAATCTACAACCTTGGTGCCCAATCCCACGTAAAAGTCTCCTTCGAGATGGCAGAGTACACCGCCGACGTCGATGCCCTCGGCACGCTCCGTCTCCTCGACGCCATCCGTACCTGTGGTCTCGAGAAACACGTCCGTTTCTACCAAGCCTCCACCTCAGAGCTCTACGGTCTCGTCCAACAGGTCCCGCAGGACGAGAACACCCCGTTCTACCCGAGGAGTCCTTACGGTGTCGCGAAGCTCTACGCGTTCTGGATCTGCAAGAACTACAGAGAGGCGTACGGGATGTACGCTTGCAACGGGATCTTGTTCAACCACGAAAGCCCGAGGCGTGGGAGGACGTTCGTGACGAGGAAGATTACGCGCGCTGTAGCGGATATCTCGTTGGGCAAGCAGGCGTGCTTGTATCTCGGAAACATGGACGCTCAGCGTGATTGGGGACACGGTATGTGGCGCTTTTGATCTTGTGGTGAGATTAGAGCTGGGCTGACAAAAATCGATATCCCAGCTCGCGACTACGTCGAGGGTATGTGGCGCATGCTTCAGCAGCCTGGTCCTCAGGACTTTGTGCTTGCTACTGGCGAGACACACCCCGTCCGGGAGTTTGTTGAGAAATCGTTTGCCATCGTCGGCACGACCCTTCGGTAAGTTTTATTTGCTTGTTTGCCTTGAGCATCGCCGTTTCCGCCTCATCCGTATCGAGAGATTCGATCACCTTTATGACACCAAATACTGACGGCAATTCGATGTTTGTCTACGATTATAGCTGGGAAGGCTCGGGCGAGTCCGAACAGGGCATCTGCACAAAGACCGGCAAGACCCTCGTCAAAGTCGACGCCCGTTACTTCCGTCCCGCCGAAGTCGAGTGCGTACCCATTCTCGCCCACAACACACACACCATCTCCTACTTCTAGATCCAACCTTTGCCCCTATCTATCCCCATCCTCATGACGCATCATCTCTCAATAACGTAACGTAACTAATGTTAAATTGTGCGATCTAGGCTTTTGCTCGGCAACCCTGCCAAGGCGGACAGGGAGCTCGGGTGGAAGCGGACGACGACCTTCGATGCGCTGGTGAAGGAGATGGTCGAAGCTGATCTGAAGGCGAGCGCGAGTCTCGTCGAGGACCAGAACTAGACGTCTCCCAAACAAACACTCGCTCTCTTGACTCTTGGATCCTAAACCGGTGCAAAAACGCGAGGATGAATACGAGAACGCTTCATGGACAGTGGGATGATCAGCCAGCGGAAGGAAAGGAATGATGTGTGATGTGAAGTGATGCCGAAACCCAACTAGACGTTGACCTCTTCGACGGACTGTGTTACTCTAAATGTATTGGATACGATACGAAAATTCTTTCTTCTGTTTCATACTTCTCTTGCCCTTCTCTTCATACACATATATAATCGATACCTTGTCTACTCTTGGATGAACTCGAAACCAGAACTGCGCGATGTGGAGACAGCCATGATCGCTTTTCGAGTCGCAGGTGGGCTTTGTTGCCCGACGATAGCGGAGGTCATAGTGGTGGGCCCCACCGTTGTCGATCTGCGCAGCCAGTCCGAGCGTGGACACGGACGAGACACCGATGGCCTGTAACATCAAGCGAGGAACCTACGTAGCGTCGTAATACGAAAAAAGATGGATCTGAAGCTACTACACTACTAAGCACAGACTAAGATAGATAAATATACAACGTCCAATTGAAAGAGAACCAACGCATCCCCTATCCTCCCCAGGCCCCTCAATCCTGACACATCGCCTCGCCTCTGATCCCCGCAAACTTCAACGCCCAAATCGTCTTCCAATATGCAAGGTCAGCGCGAATGGATTTGTTGCGAATCGACGTCTGACCCTTCAGGAGAACATGCTCCGCGGTGGTGTAGGCGGATGAGCGGCGAAATGGAGGGGTGGTAAAGACGTGTTCAGGACTGAGGTCGCATGAGTTGTTTATGTCGGAGCCGGATTTGTCAGTATCGGAGACGAGGAAGGGGGTAGGCCAGTTTATAGCAGTGGTGTCGCTGTCCGAGTCGCAATCCGAGTAATTTGTGTCGTGTGTATCGGACGGGACGGGAGAGGGGGGAAGGACCATGGAGGAAGGGGGTGCGGAGGATTTGGTATCGGAGTTGTAGGATGGTGAAGCCATGATAAAGGCTTGGTTGATAGTGTCGCTCGAAGGAAAAAATACGTGGATGGGAAGACAATATGTATATCCTGGAGTAGAATGAGCGGACGTTTCGACGTGCCTGTCGGATTTTGTATCGACAAGAGAAGGGATGGCGGAGATGGTGTTATTACGGGTGGAGCTCTCGTCGAGCTTGATGATAGAGCGGTTGTGGATACTGCTAGTAGCCGCTTCCTCCAGCTTGATTGTATGTTCCTCGTTCCCTTCAAGCTCCTTGATGATGCGGTCCTTCTTGACAACGGTAGTCTGGTACTCGCAAACGAGATAACGATGGGCCCTGTTTTCCTCCTCCAGATCCTCGACCCATCTCTCAAGACTATTCACTCTCTTGACCCAACGACGGGCATCGTACAGCTCAGCGTCCTTCTCCTCCAACCGACACTCGAGCTCGTAAGCCCTATCCAAGGCGTCCTCGACCTCCCTGGCAGTAGCCTTCGCCTCGTCCACCGCCACTTGCGCCCGTCTCTCGAAGATGAGTTTCTGCTGGTTGGCCTCGTCGAACATATTCTTGAAATTCCGGGCATCGTCGGCAATACGAGCTTGTTGTGCGGCCATTGTGGTGATATCACATTTTAGTTCGTCGATGGTAGCGAGTGAAAGAATGAGCTTCGTTTCGAGAACTTTGTTGTCTGCCGCCAGAGACTCGGCGGCCTTGGCTTGTGGCTCGAGCTCTATGCAGCGGTCGAAGAGCTGCTGGGTTCGATTCTGTAGTGACGCCACTTGAGCGGCACGGAGGATAGAGGTGCGGGTGAGAGATTCAACGGCGGCTTTGCTATGGCAGAGTTTCTGGTCCGTGCGGTCGATCTCAAGGCGGAGGCAGTGGACGGTGAAATAGGCGAAGGGGGATACAAGAATTATGAGTACTAGGAGGACAATGAGGGCGGGTGCGGCGCTGTGGAGTGCCGTAGAGGTAGAACAATCCTTGGAGCAATGAACGGAGGTGGAAAACGAAAGGAGTGTGAGTAGCATAACCAAGAGCATCTTTGTTGGCTAGGCTTGTTTGGTGCGACTGGTTCTGGATGATACTGAAAGAGCATTATGAGGATTCGATATTGTACTATAGAATAGAGGATGCTAGTATCCACGGCTTTGCGGTTAGAGCTGACAGCTTGTCGATATCGCATAGTTCTCCAGAGTGGGCAGCCTGTCGGTATGCAGATACTAGACAAGTCAAGCTTCCAGAACAGCTTCAAGTTATGATTTCTGAGACGGGTCTCCATCGCGACATTAACTATGCCTTAGTATACCTAGTCTAGATTCTTTCAGTGTCCATATAGCACAGCCAAGAAGTGTGAGCGAGCTTAGCGGGGAGCGGCAATGTGGTTCGATAGTGATGAACATAAGAGAACAAAGAATGGTCCCCATTCAAACCGCGTCGGCCGCATGGCACGTGTTAGCAACTAGTGCGGTACTCAACGCCACTGTCGCCACACTTTGTGTTGCTGTCTTCAGCGCCGTGCGCAAAGTTGGCTAGTACATATAAATCGCAAACCTATTCAGCTTTTAGTTCCCTGAGACCTCTTAATATATATCCTACAGGTCCCCCGACCGCACTGCGCTCTCACTTCTTCGTTTTGATTAACCCAGCCATGATATCGAAACTATTTCCGTCTGGCTGCAAGTCGATATACCCTTCCTCGCTCCCTCCATATGCACCCCCTAAGGCGCCTGATATGGATCGTTCAGGCATAGTTCGGAGCAACCCATGATCTGGGGTGATGCCGACAATCCTGACGGGCCGATGTGGTGTTTGTGTGGTGAGTGTGACGAGCTGATCCCTGAACCAAGCATGGATGCGGCGTTAGCTAGCTCATATGTAAGATGGAGGACGGAATGGCGTCGAAAATGGGCGTAGACGTATGACGTGACGGCACGATGGGAAGATGTCCAACATAAGTGGAGAGAGTACGGTTCAAGACGATATGGAGATGAACGTCATGGGAAAGAGCAAGAAACGTACGAGTGCATCCATGCATCGAGATAGTCGTCCTCGAAAGGTGCCCAACTGCCTTTGCTCTCCACAAACTTTTCCCACATGCGTTCGAATTTGGACAGAATAAGTGCAAAGACGACTTCGGACTTCAGTGACTCTTGTGAGCCCGTGAGAAGAGAAAGGGAGGAGATCGGAGCGGGCGTGAACACATTGACGCCGCATCCTGGTTCAATTGGTTAGAATGGTCACGTCAGCAAAGGAAGGTATCTTAGGGCCAGTAGTCACCGATGACAATGTCGACATTCCCTCCTCCGAAGCTGGTATTTACCAACACTCCACCGACTTTCTTCCTTCCGTCCTCGCTTGCCTTCCCGACTTTGCTATCTCCATCCACATCGATATAAATGTCGTTCGGCCACTTCAACTTCACACTCTTCCCTTTCTCCGAACCTAGGACATTGTCGTCTCTGCATGCCTTCACGACCGCAAGTCCAAACAGATATTGAATGAAGACGAGACGAGCTGCGGGGAAGCGAGATGTCGGCACTCTGATGAGCAGAGAGAATTGAAGACAGCCCGTGGGCGACAGCCAAGTATTGGAACCGCGGCCTCGGCCGGCGAGTTGATGTGTAGCGAGAGAGACGAAGGGAATTGGCAGGGTGTTGAGTATGCCGGGGTTTCTAGTAGAGGTGAAAAAGTAGAATTCATTAGTTTGTTAATTTGAATGACCACGACCATTTTATTACCTGTCGAGCATAGTTTGGGTGCTGGTCACCGCTTCACCGTAGAACATCGCTTCACCCATACCCCACCCTTCACTGTCATCTTTATATTCCGGTAACCCTTGCTCTTTTCTCGCACCGTCCAACGCCTCATAGAACCTTTCTGGATCAAACATGGGCATTGATTCCCTCAAGTTATTGTTCTCCCCCTGCACGACCAGGACCTTCTTCTCTTGCGGAGCCGAAGATTTTGCGTCCTTTGAGGGTGCTGTGTCAGGATGTGGCGCAGATATTCGTGCTTCGGCGAGGACGGCAGGATCGAAAGCCTCAAACAAAAAGGTATCGGCAATGTCTATGATTGACCACGGAAGAGCTTTGGCATTCAGCGAGGAAAGGATGCGAGTGATTATCCAAGGTTTAGAGGGTGTTGAAAGAAGGATTTGGGGTAGAGGGTGGGTCGGTACGGGTGGCTGACTGCCGGATGGTGTTGCATTTGACGAAGGTAAAGTGAGCCCGATAGACGATAAAGCCTGTGACAAGAGGCCTTCGAGATTTAGAGATGTGCTCGCTGTGGATAATATGTCGTATAGGGCGATCCGGCCTTGTGAGCTTCCTACATTGAACTCGATAGCTGCAGCTGAACTCTGGTCTTGTACGTCCCAGGATGCCAGAGGCGAACAGGATGGCGGCAGCGGGTCTATGAACGCGACGCCAGCACTGGGTACGTCCGTAACGCATTCCCCTGTATGTGCAAATCGGATGTTATTTAGGCCGGATGACTCTGTCCTTGTAAGCGTCGGAGAGGAGACATAAAGGTATGACTTCTTCGAGTCGTCCCAGAACCTCAAACCATCCTGTCCATCGGGGCTGGCACTGAGCTCCATCCCCAGGGCGAGCATTTTGCCTCCACCTTGCACATAATTCTGGATAGCCGTAGTAGCATTCTTTGAAAGTAATAGTCCCGAGCTTGGGGGTGCAAGGACGAGAAGGGCGCAGGAAGTAGGCCATGGGTGTGTGGCGAGCGAAGATCCGGTGATCGTTTGAGTGGTGTAGAATGGCGTGAGGATCTTTCTGAGGGTAGGCAAGACAGGATGTGTCGGTGTTGCAGAAGATGATGTTGACTGGTCAGAGGACGGAATAGGAGGATATACGAGCACGTTCATTGTAGACGAATGAAAATATCTGGCTCGCGGCTGTGCCAAAGGCAGGTGTATGTAAGTCCGAGATGCGGCGAGATCAGGTCGCAGAGATCGAGTAAAACCCTAAACAGACAGATTTGTTCAAGTGGGTCGAGTTATCAAAACCGAGGATCCTAGAAGTGCAAAAGAGGCGATAGTGAATCACCGTTTTGAAAGGCCGTTCAAACGTTTCCCAGGATTGTGGCGTCCGAGATTTACAGTCGAGCTAGTGTTAGAAAGCGTCAGTAAATACTTTAAAGTGTTGAATTATTGCGAAATTTTGGACAACGCACTGTGAAAGAGTCGCAAGGTGTATACAGCGACAGATGTTGAAAGGAAACGCTCGTTGAAGAAAGTGCTAATTCAAAGCGACAGGGGCAAAGGGTGGACCACGTGGTCATGGAGTGGCGTTTTGCTTTGCAAGTTTGTGTGACCCAGGTGTGGCCCAAACACACAAGTACTCCCTGCCACGGACTAGTCGGACGAGAATTCGGCACTCTGTGAATGGCGCATCATTGGATTCATGTCCGTGGTTATACAAGAAAATAAAAACTACTCTACGTAGAAATCAACCAGATACCATAAAATGCATACTCGATCGAACCGAACAATGCGAACCAAACTGAAGAACGTACTCGACAACACATCAGACATGACAAGCAGGCACAGTAAAGTTACAGCTCAAGGTACAGGCTTGCGAAACCTTCAGTCTTCTAAAGAATAAACCGGCGTCACATCCAAACAGTAGCGTCCATCGTCCAAGAAAGGACTGGGAACATAAGTCCATCTACGATCATGAAGTCCGTATCAAAACCCTTGTAGAGTTTCATGGCAAATAACCCAGCTCCCCAACATCAAAAGCGTCAACATCGCCACCCAGCTCCCAAGCATCAAATTCCTCCGCCTCCTACGAGCCCATTCATCCTGGCACGCATAATGCACCGACCCATCGGTCGTCCTCCGTGCGTTCGAATGGAACGCATACGCATAATGTCTTGTGGGGTCACTCGCACCCTCACCGTGCTCCGCCGAAAACCCAGAATTCCTCTTCTCATCCCCCGAAGTCCCAACAACCCTTCCTCCGGCGGCGAAACCATGCCGTCCTCCTCCATATGTCTCAGATAAAGAGGCCCGGCGGAAACCCTTCTCCTCATCTACATGTCCAAAACCACGCTCTGACCGCGAAACATCTTGAGCGTGAGCCAGGGTGGAAAGCGACGGAGCGGATGACGAAGACGCGAGCATTAGCTCTGCTTCTGGTCTCTCGTCATGGCTGTAGAGCGGAGGGCTCGCTCGCAAGGTAGAAAGCGCCACGTGGAGTGGTCCGGAATGAGTGTGTGAACGAGAGTGTGAGTGTGATAGGTTGCGGGAGTATGAATGGGAACGTTGATGGCGAGGTTTGGAGGTGGATGGAAGCCCGGGACTGGAGACTGATCGGGACTTTGAGTGAAAGCTAGGACGCGACATCGGGTTATAGCAAGGAATTGTGGGTAGTAGGGGGGATCCAGAGGATGGGGGCGAGGGTCAAGTAGTATGCGGTGATGTATAGCCGGGTAATTCGGCCTTGATGATCTTTTTTTTTTTGAAACAGTGTCTAGGTCAAAGATGGGCTGCGTCCCGACCGCATAGATAGGTTATCGCTCACCGGAGGATGAGAATGAGCGGGTCGGCGCTAAGCACTAGGGGGGGCGGGGGTACGTCCTCGAAAACTCGAAGTATACAAGGCAGCAGGGGGTTTATATGATCGGCACCTTAACCTAGTCCCATGGAGCCTGACGAAGCTGCCAGCCCGGTGATAAGACGGCACGTAGGCATAGGGAGTCATGTTCTGGTAGAACCTCCTATTCGGTGGCACATCATTCCATAGGCCAAGGTGCGTAAGGCATGGCAGTTTCTCAGAATAGAGATATCACTAGTACTATGATTGTCACGGTGGATGATGTGGGGATGGCGAATCTGCGGGAGAAGGAGAGCATGCTTTACGTAGACATGCTACCAAAGCGCCTCTAGCAAACATGAAGCAGGCAAGTGCTTGTAGGTACGAAACTCTAGTCTCTCACTGGCGTGGTGCTGATTCAGAGAACTAGTCCAACGAGTGTCTGTGAAAAATCAGAGGTGATCCGCTTCGCAACTGAAATAAGCTGAAGCACTGAAGATCTGAATGCTGCCACACAACGTCCAAGCCCGAACGAAGGCCCCGAACAAGACAAGGAAAGTTCTCTTCCTATTCGATACATGAAGCCTTCCGAGAGTCATGTCAATAAAAGCCACCCCACAACCAGGACACTCTTCGCTGCACTGGTACTTCGCCGATATGCAAAGGCAATCGGCCTAATTCTGCAAGTTCTAGCCAATTAGAAGAGTTATGGATCTTCCGGTAGCCCGGGGATCCCGTAACCACAAAAATACAAGCTTGACATGCTGCCCATATTCTTAGTAGGCTCAACACAAGGTCGGCCTCTTATCCAGAGCGTCAACGCAAAACAAGGCGACATATACTTGTTATACTTGAAGGGAGTGGCCAGCGACGTTTAGGAGGTACCGTGTACAAGAGCAGCGCTCGACCTCACAACCGAGATTCCATGGAGGAAACGGCTATGGCGAACAAAGAGCGCGGACAGTGAGTATGACATCCTGGCGTCATCTCCGCAATTCAAAGGGCCGGCAAGCGAACAGAGAGAGAACCATATATCGAGCCACACACCATTCCATGAAGCAAATGACAGTCCGGATCAGGCTGACGATGATAGCAAGAATACTCTCATCGTCGGCAATGACGCCGCAGCGTTAAGTCTCTGAAAGGTCCGATCGTTGCAGCGCCGCTCTTGACCCCACGTACGGCGAACGCAACAGGCGAAAATAGTCGTGATGATGCGCTCTATAAATTACAACGACGCGAACGATAGCGACACAGCACGGAAGGGACAACGAGTTGGGACCTGATGTCATGATGGACGTTCTATTCCCGTTGTGTGAGGGCCAGTAGCCCCAGGCCACCCAGGAGTGCGTACTTCAGTTGCGGGAAGTCGTTCTGACGGGGATCAGACGTTCGGTAGAATGTTGAGCAAGAATAGGCGAGAAAATGGGGAATTGACTGGCTTACCATTGCGATGGTCACGTAGCCGACGTAAGGGAGGAAGCTATTAAGACAAGAAACGTCAGCGGATAAGGTACCAAAAAGCGAACAAGAGCAAGATATCAAACGAAGGATCGAAGGCGGACGTAGAGATACAACGAAGGGGATACCTCAGTCATAATCTCGCGATCCATGAGAAGAGACTGAGCCAAACGGAACTTTACGCACCCTCTCACTTTGCCAACGATATGCCGCCGCTCGAGCCAGTCGAGCCCCTGATAAAGCTCGACATCATCTGCCCAGTTGTTGTCGCCTTTAGTGAGGAGAAGCTGGTCGTCTGGTGATGGTTCCTTCAATGGCTTTCCAGATCTGTGGTAGGTGGCGTCATAGTATCAGTAATGTCACATAAAGTATCCCGGATAGGCATGCAAATCCCCGAGGTAAGATATAGATTGTGAATGCCGTCTCCTACCTACCTCAGCTGTTTTAGCGAAACATCATGGGTCTCGAGAACACGATGGACTATTGGTATATCTTGCCCTGGAATCTTATACACAGTGATATCGCCGGTCTGGTATCTTGTATGAGGAGGATTCGTGAGGAAGAGTAGGTCGCCACGGTAGAAAGCCGGTTCCATGGATCCGCTGCACGTTCACGCCACATTGGTTCATGAGACAGGCACTCCCAAAGATCGGATAATGAGCGCACCTGAGTACGACGACAATGGGCGATTCAGTATTCGTGACCAGACCGAGACCTTTCCAAATCATAAGACCTGAAGCAATGACCGAGGCAAAGTTGAGAATCTGAAGGAGAACCTAGATTTATTCCGCAGATCAGCAAAGTTTGTGTAGATCATAGCCCAGGTATGGCACGTACATGTCGAACGCCCAATTTCCTTAGATTCTTGAGCTCGTCGGAGAACATGTTAGTTGGCGTCGCAGACGAGAGTGAGTAATGGTACGATCAACGGCCAAAGTGGAGATATCGTGGCAGTTTGGGGAAAGCAGGAAAGTTGGGGAAAGCGTGCGCTGCGTGTAGCGCTCGACACGTCGCGGTGGCGCGTATCCAGTGACCAGAACCACGTCCTAAGGTCAGGGTTTGCTTTCAACTCGGTGACGTGCCTCGCTTTCCTCCTCTCGCCACCGAACACAATCACCAAGCATATTTACATCACAAAACATGAACGCGAAAATCATATACGGCACTGCCTGGTGAGTGGCACTTGCTCCAGCCCCTGCGCTGTATCTGACAGTACTTGATCATGCAGGAAAAAAGAACGAACGACAGCGCTGGTCATCGCTGCAGTCCTTCAGGGGTTTAGAGCAATTGACACTGGTGCGGCGAACTTCGTTAACATTTTGCAAGCGAAGATCAGGACCAGCTCTGACGACTTCAATGTTCTGTAGCGTGCCAATTGAAGCACTACAGGTTTGTAAAGTCGACGGAGCATGCATTCAACGATGCTAAGTGTGGCGCTCAGAGAGGATCTCGTTGGCGAAGCTTTGAAGATCCTATATGAGCAGCATGGCTATAGGAGGGAAGATTTCTTCCTCCAGACAAAGTAAGAGTAATTCACCTTGACATGCGCTTGTAGCTTGAACCTTGTTGCTGTCCATCAACTAGATTTACCTCGCTCAATGGTCAGGACGCTGCCGGATTCATCCCTTACGATCCCGAAGCTTCCGTGACGAACCAAGTCAAGTCATCCTTCCAGGTCTCTCTCAAACAGCTACAGACTACCTATCTCGATTCCTATGTTCTCCACTCACCTCTTCGCACATTCCCGGAGACACTCGAGGCCTGGCACGTCCTTGCTTCTCTTCAAGACGAGGGGAAAGTGCGGAAGATAGGGCTAAGCAATGCGTATGATGTCGATTTGATACAGAAACTCGGAGACAAGAGCGGAAGGAAGGTACAGGTTGTTCAGAACAGATGGTTTGAGGGAAATGGCTGGGACAAAACCGTCCTCACATGGTGCAAAGAGAATGAAGCGCAATACCAGTAGGTCCAAGTATGATCCCGGTTTGGTAGTCCTCTAATTGATTGCTCTTTCGTACAGATCGTTCTGGACTCTGACAGGCTCTCCGAGCCTCCTACGTCATTCAGAGCTACAGGATTTAGCCCGCGACAAGGGTTGTACACCTGCTCAAGCGCTATACCGCTTTGCCCAGTTCCAAGGAATCACTCCGTTAACTGGGACTACATCCGAAGAACATATGAAAGAAGACCTGGAGGTAGACAAGATCGACCTGTCCACATCCGAAGTTCAGGCCTTGGTGAATTATATATGGACTTGATTACTCGGCGGTTCATGTATCGAAGACTACATAAGAAGTGTACGATCTTGTAAGTGATGTCTGCATAGTGTGTCCGTGTATAAAATGGACTGTCTCCCAAGTTTGACTCATCAAATGTCTTGAGTCAAGCAATGTTTGACATGAAAATGGGCCATCGCATGTCTAGTGAAGGTTCGCACCTGGACTGAACCTTTCGTCGCCACCTCAATCGTTGCCTTCAGCTCCTGGCCTGCTGGAGCAACGGTGAGCTCCCTCAAGTCCGTCACTTTCGAAGCAACGAAATCTAGGATATCTTCTTCGTTTAACCCGTTACACGTACACATATGCAACACCCTTACGCTCGGGCAGACCTTACCCAAGAGCCGTAAATTCGTGCCACTCATCCACGCTTCACATAGCATCAACTCCTCCACACTGTTCAAAGACCTTCGTAAGCCTTTTTTACCGCCGTAATTATCCAGTCGCGTCGCATATTCCAACATGTCCAATGCGCATCCTCGTACGAGTAGCCTTCGAACGGCGGGGTATCCGGAGATCTCCAAACATTGAAACAGAGCATCCGATTGTCTTGTGCTCATGTCCGCAACACCAGATCGGAGTTGCAGCTCCTCCAACTGAGGACACTTCAGCCAGCCCACCAACATGAAACCGGTCAGCTCGAAGTTTGCGGAGTCTTCGTCGGCGTACCGGTACGACATGTAGTCCTTGACCGCTAGAGACTTCAACTTCGGAAGCTCTAGCACGAGACTCGATCGGCCGTTCGTGTTGGAATTGGGCCCTCTGACAACCTGATGCATGAGTGGGCTGTCGAGAGGTATCGTCACCATGATATCGTCCAACTCGAGCGACTCCAAGGAACTGCACGATCCGAGCAAACTGTATAGTTCGTTTCTCGGAAAGACGAGGTCGTGCAGACGGAGGTGGGCCAGTCTTTCGCAGAGCTGCGTCATCTCTGGGATATGGTTGAGTCGAGGCCTACAAGAGCTGAGGGAAAGTGAGCGGAGGCGTGGTAGAGTGATGAGGGGTGAGTAGGCGAGGTCGCAATGGTCTGGTGTTGGTTTCCCGGGGGCGGCATCTGTATTAATGATGGAGAAGGAGGTGAGGCCGACCAAGCTTGGGTTATGAAATGGAGGAATGATATATCCGAGGCTCAGCACAGCGTTTGAGGGGCCTTCAATGGATAAAGACCGCCACTGGGCGCACACGGGTAACAGCAACCCCTTCACGATATCGTGAATACGAGGGAACATCAAACACTCGAAGACATTGGAAGCAGGAAATGTTATGGCTATGTCGAGCGAGTACTTCATGGCTCTTTCGAGCCATAATCGAAGACGAGAAGGGCAGCAGACGTGGGGAGAAACGCGAATGGAGGTCCACAGACCTCCATAGGAACAGGCTGTGATACGCCACAATCGACACACATGAGTGAGGGAGAGTGGTGAGTAGGAGGGATCACCGCTGGAGTGAACATAGATGTCGAAGATGCGCTGCAGTATCTCGTTGGGCAGACGGTGCATTGCCACCGGGAGGGGGGTGCTCTGGGGGTGGTAGGCTATTGGGTGGCGGATGTGTGCTAGGGGACTCGGATGTGGATGAATTTGTGGCATGGCGACACGACTAGCGGCGAGAAAATGCAGGTGACAGTGAGAAGTCGATAAGCAGAAGTGAGATGAAGAATATGTACAGGGAAGTGTGGGTGGCAGTTATGTGATGAGAGGGGAGAGGGTCTTTATAGGAAACCAAGGACAAGAACACCGCTATGGGGTATGCGGTCCCACGTGGTGGCGCTTTGACACAATGGCTGGCTCTATTCGGCACAAAGTCCGTACAATTCACAACCGAGTCAAGCGATAACACCGGTAATTGCGGCGAGGACATGAACATGTGCGTCATGCATGCCTGGGAGGACACATATAATACCAAAACCGGATGAAGAAATTTGGTACTATGGGCTCAAGCAATTGTGATCGTCCGCGCCATTCAAGTCCATCCTCACGACTCAGTCCGAGTCCTGATTCGCTTTTCCGGTTTCATTCCCTCTGGAGAAGTGTCATCAGCCCCAGTACGCCAAACAGCGCGTATTTGAGTCGAGGAAAATCGTTCTAGGAATATGTATGTCAAACACATCAAAATATTTGAGGAGCAGACGAGAAGTGCGTACCATCGCAATTGTCACATATCCGACATAAGGCAAAAATCTTCGGATGTGGAATAAGCCCGTCAGAGGATGATAAGACAGAGAAGTGGAACGTTCAACATCATGGCAAGGCACAAAAAAACGATAGGGGACCATACACATGGTAAGGATCATCAGCAGCGAAAAAAGGAAAGTCAATGAGCTTGCATTTACCCTCTAACTTTGCCAACAACGTGTTTCCGCTCCAGCCATTCCAATCCCCGGTAGAGTTCGATATCGTCTGCTGGATTGTTATCGCCCTTTGTCAGGAGCAGTTGATCGTTTGATGATGGGTAATTTATTGGCTTTCCTGACCTGTATCGTGAAGATCTTATGTTAGCCTAGTCCTTCCGTAGGACAGTCATGTGTTGTGGGATGAAGAGGTGGTGGAGCATACGCACCGCAGTTGCGGGAGCGAAACGTCGTGGGTCTCGAGGATGCGATGGACTATAGGAAATTTCTCGCCCATAATCTTGTACACCACAATGTCCCCCGTTTGATACCTCGCACCCAAGGGGTTAGTGAGGAAAAGCAAGTCCCCACGGTAGAATGCCGGTTCCATAGACCCACTATTCCAATCCAAGCCCGGGAAGTCAGAGTACGAGCGAAAGGCGCTTCCAATGATACGTACCTCAACACGACGACAATAGGAGATTCCGTGTTGGCAACAAGACCAAGGCCTATCCAGATCATATACACAGGTATGATGAAAGACATGACTCTGAGGGATTCGAGGAGAGTCTGCGTGCCGAACTCATCAGAGGTATTCAGAACAAAGGGATAAACAGTGTGACGGATACCTACCTGTCGGAAGTTGGGGGTTTTCATAGCTCTGAGTGATTCTGAAAACACAGTGATACAAATATGACAGAGGGATTCAAGATGTGAAACAAGAACCCAGAGGACAAAGTTGGCGCGTGGGCACCGATGAACACGTCGCGCTAGCGTGAACACGTATCCTAAAGACCTGACCCAAAAATTATATTCCACCGCGCTCATCGATCATCCATCACTCTGAACCTCTCTGACCACGTATTATGAACAAAAGGCAAGACACTTGACGAATTCGGGTGTTTGGGAGTTCACCAGCGCCACCTGAGCGCGCCCCTTTCATTTGACCACCAGGTGATATACACTAGCAAAGAGGCAACGCTTAGGGAATAAGGCAAGATTTTGACCGGGGTTTATTCAGAAGACTTAGATTGACGACATATCGAGAGAGCAGGGAAGAGTTGAAGGGCCTGTCAGGATTGGAGTTCCATGGAGGTGAAGCAGGGGCCACAGGAGTGGCGAGCGGCAAAGACAGTCGGAGCTCCGGCAAACACGGCAAATTCCGCAAACCTTATTCCAGAAAACTGTACAGCGTCAGTCATCGCTGCTCCCCACCATCGTCAACGTCGTCCTCCAACCTCAAGTAAAATGGGAAAAGGTGCGTTCATTTTGCATGACAATGTCAAAGCACGGAAGGAGGTGCTGATTGACGTCTCTTTGATGGCCAGTTCACGGATCCCTCGCCCGTGCCGGCAAAGTCAAGTCTCAGACCCCCAAGGTCGAAAAGCAGGAGAAGAAGAAGACTCCCAAGGGCCGTGCTAAGAAGCGCATCATCTACAACCGCCGGTGCGTTTTACTCTGGTGTATCTAACATGATCTCGATGGACTTATGCTCGTGCCATTCATACAGTTTCGTGAACGTTACCACTCTTCCAGGCGGCAAGCGGAGAATGTGAGTATCTCGTCCCCTCTTGATCAACATCTTTGGCTCGGCGGCTTCTCCTGGCTCCTGCAAAACTTTCGAACTTGCAACCACCGCCCAGTCTCGTCTGATGATATACACACAAACAAGCATAGTTCACACTGAAACTACTAACCGTGTAGACAAACATGCATCTCATGTCTTTCGCTCCTATCTGACTCATTCTCTGTCTCACTCATCATCCTGCCCATCCTTCCATCGTTCGTTACTCACGCTGCTTACTCTTTCTTAGGAACCCCAACCCCGAGAAATAAACTTCTCACCACCACCATTTCTCATTCACTCCTTTCTGGAGCGGAGGATTCGCGCCCCGGATAGGGCATCGCCTCCGTTCGGATTGGGTTCGCCTGGGTGGCAGGTTATCGTTGGGTGTATCGTGTCTTGCCGGTCGCTATGTTCACTGTATTCGCATTTCTCTCTTCGTCTCCGCATGCATGCCACTGTTTCGCATACTCTCCTCTATGCCCAATCCACCTATGCACTAGGGCAAAACTCCAAGACTTCGTGTGACTGATGCAGCATGATTGAGTCATGAATGATATCGCGCAATAACTCAGGCAGTTTGGAAGGGTAAAGCTACGCTGGTGTTGAAGCTGAATATACAAAGCTACAAAGCTACAGTATAAAGTCACCTCGGCGCCGCGATATTTCTGTGCATCGCTCTTTACTCGCATTTACCCCCACAACATATTCGCCATCCTCGTCACATCTCCCATCTCCAGTGTATCGTGCACCCTGACCACCGTAGCCCCTTGCTGAACCGCACACGCCACACCAGCAGCCGTCGCCCATCCCCTCTCCATCGGCTGGACTTCCCTGCCCTCATAACTTCCTCCATCCTCCACATCACCCTCTTCCAGAATCTTGCCCAAGAAAGACTTGCGCGACGTGCCAATCAACTGGGGATAGCCTTTGAGAGGGTTCCTTAATGGGCTCGAAGATGGTATCGTCGGGGCTGTAATCTTCGCAGCGTCCCGCAGAATGTCCAGATTACCCTGAACGGACTTGCTGAAACCGACCCCAGGGTCGACCATCACTAGCCATCTCCGGATGCCACCCTTCCCTCGAACGATGGCCTCCACTTTCTCGCCTAGTTCGAGAATAACGCCTTCCAAGACCGCATCCTTGCCTGCGTACTCGTACGCAGAATAGTCCTTGTTCTGTCCGGCGTCGCCGCGGGAGTGCATGAGGATGACCGGGACAGAAAGTTCCCGGGCAACAGAACGCATCTCAAGGAGGTGGGAGGCTGAGTCGGATGTGAGAGGATAGGAAGGACCGGTGAAAGCGTAGACGTCGTTGATGCAGTTTGAGCCGGCAAGTACAGCGGCTCGAGCGACGTCCGGACGGAAGGTATCGACACTGATCAGCATGTCCTTCAATTGAGGTTTTGCTTCCCTATCCTTGCCCTCCTCCGAAGCGTACGTTCGTATAGCCTGTATCATGGGCACGACTCTGTTGATTTCCTCCTCGGGCGACACATAGTCTGCCCCAGGTCGTGTAGAGTACCCTCCCACGTCGATGATCTGTGCTCCAGCCTTCAAGGAGGAAGAAGCATATGAAAGACCAGTGGATATGGTGTTGTGGGTCGAGCCATCGGAGAAAGAATCGGGTGTGGCGTTGAGAGTCGCCATGATACGGGTTTTCTTGTGGGGATCCGGGACGCCCGGGATTGAAGAGGCTGGGAAGGACCAACTCTTCACTGTCGGTGGGACGAGGGGAAGAGAGGCTGTGGAGGTTATGGAAGTAGGGGATGAGAGTGGATAGCGAGGGAAAGGAATGACTTTGTTCATTGGCCAGGCGTCGGGAGGGTTGGTGGCGAGGACATCGTTGAGCATCTGATGGATGGTTTTCTTGAACACAGGGTGGATGTAGTCCGGGATCATACTGTCATGTACAGCATGGTCAGTGGCCGCAAAAAAGGTTGCTGAAACATAACTTACTCGCTGAGTGGTCTGAGGGCAAACTCACGCTCATACATTCGTGGATGTGGAACGACGAGCTGTCCTTCGAGATTATCAAGAGAAGCACGACCATGCTCCGGGCGAGTGTCAAATACGAGATCGTCGTAGGTCAGGATGTCAAGGTCGACTGCCCGAGGGCCATTGCGTATGGTTTTTACTCGTCCGACGGCGTCTTCGACATGCTTGACGAGTTTGAGCAGCTGGACGGGCTCTAAGTCTGTCTCGACCTGCGATAAATCACAACGGTGTGTATTGTGAGGATCTATCATTTGTGAAGAACATAGAATGAACGCACGATACAGGCACCGTTGATGAATTTTGGCTGGTCCGTCACATACATCGGTGCAGTCTCGTATAGGAAACTTGTGTTGACTACTGCAACCTCAGCACCGGTGGGGAGTCCAGCTAGGGACGACCGCGAGGGATCCTCCAACAACCGTAGTGCAAGCTCGATGTTCGCGAAGCTGTCTCCCAAATTCGAGCCTAGTGCGATAGCAGCGGTATGCAGGTCTCCCTTTTGAATTGACGGCGATGATTTTAACCTCTGAGCGATAAGCTTGGCGAGGCCCAGCGGAGACTCTATTGGGCCAGAAGCAGAATTCGCGGAAACTCCAGGTGCTGAGTCGGTATCGTAGTCACGAAGCGTACGGATAATTTCCACCTCTGCGGCTTCTGCGAATACGAGGGCTTTCGGTTTGGCCGCGCGAACTGTAACAATATCACTACGTCGGCCAGTGTATCGCAGTGCGGTGAGGGCTACAAGAGAAGCCAGCGACTCGATAGAGACAAAAGAAGAGTCTTCCACGGCCTGAAATATAAAATTTGTAGGATGTCAAAAAGTCAGTTCAAAGTGCTTCACTGGAGAGATGGTTGCATCTCGCCTCACGAAGCTGCTTGCCCAGAGTGCGAAAGTTGAATGGTCCAACAATTTCATCGTGGGACTTCGACAGGTCGATGTTGAAATGTACGACTTGCTTGTCCTCCCTCTCACAAGCATTCAGTCCCACGATGGTGTTACACTTGAGTTCTTCGATTGTCCAGACATCCCGACCAACCCTAGTCCCATTGCGCCGCCTTGTGGATTGGATGCCAAAGCCCTCCGCGTATGGTGATGCCCTGGGTTTGACCAAGCTGACCTTCATCTCCTGGATCGTGTCGAATGCATTAAAACATGTGGCGAAAACATGGTCCAATACGGTCTCGAGGGAAGCAAATCCAGATACGAGATGTGGCACCTCCAGCGATTTGAGCAAGGTGGAAGACAGGGAACCGTAATCTATTGAGGCTGCGACATCATCGTTCAGAGCTGCAGGGCGAAGATCGTGAGGGATAGTTAAGCTGAGACGGAGAGGTTGTTTCGTCGGGAGTGAGGGGTTTTTGGGTGGCCATTGTGCTCCGTTCGAGATGGGTACGATGAAGAGTAGGTTCCGGACTCGAACAGAGTCTGATGGCAGACTATCCTGCTGGTCGACCGACATATCAGCTTGAGTCTGTGAAATCAAGATGAAGAAAGTTTTATACTACCTTACCGTTGTGTGTGGGTGCGCGCCGGTCCCGGTCATGATGGTTGTCGGCAGAAGCACGAAAAGCGGCGAAAGCCTGAGCGGCACCTTCTTGTGGCCCACCAACATCATGTCCGACCTCACCTCTGCTCTTCAACGACTCGCCAACTACCGCTCGCACAATACACGTGCATCGAAGGATGTATTCGAAAGCGGAGTCGTAGTACTGAAGCAAAACGCTATCAACAAATTAGGGGACGATAGTACGTAGTTCAACATATCCTCTCACTACGCGTCATTCATGTTCAAGCCATTCGAGTTTAGGCTGGTCTTTTTTGGAACAATTGGCTCTTGCTGCCATCGATGTCGGCAGGTACGACGTTGCAGATGTACGCGTCATATGTTTTGTTCATCAGTCAGAGTACTGACGGATGAGTGAATTACAGGAGTGTCTGAAGCGACTAGCAGAGAAGTTCCCTGCTTCGCCACGAGTAGACTGCTTGCAAGGGATATTCCTCGAGGGTACCCAGTCACCTCAACTTGCGTTAAAGTACTATGGTAAGCTCCTGGAAACTGACCCAGCCAATGCTGTGAGTCCTTCATGCACATTTACCCTCGTACGTGGCAGCTCAATAGTCTCATATGTAAGGCAGCATGGAAGCGTCGGATATCTGTCCTCAGACGGCTGGGTCAGATAGAGACCGCCGTGACAGAGCTGACACAATTCTTGGACACGTTCTATAACGACGTCGAGGGATGGCTTGAGTTGGCAGACATATACACCTCGTGTAACCAGTGCGTCTGTTCGTTCAGTTCTTGCTATCAGACAAGCTCAATGTGGCGTGGCGTTCATTAGATATACTCTGGCCCTGCAGGCCCTATCGCATGTCCTCATTCTGTCACCACAAAACCCATTCTATGTCCTCCAAGCAGCCGAGACTGCGTACACACTGGAAGACATACCGCTAGCAATCAAGTGGTTCCTTCTGGTCGTCGACATGACCACTGATGAAGATGCTCAAAAGACAAAACCGACGGGAATAATCGTTCGAGCATGGTACGGGATTGCACTGGTACGTTTGTTCTCCGTTCAAAGTTCTGGTCAACTTTCTCACCGCATTCGTCTCTGTTCAGTGTTCTCGAAGGCTCAAGAGCCCGTCAGGAGCTCATTCACAATCTAATACAAGCGTACCTAAAGACATGCTAGCCATTGTAGCACTCGCGAGGGATGTTCTTCTGGATGCGTACGAGAAACGCAAGGGAACGACGCCGCAAGGGACTACAGAGGTGTTGAAGTGGTTGGAGGATTTCAGGTTCGATTGAGATGGACGAACGGACTGCTTAAGTTATGTACCTTCTCTTTCTGCTTTGTCTTCCGGATATGGTTTGCATATGGATATCACATTTGTGCTGGTGTCATGGATAATGAAACCGCCGAGCTTCTGCCACACTCGACAGGCAACTTAGTAGTGCCAATCGATGGAACTCGGGCCAAATTGTTTGGTCAGAATGTCTTCTTATTTGTTGACTATATACGTTTGACACGCTGACGAAACGTTACTATTGTCCTAGTAGCATGTGGTGCTTCTGTCCCTCGAGGGTCACTCGTGGAGAATCACAATAAAGCAAAAGATACGGTTCTGCCGTCTGATTCCCACAAGTCCATCACTATCATGTTGTGCGTACAGGTCTTCCTTTAAGTAATAAGCTCCTTCCTTTCGCGTCCACCTTTGTTCACCCGAAAAGAACATCACGTCTCGTACATACACATCCCTTTCAGTCCTTTGTCCTCGGCCGCAATCACACGGTCGCCACATCAACGGGGACGCCCAAATCTTTCGCGAAGGTTCTCTGCGAAACGCGCGTACGGTCATTGTGGCCAAGAAGGGAAAGTGTCGCCCTTACGATTTGAGCGTCCGACATCCTTCGTGCTATATAAAGGCGATCGATTTCCTAGGGGAGCTCCTTACGCCAAACCCCTTCTCCCTCCCACCCTCTGCCCAATTCGTTCTCGTAGGCCCGGGCAGCTACCCTACCTCTTCTACACTTCTCCATTCTCTGTACATATTAATTCATCCGCCGCCCCTCCCCTCCCTCCCTCCTCTTCTCCTTTCTTGTAAAAGATAAATTAAAATCCTTTTTTGGACTACGAGCGAAGTGAGCGCTTCCGTCTTTGTTTCATCCATAAACAGGCCGCTGACGACCAGATTTATCACTCATTTGTAGCGGAAACTTGCCATCTCAGTATGTGCTGAGTCCACAAACACCCTGTTATGTGTCTGGCTGGCTTGTTTCCATTCAGCTTTGTGTTCTCCCTGCGTAAGTGTATCTTGCTACACCACTGCATACGTCGATGCTTACGTCGACGTGCGCCTCTCGTTGTTTACAGAAATCAATTACCCCAAGTTCATCCCAGCCTCGGCATCTTGCTGACACCGTCTGTCAATCGCAGATCTTTGCGCTTGGTGGTAGTCCAGTCCGTTCACCGGATTCAACACAAGTGTACTACTCCAACCTCACCCAGAAACGGACCGTCATGCCCATGATGTCGCAGCGCTCCCCTAGCTGTTCTCCGTTCCCAAAGAACAGAACAGAACCTGCGTCCAATTCCCTCTGTAAGCTCTTAGTTCAAGCTCACGCTACGCCACCGTCTTTTCTTGCTGCATGCTGACTGGTTCCAACCCGATTCATTATTCAGCTCTTTCCTGCAGGGGATTGCGATGTAGTCACCCTCACCCTCACCCTCACTCTCACTCTCCCCCTCCCCTTCTCCTTATCTCCACTTCCGCCACAACCTCCTCACTCCTCACGTCCGCCGATCATCGCCAGCTACAGACTGCACGCTCCCCCACGTTCGCGATGCACCTTGTCACTTCACCCCCACCTTCGACCGCGATCCTTGGTTCAGAGTGGGGGAGGGTCCGTCGCACTGATATGTTTTCTTGTTTGATGCCATTATGCACGTATGTTTTATGTTCTTGACCATGAGTGATTGTCCTCCCAAACGGTGACGAGGCCGACATGGACAGATTCGGCCTTGGACTAGCGGTTGGCCATGCGTGAGGTTATTGTTTCCTCTCTTAAGTAGTTCTGCGGACAATAGTCAGGCATGAGCACGAATCATTCGACGAACTCAGACTGGTCGATAGTCTATGCTATGGGAAGAACTAGCAACAGCCCACTGCCAAATCATGCAGAAGGGTATACGCCACACAATTGCAGCTGATCAAAACGCGAAGTGATACTGTACATGCGGAATCGAGGTATAGTACTAGAGTATAACTCAGACTGAACGTGTGTATGTATGAGGTATGTGTATATCGGGAGAAGTAAAAAAAATGAACCAGGATTCTATCCGTTCTCTTCTCAATCGATGAGGTAGAGGCGGCTGCGGCCGTGGCCGGTGAAAGGGAAGCCTAATCAGGTGGCGCGAGAGGTCGGGGCGACAGAAGATGAACGGGGATCGTAGCTGGCTGAATGAGCGACGAGAAGAGAAGATCGAAGTGCAGAGGAGGAGGACGGGGAATGGCGCTGTGACAGGGAGGAAGACGACATATCGAAATGGGGGAAAGTGACGAGGAAGAGTTGAAGGTGCGATTAATCCAAGAAAGAGGCTATAAACAATAAACCGTCCATGAAAGATGCAACCCGTACATACGAACGACCAGCCAAAACGACCATGCATAGGGCGAAGTCTCGGATACGCGGGCACTAACTGGCGTCTTGGTGGCGATACTGCAGTTTGCCAAAAACTGCAGTTCTATCCGATGACAAGATAAAAGTGAAGAAAAAAAGGCGAGGAGAAAGCGAGAAAGCTCAACCAAGAAACGAACCCGCCTCACGAGAATAGAACGGGCAGAATTGCCACAACACCTGCCCAAGCCCAACTCCATCTTGACCCTCCGCCGACCACTGCAACCACCCCATCCGAGCTCGCAGCCGTCGTCGACGACGCAGCGCTTGAAGAGCTCGTCTTGCTTCCTCCGCTGGATGATGTCGTGTGACTTGATGACGACGAGGAAGCGCCCGTTCCGGTTGATTTGGCACTCGATGTTGACGGTGTGAACGAAGATGCGGGATTAGTAGAGACGGAGAGTGAGGCGGTATTGGAGAGTGTGATTGTGGATATTTCTGCTGGAGATGTCGCGGATGAGAGGGTGGTAGGGATGGGGAGGGTGGATGTCAAGGAGGCGACCGGAGAGGAGAAGGAGCCGGACATTCCGTCAAGACTGATGCACAGTAACCGAGCAAGGCGATTCCCATCAGTAAGTGGTGGCTATCCAGCAGTCGTAGAATATACGCACGCGAATGCCGGGGTGAACGATTGATAAGCTCCAGAGTTGTTGGTGAAGGATGTGGAAGTGAACGCCACATAGCTAAGAGATTCCGTTCATGTCAGATACTTTGCGTGAATGAAGTGTTGTTAGAACTCACTATGAACTGGAATCTGGCCCGGCTTCTGCATTGGGCTATAAAGCGCAGTCCGTAAGCAGCGAGCGTGAACCACCAAAATTTCTACTCACAGTGAAGGTTAGAGAATGCACAGAGCTGACATCCACGGCCTCAATCGACTGAACAAGTTGCTACAACACGGAATGATCATTAGTGTTCCCGCGACGGCTAAAGTAAGCTGGAAACTCACAAGCTCCCCGTAGTACAGCCCTACGGTGCAAATCCCGACTGTGCTAAGCAGAGGTTGTGTACCGTCGTCTAGCCATTCGATGGTACATGACTGGCCTGCATGGCAAGTTGTACCGACGTTCGGGCTGGTGACCTATGTGGACCATAGACCACGGAATGAGTGGGGATAAAAATATAAGATGACAAAGGGTGAAACCAAGAATACCCACATATAAAGCCGCAAAGCACAGGGGGATATAAATGTTGAGGGCGAAAAGCGCCAAGACGGATCGTGAGGGGGACATGGGCAATAGAGTGGAGACCAAAGTAGCCGTCTATTAGAGTACAGCTGCAAAAGAGTGTGGTTGATATGAGGATGAAGATCAAATGTGTGAGATGGGGAGATGCGAGCGCTGGCAATGCATTCACAAGTGATGAGAAGGACTCCGTCGACAGAAACGTCAACTTACTCTATCGCAGTTCCGTCCAAAACGGGCTGCAATCCGTTGCCAAAACAAGCATCGCCACGTGTTCCGTCGCGTACGGGCGAAGTCAAGGCACGGTCGTCGAGTTGCTTACTCGCCAAGTCCTCCTCTCGTTCGGGTTGGAATATTTTTGCGATTTTTTTGTGCGGCCAACTTACCTTTAAAAATGAGAGCTGATTGCGACGAGTACAGGGAAGAGAGCCCTACATCCGAACGCATGGGTCGCCGGACTCGATAGGATGAGAAATTAGCGCAAATGATGCAAAATATAGCGGCCAAGAGGCGGGATATTGTCAGGAACGGCCGGATGGAATATCCTCCGCAGTACCGATTTTGGGTAGCAGCGAATATAAAACCGTGAGCGCAGGCGCGGTATCCCCCTTCGCCCTTAGTTTCGCTCTACATCGCAGAAAACACTCTCGTCGCGGCTTTCGTCGTCCACACTCTCTTTATCCACTCTCGCTCTTTTGCACACCCCCGAACCCTCCTAAACCCACCTTTCTTCTTTTTCGTAAATCTTTCGCCATGTTCGGATACGCTACTGCCCTCATTCTCGCCGCCGCCGCCCCTTCGGCCCTTGCGACTGTCTACGTGAGCCCCCCCAATTCGCTTCACTCCACTCTTCGTTTGTGCTGATCAATGGACTGCCACAATCTCTATCACACACGTCTCATTCTTGGACACCAACTCTCTGTCCCTGCTGTTTGCCATCGATCTCGCCGCAGGTCACCGCACCCGTCGCCTCCACCTCCTGGGCTGCTGGCTCCAGCGTCACCCTCACCTGGCAGGAAGACGGCACTACCCCCAGCCTCGGTGACTTTGGTCCCGCTTCCATCGGTATCTACGTCGGAAACGTCAACGAGCAGGTTCGAGCTTTTCCCTCGCTTTCCACGTACCTAGTCAATTCTCATCATTTCAATACTACAGACTCTCCTTCAAACCATTTCGGACAGCCTTGATGTTAGCAACGCTACCTCCATTGACTTCACTCCTGATGCCTCCATCGGTGCGGACAGCGACGCATAGTACGTTTCCTTCGCCCGTTCCATCGAATATCCTATTCACAGGACCTGTTCAGCTTCATTCGCTTCCAGTCAATCAGCGCTATGGACGACACCTCTGCCTACCATGTCCAGGCTTTCTCATCCAAGTTCACGTACGTTTCACTTGCCCTTGTTCCTCTCAAAGGTCCCATCAGCTGATTCATCACCAAATCTACCCATCTTTCTGCCCTCCCATCTCGTTTTGATCCAAATCCCATCACTCAAAAATATACAGCATGACCGGCATGACTGGTACCTTCAACGCGACCGTCCTCGCTGAGATGAGCAGCACCGCCTCTGGCTCTGCCAGCTCCACCGCCTCATCCGCGTCCGCCTCCTCTACAAAGGCTGCCTCCACGACCAAGGCCTCGACGGCCAGCACCGCAACTGCGTCCGCCTCGAGCGACTCTACCAGCGGTGCGGAGAGCAGGACCATCGTCAACGGCGTTGTCGGCTTGGCCGGCCTCGCTGCTGCTGGTGTCGCTTACTTCCTTTAGAGAGTTGAATCGTCGTTTTCTTTTCTTTTGCTGAGGGTGACAGGATGACTTCTGCGCGATCCGAGACCGCACCAGACTTCCGAGCATTTGATATCCATTTTCGTGTTTGATTGCTTCCATCTTTATTCCATTCTGCATTCTTCTCTGGATCTTTTTGTTGTATGGTGTTGTGTTTTGACTGATACCACACTACTGATTGATTCGAATCCGATTCCCCATGCATCGCCTTCGTGCGTGCAAACCACTACCTACATCGCTATGCCCAGAGTCCTCTACCTTTTGACTTCTGACTATCATCCGACCAGTCCTCACTATCCCTCACGAACTTACACGCATACGGTATACACCGACGACGACCAGCGACGCGTATACCACTGCTACAGGCTTGCAGGTCGTCGCGCCCCTTTGCGTTGCGTGTGATGAGAACTTCATCTTACACTCGTTCATAGCCATGTAGATGTGCTTGTGATGTTTCTGTGTTGCCTTTTCCTTTTCTTCATTCGGGTGATATAATATTGGATCTAATTCTTTTTTTGGTTCTACGGCCATTGTTGATCCTGAGCATGACGCCACAGCAACCGGTAGGTGGTGTAAATGCAACAGTGTGCAGACGACTCACCGGTTCCAATCCTTATGGCCATCGAGTGTCAACACAGGGTGGCGCGAGTGGCGTGGCGTCTCCGAATCAAGTTCCGCCTTTGTCCGTGTTGCAATAAGCGCTCGGACGCACCCGTGTCGCTTCGGAGACGTTCATGGAAGTTGATTTTCACGGTGATCATAGCAAAACTACTAAACATCTTGTTTGTTTATTCACAAGCCTTTCATAGGTTCATGTCTCGCCACGACGACTGTTTACTATTGAATCTACCGGAGCAGACCTGCGAGTCTCGGAGTTTCCGGAGTTCTTAGCCGACTTGCTGTGGCACAGTGGACCATCGTCTGGAGGCTCCGGGGGTCTTTCAGCTCTGCTGGCGCCGAGCAACAGAAGAGTGAGATTCGCAGTACGTCTATCCGCTCCGAATCATTCAGGCCTCAGCGTAAAACGCCAAGTCACCCTACCTCGACATCATTCTAATGTACATTTTTCAGAGTGCTCGGGGCATGTAGTAAGTGATTCGACGGGTGCAAAGGTCCAGAACCATTGAAGTCTGAAGATACATCTGTCGACTTCTCAAGCATCATGCCCCTCCAGCCCAATTGGAACGCGTTGCGTTCATGATCGTGACGACACCAGCGTTATCACACCGGATTTAATGTGGATGTCTCGAGTTCAGTCTTCCTCGGAGCAGTCTCCTGTAAGCAAAATAGCCAGGAGTCTCTATCTTCAGTTGGGCTGGTGCGATGATCAATCTTTATTTTAGTTGACCTCCGGTCTTTTTCATTACCAATGTCAGTGTTGTGGATGTGCATCAAGAAGTATTCACTAATACTTACTGTGAACAGAACGGATGAGCAGTGGGTGAACAGGGGCTGCTACTCCGTCGGTCTTCTGAGGTTGCGGCGGGATGCGGTTGTTCCTCGAGGTTATGACCCACACCAGCTAGAGCTATCCACACTCTATCAGCGAGTTCACAGCGTGTCTTCCCTCAGTAGGGATGTTTGTCAGGGTATATATACCGTGATCATCGTGGTTCTCATCTTCACTTCTCCCATCATCTTCCTTTGCTTGCTCCCACTTTCTACTACAGTCTTCATGGCTAATCGTCGCGTTCCGTACGGTAAGCTATGATTCCCTTTGATTCGTACCTATACGGAGACCTGATATATGGCTGGCTGAACGACGTCTATGCAATTTCACAGTTCGTGTGGGAAATTCGGGTCTCAAAGGTAAGTTTTCTTAGTTTACTGGGAGCTTCCGTGAGCATACTGATGCGAATACTTTTTGAATCAGTTTCTAAGCTCGTCTTGGGCTGTATGAGCTATGGTTCTCCTGAGTGGTCTCCATGGGTCCTTGAAGAGGAAGAGGCCATCAAGCACATCAAGGCTGCGTACGCAATACAGCCATGTCATTTACAAGTGTCCAGTTTTCTGAATATACTCACTGTGTTTAGCTATGACGCAGGAATCCAATCTTTCGATACATCGAACGTAATTCACGATTTATTCCTGAATATATAAATTCAAGCGCTAATCGATATCTTCTTCGGTATGTATGTAGGTTTACTCCAATGGACTGAGTGAAGTCATCCTCGGAAAGGCAATCAAGCAATTGAATCTTCCGCGAGAAGAAATAGTGGTCATGACAAAGGTGCTCATTTTCGACTGATTCTTGAAATCAACTGAGCTGATCATACATACTCGTCGCCGTTTCCAGCTTTGTGCTGTCGTCGGTCGCACCCCCAGCACGCCAGTCCAACGCCGTGCCCCAGCACAATTGGACGCCGACGGCTACGTCAATCAGTATGGCCTGAGCAGAAAGAATATATTCGCTTCCGTCAAGGCCAGTTTGGAGCGCCTCCAGCTGGATTACATCGACTTGTACTGGTGCCATCGCTTCGATTATAATACGCCTATCGAGGAGACGATGCAGGCACTGCATGATATCGTGAAGGCAGGCTATGTTCGCTATATCGGCATGAGCTCTTGCTATGCCTACCAGTGTGGGTTTTTCCCTATCTGTCAAGCGGAAGGCGTTGGACTGACAACTCGACTCATACTTAGTCCATGCCATGCAGAGTGCGCAAATAAGTTGCTTCTCGTGATGCGACTTTACTGACATGCGAGTACCTAGACTACGCGATCACACACAACCTCACGCCCTTCATTGCGATGCAGAACCATTACAACGTTGTTTACCGTGAAGAAGAGCGGGAAATGATGCCCACTCTCAAGGTAAGAAATTCATGTCATGTCATGCCATGACTGACTGACCGATTGACTGACCCGTCACGCCAACAGCATTTCGGCGTCGGCTCCATCCCCTGGAGTCCTCTTGCTCGCGGCGCAGTCACACGTCCCATCGATGCAGAGAAGACAGCCAGGGCCACCGGTGACCAGCTCTTGAAGCCTGATGCATATCTTGCAGATGGTACTGGCGGAAAAGACATCGTTCGCAGGTGTGTATTCATCTGCCTTGTACGTTCTTTAAACAGAAAGTCTGACGAATCAAGCAGAGTGGAGGAACTGGCGAAGAAGCATGGTGCAACGATGCCACAAGTGGCTTTGGCTTGGACTATGGCGAAAGATGGTCCGTCTCTATTTTTGTTTAACTAGGAACTGTGCTGACGTCTTGTGTGGATAAAATAGTTGTCTCTGCGCCCATCATTGGCACGACCTCACTCGAGAAGCTGGAGGACCTGCTGGGTATGTATACTGTTCGGCTGCAAAACTTACATTGATATTCATCCCATTATTTCTCAGGTGCATTCGATGTCAAACTCTCTGAAGAAGACATAAAGTACCTTGAGGAGCCTTACACACCTCTCCGTATCATTGGCCACATCTAAGTCCAAACTCAAAGCACAATGAATCTCGGGCGAAATCATGGTGGTAGAGATGTGTGACTGCCAAGTTTACCGTAGAAGTTTACTGTCATGAAACCGTTCATTGTCGCAATCGTATGATCCGTAATCCTGTATATCTTGCTCAAGGGTTGTAATGGTCGGTCTGTGTTTACGCGACATCATGGACTCGAGTTTCCGACAACCGGCCGGCCACAACAGATCTGCGCGACGCGTCTCGGTCACGTGACGTGTGCAAGTTCAAAGCACGTTGGATCGGCGCGTTCTTCAGCTCGTTTACCGCACGCGACATCTGTCCTCCCTCCTCTCCGACTCCCCTCTAGCGCGTCTCCTCATTTCTCTGGTACTAGAGTATCTAAGACCCCGAAAACACACTCTAAAGGAACACTCATGTCTTTCAATCCAAGGACACCCGCTCGTCATCGCGCGAAATCCGACGCCGCCTCCAAAACACCGCTAACGCCTTCTATCATCTCTGGCATCTCCAACATCAACGTCTCCACACCTGCTAATAAGAACACTAGGCCAACCAAATATGCCCCACCATCAACTGGTGGTGCATCTAATCCTTTTGTAACGCGTCCCCGGGCTACTTCAACTCGTGGGTCTTCGCGTCCTACCTCGCGACCAGCCTCACGCGCAGCTAGTCCAGTCAAGAGAGCTACATCCGGAGGGCTTCAGATTTCAGAGTCGTTGCAGAAGCAGGCAGGGACGGGGGTGGTGAGGAAGGGAGGGGTCGAGTCAAAGCTGGATGTGATGTCCAAGGGTCAGGCTCCACCTCCCAGGAAAGAGATCAAGCGTTCCAAGTCAACACCTGCCGGGCTACGCGTAAGTATCGGCTCAGTGGCATCATCATTCAATCGTACATTTTTGTGCAGTCTGTATGGAAGAGGCTTTTAAAATATTCGTGGACATATTTGCTGGATACCCCGTGACATTTGCGCGCGATGGGTTGAAGCATCCTTTCTCCTATAATCTCATCACGTCCTCCAAAATGTACTGACTGCTCTGTCTCTTCGTAGCGCGATGCTCCTGATCGCTTCATCACCACCCGCGACACAGATTCCGATGTCGCGGCTCGACTTGACATGATGAGTCTCAATCCTCAGTCCGCCTCACCAGGCCACACCGCCCGTCTCGTAGCCGCCACTGGTGTCCCCGTCAACAAACGCGTGCTATCCTACCACGAGGCACCTCCCGCTCCCTCCGACACCACCCTCTCCCAACAACGCGAATTCGCACGCCCACTTTACGCTCGTCCAGGAGCTCTCACTACCTCAACCGGTACTAAGACGAACAAAACCCGAAAGATAGCCCAACAGCCCGAGCGCGTCCTGGATGCACCGGGCATGGTGGACGACTTTTATCTGAACCTCTTGAGCTGGAGTTGTCTGAACACTGTGGCGGTCGCCCTGGCCGAGGCCGTGTACGTCTGGAAGTCCGCTACAGGAGAGGTCGTCCAAGTGGGCGAGGTCGACGAGAACACGTACATCTCTGCCGTGGAGTTCTCGGCAGATGGAAACTTTCTGGGTGTAGGGAATGGTGAGGGTGAGGTCGAGCTGTGGGACGTTGAGGCGGCTCAGAAGTTGAGGACCATGGGAGGTCATCAGGGTCAGATCGGGACGTTGAGCTGGAACGGACATGTTTTGACGTCGGGTTGTGGCGACGGAAGTATATGGCATCACGATGTGCGTATTGCGAGACACAAGGTCATGGAACTTATCGGTCACACGGGAGAGGTGTGCGGGCTGAAGTGGAGGCACGATGGGGAGTTATTAGCGAGCGGCGGGAACGACAATGTCGTGAACATCTGGGATGGTAGGATAGGCGATGTGAATGAGGGATCGAGGGGCGTGGCGAAGTGGACGAAGCGAAACCACACAGCAGCTGTCAAGGTACGGCTCGCCTCTTCACCTCTGTTCGGCTTTGGCTGACGGTTATTTGTTTTGCAGGCTATTGCTTGGTGTCCATGGCAGCCTTCCCTTTTGGCCTCTGGGGGTGGTACCAACGATGCCTCTGTGAACATCTGGAACAGTACCACCGGCGCCCGTCTACACACCCTCAAGACTTCTTCTCAAGTCACATCCATCCAATGGTCGCCTCATAAGAAAGAATTCCTCACTACCCACGGATATCCTACCAACAGCGTCATGGTCCACGCATACCCTTCACTTGAGAAAGTCGCAGAAATCCGAGACGCTCACGATAGCAGAGTGCTGTTCAGCTGCATCGGCCCCGACGGAGACATGGTTTGCACGGGTGCTGGAGATGAGAATCTTAAGTTTTGGAGGATCTGGGACGTCCCCTCGTCGACGAAGAAGAGCAAGACGTCCAGTAGCACGAGTATGGAGGGCAGGGGCGGGACAACTGGAAGTGGGATTTTATCGCTGCGGTGAACGCTTTCTATGGCGACATACGGCTGGAATGATGATCCAGAGGGGCGTTTGTTGCGTCCAGCTCTTTGATGTTCTGTTTTCTTGTCTTTGAATTCTTGTGTTATTTGTGCTCTGTTCGTTAGCATGGCTTGACTCACTACTGACCGGCGACACATCATCCTATATATCAAACATCTCTCACTATGACATACATCGCGATCCCTCCCACAACGTCTGCACTTTACGATCTTGGATGACTCGGCTCATACCTCACTTTGATTGCGCACCATACTACATATCTGTGCATAGAGTACCCTCACATCATTATTGGCATGGTTTTGGTTACGAATTTACTAGCTTTCAGGTTTCTCTGTCTTGCAAGTTCACGGGGTCTACGACTGCGTACAATCATATTTTTGGCAGTATTTAGTAGTTCATTTCAGTGGGAAGTGAACATAAAAGCGGACGGCTTCATCGCAAAAAATATCGGAAGCTAATAATCATTCAGACACTAATAATATACAATATATGGATACACGTCCAAAGGACACTTCTCTTTTGCTCTTCGCTACAACCTTGACATAGTTTAAGCTTGCGATTTCAAGGTCTGAGCGATGAGCTCGCCCAGGGGCTTCGCAGAAGCCGGGTTCTGCCCAGTGAGAAGGGTACCGTCAACGGAAACTTTGACCTGTAGACGTTGTGCTTATCAGCATGAAGCATGAGCATGCAGGAGTCTGAGAAACAAGTATAACTTACACCCCAGGGTTCGCTGGCCTTCTCAAAGACCGCACCAAGTTCTACCATCTTATCTTCTGGGACGAAGGGGATATCCTACACGCAATGACAGTGAGCGAACTGATCACGATGGGCACTGACGGGTTCGGAGACGTGCCTTGACCTTCCCGACCTGCTCCTCCTCGGCGCGGGTGAAAGCAGTGGCTTTCTTTCCAGCGAAGATATTCTTGCCATCAGTACCCTTGACACCGACAAGTGCTGCGGGTCCATGGCAAACGGCGGATACGATCTTGCCAGATTGGTAGAACTAACAATAGTACATCAACAGGCTGTTCGACCAAGTTAGGCAGCCCGACTGACCTTGGAGGCAAGCTCGATGTTGACTGGATCAGAAGCAAGATCAATGACGGGACCATGGCCGCCAACGTAGAAGATCGCGGCATAGTTCTCGTAGTTCACATCCTTGAGAGCCTTCGCGTTTGCAAAAAGCGACTGCACTTTCGGATCGGTGAGGAACTTCTGGCTCTCGTCATCTTTGAACATCTGGAAACGCCATCCGTTATGTCAATCGAAAGCAATCATCATCTGTCAATGTAGGGTCCTGACCTGAACAGAGACAGCATCGACAGGGGGATTTGGGCCTTTTGGAGCCGCGAAATCGATCTCGAAATCAGGAGCGAGAGTGTAGTATGGATGGGCAGCTTCGGGAAGGTACCATCCCTGCAAAGCATCAGTGAAGTGTCAGACACGACCACGGCCAGTTTTTTTAGAAAAAAAAAAAACAGCCCGAGACACATACGGTTTCGTTTCCGGTAAGAGTCTTATTGCACGAAGTGAACACGAAAAGGATGCTCTTGGTCATGGTGCGAAGGCTTCAAGGTAAGAGTCTGTGGTGTTCGGGTGTTGATCTACCTAGCGGGTGATAGTGAAGGTTGGGAGAGAGGAGGAACAGTGGTGCTTGGGATCTTTTATAGAGTAAATTTGTTTGGAAAAGCGGGATCGACACGATCTTCGTCATTCGGACGCTCCGCTCTGTCAGCCCGAGTCCGAGTCTTGCACTGCCATCAGTTCACTAGCGAGATAGGAACACAGTTCTCACCATTGTTTTCGTGCACTAGATAAGGAATCTGGGCTCCCTCACCCACTGAGAAATTTCGAGAAATTTCGGAGAGGAGCGCTCCCAAAGGCTCCCAAGTCTTCCAAGAGGTCTCGGAACGGGGAACGAATTGAAGCATTGGTTGCGTCATGGCTGTCTCCTAAAACACGTGCGATCGTTGTGGGGAAACAATGATATGTATTCCCACGCCACACTGGGGTCTACCGTTGCCACTCGCGTTGACCTCAGGATCGTTTCTTTCTGCAAACATCGCCGCTTGACTCATGCTCCTATCTCAGCAACACCGAAGAACACGCTCTGTAGGGTCTTGTGAGGCTTGGGAGCTGATGTTTTTAGAATCCATTGAACCCGGGCACGCCCATATGCCGGTATGAAGCCTCTCCTTTTTGAGTTCTCACAGCCGCCAGTGCCGGCAACTTGTGCTTGCGTATTATAAGTCGAGCTCTTCTTCCCACCCGCCAAACAGCAGTAAACGCTTATTCGCTCTCATCACATCTCAGACGACTACTGCTATATCCTGTCTCCTATGCCTTCAATTCCCCCATCTACTTCCGGAGCCACGCTGAGCCAATCAGTCGATGTAGACATGAAGTCTGTTCCAAAACAGAAACCCTGGATCGACCCGTACGCTCTGCCCAAAAGTGGCGACATCTCCCACGTCGAAGGCAATGTCTCAAATGAAATCAAACAGCTTGTTCAGAATACTTTTGTGGCTTACGGTATAGGTGACGACGACTGTTTTGCCGCTGCGGCAGGGAGGCAGGCTAGGTTTAAGGAGGTGAGGGTGAGTAAGAAGAGGCTTGTGGCGGGGAAAGAGAAGGTGGATTGTACGACGGTCTGGGAGGCGATTGTGACGAAGAGTAGGTGTCGTGCTCACGGGACGTTCAGGGTGACATGCCTTCTCGCAAGCTGATTCAATTCTGGGGTTTATACTGGGCCGTGATATCTAGGTATGGTCAACGGAGCCGGGATGTTGCATGGAGGATGCATTGCATACTTGGCTGACAAGTAGGTGTTCTGATCCCAATGTCACCTTCTGCATTTACCATACTTATGACTATTATGATAGTTGTGGAAGCACACCATTACTCGTCCTTGGTTTCCTACAAGATGTCAACGGAGTCGGTGTCACTCAGGGGTTGAGCATCTCATATCACTCTCCCGCACCTATGTAAGTTGCTTTACAGCACAGTGAAGAACAAGAAAGAACGAGGTCTCATTTCGTTGTCTCAGTGGTACATGCTTGCGAATAGAGAGCAATTCTATCGCCCTTGGCAGTAGGATCATGGCCGCACGATGCGAGGTTCGTTTACATGCTTCAATGTTTATATTGCGAAATATACTCATATTACATCTTGTGTTGACGACAGATGACAGACAAGAAGACGGGAAGAGTAGTTGCTTCGGCTCTCTTGAACAAGATGCAGCCTGTACCGGCGAAAATGTAGGCAGGGAAGGCTGCACATCCGGTTCGCAGTCTGTAATGATACACCGAGAGAGCAAAATACCCTTCAACGACTCAAAGCCTCGCTTGAATGACAGAATGGTCTTGAAGAATGAATTGAGCGCCCTGAAATTCTACTTATCAGCGATGCTCGTGAGGTCAGGTCTGAATAGCGCACCAGTTCGCCCAGAGCATACGCTACCGCCTGCGTATGGCAGGCCAGGGGGAATGGTATGACGCTCGTATCTGGAGAAGGAAGAGCGCGTCAGTGTCCCGGTACGGTTCGTGATGATAGCGACATGCCTGCCACTCGCAGTCCTTCTATCCCCTGAACTCGTAGTTCATTATCGACGACACCTTGAGCATACTTGGTGGTCATTGAACACGTTCCTCCTAAGTGCCACACTAGACGATATCAACTCGTAAGACTGAGTCCGTCCTATGAAATCGAAACATGGACACGAACGAGTACGCATTGTTTGTTTCAAGAGGTTCATCGTCTCTTCGCGCGTCGGCTTACTCTGAGGCTCAAGATATTCTGCCCATGCATCCGTACTAAAAATATCATATGCCTTCTCGACAGCAGCCACCATGACATCTTGATCAACTTGTTCCTTCAACTGGTTTAATACAATTTTAGGTTCCGAGACTTGACTCCCGTCCCTCGAGGTAGATGAAGAGAGTGTAATGGAGCCTCTTGATCGTGGAGCTAGGAGGACTGTGGCGACGGACATGTACGATGTCTTCCGTGGATCTTGGGCGAAGGTCAGACCATGGCCGTACATCAAAAAGTTCTCGAAGTGAGGGACTGTGGACCGAAGGAGCACACGTCCCTCCATAGGCGTCAGCTCCTGTTAGACCCCAGGTTAGCACATCCTGTATGTAGACTCGTATCTTTGACCCACGTGGTTTTGTCTCGTCAAAGTAGCTTCAATTTGGGACTGGGCATTTGTAAGACCAATCCATTCGTACGGAAGCCCTGTGGTTTTAGATAAGCATGTAATACGGCACGACGATAAACAGGAAGGAATATAGACCACTCATTAGCCCTTTCGAGTCGTTGACCCAGTCATCCATATGGCGTTCCATAGTCATAAGATTGAAAAGGTCCTCCGCGGTGTCTCCTCGACTCTGTTTGTTCAAACGGAACCTACATTGATCGTGTTAGACGGGCGTGCGTGGATGCACTCACAAAAAACCAGGTAGAGCGTACGTGACATCAATAAGCTATGCGCCCTGTGTCAGATATAGTGGGATGGAAAATAACACTACAAGACTTACGGGATGATCCCACAAGTGTTGGCCAACGGACGGGGAATCGTGGATAACCTCGAGACCGTGCTCGGTGAGATGGTCTGAGGGGCCAATACCGGAACTATACTCGGCTACTCGTACGATGAGTTGCGGATAACGAAGTAAGAAAAAGCATACGAGAGTAGCAAGTACGGGCTCTGAATTGCACCGGCCGTGAGGATCTGATGATGCATGATGAATTTAATGTGCAGGTCATCGGAGACGATCCCACTCACCACTTCCTTTCGTGCCCGAATAACGCCAAAACTGGTCTGCACCCCAACGCACCTATTAATTACACTTCCCTCTTTGTCCTGAGCGCACTCTGTGATAACCTTCTCCACCTTCAACGCCGTCCATATCTCAAGGCGCCCCTTCGAGGATTTCTCCTGGACCATGTGTTGTTTAAATTTGCGAATGTACTCGTTCGCTGACGACCTATTGCCCTCTGCATCCACACTCTCTGCAAGCTCCGAGTACCCCAACATATCGCCGCCGTTGATGTTGGGCAGACGCCTATGCCCGGACTGCTCGTAGGAGGCTGCAGCGACTTCTGACCAAGGGTTAGATCGCTGAGACTGAGAGATAGTCCTGACAGATATAGGATTTGACGACCGCGAAGATGTTTCCACCTACATGAAGTAGGTCAATGAGCATATATATCCTACAACATAGAGCGAGTAAAACAAACATACTCGATCGAAGATGTAGGAGATCCCTTCCCAAGAAAACGCACGATTGTCGACCAGCTCTGCCCACAGATCGTAATCGTCTGCCGGGACGGTTAGATAGAGCTGCTATCATTATGTGGGACAGGTGATCACCTTTCGGTCCACGGGTCCATATACAGTAGTTTATACAAGTGGATCCGCCCAAGACTTTACCTAAACGCGTAGAAGATGACTGAGCTAGTTTCAATGAAAGTGGACCTATTCGGTACGCACCACTGTTGATATCAATAGCTCGTCGAGTGATAGGTTCATCAGCAGAACTGCGGTACTGGGCATCAAAATTGGTGAAGTGAAGCGAGTTGGTCTGCAGCGGGAGCTCGCTGGAGATACGCAATTCAGGATCTTGCTCTATACTACACAAGAGACGATTCAGCGAAGCAAAGAGATCAACAGAAAGGTGCCTACGTCGTGCCTTGCTCGATAAGAAGCACGCTATGATGGCCAGCTTCTGCGAGTCTTGTTGCAAGCGCACATCCTGCAGGACCTCCGCCCACAACGACAAAGTCAAATTCAGGTGTCTCTGCGAACTTCAGACGAGGGACAGCGGAGTGATGGAATGAGTATATGAAGGAGTTCATCTATGAGTGCGAGAGCTGAAAAGTGTTGAGATGGTGGATGAGGAGAAAGAGCGCTGACAAACGCCTGCCGCTCACATCGCGTTAACATAAGGCATGCTTCTACTGAGGCGTGTTTCACCCCCACCTACTTACAGAGCCGGACTTGCGCTAGAATTCATGTCGAGGCAGATTGACGGCATAGTCGTAGTAAGCATAGACTGTGTCAGAAAGCTGCCGACTCCACGGTTGCAATGCGTCTCATCAATCGCGGGTTCTAGGCAATCCTAATTCTCTTCATACTTGCGCCACTCATAAGTACTCGATGTCGCCACACTGTCCAGGCAAGTGGCCGACGTTGGACAGCTCGGTTCAAGTTGGCACTACCAGCTTGTGACGCACTGCACCTGATAGAAGAAAACACCTGGGCGACTCGCGTTCTGATATAAGATACATGACAATGAATTCGGAAGAGACTCACAGACGGAGTAGCCTACGTCAGCGTTCGTAAGCCGAACAGCGGAATGGCCGATATAGACCGGTCCTGTCGAGTCAGCTTAACCTCTCGTGAAGTTCACAGGATGAGATCCATGACTCGCACAGAATAGTGCAGAAAGTCTGTACCAAAAAACGATATGTAGGTGGCCCAAGGCCGTTAATGATGTAGATTCTAGAAGCAGAGGACATGCGTCGTGTACGGCCGAGGAAGACAGCGAGGTAGAAAGCATTTGGTCAAGAGCACAGAGATACGGAGTAGGGATGCACGTGTCGATTAAAGGAGGCCCATAATTTAGAGGTAACAGAACAGTAGTGCAAGCTGGTAACGGTCGGCCGTCAATGGGATGCTTTTTTGCCTACATGTAACACAATTTCGCTGTAGGACAGGGATCACATCAATATAAGCAAGGTTACTCACCATCAACAAACATGTTCCTTGTCGCAGATGGTAAAGTAACTGTCATTCCATCCAAGTCCTTCGTGACATGGACTTGACAGCCTAACCGACTGGTGTCTGTCAATCCGAAAGCCATGTCCAACATGTCATTCTCGTCATCTTCGGGTTCTGGAAGGATGTCGTATTGATCCGGGTCGAGAATAACATGGCAGGTTGAGCATGCCACAGAGCCCTCACATGCACCTACGAATAGAAAAACTAATTCAGGGTGTGAAGTGCGATCTGGAAGCTGCGGGACGCACCTTCAAGGTCTATGTCATACTCATGCGCTATTGAAAGTATATCATCGCCTTCATTGGCCTCGACTGTTTTGATAAGTTGACCTTTCGAATCCTTGAAATGTAGTTTGATGCTGAATTATACGTCCGGTGTGGGTTCTGTCAGGCAAAGCGATCGCAAACAGAAGATACAATGTAACGCACCCAGTTCCAGGTTCTGGCCGATCAATTCCCTCATGCCATGAGACTATCCATAGTTTTCTGTCAAGGTTCTGTCCGGAACGAAAGCGGGAAGGAGCGCACCATGACTGGAATGAAAAGTTCGCGAGAAGAGGTGCCGAGTGCTCGAGGAGTTTACGCATAGTCGTGACGGACGCGTTTGAGGAAACAAACTAGATGGCGACCTGAGCACTGGTCTGGCTTGAGGACGACGAGCAACAGCGCGTAGCGTCTGGAACAAGGACAGGTTTCGTGAAGTCATTGGCCTGGTGCGCTCGAGAATTCCGATGATAATTTATGCCCAAGCACGCGTTATCTTATCTTCGCTGAGTTTGAAAATGCACTGATCCGTGGCCGACGAACACAGTCGGCAGGATTGGGTATGACTCGATCACGGCTCATACTCAGCGGACTGAAACCACAACAAGAGAACTTCAACGTTCTTATGGGATCCATATCTTTGTTTACTAACGAGACCTAGTCAAACGCGAAGCTTGGCCGTCCAATCGTCCGTGCAATTTGCCAGCTCGTGGCTACAGTAGCGCTCGCCTTCGCGTTACGATTCACTTGCCCTTTGTGTACCCTCTGCTGGACCAAGGTTACACATAATTTCTTTGTCTTCCAGTACTCTATCTGGTCCCCCAGTATATCTTCTACTTTGGCGACATTGCTGGAGTATTCTGAGTACACTGGGCGTCGAAATGAATACCAGAGTCCTACGCATTCTGGCACTGCGGGCGCTACCGCTGTTAGTGGTTATTCTTCTCTGCGAGTGAAGTTCAGTGTACTCTTCATATATAGTCAAACTAATAAATGCCAACTTATGTACACACAGTCCTCGTTGTTGCGTGGTTTGCGCTTCCCTCCTCGCCTTATTTGACTGACGACGGTGTCACATTCCCCACATACACTCTCCAATCAGGCAACGTTCTTACTCGGGTCTACGCGTGAGTTATACTATCTTTTATACCCCACGTAGTCTCTACTCACTCATATATATGTAAAAGCTTAAACGACTTCTTCCCCTTCTGGGACAATTCACCTCCTGTCGTCCTTGCTCGACGCCACGGTCGGGAATACTTCAGCCTAGACTTTTCAATCTCTTCGCCACCCCCCAGTCTCAAGTTTTCACCTTATCATAATGTCTCTCTTGACTTCGGACAACACACACAGGATGGGATTATAACTCTCTCGTCCAAGGAGATTTACGGCCCAGCTCGAATGGGAAACCTCGATGGGATCAATGCTCCTTGGTTCCCTGTGGCGGATGCGACCCTTCTATTCTGGCAGATCCATGAAGAGAGCATCGATCTGCCGCTGCGCGTGCGGCATGGACAGGGTAGAGTCGAGGTCTGGCCAGCTACTGCTCAGTGGGTAAGTACGCGCGCATCATGATACCAGTCCCACACATACCTTACAAGGCGGTCGGTCTCGATTCGCGAGCCCTCGTCGTGGTTCTTAGACATGTCGTGTTCAATTTTTTTTTTTCTCGCTTCACCGAGCTTGTAAGGTTTCTACTTACCAAATACCTTCCCACCATAAGGATCAAATGACCCCTGGCAAAAATCCGTCGTACCTCACTCCTCTCCTAACTTTGGAACTTATACCGTCCGAGCATGACGACCTTCACATCATCGCAACTACACCAAGGCCTCCAATTTCGTCCTCTCCGTCATCCACATACCCATTACGCGTCGGAATCCTCAACATTCTCCTCATCCTCTACTTTACATTCAACATCATCGGCTACCCCTTCGGCATCGCCCTCGGTCTCTTATGGAGCGTAATCAAGTTCGCCGTCCAAATAACCGGATTGCTTGGTCTTCTTCTTTTTGTCATATGGTGGTGGAAGGGAAGGCCACCATTGGAAGAGATCCAGGAGTCTGTAGCGGGGGTATTGGGACGAACGACGGAGATGCTCCACCCTCCGAGCGGACCGTCGTCGTCAGGGGAAAGGAGGCGAAGTGGAGAGCAAGTGAGGAAGACGAGGGTAGCTGGCGAACCTGATCTGGAGGCAGGGAACCCTCCATTAGATGAATGCGACATTGGTGTCAAAGGTAGCTCATAGCCAACAGTCTTGTGCGTCCAATTGGACCTGGTCAATTTCTGGTTATATATAATAGCACTGTAGATGCAGGCGGAAGTCGATCAGAATCTGGAGGCGTGAAGGCATCGCGCCATGCAGTCTACAATCTAAATGCATGGGTGGTGGCGAAGCAAACACGTGGCCCCTGGCTCTACGATGCGTTGGTCTGGTAACGTAAAGGGACAGTAAGTACGGCAAGATCGTCGGGACCCAGAGACGGGTGATCGTAGTCGAGATACAATCCACAAACCAACCGGTGCTCAGTCCAATCCCTTCATATTATCACGACGAAATCATCAGTGTCAGCTACCAAGTAATTAAACCCGTTTGAAACAGACTCACAATCTCTGGCACTCGCGCCCACAATACTGGGTACTCATACAGGCTTTACACCGATATGTCCAGCGCTCGGAGCATCCTCTCCGCATGCACTGGCGATGCACCCCACAGGTCTGTTGCAGTCGCTCGAGCATTACCCAAGCCTTCAGCCCACAGAAGGAGACAGATCTGACTTCTTCCTCGAATTTATCTTCGTGGGGTGTAACCATGGCCTTGGTGATGATTCTAGGAGGTGTGGGATGCCCCGGGGCGGAGAATGATGCGTCGAACAGAGCTCTGAGAGATCGTGGGCGAGGGAGTTGTAGCCTAAGGCGTGACGCGATCGAAGGATATACACCGCTCAGAGTACGTATTTGCTCGTAAAGCAACATGATGGACACTATCACGGAACACTAATGGTCAGATAAGTATAACTCGGAGTTATGAACTCGCCTTCACGTACTAGTAATAGGCGTGGTAGAAGCATGCATCACCAACAATGTATCCAGGGCGTTCCACAGGGTAGAAGAAGAGACCAAAAACATAGCATGGGGTTTGATTTCCTTGCGGCTCAGGCTGCCCACAGAGGAGGCCGAGAGCACGACATTGGCGAAGTCAACAGAGCTCACAAAGGCGTATACGGTCTTGTTCGCCTTTTGTGATTCCGTGATGGATTCGTAGAGTAAATCAAAGAGTGTAGTCCACAAGGTGCTCGATTTGATTAGGGCGCGAAGCAGCTGGTTGCGTTCGTCTATCATAGGACAAGCTGCAAGCAGATCGTATAGGGAGTCGGCGGCCCCTGCGGCTAGTATAGTCGGGAAAGACTTCAATCCCTTGACGGCATTCTCGATGAAGCGATCAAAGGCACAACTTGGACTACTGCTGTATGCTGCACCTTTAACAATCGCTCGAATGACGCGAGGAGGGATGTTGGTGTTAGAGGGGCCCACCCGTGCTCCGCTGACTCCAAGAGAGTGTAACCGGGACATTGCCTGGTAAAAGCTGCTATGGTCGGGCTCATGGATCGAGTGCATCCAGGACCGAGTGATTAGAGCAACAGTAAGTTCAGGCCGGCTGTTGTTGATGACCTATGGTCGTGAGATCATGGTCAGCCTGAGATCTGCCAAGCGAACGCTCCGAGTAGCATACATCACGAAATGATGGGTCCACTTCGTGAATCCAGCATATCAAGGATCCAATAACAGCCCTTTCGGGGATGTGGAAGGGTATAGGATCCAGAGTCGTCTCCGGTTCTGACCATAGCTGGAAGGATCGAGTCAGCCATAGTCCATCGATGAAAACGTCAGGGCACTCACGCGCTCCATCATGGCTGGCCAGTGAGCGCCTATAGTAGAAAGAACCTTCCTCCCTGTAGCGTCCAAAGGGCGTTTGAGATCCTTGACACAGTGTGTGATAATCTCTAATGGGATAAAATAGGTAGCATGCACCTGTCAAGTTCAAGCGGTTTAGCGATAGTACAATACCAATCGACTTGTGATGATGTACTTACTTCGCTAAACCCGCCATCGGTTTTGAGAGCAGGCACAGTGCTCCAAGATGGGTAATTGAATGTTTTTCGTCGTCCTGAGACACACTCGCACAGTTTTTCGATGATCCCAGCTTTCACAAGCATCCACCAATAGGGATCCTTTGGCTGATCAGATACAGCTATTTGTCTTATGCCGCGAATCACAAAAGGTATATCCTATGAGGAGCATCAAAAGCTGTCAGTTCGCGAATCAGCGCAGCGATAGATGAATAAACGGACTCGACAAGTGTCTCCATAGCGGTTGCTCGAGCCAATTGCCGGTTCGAGGTCAAATATACTGAGGCCGCGCTGAATATCATAGGTAGAGAAAACATTGGCCCACTTCGCTATGAGCTCGTCGTCGCTTTGAGGTGTTGTCGCCTCCAGGGCGTTATACAGTTCAAAGGGCTCCAGAGGTTCCGAGTCCGACTCTAATCCTATGTATTGTGGCGTTTCTTGGTTTGGCATCAGGATAGATTGACCGAGGGGTGATTTGTCGCGCTATGTAGATGTTACGACCTAGGTAGGTTTACTGGAAGAGTCTATTCAACGCGTTATAGGCAATGGAGCACGCCGTGTTGGTGTGTCTCAAGCGTGACCTATCGCGTAACAGCAATGTCGTTGACAGAATTTGTCTAGGTGTGGCGGCGTGCGACATTTATGCTGCGGCACCAAGTTCGCCACAACACCTTCCTTCCTTCCTTCCTTCCTTCATTGGATCTATATGTAAGTAGTAGAAGTCTTCAGAGCTTCGACCGGCATGATCTATATTTTTATATAGTTATGGATATCAACACTATTTTCGAACAGTGGATGTTGGTCTGCATTGTCACATTTTATGGGTGGCCAATTATTCAAACCGCATAAGGACGAGGCAGTACTAGCCCGACAACGCTAAGCGTTGTTCTGGTATCGCAACGGGACAGTAAGAACTGCAAGATCGCCATCATCCAAAGAGCTGTCCTCATAATCCATGAAGAGTCCGCAAATTAACCGATGCTCTTTCCAGTCACTATACAAGAGAATTAATTTTAGGGGGGAAGAGTGCGTAATATTCATCACAGATACACACCGTTTCTGACATTCCGCGCCACAATATTGTGTGTTCCGACAAGCCTTGCATCGAGCCGTCCATCGGTTCGTACACCCTCTTCTCATGCATTGACGATGAACACCGCAGGCATGCTGGAGCCGCTCGAGGGAGACCCAGCCTTTGAGACCACAGAATCCGATGGAGTTGATATCCCTGGGAAGCGTCGGGCCGATAGTGACCATCGAGACAGTGATGATCCTCGGAGGGGTCGGATGTTCCGACCCCGAAAACGAGGCATCAAAGAGTGCTCGAAGAGAGCGAGGACGTGGAAGCTGAGAGCGAAGGGCTGGGTATATAGAAGGGATGCGCTCGCTCAGGCCGCGGAGCTGTTCAAACAAAAACATGATTGTCGCTAAGACAGGGAGGCACATAGATATCAGCAAGTCACTGAAGCTGTGTAAAGTGGTTGAGGCACAGACCTGCAATAGAAGGAGTTGAGACGTAGACTGGTAGTAACCTGTCGAGAGCGTCCCACAGTTCTGACAGCGAAGCCCATTGCCGCAAGAGTGGTTCAAGACTATGGGGTGAGTAGTCTACCACGAGAGCCAGGGTGAGGGTGGCGAGGTCCAGAATATTGCTGAACGTGATACGATTTTGATCGAAAATTTTGGACCCTGGAAGTCCCGCAGACGAGTCTGAAGGAATTTTCTTAAGCAAACCAAAGAGAGCTAGCCACAACGATTCTGAATGTATCAACGCGCGTATGAAGTCGGGGTACTCGCTAACTCTAGGAGACGTGCCATGTATGTGAAATATTATGCTGATGGCATGAAAAGCATCTTCATCTTTCAAGACGACCAGACTCGAGGCAAGCTTTTCCACAAAATGATCAAAGCTGTGGCCATCGTTTCTGGAGGCGCCTTTGGCGATAGATGGCAAGATAGAAGGTAAGACGGGCTCTTCGTACATGCGTATCCCGTCTCTGACGATGTCGCTTTTGGCTATCTCTGTGAGTGTTTTGAACAGAATCATTTGATCCAACGCGGTCGTGGAACTCATCCAGTAGCGGACCGCGACGGCGATAGTCAAGTCATCTTTGTTGTTGGTAATGACCTGGTTGCCGTCACCAGCAATAATAGGTAAGCTCACTAGGCTCCAAAAACAGGCGGCGAGCCAACTACTAGGAGACGCACCTTTCTAAAAGTCGGATCCGTCTTGTTGACGTGACCTAATAGAAAGCCTACTAAGGTTCGCATGTCAACATGCAGGCGTGTACGTTCCAGAGTGGTTTCTGGCTCGTTCCATAACTGACAGTGCACCTATGTCAATGCAGATCAGCACTTCATGGGCAGAGACTGAGCCTTACACGTTTCATCATTGCGTGCCAGTGCTGTCGCAAAGCCTTCAGCAACAAAACTCCATCGGGCTTGGGAGGTCGAGTGAGCCTCGTCGCTGCGAGCACCAGTGTTCGCATAGCAATATAGTAGCTTGCATGTAACTGAGCGAAGGGCGCGAATCAATTTTAGTGTAAGGGCCAGTTGGATGAAAGAAGAGCTATGCGTTAGGGAGAATAACACTTACTCTGTCTCTGAGGTCCGAGAAACCAGGTTTCGTAATGAGGTGTGGCGGACAGTCGTAAGCCTTGCGCTTTCCTTCGACACACTCGCAGATTTTGTCGAGAATCCCGGCGCGTACGAGGTTTTCCCATATGCGACCACCCGATTCTGCCACCTTGTCTATAGCGATGAGCGCAGCGGGAAGGTCCTAAAGAACGAAAACACAGATATTTTGTGAGAACGCATCAGAATATTAACAAACTAGTAATTCGAGAAACTTGCGAGGTACGAGTCCCCACGCCGATTGACGGAGCCTTCTACTGGCTCAACATCATAGATGTCGATCACTCGTTTTGCGTTAGACGGGTCTGCTACGATGCTGGTCCATTTCACGTCGAGTTCGGGAGCGTGTCCGCCTAAGCTGAAAGGCTCGTACGATACTGGAGACGGTCCTGCTGCTTGAGTATAATAATCCATGAGAAAGTAGCGTTCGCAATCAGCGCCGAAGACGATTGCAAGAACGGGAGATAGAGATGGTGGGGAAGTGCAAGCGCACGTTGAGGAAGACGATGTCGCCGCGTCGTGAGCCTCACCACAAAGGCCGGTGATACGTAAGTTACGTAGCAGTGGCACATAATACGGCAGCGTGGCTCTTCAACGTCAAGCTTCAAGCTTCAACGGTCAGCACCCCGGGCGAATCCTGTCTATTGACGAATTTCTGAAGAAGATTAGTCGACACCTGCACTCACATTCCTGGTTCGGTGATCTATGAAGTTACAATAAATACCACACAAAATCCTAACCACACCCATCTTCCAGCAAACGTATACGTTAAACACTCATTCAACACGTCGACAACACAGAGAAAAAAAACAAGGGCAACACAGCCTCCACAACAAAAGTCCACTGACACAACGAATACTACATCGGTACAATCGGGGCGCTGCCTTTCTCGAGCGCCGTCCGCAGACTGTGACAAAACAGGTATCGTCAGGACGCAATCAGTCGAATAAAAATAGCGCACGGACCTGTAGTCGTCACCATTCTGCGTGATATATCGGACCCATGGCAGGGCTTGGTACCCAGACTTCTCCACGATCTTGAGGTATCGGACCTGGATACCGCTGACGGTGAAGTAGGGTATCTCGAATTTGACAGTGATGGGGGCGCGTTTCTCGACATCGGCCTCTGCAAAAGCCGAAAAAGTGGTAGAATATGGATAGGCGTTAGGGAATATCAGGATTTCCAGCTGGGGGAATAGCGACCGCACCTGATTTTACTGATGGTAGGCCGAAATGTGCCCGCATGAGGAACTCCTTCGCGCCTGCGAGCTGTTTGATCTTCCAGACGAACGCTGACTTGTCTGGCGCATACGTCACTGAACCCGTAGATGTCTGCATAGCGAGTCAGCACCATCTCGACCAGCAGCAACGACATCGCGAAATAGGACGAACCCTGAATTTGGGACTATCAGCATCATCGGGAACGGGCACATAAATCTCCACATTATTGGCCGTACTGCGCCGTTTGAAATGCGCCTTGACCTTCACCATGTACTCCACCCTCGAGCCCTTATGATTCTCCACGGCGGCTTCCACCCACACCAGCGGTTTGACGGTTTGGGATAATCGGTAGGACATGAGTTCGAATTCGCCGTCGGGTGGGATGAAGGAGATGGTGCGGTCGTTTTCGAAGCGTGACAGGCGGACACATTGATGGAATTTGACGTCTTCGAGTTCGATGGATTTCCCTCGAGACGCTGAAGAGGATGGTCAGTGTATTATATGATGTATAAGAGCGAACGGGGCGTACTTCTCCCAGTTGTTTCGAACATGACTTTGTCGTTGAGACCAAGCCGTAACTCTGGCATACCGGAGAGGTAGCACTTCATTTTGACTGCACCCAAGATTTCAGAACGAACAACATTCCCGTTCGCATTGACCTATGTACGAAACACGCAGCGAGTCAGTTCTCAGATACCACAAGGCACCAACATGACGAGGGTGGACGAAAGAAAGGGAAGTCATGTTGCATTTCGCCATGCCGAACACACAGAATAGGAGATAGATGAACGACACTCACAAGCAAGTTAACAGATTCGATGACATCAAGGAACACTTCATTCTTCCTGTACCGAATACCCTCTGACCGCCATGATACCGCGTTCGTAACTGCCATCGGCGGCCGTACTTGTATCTCCAACTTGTGCGATTCTTGTGTGATGTATCTGTAGAGCGTGAGGACGCGCGCGCAGAACCACAAGCCGCGAGAAAGACACACTCTTGCAGGATCTTGCTCTCCGTTGTTTGTGGGTATCCGAAATCCATCATCTCGTCCATGAGCTCGTATATGATGACGAAGTTATCCCGAATCGATTCTTCCTCGAGTTCTTTGAAGTATTCGATGAGGACCTGGGACAGTCGGTGTAGGAATAAGATGACCTCCGCCACGTTCGAGTTTCGTCTGCTCAGTGCAAGCACTGTCCAAATCCAAGTCCACCACAACCAGAACCATCCATAAGTCGATACACACAAGACAGAAGATACAGGACGCACGATATAGATTGGAATGGCGGATGTGCATGAAGTTGACGCCTTGGTTAGAGAAACATGGGGTAACCTGTTGCCCTTCCTCTTCTATGTCGAGAACAAGAGGCAGAAAACGTTCGATATGAGATGCTGGTACATCGTCTCTGTATGAGCGTTGGATGAGAGGTTTTCCCTTGAGGTCGAGGATGGCTATGAGGCTGGCCATATTACTGTTGCCAAGATTGTCGCGGTTCGCGGTAGAGTACTCAAAGCAGCCACGCGTGGGGCGTCATCACCTTTTCCGGTGGCGTGGCGGCAGAACATTGGTGTGGCCCAATCCGGACAACCCCTTTTTGAGAATCTAGCACAGGTACTCATCCGTCGTCCCACAAAGATTGAATTCGATTAAGCACCAGGAGGCTGCCACTTAACTGGTAAAGGTTTCATGTTCAGTTGAATGGTCGTGCAGTGTGACGAACCATACGCAAACCATACGTATGTAGAGCGCTATGTTTCGTACGGTGCATCCATGTCAAGAAGAAAGTGACGAGACGGAGGTACTAGAAACGGATACAGTAGGTGCCTGGGGGCACAGACAAAGTGCATCAGAACATAGAAGGCCCATGCCGTGGAAGCCCAATAAAATCGTGTAAATTAGCAGCAGCGAATACAATGTACATTACCTAGCCAGTCAATCGTTTCTTTCATAACGTCTATATCTACAACGAACAAGTCCCCCAATCTGTCATACACCAATGAGCCTCCGTATGCACCTGCTCATTCCACCTCCAAAGTCAAAGATACCCCGGTGGTGGCCTCGACGTAGCTCCCAAAGCGTGCGCCTGCTGCGCTGATGGAAGAGAAGACGCTGGGGACGGGGGCACGGGAGTTGAACGACGCGAAGAGGTGGGGGTGGTATTGTCTCCGCCTGTCCTCTGTCCTCGCCCACGAGCCGATCCCGTCCTGCTCGGTGATCCGCCCACACCCAGTTCTCCCTTCTCTCTCAGCGACGCAGCCCTACTCGTCGGCGTACTACTTCCAGCGCCCCCTGCCCCGCCACCTTCAAGTCCTTTCTCAGCGATAATTCCTGACCTCCTCCAGTTCCATGGCCAAACCCTTGCGGTGCTCATCCATCCCACCCATGTCTTCTCCCACGCTTCTCTCTCCCTCTGCTCCCGTCTCCGCTCAAAAGCAGCTCTATACTTCGCATAACCATCCCGAAAGGTACGGTCCACTCGAGAAGAGAAAATGAGTTCGCCTCGTGGGTTTGTCGTTGGTGGAATCGTTGGTATAGGCAGCGCAGGGATGTTGGTCGTACCGATATTGGACGTCACCGGATTCAGACTTAGTTGCGGATCTGAAGTACGCGGTTGTCGGGTAGGCGTGGGTGTTCGCCGACCTGGAGAGGGGGATGGAGACGGGGTGCGTCTATTTGGTGTGCCTGCGGGAGTGCCCGAAGGCGTCGGAGATCGAGAGGATGGACGGCTTGGGGGTGTTGGGGTGGGTGGAGGGCGGGCGAAGAGGTAGGAGAGTGGGTTCAAGGTTGACCTTCGGGGTGCAGTGCGCATATTTAGGAACATGTTGAAGCTCCGGAGAGCACGGTTCGCGTGTGGCACATAGCTAATATTCTTGTTCAGGGTGGTTCAGGTTAATAGGAGTGATATGAGAACGCACCGGTTAGCGTAGCCTATCTTCTCTGCGTAAACCCCTGTAGCCAGGAAGAGAACGAGTGTGGTGACAGCAACGAAGAGTAACCCGGAGGTAAAATAAGGGTGAAGTTGAGCATCAACGTCCGCGGTGGAGGGATACACCTCGGGAAAGACATAGCACAGGACGAGCTTGTAGGGTATGATGAGAAAGGAGGTCTGTAGAAGAACTTCTGACAGCAGGAAGCAGATGACAAGTATGAGCTGAGCTAGAAAGACTGAAGGAAATGTCAGACAAATCTGGCGGTAGACTGAGAAGAGACGCACGTCGAAGGGAAACGCACACTGGTAGCGCGACTTTCGACGGTTGAGGGAGAGCGCGTTCCCTTTCAGTCGGTTCTCGAACAAGAGAAGGTCGCTATACGTCGCTGGGTCACTTGGAGGGGCAAACGCAGGCTTCGCTGGTGACAGTGTGGACCTCCTCGCCATTGTATCCTCGACCAAGTCGACTGTTGGGTGACTGTAAAGAAGAGACCGTTTCAATTAGCCGCATTCAACTATTCTGTGGCGCCACTCCGCCACCCTTTCCAGGAAAGGCAGCCCACGTGGAAAACACGCCGCATCTGAACCCGCGATCAACTTCGTTGCTGTCTCTCAAGGTTGCGAACAAACGCGGTCGAATGACAGTCCAAACACGACTTGGTTCCTGCCCTTCTTCTTGCGACCTTCTAGGTCCCTCGACGATATGTTGCTTGAATATATGTGAATTTTGCGAGAGACAGTCGGATGGAACGACCAAGAGCGGGAGAGAAAACCACGCCACGTACCCAGCGGCCGCGTGATGCCTGGCTGTCAGCGCCCCGCCGCTTTGAGTTTTGTTGCACGCATCAACCTCGAGGACTTACGCCTGTTCGCTCGCTGGCATGCCCGCCGCTCTTGTCCTCTGAACCGAAGTTTGTCTTTGACATTCTCTCTTCCCTTGCGATACTCTTTATTATCAGTTTTTGACAGCGATGACTCTCACCGTCCTCGCCTCTGTCTCCCTCCTTGCGCTGGTCGTGACCGCTCGCCCTGTTATTCCTGACAGCCACGACTACGACCCAAACAATTCCGAGTGAGCCCTCTCCTCTCCCTCAATATATGGAGAAGGCTCTAAATTAGTCTCGCTTAATATCGTGGTGTGTCTATCCATTTTTCTTTCGTCGTAGCAGCTATGCTCCTCCCGCCGACGTGCAGAGCGCCGTGCAGGCTCTCTTCGAGCTACGCACGAAGTTAGTACCTACTATCATATCTCGTCATAATTTAAATTGATGTCAACATGTTATTTAGGGACTCCAACTCCGACGTAGACCTCTCCGCTCAAACTAACGGCGACTACAACATCCAATTCATCTCTCCCGAACAGCAGCAGTCCTACCTCGCTGCTCTCGACAGCGATGCCATCAAAGCTTTACTTCCTCTCGGTGACCTCGAAGAGGATAGAGAGATGAGCGAGGACGAGAAACGATTGAGGCAGATGCTGCTTGACGCCGTAGCTGCAGAGAAGGGTGGCGTAGATGTGGCCCAACTGAGCCAGAAGATGGATGATGTCGACGGCCAGGACTGGACCGTTACTCCCAGCGACACCGAGATATCCTTACCCGCTTCAGAATTTGAATCTGAGTTCGACACCACACTGGTCGAAACACCTGAACCGGAGGCGAAGTTCAGTCTCGCCGAGGAGCCGTCTGAAGTCGCTGTCCAGGAAGAGAACTCTGACGAATCCCCCGTCGACACGTCGTCTCTCTTCGACGACCCCACCATTACCACCGCTGTCGCATCCTCCGCATTGGCTCTCCTGATCGTTTCATGCATAGGCGCCGCGCTCTATTCGATCTCCTGTGCCCGTGGCCTGTTGCGCTCCGATGCCGCTTGGGGTTTGATGAAGGATCCCGAAGGCCGTATTTCTCTTCCCGGTACCGACGGTGACGAGGATGACGAAGGCAATTGCGGTGGTGTCGTGGAGAAGCTGGTTCTCAACGAGAAAGATGTGGAGAAAAATCGTGTTGTGATTCTACGTCCTGAGCCTGAGGTGTTGTCGGAGAAGAATGATGTGGACATCGACTCAGCCTCTTCCGTTGGTGACGATGCCGACTACATGGACGCCCTCGACTCCACACCTGCTCTCAATCACCCCGTTCTGCCTCCAAGCAACATGTCCCCCACGGCATCTCCTCTCCCCCGTTGGTCTGAACTCGCGCGCAAAGACACGCACGCCGAACTCCGTCGACAACACTCGCTCTCAAATCTCAACTTGAACCTGAAGACCACAACCACACCCCCGTCCAGTCTCAGCCGCGGAACATCCAAAGCATTACTACGCGAACTCGCCGCCGCCGCCGCCGCAGCAGACACCGATCCAGAACTCCCCGCTATCTCACCCGCCTCTGCCCCTGCGCCACTCACGAATACGGCAACACCCACCCCCAAGACTCCAGTCTTAACCTCCACCCCACCCCGCCATCAACTCGACCTCCACGCTGCCCGCCGGAATGCTTCCCAGGGACAGAACCCTGAAGAACGCGAGCGCCACGTTCTCGATTTTGCGCTTGCCATGCAACTCGGCCCTTCCTCGATTAATGGAACTGGTATGCTGGGCGCATTGGCGAGGGTCGGAGCCGATCCGGCGTGGGTTTTGAATGTCGTTCTCGCCGTGTTTGGTTGGGTTGCGGTTATCATTGGTGGACAGGGTACGAGGAACACTAGGGAGAGGAGGTCTATGATCGCGCGGTGAAATTACTACAGAAGGATGGCCGTAGGCTATCCCGTATGCCATACCTCGCTCAAAGTCACCACGCATCGCCTTTCCACCGCCTCAACCCCACAAACATCTGTACAAATTTAGCTCTTCTCCCTCGCTTGTCCTTGGAATTGGTATTACACTCTTCCTCGACAACGCTGGGATCATTTTGACGTCGTTATCAGTCTCTACTCATCTTTCATTGGATCTCATTCTTTCGTCTATGCATGCCCTTAGCGATCCGACTAGTCATATCACTAATCCGCATCCATCCACCCCCCTCCTTTTTGTCGCTCCTGCGTTTTCGTTTTTGTTTTCGTCTCGTATTTTATTCCGTTGGCTACCTATCAGGCCGCTGACCACGTCGCTCCTTCTCTGCGTTTCCTCTATCCCTCTCATCATCCACGAAGTTTCGTGCCCGGCGTTCACGCTTCGGCTCGAGCTTCATAACGACCTTTCTCTCCTTATCTTTTTTTCTCTATATACAACGTCACGTCGATTGTTTTCATCTACATACCTGTCGCAGTATCTGTCGGAACGGGACTTTCGGGCGGCTTTTTCGTGTTCGTGTTCGAGACGGCAGGACCCTTGTTCGGTTATATCCTCGTACGCACCTCATCTTACCCCGCCGCACATACCATAGTACTGGCCCTTAGACCGCATACCTCTTCTCTGGTGTTGGTTTCCGGTGGTCTGTCTGTTTGTCTGTTGTTCGCAGCCGTTGATTCTTTGTGAGTATGTAGTCTCGCATCGATTGATACTTATGCCCTTGGGGTCCAGGCCTCGGATTTGAGACCTGGTGGCCCTTTACTTCCGCGAAGCTTGTGTATCAGTTCCACAGTCAGGCTGAAACGAGATAAGTATCATCCTCCATGATCGACTACTCACTCAAATTTTGTGACCACTCACGAGCCACCACTTTCCACAAGCGTTCTTTTGCGGACTTTGAACTTTGGCTCCGATAAGCGGCGATGCCGATTGGGGCCACATCCTTGTGGGAGGCTCCTTTTTCGACAACAACTAGGTCATCTCAATAACTTCGTTGGAAGAGCTTACCTTCAACGAATTATTTACGCTGTACCTCCGTCCCTATTTCGCAGTTCCGCTGCACCGATGTTTCCTTCCGAAATGTGTGCCATCCGAGTTTTGGTCCTTCCTCCCGTCGGACTCTGACCCGTTATTCGTTGGTTTATCACCGTTTTGTGTCCGCTTTATCTTGTGTTCTCGCTTCGGGTCATCAGCGAGCGGTGCTTATCTGACACCGTAAACGCTGTTCCTCCTGCGGAGGATTAATTGGGGCGATCTTGAATCTGCTAATGACTGGCAACTATTACGATACGATATAGGTTATGGCGAGACATAAATGTACAACATCGGCTGGAAGGAAAGTAAACAAAGAATGTCCATAAAATGTGGAGGTGAGACTTTTCCTTCCCATACAAACTACAAGACCAGAGCCAACGGAAGAAACAAAAAAAACCTCGCGTTCTCATGCTGACTTCGCGACGGAGATCAATAACGGCAACTGAGTGCCAGCCTCCACGTCGTTCTTGATGTACGGTCTCTGTACGATCGCTGACTTCTTGATGATGTCTTCCCGCGGTATGGCCAGGTTGAACTCAAAGGCGCGTATGAGCGTGAACAACATTGCCTTCATCCTAGACAGATCACAGATTAAAACCTTTACCGACAACATTACAAGCATCAGGAGAGGGAGAGACTAACTCGATGATAGAGAAACGATATCCGATGCAAGCGCGGGCTCCTCCGAGGAAGGACAAGGAATTGCCCCAGACTCCGGGAATGCTGCGCACCGCCTCGGGAAGATTGTCCCAGCGCTCAGGCCTGCGGGTCAGCATGTTAGCTTCGGGAACGGCGTTAGTTTGAAAACAATCACTCACTTGAATTCAGACGCATCCTCGCCCCAAAGCTCTTTGGAACGGTTGATGGCCAGAATTGGGATGAATATGGTGTCTCCTTTGTTCACACTGACGAGGCTGAAGTGAATATGATGTCTACCACCGGATTGGAAGCGGCTTACCGGACTTCTCGTCGCGTTATACCATGGCGGTCCGTCCACTCATGGTCGGTAGGAATTACGTCGTCATGGGTAGCGATCCTGAGAGTGGACGTCACTGGGGCGTGTATTCTCATAGTCTCGCGCACGACATGATCGAGACATGAGAGACCATTCAGTTCGTCCATGGTTGGTGTATCGCTGGAGACAGAAAGTACGTTCGCGCGCAATTTGGTCTGACATTCCTGATCACCTGCAAGGGCCCAAAGAGCCCAAGTCACGGCCGAGCTCGTAGTTTCATGACCTGCAGACTTTTAATCTCTTACCGTTTCACGTGGGAATGCGGCGAGCTTTGACACACCTGCAATTAAGAAAGTCGGAACCTGCGCCATGACATCGTCGTCGCTCAGGCGTAAGGCCTCAGGCAGATCCTCAGCCATGTTGGCTTTCACTAGCAGAGATAAGATATCCTTTCCTTTTACATGGTCCCGCAAGACGTGGCCTTTCTCGTTGGTGCTCGATCCGTTACCAGCTTCAGCAAGCGCTGATGCTTTCTTTTCGGCTATCAATTCCTTGCCGATTCGGGCCATGGTGGCGTGAGCGTGAGCTAGATCGCGTCCTCGTTTAGACGGCTATGCATATAAATATGCTCATTACACCTGACTAACGATGCAGCTGAAAATGGACGTACGATGCTGCTCAGGATCGGAAAGATGTTTCGCAAAATTGCAAAGATGGGGAATCCACTGGGGAATTTCAGTACGTTGCGGATAGCATCATTGAGCTCATTTGGCTGGTCATCTGGTGCAAGGGCATTGAAGGAGTAGTTGAAGCCTATATCATCTTCAGCATGAGCTGGAGCTCTCTTCATAGGAGTAGTACATACCCGCCAGACCAATGATGTCGAGAGTCGTCTTATTGAGCCACGTGACAATATTGACCTTTGTTGTCTCATCAGTGGACTTAGAGATTTCTGCTGTCCACAAATCGCGAAGCTGTTCCCTCTCAATCAGGTGTACAACCATGTCGGAGGAAGGAAGGGACGTACCTGGCCAGATTTCTCGAGAAATATTTCCGTCAGATCACGGAGATATACTGGTCCAAAAGCGGGATTCTAATCGAACATCCTTAAGACTAGGCATGGCATAAAAACCTTGTTTAAGGACTCACTAAGATCCGGCGCTGCAGATAATCGGTGGTTAATAGACGAGTTCCACTCAATCTCGTCTTAATGGACTTACTTGTTGTCTATGGTCTTCACCTGTGGTGAAGTAACCTTGTCAGGACTCAAGTCTCTGTGACCAAAATGAATTTACCTTCGGCAAATAGAACGCCTATAATATACAACATCAAGCCTTGATCGTCGGTTACTTGTAAGATAACATGCATACCTTGTCCAAACAATCGGCCTAAGTTATTGCGAATCGTCTGGGGCTTCTGGAAATTGGATGAGTTGGAGAGTACAAAGTTTATTGCTCTATTATCCATCATCATCAGACGGCTCTCCTGGTTAGGGAAATCAATATAAAGGCTCGACGCCCAGCGTATTAGATATCGTAGAATCAACGGACATTGAACATCATCTTGTATTTCACAATAGGACCATATGTCGCGACCCACTCCTCGTGAAGGACTAAGGCATCGGCGTCTGAAATTTGCTTCAGGTTGCCCCAGAGAAAGTGGCCGGACTCAGGACCTGGTACATCGTTGACCGGGGAGCGAAGAGAGCGCCAGAAGCTGGGAATAAACTTGTAGAGGAGAGGGATGATTGCTGCAGTGACCAGAGCGGAAAGTAGGGATAGTGCAGTAATAGCGAACCCCATTCTTATGAAGTCGTTTGTGAAAGGGCACCAGTCTACAAGCTCTTAGATCTCAGGTGGCCGCCTTATATACTTCCTGACGAGAGATGGACGAGGGTGTGGCCGCCTGTACGCGTCGACAGACTGGGTACGTGTCAAGCCTGGAAGTGATGGGGAGAGGGATGGACGTATTATTATTAGAATGTACCAGTACCCAAAGTACACAACTGCAACCGTGGCCATGATCGAAGCTGTTCAACAGTGTTCGACGTGTCCAATGGACCCATTTTCCCACGTATTTCGGCATGTTCGGCTTCAACGGACATCCTTTTGTCCACGCCACTCACCGCGCGGGGGCCACATCCTCTGCACCTGAACTTGTGAGAGTAAATCGGCTCTCTTACCAACGTATGCGCTTGCAGCGAAGCTACAGGGCCAACACTAGAGCATATTTAAGTTCAGTCAAGTCATTTAATTTCTTTGCATTAAACTCCACGAGACTCTCCAAATAAGTTGGGGTGCTTTATAGATTTATTCGCAAAGGCAACGCATCGAAATTTCGTCTTCATCCTTTAAGTACTTCAAGTTTTTCAGCGGTCAGTGCACGCCGCCTGACCTGAGTGTGAAGTAGCGCAGAGCTCGCCCGAACTGGGGCTCGGTATGAATATAACATGATAAAGCGGTTGGCAGGCAAGTGAGGGGACGTGGAAGTCTCGTAGTCTGCCATAGTCACTGAGGAGGTCTGTGTTGAACGTGAGTATCTTTCGGTTAGATCTCATTTATACTCACATTAGGGACCAAGATCGAGTTCTACCCGTTCTGAAGGCTAGTAACATGTTTTAGGGCCAGACCTGGGTAAGTGTAAGCACGCGGGCGAATGAATGTGGCAAGCGTGGCTTAAATATGTCGTATCGCGAATTGTCTATAGCGTGAAAGAAACACGCCGAATGGGGAGACTCGAAAAGAATTTCTAGATATTGAGCCTCGACTGTGACTATGAGCGTCCCATTAATTAGCCAGTATCGACGATGATCTTCGTGTTCAGCCAGTCAACCGCACTAGACAGGCTCTGATGGAACCACGAATCGAAGAAAAAATTGCATGTTAAAGGGTCTCATCGTGGACGATGTTTTTAATGTCAGAAGAGCCCAGACCGTGACCGAGAGAACACAATGTATGATATCAGCTTCACTGCATAGATGAAGTGTTTGCTTGCATGAAGACAGATGACGTTGGACACGAGCAAGAGTACGCTGGAGAAGCAAGGAATTGGACGAATTAGTGGTGGCATGGACTCAGGCAGGAAAAGTCTCCATGCATACGAGTCGCCTGTACACTCGAGCAATAGCCAAAGCCTGAGCTTGAGCGTAGATCAATCGCCGAAAAAGCACCTGGTGGCACTGTGGTGGAATAATTTGAGAAAAACGAAATTGTCCCGGGTTAAGTCCATTGGTTCTGAACGCTTAGTGGAAGTTGAGAAGGCCGAGAAACTTTGGTTGTGTAAGAGCCTAGTAGCGTGGAGGTGCCGATTTTTAAGTGTGGCAACTTGAATATTTAGAGCTGTTGAGCCTGCCAGTGGCCCGGACATCATAGAGCAGCGTATCGGGAAGGCTAGCATATCGGCGTGTCGGTCCCAGTCGCTCAAGCTTAGAGCTCAAGGCCTCGTAGAGGGAATCATTAGAGAAGTTGTGTTCTATTTGGCTCTATTTGTTTGTGAGCTACGCGACCACAAATATTGGGTCCCCGCCCCCGGTCACGGTCCCGCGCCACAAAGACTGCTCAGCGAGAGGATTATGATGTTCCATCGTTGGTTTCCATCAGCGGTCATAGACAGCGGGTGCAGAAGAGTCATAAAAAATATACCTCAAGTTTTCAGAATTATTAGCCATGAGAGCTTCATTTGTGGCTCTAGTCCAAGATCGTGATGGTTGCCCATCGTGAGAGCGGTGTGGCACAGACGCCATCCGACTTCAACCGACAACGGCGCCAATCAATGGAAACGAGTTAGACGGTCTTTTGATGCCCTGCTTCCTAGCGTTCGAGCAGTAAGTCACCCTCCATATTCGATAACCACACCAATGGTCATAATGACATTGAGATGTGCCCATGTATGATGCGCAAAATGTAGTATCTGTATGAACATAAATCGACAGCACTGGTCCCTACTAATCCTAAGCCCAAACCCCCAAAAAACCCCTATTCTAGCTGCTCGACCTAAGGCTACATTGTTTATGAAACAATAAGTTACGGCACAGTTTTAACAAACTATATACGGACAGATCTTTTCTGCTCGACTTAAAACACAGTACCATCGCTTTGAATATCGATCGGCGGGCCGCTGGTTAGAGGGCGTTTCTCCTTGGCGATCTCTCGGCCACCCTTCCAAGTTGCACTCTCTAGGACCTGCGCGAGTGAAAGTTGTTCCTTGGACAAACCGAGTTTGGATCGAATCAAGTCTGCAAGACGATCGCTGTAGACACATGAGTTAATTCATCAGCGTGGTGAGCGTGTGAGGAATGGAGCTTGCAACGTACAGCTCGATGACAGTCATGGCACGCCACTCAATGATGGCTGGGTGGGAAGGAGGGATGCGGGGGATCGTGGATGAGGGAGGGAAGAACGACCGCGGGATGGCCGAGGGTTTGAGTGAGAGCACTCCAAGGTCAAGCAGAAGGCCACCTACGAGATGGATTAGATCATAGACACGTGAAATTAGAAACCGTTTAGAGTGTCAAGGCGCAAAACTCACCGTTGCGGTACTCAGGCAGGCCCGTAAGGTCCTCCAACCCCTCAAACTTCCAACCTAAAACCTTCTCGATTGGCTCCACCAGACTATAGGTCGTCCAGCCTGTCAATTTGTGGAAGGGGACGAGCTCATCCCCCTCTTCCTTTGCACTTGCACGCAAAACCTCACATGGCCAAACGTCTCCGAGCGGTACACCACCCAAAGTCGTACGGTCGGTAGGCCAGATTGGAGCTAACCCTACGATGAGGGCGTACCATAGAGCAGCTGCAGGTACACGGCGGACTCCGCCTTCAGCCGCTACGGATTGTGTCTCCAAGAAGTCTGGAGCCATTGAGTTATGTTAAGCAAGTACTTCTCTTAAGTGTAGAAACGTCTCTCTCACCAAGCAGATTTCCAGGTCGGCCCTCCTCCCCGAAAAATTCCGGACTTTTTCTGAGCGCTTCGCTCAAGTTCTGAAGCAGAGAAGTGCGGCCTTCTAAACCAGCCATCGGATTGCTGTCGGATGCTTGCATCGCCTGTGTAGTGCGCTCGACCGTGACCTTTTCCAATCCAGCAGCTGACCAAGAATTGAGATCAGCTCATGGTACTCGAGAGTAATAATGAAAAAAGCAACATCGAGAATAAGAAGCGCACAACGCTTTGTAGTCAAACGGCAGGTTCAGGCGTAAAGAAGGTTTAGACACATGTCATGTAGCATGAGATGCGTCACCATGAATAACTGCGACGCCGCATGCATGATGTGTTGATGTTTGGTATATATCGGTTTCATCGTTTCCTACTTGGAACAGTACGACGCGAACTTTACCTGAGACTAATAGTCTGGCTCACAGATGTGGTGCAATGATATGACGAGAACACTCAAGATCGTGGAGCTCCACAGAGTACGGCATGCGCCCAGCGCCACATGTTAGCTCCCGTGCAGACAGGAGGAACGAAGAAAGCACTGCATGAAGGGACGACGTACCGTTCACCTTGTACGGCTGCTGACTGTCGCCCGAGAAAAATCCTTCCGCAAACATGTTGATACTTGCAACTCCGAGTCCCTCTGATCTTCCAAACTTCTGTCCGGAAGCAACGTCGTCATAAACCCACTGGTTACCGGCGCCTGCGTCGAGGAGTACAGAGACGAGAAACAGGTCAAGTAGTCGCTTAGTGATCTCCTTTTGATCAGGCGGGGAGTTAGACGAATTCCACTTCTCAATCAAGGGTTGGACGCGTGGAATTCCGGCATCGAGATGTCTCCAACGACCATGAGGAGGTATCTGTGGACGAGTGGTCAACAAATACGAGCCGGTGCACGTCTTGGATAGACCTACGGAGCTATAATCATTGCCAAAATCGCGCTGGACGGAGTATGAGTAAGTAGAGCAAGAACATCCACGGAGTCATTCACCTTTATAATCTGGAGACAGTATTCTGCTGCAGCATCCTCCTGTTCAGGGTGATAGTCGAAATATTGTAGTCTGCCTTGCTTTGCGAGATCGTGAACGCGGCCACATCGCTCCCGAATCGCGGGCAAAGTACGCAGATATTCGACTTTGGACTGCAGAGACATTCCGAGGTTCCCGAGGTTCATTCAGAAGAAGACAGGAAGAACAAGAAAGACGATTGTCGAGACGTCGTGGTTGGGGAGATCAAGCTGCTTCGTGCTCGCCGCACTTGAACTGTCCGTTCGCCCATCGCCGCGGCCCCTGGTTCGGGCTCCGTCCCGATCTCGCGGATCAAGACCCTCGCCACTCTCTCTAGCTCATTGTGGCGAGTCCAACAAGATACACCCTGACAGTTCTTGACAGTTAACGGATATGTTCCTCATTCACTAGAGGAGAGCCGCTCCTGTTTATCAGGTTGACATCCCAGCTTATAGATAAATCCGTGATAATAGCGTTAGCGCGATCACACGACCGTGACTCAACTACAACTCAATTCTCTACCCGCTCGTCGAGGCACAGCCGCCGAACAATATCGAAGATGAAGATAAATAAAATCCCGCTTCGAGACCTGGTCAAGCAGGTCTAGTGAAAATAAGTTACAAAGAACGTTCCGAAATATTATAAGCATTCAGCGCCTCGTGCACATGCTACATTGACCGCCGCTAGTCCCGGCGTTGGTTGTCTGACGAGGGCCCAACCTAGAAGAGCAGAATCAGCAGCAATTCCACGTTTGATCCTGAGAGGATATATACCACTGCACGCAGGTGCTAGTACAGTCAACACAGTTCTGTGGGTGACTGGAACTGTACTTGCAAGTGGAAGAGCCGCAGTCGACCTAAATAAATCGCCAACCCATCACATAATATTTAGCATCGAGCAGGATACAATGCGAAGGATGAGCTTACCGTGGTCGGCAGTCCAGGTTCTTGGTGACCACAGGCGTAGCTGGTCACGGGAACCAGTCTGTAGCACATCGTCGCTGGCAGAAACGACAGTAATGGGACGATGTTGTGCTGGAGGATGGATGCTCAAGAAGTAAATGGTATTGAGGTAGGATAGTAAAGTGACAGGAGGAAGGTGATTGGGGGAGAGGGGCAACTCCCGCTTGCTGCTTCAAATCTCGAAGACCTGAGTGCTTTTATACTCAAAAGGCCAAAAAGAATATCGCTGTAAGTATACTAGAATTACAAGAAGAATGAAGGTGGGACGGTTGGGGTAAACGCCCGGATCATGCTCCCAAGAGAGGGGTAGCTTGCAAGCCCAGCGCCATCGATTCATAGATCGAGCTGCAAGGCAGCGGGAAGTCATTGTGGTGGGACAGCAGGCCGCACGGACAAACTCTTCGTGGCGGATTTGATGCAGTAGCATAGCAGGACGCTCGATTAGGCATCAGGACTCGCAAGGGAAGAAGTAGACACGCGTCGAAACAGGCATGAAGATGGAATGCGGGGAAACGCACCTAGGAAAGGGCACGAACCTGACATGACTCCTTTGGGCCTGTGGCCTGAAGGCGGGCTGCAGATTATGGCGCGAACATAGGTCACTGGATATGAGAGATAAAATCCATCGTAACGAACACGCGATGACCGTGTGATATAAGCACAATAATTCCCGTTCGTGTACTTCGAGCTGTAAAATATGTATCATTCCAGCATGTCTAGCACACCTGCCAATTCTTGCGACAGAGGAAAATGTCCTACCGTAGATTGAAGAAGTCTCCCAAAGCAAAAAGACACTCACCTAGCGACCATATACAGCGACAGATGGATCCAACACTGGACCGAAAATCACTAATTGGTCATACACTGACCGCGACGACGGAAACCGACATCAATGCCCTTAACATGCCTTTCTATGTTGGGGCTCCGCGTCATGTGGCTAACAGGCGATGAGGTGCGTGGTTTGTCCTGGCAATTCTCGGTAAGTAAAATATGGTCCTAATGTTTGCCGACAAAATACGCACGCTCTGTCTGGTGACCGGGATCGAAAGGTGCAGTCCGACACGAACGAAGTCTATTTCGCTGCCATAGGGCACTGTTCCCATAAGAAGACAAAACACCCGTCACTGTATATGAATGTTAGCTTCTAGAGTTCTAAGAGCTATGAGAGCTCTCAATAGGCTGTGTTCGTGCGGGCAACTCTCGCGAAATGACGACTCGAAAAGACAACCATCAACCCTTAGCCATCCAGGATGGTGTCGGACCGCGATATGGGTACCACTTACACGCAACATACACTTCGTCATGCCCTCATGCCACTAACGCCACAATGTCCTAGGCCTCGGCGCAAAGAGACACTGCTTCCCACATTGCAAGTCATGGGCCTCTGCAAGAATAGGAGAAAGGGGAAGCGACACAAACAATCATTGCACGTGAAGTGGGTAGACGACTCTTCATCATGATCAAGATCATCATCTTTCCGGCCGAGGTACCCCACAGTGAGGCAGGAGGCTACAAGTTGTATGAGCCTCGAGACAAGCATGCATCTCGATCCAGTCGCAAAGATTCTGGAACCTAGGTCGGACGTCGGACTTGAAGTTCAGATAGAGTTGTTTGCGTTCAGGGTTCATTTGACACATCACAAGTCACTGAACGTGCTCTAGTGCACAGGTAATTTCCTCGTATTAACCGCGACCTTCAAAAGACCTAGGCTCGAGTCGCAGTTACCTCAGAAAGAGACTCAAGTAGCTGACCTGACGATGAAATACTTGCAAGGCAATGTTCATGCCAAGAAGGAGTTCGGAGTGAACAGATCGCCGCACCAAGTGCAACAACCTCAGTCTTTTAGACGAGGGCGACACACACGACACAGACATGGTACTGATGATGTTAGCATAGCGTTCTGACTCCCTGCTATGGAAGATGATCCTTTGCCGTATCAGGTTTGTGCTGCGGTTTCCGAGGCGAAGGCTGTCTCGAGTTTTGCCGAAAGAAAAGGAAGAAAGAGAGAGAGAGAGAGAGAGATGGGCAGAGAGGAACGCATCCACTCACAGAAAGGAATCAAGAAAAGGGTTTGCGTTTGACCTCTATTATGCTGTGTGGCAATACCTTTTCACCTGAGATTTCCACATTGAGAAAGGCGCTTCGCAAGATATAACGACTAAGTATCCCAGGACTATGGGGTTCGAGGGCGGGCTATGGGTCAGTTATGGACGAGTCACTAGACTTTTTTCAGCTCGGGGATGTGGAAGCCCACAGACCTTCCCCAAGAGTCCGAGGGTTGATAAACGCTGCATCGCTCGTACACGGCCCACATTCCACCAAAATCTGACCAGCGATGGATGCAGGTGGTCAGTGTTTGGGTGACTGACACGCAGAGTATCCGGTCCACAACTGGATGAGGAAATTGCCTTCTGAAGAAGCCGGAAACCACGTCGGTAGGTGCCAAAGCTTACGCGTTCAGGCGCTCCTAAAGTCGAGAACAATCTAGTGCAGGCATTCGAGGTAAAACTAGGCATCAACGTAGACTTGGAAGGCCCATCTGCAATGTCAATCACAAAGGGATGGCCATGGTTATGTGTCGTGTGACTGAAACTTGCACTGCGTGAGATGCGTGGAAAGAAACCACGTAGATTTTAGCGACGACATCGGGGGGGTGATTCCGCAACCGCGATTGTAGTCAGATCCCCCACATAGAAGCCAATTTGCGAAAGGGAGTGATTGGGTTAGCAAACCCAGTAGGCAGGTCCGTTCCCGGGGGTAGTTGGGCAACATTGAATGAGAAGGACACTGCCATCAGAGCGAGGCATCATGAAGCACTTTGTGGAGTCCTCGTAGCCTCGTTCGCTGAGTTAGCATGGGCCTGCAGAGGCCCCACCCCTTACAACATGCATTCAAAGCATTTAAGACAATGCCACGAAGTCCGCGGCTTGTCGCGTGCCATAAAAATGGCGACGATTGTTCCAAGTGGCCTGTAGCACCGGGCATCACACGCGTCTGTAAAGACATCGATTAGATCATGGGGAGCTGCTCAGGAAAGCAACACAAAGTCGCACTTACTCTGAAAGGTATGAGTAGACGATTTGCGCGAAGGACTGTACTTAGAAAGTGAATCGAGGCAGGGGCAGCGTGCGCACTGTGCAAGGCGGTGTTCATCGGAGAAGTTGCGATGCTCTGGATTGGGAGATGAATATGAGCGTCTACGCTTTTGTGCCTAAACAGTAAAATATCTCACACCTCATTCTGATCAGGGTGCGGCGTTTGAGTCGCCGAGGCAAAGTCATTGTTAGACATGATCTACGACGACCCTCCTGTAGACGGTGCTAACGCCTGACTGTCCGGAACCTTCGTCTTCTCCCAGAATACGTGCCGGTGCCATTCTCCCTCCACCCTCACAGCGCACACATCACGCCCTCCGATATTGGCCGTCGCGCTGCGTTTCAACACCCACAATTCGCTCACGCCCTCTTGTTGGAGATACGTGTGCATTCTTGAATAATTAAGTCCCACGGCATGAGGGCCGTGGCTGTCGTCCGAGATAGTCAGCCGTCCACCAAGCCGCTGGATTAACTGCCACAAAGAAGTCAGCTACGCCGGAACTACTCTGGTCGCCCTGCCCTGAGTGAAAATAGCCAAACACACACCTGAAGCGTGTCTATCCCAGGATACGCCGTATCCCAGCCTTTCCTGAATGCAGCAGCGTTGACTTCGAACAATGCTCCATACGCCACGGCAAATGCGACGTTTCGTTCGAGTTTTGCCCACGCGGATGGGTAATCCTGTACTCGTAGCGCAGGCGTGAAGAGGCGACAGAGATCGATGTGGCCCACTACCTCCGGATAAAAACGCCGTATAAGCTCATACTGAGCGTCGAAATACATGTCTAGAAATGTGCTTCTTTTGTTGTGGAGCGTATCCTGTGCTTTATCGGATGCCGCGAGGTCGGAAACGACCATGCTTTCCAAACAGCGTTCGTATGTGCGCTCGTCGAAGTCGATGGGGAGGCCATTGACGTGGTGGACGGAGCCGACGAGATAATCGATACGACCCTTGTTGTTATCCAGAAGTGATGATAGTCCATCTAAATCTACTGGAGATATGTGCTCGGTTTCGAGGCCAACGAGTAGGGCGATTTGAGAAGCAAAACATGTTTGTAGACGGTGCGCCTCGTCGAGAAAATCCTGGAACTGGCGGGAGAGTTCATCGAGAGAGATACCAAGCTATCGAGAACTTGATGAGATCACGACCTCAGCATGTGAGGGCAGCAGATACATACCTCCTCGGGATAAAGATCTTGTTCTCTGTACCGAGGAACATGTTCCGTGAGGCCGTAAATCTCGAAACCATGCTTTACTGCTACATTAACCACCTCTTCTAGGGAGCCCGACGCGTGTTTGCAGAACTGACCCGAGTGAGAATGCAAGCTGTACGGCATAGAAAGCGCTTGGTGGGTAAGCTCAACTGGAGAAGGTTAACCTAGGAAGTTGGCGATTGGTTGGCGAAGTTGCAAAGCGCCCGAGTCAACGGATGCTTCCCACACGTGTGTTCTCATTTGCAAATTCTCAAACCAAGTTACGGTCAAGTGCCACTGTGGCCCATCAATTTAATGCTTGCGATGTACAATTTGAAGGGCTCGTAAAGATTGAGGCCTTTCTCCGTGACCACAACACAAAAGTTCATTGGATATTGTGATAGATCCTCCAAGGCAAGTATAAACTGTATGGGAGACGTGTGGCGTTTCCGGCGCAGATACGTGCATGGTACTGGTCGCACACTCAAGACGTTAAAGAAAGTCAACGACGGCTAATGCTAAAATGCGTTATCATTAAAGGCTATTTATTCAATATTTATCCCAGTCAATGCTCTCGCCAAGCTCGGACGGTGGAAAGTTAAACGATGCTGTCGGTGCATGAGCAACAGCGTTCACGTTGGCCCGAGAACTGCTCATGACAGCAACGACAAAAAGTGGAACCACTGAACAACAGAGTAGTCATTCTGATAGCCTGTGCATCGGCTTGATGGTCCATATACCACCATCATTTAACTTTTGAGGCTACAGCCTCGATTTAAGCCCAGACAATACTTCATGTCGGTGGTTGAAGCGCGCACGGGGATCACCGTGGAGCCGCAGGGCAATAGTCAGCTATCACCGTCGCTATATCAGCAGTATCGAGCCGTCAAAAAGGCGTATCTGTACGCGCCTGGGATAGTAAAACATAATAGGGAAGTGCTTCATGGATCTGTGGCCCCGAGGGAACCAAGTCTGATTGCATACCTGGCCAACCAATCCGGCTGCGAGGATAGTATTATCTAGTCGTACCGCTTCCAGATCTGTGGATATGCCTTCGGAAAGAAACATCGGCTGCTGAAGGTCGTTGACCCGGATCAAGGCTTAGTGTCGAGCCTGTGGCGCCCGAAATTGGGAGGAACAAGCACCGTGCATGTCGTCCCACGTGCTTCGCGCCTCCAGAACATACGATCACTATCTGAGTAAACGATGAGATAGCACTAGAAATCAGGGAAATTTCGTCCGTCATAGTGCTTGCCGAGTACTCTGTGCCAGATAAAGCAGCTCTAGACACACAGCTGCCCTAGACCTGGGAACGAGGATAATCAGGGCAGAATAGTGCATGCACATAGATACGTCGTTCTTCAAGGTCGACGTTAGTAGCAACGAGTCAGATATCCATTCGTGGTGGTATGCCGGAGAAGAGCTGAGGAATTCTCCTGTAAGTTTACCGCAGGGTTGTGGCTTGCGGCTTCGGAATAAATCGGAGCATCGTGGTAGAGTTGGGTCTGGTTTGTGAAAAAAAAAAGCATAATAGCACATGTCTATGACTCGATGGCGTAGTTGGTTATCGCATCTGTTTTACATTTAGATCACAGAAGGTCCCCAGTTCGAGCCTGGGTCGAGTCATTTTAGTCTTTTCATAAGATTAACTCACTGAGAAGAGAGAATTGACCGGAAGAGGGCATATGTATCAGGGTTATTGATGGACGACTTTTTGTAGCAGACTAGAGGTTTCCTGATGCTCAGAGACACAACTCCAAGGGGCTTCGTCTAATTATAAATCGATTTTAGCCTCCATTCTGTGCATCTAGGCCTCTGGGATATGAGAATACTCCACGGAAAGTCACCCAATGCATAGCAGCATCAATAAGCGAAAGCATCTCCAACTAAAAAAATTATGATTCGCGCGTAAAACATGTCAGTGCGTACATGGGAGAACACCATCCACTAAAGTCTCCTCCGCATCGTTCCACGACCCTGAGCTCTGCGATACGTCACCTCAACTACACGTCTCACCATCGATGCTGTCTACATTCTGGCACGTGAAGATCGCACTTTGTCCGGTTCCGTTTGTTCCAGTAGGTACAACGTTGAAGTCCGTGAATGTGAACCCATTGCAAGGGGCCGCGGTCGAGCAGTTCAGCTGTGCGACGACGCCACCGTAATCGCCATTGGTCGTGCCCTGGAAGTTGTTGAAAGAGATGTTGTTGTACGCTAATGTCGATGTCTACAAGTGATCGGCATGATTAGTTCAGTGAGCCGAGACATCGTGAGGACGTATGGAGGCGTACATTGCAGTATTTGTCGGGGTTCGCTGTGGGGTCGATAGTCGTGATATAACTCAGGCAGCTGTTGATATAGAAGGCTAGATCTACATCGTCCACGTTGATGTTCGACACAGTGACGTTAGTCACGGCGCCGCCGCCACCTCCGCCACCATTCGGGGGAGTGCCAACCTGGAGCATTGATGAGCACTGGTCCTGTTGAAAGTGAACAAGAGCTATGACATACCGGTGCGCCGATCCAACTCTTGAAGTATACACCAGCACCAATGCCCTGACCAAGTCCAACGCCAGAGTACGTTGGCTTGTTAATTTGAGCGCCTATTGCCCGAGGGTTCGTTAGGATAATGTTTGCGAGGTGTAAGAAAGCTACTAGACACACCATCAATTATGATGTCGGTCAAGAAGTCCGGTGCGTCAACATATTGCCCGATCGAGCCAAAGGCTATCCTAAAGTTTTGTGTTCGAAGGTGCAAAGACGTCAATCCACGACCTAGAAGACCGAATGTCCATCCGTGAACTATCGCTTACCCTGGTCCGCTACACAATATAGTCAGTATATTTTCTAGACTGAGCTAGAAGTGACTCTCACCCATTGCAAGTGATGTTAGCAAGGCGTATCGTCGTCGAATTGCTGCATTCGGTCGAGACAATGGTGCATCGATGTCAGCGCTGGATATAACGAAGTGGGACGGAGGATTGTGGCGTGGGAAGAAGCGGTGAAGTGAGTAAAATATTCACCCCTTGAAAGCAATGCAGTCGTCACCACCAGTGTACGTGAAGTTGTTGAACGTAATGTTCGTTGATCGCCAAGTGTCAGCTCTGAATTTTGCCAGAGATAAAAGTAAAGGATAAGATTAATATAGTCTTCCTCGACACATCGCAAGAAAATACGCTGACCCGTCAGTATTCTGTACCCAGTTGGTACCATTTGCGGCCTACGCACCCGCCGATAGGTATTGTCAGCCATACGTACGAAGATGATCATGAATACGTTTGCCGCTTACAGGACTGTGGAGCACAGTGATGCCGTCAGTTTATAGGAAAGGATATTCAGAGTTCAGACGTACTCAGTGTTCTCAGCGAAAACCTCGACGTTCTCTACCAATATATTCTCTGAACCCTCAACTATCCAACAACGTTGTGAGTCCAATGCGCAGAGTACAATCACAAACAAGACGTACTGATGAGCGCCCAGAACTGAGGCTGATAGATCTGCAGGTTTCTCAGAACGCCGTTGCTCGACCCATAGACGTCCAAAGTCATTGGACGACCTGGAAAGTAATTGCGAGCCCGTCAGTTTATATAACCTGGTCTGACAGATGTATGGGATGTACCTGGAGTATTCGAACCACCTGCCGAATATGTATACCAAATTTGACCGTTACCATCGATTCGTCCAGTGAAGCCATCTCCACCATCGAGTACGAAGTTTTGTCCATGGAAGCGCCACGCAGAAATTTGGTTTTGAAGTTCAATAGCAAAGCTAGTCATGCGGCCTTCCCCGTAAGAATAGTCCCTATCGTAAACCACAAGTCGTAAGACCGTACCTGTTGTTCGCCCAGTAAGTTATATTTGGCGAGAATTGGAATGTTCCCTCGAGCAAGATGGTGGCGTTGTCGACGTATGTCTCCAGTGCACTTCCGATCGTGTAGACGTAGGGATCCGGGAAGCAGACTGTGCTCCCGTTCTGCCCACAAAGGGAGAGTATTGAGGCAATAGCAGGGGAATCATCTTGGCCGTGGCCTTGCGGTACAAGAGTGCAAGTGCAAGTGTCTGGAGCTGGAGAGCGAGCAGCATGGAATTGAGGAGGAGAATGGGCATAAGATGAAACTGCAGCTGAGAGACAAACAGCAAGAGGGGCGAGGCGAAGAACCGTGTTCATTGGAGACATGACGAACACTGAAGACGGGGAGCGACTTGGCCATCACTGGACCTATTCCAACTTCTTATAAACAACAATCGGGGGTGCGTGATCGAAAGCCTGTGGGGTCATGAGGCTCGTGGATTTGCAGGGATGAGAATGAGCGTCCAATTAGAATCAGAATTGTTTTGCGAGAAGCCTTCGAGGCGAACCAGGTACCGTACCATGACGGTTTTGTGGAAGGAGCGACAACGCAAATGACCGCAAATGAACGTTCTGACAGGCAACACAAGACCGCCCAAACCCGTCGACTTGTTTCTGCCGGTGCGATATTCCGGTCGTTGGGCCTTGATTGGCCCCGTGGGGTCGTCCGGACTTTCGGCGTCTTGACTCGGACCACCGCATCATTATTCAATGCTCGCCAACGAGACCTATAAATCTGAAATAAAAGTACCAAGAGCAGCAGGAACGTAGGTGAACGACCTCTGAGATCTGAATGATGATTGGGGTATCTGTCAACTTTTGTGAATCTCTCCAATATCTCTCCACGGACCGATATACCGAAACGCGCAGCCTGACGGATATTGCAGGTATGATCTTGAGCGGACCGACCGTCGAGTACATACTAGTACTCATTTAGGATAATTCTGGGATAGTTACACGAGAAACCGTGAAACCGAGAGAGCACTAATTAGACACAGCAGTGAAGTTGATCTAGCAAAGCAAAATATTTACAAAACAATGGGAGCGTAAGGAAGAAAACAGGAAAACAAAGCCCTCGAGGCGTATACATGATTTGATAAGATGGAAGAGGTGTCAGCAAGATGAGATTAGATTAGATGAAATAAATACCCCCGTTGAACAGCCCCGTGGAAGAGCTCGTCATAGTGTCAGGCTGTGAATGGACAGGAGTATGAGAGGGTGATGGGCATAATACATGGCGCAGATACTAAGGGGTATGTATGTAGTCGACAGCAATTCAAAACAACGATAGACAGATACGTGGAAAATAAACCCTCAGAAAACAGTCACAGATCGTTCAGCACGTCGCCTACGAGATGCCGAAGTTTAAGAAGGCGATTTAAGCGTTGTAGGACTTCGTGGGCCGTCTTGAGTAGAGTTTCCGCTTCGCGTTGGCGGCGCCCAAGAGGCGCTGTGTGATGGATCTCCCCTCCCGTACTCGCGCACTGGTCGGCAGAGCCTGACGTGCGATAGATTGTTGTTAAGCCAGTGGTGTTTGGAAAAGTCTGGCTAGTCTGATGTATGTACTTGCCTTGCAAGTCTAAGGCTGACTCCACCGCTTGCATAGCGCGAAGCAACAGGAACTTGTAATACTTCACGCGTGTGGTGTGCGAAGAGCTGGTAGTCGCAAGTTGTCGGCCAGAAAGGGAGCGGAGAAGAGAGCGGAGACAGTCCAAGGGGTTGTCCTGAAGCTCAATGTCTGATGCAAGAAGTGGAAACCCAGCTGGAAGGCCGATGCTGCGGGAAAGATTATTCCAGTCTCTGTCGTATGGCATGTCTTCATGAGAGATAGCTTCGCACAGAGTGGCGTAGGTGTGTTGGTCAAGTTGGGATGCGAGGCGACTGCCTATCTCACTGCAGTGAACGAAGGACATAAACTGATGAGGAGAGTATGAGGAGAAATCAATTCGACACGCACTCGTCCGTCCACTGCGGCCCCGTAGCAACGATAATCCTTAATGGTCTGGTTTTGTGTGGCGCGCCATGCTTCACGGTGGATAGTGTGGTATTGTGTTGCGCGGAAAGATTCATGATAGGTAGTTTGATTAGCGTGGTCCCAACGAAAAGCAAGAGAGCGTCAGATGAGGAGGATGTGGTTCGGGAAGGAATGTTGTTTGAACAGCGCAGGCCTTATATATACCCACTACAATTTGAAAATGGCTATCGTGGACACAAAGAACGACACATGCGTATCCAGCTTCGTAATGCCACGGTCAAAGCCCTTAATTCCGTGATAAGAACAAGGAATCTCGAGGCTCGAGCATGTTTATTCAGTGGCGCGTTGGATACCACTTACCTTTGTGTAGGCAACGCTCGTGGGCTCTAGTGCAATTTTGCACCACAGTGGCAACTGGCACCCATTTCGGCCCGTTGCCAAATATTCCTTTTGTGTTTGTGCACAGCGTGATTCTGTTGGCGAAGTCAGGAATTTGAAATGCCTCGTGGCATGTTGCGTTGCCGGAATTCCCCTGTCAATGTTCAGTGCCATCATCATCTCTCTGGCTTCTGCCAGCCTTGTCTGATATTTCTTTACCTCTACTTCGACCGAGAACGGTCTACACGGTCTTTCTTAGTAGTCATGACTGGCTTTGCTGCCCTGCCGATATCAGAACAGCCTGATTCTGGCTCACAATGGGCAGGCGTCGCCAAAATTCTTGGACCACGGTGGGCACAGCTACCTTCGCTGACGGTCGGTCTCGTGGGTGTTCAATTGATGTGGTCTGTTGAGATGTCATATGGTGCGTTATTAGGGCTCTTCTCAGCGTACAAGCTCTGAGCGGAAAACCTAGCCATGCCATACCTAATATCTCTCGGAATGTCCAAGTCCGTTACGGCGATTGTGTTTCTAGCGGGCCCGATTTCAGGTCTCGTCGTGCAGCCATTTATTGGTGAGTAACCCCCCATACTTTGTCTTTAATAACACTCATCCATCGCAGGTACTGTTGCTGATAATTCCAAGTCACGGTTTGGCCGAAGGAGACCGTATATTCTTGCCGGTGTGGCCGTCTGCGCTTCGGCTATCCTTCTCCTTGGCTTCACCCGTCAATTCGCAAGCATCGTCACCACCACTGGCTCCTCCGCTGTGCGCTTGCATGCATTATGCATCCCCACTTTCATACACTCATGTTTGCGTGCGAAGGCAGAATAATTCCTTGACCATCTTTCTGGCTGTCTGGGCTATATTCTGCATTGACTTCGGTATCAATGCCGGTAAGGGCTCTTTAGCATCCTTCAACTATACCATGTCTCTCATCACTTCTGCAGTACAAGCGGTCGATCGTGCTTTACTTGTCGACACGCTTCCACCTCCGGACCAGCCAAGTGGTAATGCATGGGCCGCGCGAATGCTCGGGATTGGAAGCGTCACAGGATTTTTCATGTAAGCTCTGCGCACTGTTTTTGTGCCCGAAACTATACCGACATATGTCTGCAGCGGAAACGTGGACATGACCAGGGTATTACCATTCCTTGGTAACACGGAGTTACAAATCCTTTCGGCGTTCTCGTCTATAGTATTGGTAGGAACGCACGCAGTTACTGCGTACCTGGTCAAGGAACGCGTGCTTTTGGCATCGAGGTGCGTACTACTACTTATAACATTTATTCTTTTCGGTCTTCGCCGCTTGTAGAGAACTAATGGTGTGACTCTCTAGTCAGGCCAAGAAGTCGCTCAAGCAAGAGCTCAAAGAGCTTTGGGATTGTGCACGCACCTTGCCCCACGTCATTCGTCAAATCGTATGCTTTACTGCTGTAGTTATCACGTCCCTCGAACAATACTGACCTTTTCTCAGTGTATGATCCAGTTCTTGTAAGTTCGCTCGGCGACCTTGTTACAAACATCCTCATAACTGTGGTGCGATCCACATAGTGCCTGGCTTGGTTGGTTCCCGATCCTATTCGACACAACCCTCTACGTAGGCGACCTCTATCGTCGTTCCGTCTCCGCCAACACAACAATGTCACAGGAAGAGATCGATTCCGAAGCCACTCGGCTCGGTGCTCGCGCCCAATTCTACTCTGCCCTCGTTGCACTCGCCACCAACTTCCTTGCACCAATGATCATTGCAGAAGTCAAGCCTCGCTCGCGACGAAGAAGTAGTATGGGCGGTTTGGCGCTTGGAGGGGGGATCGAGGGAAAGCGGTGGTGGCAGAGGAAGTTGCACCTTGCGACGCTTTGGGCGGCCTCGCATGCACTTTTTGCGATCTGTATGGTTGGAACCTTGTGAGTCTTTAGCTGTTCGCTTACTCGTCTCTTCATGAGTCTTATGCTGCTTTCCATTCTTCTGACGTTTAGTTTCACGTCGAATGTGACGGGTGCCACCGTACTCATAACGCTTACTGGATTTTCATGGGCTATCACACAGTGGGCACCATTTTCCCTCGTACGTATCTCACCCATCATCTACTTGCAGTATAAATCTAACACAGTACGGAATTCAATCATCCATCTCAGCTCGCCGAAGCCATCCTGACTACTCCCTCCGAAGATGACCCCGATACCGGTGACATTCGATCCATCCTCTTAACGGACTCTCGAACACATCTCCCATTAGACGAAGACAACAGGCGCGACCGAGAACCCAGCGAGCGAGATCAATTCCTCATAGGCCATGATGACGATGACCGCTCGGACGTGGAGAGCGAACAGTCTGATATGGTGTTCGAGGCTGGTGCGATTCGGTTGGGCAGCGTGAAGAAGTCTCGGGCTGCTAATGGAGGCGGCGTGAACGGCCATAATGGGCATGGGGAGGATCATGAGCACGATGATTGGAGTGAAGTGGACGCGGAAGGGGCGGAGCAGCGGGAGGGCGATTATCATGAAGGGCTTGGAGATGAGGAAGATACGAGTCGGGAAGGTTTGATGGGGAACTCCGCTGCACGGCAAAGTTTCGTGGATGTTGGCGGTGTGGAGGACGTGCATTCCCATCCTCCACGAAACAGGGTCGCTTTGGATGGAGAGGAGAGAGGTGTAGAGACCCCCTCCGCATTAAGTGGCAAAGCTGGAATCATCCTGGTGCGTCTTCACGTTACTGGTCTCTAGGTACTGGCTTACTCACACCTTTTATCTTTTTTCCAGGGCATCCACAACATCTTCATCGTCATCCCACAGTTCCTCATCACAGGGCTATCTTCACTCATATTCGCCCTCCTCGACCCCTCTAAATCAGTTCTACACGCCCACATACCTCCACCAAGCTCGAATACCACCGCCGATGCCACCGACGTTGCCACACGGTTTGTGTGGCGGCAAGACGACGGGCTTGAGGATGTCGGTGGGGAGGAGGCCACGACAGAGGGACCTAATGCCGTTGCGATCATCTTTCGGTAAGTTTTCACTTTTTTACTTTGTTGCGTTCCGCCTTGCCCTATAATTGACTGTTTCCTGTGTGTCACAGGATTGGGGGCCTTGCAGCTGCGGCCGCGTTCATCATAAGCTGGAGACTCGCTCGAGAGCTGAGGCGAAGATGAAAGGTATCCAAAACTGAAGTTTATTTATTCGCCAGGAGAACAACGACAAGGGCGGCGCACAAGTTGAATCTGTCCATACCATACTCTACTCCCAAGGAGGCTCAGGAGGGTGGCAATGTTCATCTTCAAAAGTCTCTTCAGGCTACGGACTTTTTCTGCACCCACATTGGGTTTCTATTCACAAACTATATCGTGCCCTTCGTTTCGTTCTCATGTCCTCTGCTATCATTTGTACCGTACCTACCACCTTCAGCACCATTTGTTGTCGGCTCGCTCTTTGATCTCTATTTGTTTGTTTGTTCTTTTGTTCTTTTGGTCTAATTTATCTCGCTTCATCTTCGTTTATTCCTAACAAGGTCCACGCCAGAGCCTCGGCGTTCAGCGCTTAACTCGGTCGGCCTGAAAAGGGTTGTTGTTGTTCAGTTGAGCGTGATCACCTCGGACCACGGTGTATTGGACTTTGGCACGTATACTGATGCAGCAGCGACGACCCGAGAAAAAAAGAGCAAAGGAGACGTTACGAATGAAGCTGAGCAGTGGATGATACAAATGGGCTGTTGAGTCAGTAGGTGTGCGGTTGAACGGCATGCGATATTGTGTGATACGAAACGTTCGTGAGGAGACGAAAAGAGTATAAAGATATGTAGAGTTAGTTGTCGAGCAATGTTCGCGGCGGATCATGTTACAGCTGCGTGAGAGTAGACGTGCATGTCAGCGTGAAGTCACGTACAAAGGAAAGTTGAGACCGAGAGGGGGGAGCAAATAACGTACTGTATTTCGGGCCCCCGCCACCTTCTGGGACGGTCCATTGGATGTCTGCCGTTGGGACCTTGATATCGCAGAGCTTGCAATGTATACAGTTCTGTTTCACATCCATCCACGCCTGCATCAGATATAAAATCCCAACAACTTGAACCAAGAACGGATAACGGACCTGTGCATTGATAACCAACTTCTTCCCTCCCCATCCCTCCTTCCCCGCCGTCCCCGCCTCATCCTCCACATACTCATAAACCTGAGCCGGACAAGCCCTGCCCAACAACCCCGCATACTCCTCCGTATTCACCTTCACATGCTCTCCCCTCCTCTCCTGCGTCTCCACCCTCACCTTCTCCGCATCCGTCGCTCCCATCCCCACCCCCGCCTGATCCAAACTATCCTCCGTCCGCACTCTAAGATGCGCAGGCTGATCCTCCGCATGGTTCGTATTCGTCAACGCCAAAGCGGTCAACAAATCAGTCGAAAGTGGAGCCTGAGGCGCCGGATACTCGATGGGTTTACATTCGCGTGCGCGTTTCGTGTGCTGTGCGTCCGTCTTTCGTGAGGTGTTGCGGAATGTCCAGGGTGTACGGCCTTTGAGGAGGAGAGAGTCGATTCCGGAGTAGACGACGCCGCCGAAGACGCCGAGGGAGGTCGTGAACGAGGGACGGATATTGCGGACTTCGTAGAGGTCGGAATGTACCCATGAGGAGGCGAAGGAGGATTCGTAGGCGGACATGTCGGTCGGTTTTGGCTCGGGCTCAGACTCTGCAGGCTCGGATTCGGATTCGGACGCGAGAGAGGGTGAGGAAGTGACGGCGTCGTAGGCAGCCTCGGCGGCGAGCATACCCGTCTTCATGGCGTTGTGCGTCCCTTTGATTTTGGTGATATTGACGAAACCGGCGGAACAGCCTATGAGGGCGCCACCTGGGAAATGGAGCTTGGGGACGGATTGGAGGCCGCCTTCATTCAGTGTTCGAGCACCGTAGGCTACGCGTTCTGAGTTGCCTGAGAGGAGTTTGGCGAAGTAGGGGTGGTGTTTCATTCGCTGTAACACCCGTAAATGGGTATTAGGTACATCTTCGCAAGACAGAAAAGCAGAGTACAACGAACCTGGAGTTCCTTGAATGGGCTCAAATACGGGTTCGGATAATCCAGCCCAATAACCAAGCCCAAACTGACCAAGCCCTTGTCCATATGATACACCCAGCCTCCTCCATACGTCTTCATATCCAACGGCCACCCCAGCGTATGAATAACCTCTCCAGGTCTATACTGACTCTCGTCCACCCTCCAGACCTCCTTCACCCCGATTCCATACGTCTGCGGATCCGACTTGTCCGCCAATCCAAACTTCCTGATCGCCTGTTTAGACAACGAACCCCTCGCACCCTCCGCCAACAGTGTCACCTTCGCTCTGAACTCCATCCCAGGCTCGAACCGGTCCGTAGGGTTTCCCTTCTTATCGATTCCGACGTCATTCGTGCGCACGCCGAGGACGCCCTTCCCGTCCGAGGAGTAGACGAGCGAGGCGCCGGCGAAGCCGGGGTAGATCTCAACGCCGAGATCTTCCGCTATTGAGCCCAGCCATGTAGAGAATTGTGAGAGGGAGATGATGTAGTTCCCTTTGTTAGACATCTGTGGTGGGTGGGGGATGGGGAAGGAGGATGAGGAGGTCAGCCACAGCATTCGGCTGGATGTGGCGGGTTGCGTGAGCGGGTGGGAGTGGTGGGATTGCCAGTCCGGGAGGAGTTCATTGAGTGCGCGGGGTTCAATAACGGCGCCGGAGAGGATGTGTAAGCCTGGTAAGGGGATGATAGTCAGTTTATGTTCGTTAATGAGGAGAAGGTATAGGTCATGTGGCCCAAGTCAATATGCACAAGTGAAAGCACAAGAGTCGACAAATGAACCTGGGGGTTACTTTCTATATGTATAGCAGTCTGCTACGATATGTAGAGACATGTTGAAGGAGCTGAAGACAAGAACATAACGCCATGCTAAATGGCTCAAGGATGCGTTGAAATACACCACCTCCACCAGAAACTCACCAATTTCAGCTCCCTTTTCGAGAACAACAACTCGAATGTCCTTGCCCTTCTCCTGCTCAAGCTGTTTCAGACGAATGGCCGCACTCAACCCGGCCGGGCCACCTCCAACAATACAAACATCGACCTCGTCCTGAGCACGTTCAACGCTGTTCCAGTCAAATCCCTCGTTTCTCCGTCGTGCTGAGGTCTGCAGACAGCGCACTGAGCGTCTGACGACTGCTCTCGACGTCGTCGCCGAGCGTAACATGATTGTGGAGGAGGACAAGAAAAGAGGAAAAGCAGCGGAAATGGCGAGACGGCTATTGGCAGCTCAAATGAACGCGAGCGGGGATAATTTCAAATTTCACGTGCGATCGTACAGAATCGAGATCCGGCCTCACGCCACTGTGGCGAGCGGCCCGGATCGGGCCGCACTGCTGGGAACCGAATACTGAGCAGTGGCATCAACGCCACAGTCCGTGCTTTTCTCCATCTATTCCCCGTCTTTTCTCCATCTCACCATGAACTCAACGTTACCCTTAGATGTTGACCGCTTGATGTCCTCTGCTGACTTTGGCCTGGCAGGCATTCGTGCAGGTTTGCATCACTCTGAACCCAATGTCGTGCAAGAGTCAGTAGCTCGAGCTCTGAGACCTCTCGTGCTTTAGGACTCGACCAAAAGAAAGAGCTCCATCGAGAGGCCAAACTTCGCTGCAGTTACTGTGGCAAGGAGGACGACGAAAAAAAACCTCTGAAAGCATGCACACAATGTCGGTCAGTACGTCTCTGTCATCAATATTAGTTCAAAGGTTCTCAACCACCCTTTGGTACTGATAATATACAGGGAAGCTCGCTATTGCGACAGAGAATGCCAGGTCGCGCATTATAAGTACCAGCACAAAAAAGACTGCACGTCTTTCAGAGAACCGCCACTCTGTCGCTCATGGAACACAAAGACGGTCCTCCCTGATACGAAGTACCCCGAGCGTCCTACCTTTGCTCAAGGTCACAACGACGGGGTAGGTTGCTGGGTATCCGTCGCAGGATCCATAGACTGCAGGTACTTCCTCCCATCCGCCACGTATCGCGAAGTCATATAATCTCACGGTTTTTCCCTTTTGAAGTCTTTCACCCTCTCCAGGTGATCGTCTCACCGAACGAAAGAAGATGTCGGCGGCAGAACTCCTCGCGAATCTTCCCGGAGCGCCCAGCTCAGGCTCGTATCTTGATCTATCTATCCTCGTCCAGAATCGAAGAAAAGCAGAGCCCGTCATCGTCGTCGGAAAGGCTTTCCTCGCTGTCACAACTAAACAAGGGAAGTCCAAAGCGATGGAGGGTAAAAAGTCGACAGATATCATTCAGATGATACCTCATCCCGAGGGGTTTGTCTCCTCTATCGTATGACGTGCAGTACGTAGTCATACTAATGATGTATCAATACATCAGGGGCGAAGTTCCCGCCGTCACCCCCGCCTTCATCAAGCTAACTTCCTTCAACGGAAAAGATGTTCGTCTGCCCATTTACAACCACACCCTCTCCACCATCCTCATCTCACTCACATTATCCCAACACGCACAGGAAAAACAAGGCAAAAATCCCTCCGCTGCCATCCTAGACCAGACCTTCTCCGCCGTCCTCCTCCGCCCCGGCGACTTCGCCATCTTCGAATCTCAATACCGTCTCGGCGGCCCCTCAATCACCAAAGACTTCGAAGCCCTCTCCCTCCTCTCCCACATCATCATCCCCGCTGTCCCCTACGACCCTTCCTTCCCCGGTCCATACAAGGACCTGCTACCCCGCGCGGCGAATAAGGGCGAGCTGTGCGAGGTGAGGGGCATGATCGACCAGGAGGAGGTGGAGGACTGGTATGCGGATTATGTGACGCTGGGGAAGAAGGCGTATATTAGGAGTCACTATGGGCAGGCGAGGGCGGATATGATCGATGCGGGGGATAATATGGGGCAGCAGTTGCAGCAGATGATGTTGGCGATGGCGGCGGGGAGGATGGGGAGCAACGGTGGGAGTTTTCCGGGATTTGGGTGAGGAGGGTTGAGTGGCGAGGGGTGAAGGAGCTGTGTCGTTGCGGAGACTCGGAGGTGTAGAATGGGAGAAGTGCTTTTGATCTTGAGAAGATATGTTGTATGAGATGTACTATTATACCTGACTTCGTGAGCTTGCTTTTCTTGATATCATTGTCTTGAAGTCATCCCTGGCTAGCTGATTATTTCAATATTGGGCATCTTGAGGCATGAGTCGAGCACTCGAGACCGTCCACCCAAACGCACAGATTGAAAACGCAAAAAGAGCAGAACTCGACAACATGATCATTCGCCATCAGCAGCGTCAACTTATGAACCCCCTGTCTGCGATTTGAAATTCCACATCTCGCCTCATTAATATTCGTGATTTCTGAGCCGCATTAATAATCAGCCCGAGGCAGGTTTGTGATGCGCTTTTCCCTCACAAATCCTCACGAATGCGATGGCCAACACACACACGGCTCTACCACTCTGCAGACTGCTTCATACTGCGACAATAATGGACACTTGCGTCCATATTGCCTGCAATGGTCCCTGAAGGCTTACTGATACACCGACCCACCCAACAGGGATATGTTGCTCGTGGCTTATACATCTCAGACCTTCAACCTCGAAAGAGACTTACGGATGTAGCCGGGCAGCCACCTATTCGTCGGTGTATCTTGCAAGTTGAACTTACAGAATGTGGGGCATCGTGTCCTTGTGATCGCGTCCTCTCCATATAAAAGCTCGTGACGCAATGTCCACTCTTCTCATCCCCAGCCCAGCAAGCACATCCAACACGCAACAAACACATCTCACTTCTCCTCAACTCTCCGTCATCTCATCATGTCTACTCCTACTTCTCTCCCCACAACGCACGCCGCCATCGCCACCACTGCCAAAGCCGTCCTCTCCACCATCCAAGTCCCCACTCTCGTCCCAGGCGCTGAAGGCGTGGTCATCAAAGTATCCTACGCCTCTCTCGTTGCGTTGGACACCTATTTCCTCGATAGCGCGTTCTTGATCCAGCAGTATCCTGTTACGCTTGGGTTTAATGCGTCGGGGACCGTGGCGGCTGTGGGCGAGGGTGTGAAGGGATTGAAGGTTGGAGACAGGGTAAGTCGCATCGCTGACTGACTTGAACTACCTGCTTACCTCCGATGCCCTTCAGGTCACGGCCTTCACCTACGGCCCCTCCACCCGCAAGGCTTTGCAAGAGTACACCATCCTCCCATACACCTTTGTCGCCAAAATACCCGCCTCGCTCCCTCTCGAGGCAGCTGCGACCATCCCCGATAATTTCGTCACGGCGTACTACACTTTGTTCGACCAGCTGGGACTTCCGATTCCGAAGACTTTGGGGTTGGCGGACAAGGTGGAGGAGAAACCTGAGCAGGCTGACACTCCCATCTTGGTTTATGGCGCTGGGACGACGAGTGGACAATATGTAAGTAGCGATATATATTTCTTTTGGGCTTGTTTCTGAGGCTGACTTCTGGTTTTGCGATGAATTGCAGGCCGTCCAAATTCTCCATGCCGCAGGATATAAAAACATCATGTCAGTTTCCGCCCTTCTTTCCCATCTCTTCTCCCATTCTTGAAGCATAATCAACTCACACATTATCCTCCCACAGTACGACCTCCTCCGAGCGTCACCATTCCTACCTCAAATCGCTCGGCGCGACCCATACCTTCTCCTACACCTCCCCCACCCTCACCACCGACATCCTCCGCATCGCCCCCGGAAAAATCCACTATGCCATCGACTCCGTCTCCGCCTCTTCCACCATTTCTGCTATCAATGAAGTCTTGGCCCCCGGTGGTGCCGTGGCGCTACTGCTTCCCATCAAGAAGGGCGACAAAGTGACGCCTGATTCGAAGGGTGAACTGCAGGAGAGGTTTTATATGGAGTTGCCGGAGGACTTGAAGGTTGGGGCATTGGGACCGGAGGGTGGAGCGAAGGCGGTGGGCGTCAGGACCTTTTATTATCATGAGGTTCGTTTTTCTTTTCCTTCGCTCTGTGTGGTATGAGATTCAAGCTAACTCTTTCTCGGATCTATGTGGCTGGTAGAATGACTTCATGCGACTCAACCTCATGCCCAGGATCCTCCCTTCGCTCCTCGAATCCGGCGTCATCCAGCCCAACCGCCTTCGCCTGCTCGACGAGTCTGTGCATGAGACTTTGCAAGGCAGGGTCGAGGTCGGGTTGGATTTGTTGAGGAATAACAAGATCAGCGGAGAGAAGGTCATCGTGAAGGTTGCTGCATAATGTCGAGACCAGCTGTGGTATCTAGTTGTACAAGAATAGTTCAAGAATATTTATTTGTCACCCCCCAGAGTTCTATCTACTTCTCACGAACGAGTTCGAACAATACATTTAGAAATAACGATGCAAGGGCCAATGGTGCAACAAACATGCGACGCTCAATATTAGTTCTCACATGGCAAGCTCCAGCGCCTCACGCACTGGTCTTCCTATCCGGGAACGCCTTGTCGAACCCGACAAGTGTGTACCTGTACCGAACGTTGTTCTCCTTCACTCCCTCAACCGCCTTTTTACACCCCTCCTCTCCGAGCTGCACCTCCTCCACCCACGTCCACAATTTCTTATCCTCTTCACTCGCCAACTTCAACATCTCCAATATCTCCTTCCTACACCCAATCTTACTCCCCGCGATCTTACCCCCATTACCCGCAAAAATCGCCTGCACATTGATCGGCGGGATCGGCGCGTCCGGCATTCCACAATTATGGAACGTCCCGTTCACGACGAGCGTGGACATGTACTTCTCCATGTCGAAGGTGTGGGTCATATCGGCCGTGTTGAGTATGAAGTCGAAGGTGAAAGCGAGAGGTTCAGCCCAGTCCTCTGAGGTAGTGAGAACGAAGTGTTCAGCTCCGAGGGCGAGCGCGTCGTCTTTCTTGGAAGGAGAATGGGAGAGGACGGTGACTTTGGCACCGAGGGCTTTTGCCCACATAACACCAAAATGGCCAAGTCCTCCACTGTATGCGAGTGTAATGAAGAGTCAGTCAACCGTCAGAGTTGCCAGAGAGCCCAATGGTACAGTTATGAGACTCACATTCCAATGACAGCGACGTGCATGCCTGGACCGACGTTAGCACGCTTGAGAGGACTGAAGGTCGTGAGACCAGCACACATCATGGGCGCGGCGACAGCCGAGGGGATACTGTCAGGAATGGGGAAGGTGAAGTATTCGTGGGCGCGAATATGGGATGCGTAACCGCCTTGAGCAATCGTCCCGTCTGGGTAGGGTGCGTTGTACGTTTCTGGACGATAAAAGGCAAATCATCAGCAAGATGATTAAGGACCGAGACGAGTGAACAAAAACACCTACCGATTCCCTTTGGGCAATAATTTTCGTTGTCGTGAGTGCAGTTCTTGCACTTCATACACGCCGAAATCATAGCTCCGACGCCGACGCGCTGACCGACCTTGGCGAGCGTGACTTTGGATCCGACCTTGATGACCTTCCCGATTATTTCGTGGCCAACGCAGAGAGGGAGGCTTGCGTCACCCCATCCGCCGGTGATGGTGTGGACGTCGCCTGTAACAAAAAAGGAAACCTTAGAACTGCAACGGAGAGTGCCGGAGAATAGGGGCCAAGAGAGGACGTACTGCCGCAGACGCCACAGCACTCGATGACAATGTCCACATCGTAGTCTTCGAATGGTTTCGGCTTGAACTAAGAACAAGAGTGTATAAGTAGCTTGTCTGAGGTACGCAGCTATGGCGGGATGGGAAACAGAAAGGAAGTACGTACTGTATCCTTCTGGAAGTCGGACCACTTCTTGTGGTCCTTGATCATGAAACCCTCAAACGTATCGGGGTAGCCCATTGTTGTACAGTAAAAGAGATTGAAATTGTTAGCGGTGCGTGAGGGATTGTCAAGATGATGGAGGTGCTGGAGATGTAATCAGTTCCACTCAGGCCTTATATACTGAAGGCAGAAGACGGACGACGTCATGCATGAGAAAGTTGTGTCAGGCCTGTCAACTCAGAAGATCTGCACAATTAAGTGCACCACTAGCAGGACCCGAACAGGACACGGAGATCGTGACGAACGTCATCGACAAACATTCATACCTCGAAAGGCAGTCGCATTTCCATTTCTGGATACCAACGACTGGATCGGGCCAAGGGACCAGCTGAGGCTGAGGTGCGGCAAAGCAGTAGAAATAATGAGCATTCAAACCCTGTATCATACACGGACATATACTTGTCAACAGTGAATTGTACATCGTGCGACTTCGAACAAGTCTTCTAGTTGATGAAGCCAATGGAACGCCAATGCTCGACCCACTTTCCAACGAGCTCACGGTTAGGAGCAGGTGCCGCAGGAATCGACGGCGCCACACTGCCTGTCTTGTCCGTGGCGAACTTCATCGATTTAGCGTTCGTGCCAGCATTCGTATACCTAGCCTTGAAGAAGGGCTGCAGGGAGAGTCAGCATCGCAGTTTCTTACAAGAAAATCAGAGATATAAAGAAACAAGGAGATACACACCAGGAGCTTGATAATCGGATTCCTCTCTGGATCCTTCTCGCTCGTTGCCAACCTCTCCAACCACTCCATCCTATCCACCGTCTCAAACTTCACCCCCGCATCCTTTAAACCTACCAAAATATCAGCCCAACTTGCGCTCGTATTGGGATTGACGATATGATAGACCGTCGATTTCGGAATCGTCTCGTCGGAGCGGAGGACGATTTCCGTTATGGCTCGGCCGGCGTAGTCGACGGGAAGCCAGGAGGGATGCTCGTCTGTGAGTGGAAGAGCACCAACTGTGTTAGCGCCCTTGAACATCAGGGGCCAGGCTTCTGTCTCATTCCATACGCCGCTATAATAGATGTTCTAATCAGTGTGTATCTTACAATCACCAAGAGAAGATACATACTTGATCGAATCACCGACCATCTGCCCAATCCTCAGCACACCCACCCTCGTCTCCGTCCTCTCTGCCGCCGCCTCACACAGCTTCTCAACGACCCATTTACTCCTCGCATACCCCGTGCCCGCCGCCGTCTTCGGATCGGTGGAAAATTCCTCCGGACAGATCTCTTCGCTACCAGCCTGGCGACACGAGATAGAAGACGAAAAGTAGAATGTGGGAGGCGACGAATGTGGGGATTCGAGACAGAGGTTGAGGAAGTTCAGGGCGCCGTTGACGTGCTCGTCGTATGATTCGATGCTGAGGTTGAAGTTGACGGGCCAGGCGTTCTGTTGTATAGTTAGTGTCAGATATGTACAACACGAAGCAAATGAAAAGAACTTACGTGGATAACAATAGTCGCTTCGTCACGGATGGAATCGTATTCCTCCTTTGATAAGCCGAAGAGCTCGACGTTTGTGTTCGCGGCGTAGGATACGAGCTTACTGTCGTCGACAGTCAACTTCCTTGATTTGAGCGAGTCCTTCACTCGTTTCAAGGAATCAGCGTGCGATGATGCACGCGAGAGACAGAAGATCTTCTTGACTGAAGACTGGGCTGATAGTAGGGCGAGAATGTGTGCGCCTAGTGAGCCAGTGGCCCCAGTGAGAACCTGTGACGCAGGGGAAACACTCAGTCAGATGGAATGAAGGAGATAAATTTTGACTATACTGACCACAACGTGCGAGCCGTCCTGTGGAATAGCAGTCGTGGTATTCCTGGCCACGAACTGAGCACTATACTTCTCCAGCATTGCCAACATCGCCTCCCGCTGCTGGTCGTCCGACTTCTCTGCACTTTGGCCACTCTGCAAGGCCAGAAGATAATCTGCCAGCTTCTTAACGCTTGGGTGCTCATACACGACTACACATTCGGGTTCATCAGCATCATCCGTGACCAAGGGTCAAGTGTAAACCGAAAAGACTGACCATTCTGGCCAAGCGTCTTCCCACCCAACTCAAGTCTCTGCTGCAATGTGTTCCTCACCCTTGTCCCCTGCAAACTGTCCACCCCAAACGCAAACAAGTCCACGTCCCTCGTTAGACCCCTTCCTTTAACCGGTCCCAACGCCTTCCTAATCGTCTCCAACACAAACTCCTCCAACTTTTCCCTCCCAAGCGTCACCTTCTCCTCCTCCGAGCCCCTCTCGAACCTGACATAGATCTCGTCGATCAGGTCCTTAAACTTGGCGTAACACGCAGGTCGGAGGATCGTCATCTTTGTGGCGATGGGGATGTGCGTCCCGTGGGGAAGGAATTCGACCATCTCTGGGAGGAGACGGGAGTGGGTCGGCGCTTCGGCATTGGCTTGTTCGATTACGGGCCAGATCTTGGACATGAGCTCGTCTCGAGTGAGGTCTTTGCCGAGGTCGGAGGGGAGGACGAGGACGCCAGTTTGAGGCCTTCCGGCACCGAAGACGATTGCTGTGAGTTTGACGCAGTCGCGAAAAAGTCAGTAAGAGAGTGAGGGTCTGAAGTGTTAGAGAAATATGACCTTCGGCAACGTAAGGACTGTTTCCGCGAATGCAGAGCTCCATGGGCACCGGGTTCGTCTTCTCGCCCAGTGTTTGTACAAGAGTGTCATCCAGACGTCCGATGTACTTGTACCAGTTAGCATGTTCCGGATGACGCTGGAACAGATCTTTCGTGGCAAACGACCCGTCCGGACGGTTCGTCTCGACCTACACAAGAGTTCAGCAAAGGTCAGTGGCGATGTTGGAGCATACAATTCATGAAGCAAAATAATCAGACGCACAAGGGCAGGGTATCCAGCCTTGACGACAACCTCGAACGTGTTGTTCCCGCGGTCCTCAAAGTCAAGGTATTGTGGTCCCAGACCGAACGGACGAATCCAATTCCAGGCTTTGTCGGTCTTGTAGTCACGGTTCGAATTGAGGAGCGAGCCTGTCTCCGTCGTTCCGTAGATACTCAGAAGGTTGACCCCGGACTTGATCAATCGTTCACCTAGGTCATCCTAGATTTCCTTTGATCAGACCCTAGCTCACTATGAGAAAAGATCGAGAACATACGGGAAGCGCAGCGCCAGCAAAGCCGACAATGTCGAAGTTGGCAAGTGCTTTGATACCTTCTGGAGTCTCAGCGAGCAGCTTGATAACATACGGGACCGCGAAACACTGCGTGACCGGAGGCGAGGCTTCAATGACCTTGCAAATATTGGCTGAGGTGAGAGGAAGGTGCGGCGGGTAAAGGGTCATGGTCTGGCCGGAATACATGCATCGGAAACTGAGAAATAGTTAGGATTAGAGGGATTGTAAAGAGACAGAACCGGAAGTGCGGCATACATGGCGAAATGTCCATATCCGTGGTAAACAGGCAGTGTACTGAAACCAGGCTTGTTCTGGTTCATGGCGACGTTGGCAATAAGGCCGTAGTGAGTGACGTAGACAGGTTTGGGGAAGCCAGTCTGTAGCAATATCCGCATGAGAATGATGAAACTGAGGAGTTGAAATAAACAAGCACTGACAGATCCCGACGAATGCAGGACGACAGCCGGCCTGTCCTTCTCCTGATCAGGAGTCAGACGTGCCGCGAATGGCTTACTCTTCGAAGCCTCGACGCCCTCGGGTCCCCAGAGTGGGAAGCGCTTATCCTCGACGAGGCCGATGCTAACGCCTTGCTGCCTCAGGATATCTTGGGCCTCCTTAGCCTCCTGCGGGAACTTGGATCCGTAGATGAGGTGTGACGCCTTCGTGAGCTTGCACAAGTGCGCAATAGCGGGAACGGAGTTATTGACAGAGAGGAGAAGCGCTGTAAGGCCAAGTTTCGCAAGAGCCATCTCGAGCAAGGATTCGTCGTATGCGGTGCTGGTGTAGACGGCAATGATACGGGGCGGAGGAAGACCGTCGGGACCTGGTTCTGGGACGAGACCCAGAGAGGAGTAATGCCATGCAAGGCGGTCTACGGCTTTCTCAACTTGAGAGTAGCTAAAAAAATGTCCAAATCAGAGGTCTAAATTACAAGATGATAACTGAGAAGAGGGATGAGCGCCGAAACAGTTCGGTCAGCAGCATTATGACAATAATTGCCTAGCGAAGCGCTACATGAGATGAAAGTAATGACTTCAAATCACGGCTATAAATTAGCTAGATGAGAGCCTGGAGATGTGACTTGAGGCAAAGAGCAAAGATAATGCAGATACCGATGAGCGGTAATTATCGAATTGCACATCTCTTTAACGACACACTGAGCTTTCGCATTGGGGCGCCGTCGCTGAGAATGACCCTCAAAGATAGTCTCATCTTTTGGCATGTGTTATGAGTATTGATATAGAGTAGTCTTCCTCACCTAAGATACTGCAACAACTTAGACGGCTCGTTTGTTGGAACCCCGGTGTAGATAGCCGGCTTGTCTGGCATGTCGCGAACACGGTTCGCGAGCAGCTCCGTCAACGATTTGGCATAGAAAGACACGGAAGGCATGGTGAAGTCAGAAAGTGTGATAGGATGGGAGCGTTGAAGAGTTGCTTGAGTCCCATGTCGGCCGCTTTTCGTTCGTACTTGAGGCAATCGAAGGGGTCCTTGACGAAAGTCCTTCGGTCCGATTTTGCGCGAGGAACATAAGGAGCGGTCCGCTACGGTCCGCCTCTGTAACAACGTCACTGCTTGGTCAGAGCAACTTTACAACGTTCTTCTCCGCCACGTTTTTCTGAGCTCTCTGGGTTGGATGCCTTTGATCCAGTGTGTCCAGGATGTCGCAAACGTCGGATCAAGAAAAGTACTGTCAGTGCAATGGGGAGCATGAGGCACAACCGATTTGAACCACACATCCCAGTTGAAAGAGTCCGGCATCACTGTGATCACTGCCTCCCAATGGGTATCTTGACTCAGATTGCTTGCAGGGCTAAGTGTTCCCAAAGATGCATCTGACCCCTCTCTATCGCAACCACAGTGACCTTCGTCTACACTCCGCAGAGCGTCCTACAGGGTGTTTGCAGTCTAAAAATGCTCACGAGGCACCCGCCCGTACTGTATTCTAGCCGGCGGTGCGTGAATTTTCATCTGGATCATCATGGGACACCTCTGGCATGGAGAACTTATATGAACTTCGTAATTGATAGAGGGTCGGACTCAAAACAACCTACTGTATCTGAGATAGAAAAAACCTGTATGCTGAACATAAGTGTCTGGTTTTGTCCATTCAAAAGGCATATTCCTGTCCAAGTCCAGTTTCACTTCTTCACCTTGTGCTACGGTTCCATCGCGCCGTTTCAACGCCGTTTATCGTGGAGATGTTCAATCTCTGTGGAGAACTCGCTTGCGAAAAAATCTATCGTGGTAGGCTCATCTGACCAGAGCACGATAGTTTCCGGGGGAGTTCATTCGTCACATCATAGGCCCGATACAGAGAAGCTCCGATCGTGGGTGTGGGGAGGTGGGGGGAAGGCGCTGTGTTCCAAACTAAATGCGCGGGCATCAGGCCAGAGATCAGGTACTCGCTGAACTTGCTCGATCTTCCTTACACAGATATACGGTCTACTTTGCTGAATCACCTGGTGTTAATGAGACCGGACGCCCCGGTGCGGCTCCTGTCCTTATATTCTCGTCATCTGGACACTTTGAACCCCGGAGCTGTTCCTACGTTGCTCGCCCACCATGTCCGCCACAGCTGCCACTTCTAACCCTCGACCACTCGACGACTTTACGGATCCTGCCACTTTCAATGAGAAGAAGGATCAAGTTCAAGTCGAACAGATCGAACGCGTCCCAGATGCTGATATTCAGCAATGGGCCGATAGAGATGCGGCGGATGTCGAAAAGCAACCTGGAATTTTCGGATTCATGTTCAAGAAGAATCCGTCTCCCGAGTTCATAACAGACCTTGCCAAGATGAATGACACCGAACTTGACCCCAAGGAGATTCGACGTCTCACCAGGAAAATCGACCTTCTGATTCTTCCTGCCTTGTCAATATGTTACATGGTAGGCCTGCCCCCGCATCTCTCAAACGATAACTCGCTGACACCGCTCTTCTACAGTTTTACTATATGTGAGCCCCTTGGCTCTGCTTTTCCGCACGTTCTACTGACTCTCGACATAGCGATAAAACCACTCTTTCGTATGCCGCTATCTTCAACCGTAAGCGTTGTTTCTCTCAATGTCAATCCTGACTATCACTCATGGGCTCACGATCTCCTCAGTCAAGAAGGACTTGAACCTCGGTGACTCGGAATACGTAAGATAAATCATTGATATCGCTCATTCGTGATTTCACACTCTCTCACAGAGCTGGCTCTCGAGTCTGTTTTATTTCGGCTGGCTGGCCTGGGCCATCCCAACAAACATGATGATGCAAAAGTTTCCGCTCAACAAGTACCTTGCTGCCAATGTACGGATGCTCGCTCTTCACCATTCTTCGCCTCTCACACTTGCGCTTCAATAGATCTTCATGTGGGGCGCTCTTCTCATGTGCCAGGCTGCGAGCAGGAACTTCACAGACCTTGCGATCCTTCGGGTTCTCTCAGGCGCTGCTGAGGCGACTGCCGATCCCGCATTCGTGCTCATCACTTCGACCTGGTATACTCGTGCGCAACAGCCATCCAGGATCGGCGTATGGTACTGTGCCAACGGGTTCGGGATTGCTCTTGGTGGTCTTCTCGGCTACGGTATCGGTCATGTACGTCCATCTTCACTTCGAACTTCCTACCCCTCTTTTTTTACGCATTCCGGACTGACTGTCCACCTTATGGGCTCTCATAAGATCAATGCATCCCTTCAGTCCTGGCAATATGAGTTCCTCGTCATCGGTGCCCTCTGCACCTTTTGGTCTATCATCATGTGGATCTTCGTCCCCGACTCGCCCTACATGACTCACTGGTTCAAGCGCCACGAGCGGCTTATGATCGTCAGCCGCAAGCGTGACGACCAGCATAGTCCGGACCGTCGTGAGTGGAACGCGAGTCAAGTCCTTGAAGCGTTCATCGACCCGAAGATCTATCTGTTCTTCCTGTTTGGCTTTACCGCTAATGTTCCTAATGGCGGGACGTCCAACTTGTAAGTTGATTTCCTTGTTTGAAGTGTTTTATAGTCTGACAGTCTTGTAGCGGTACTTTGATCGTGAAGGGCTTTGGGTTCAACACATTCCAGACCACGCTCATGCAGGTCAGTTCTTCCGTAATATCTGGCGAAATAAGGATGTTCTGATGCTCTTATTGTCTTTAGATCCCTTACGGTACGTCTTCGCAGTCACACTTCATCACGTAGGTAAAACAGCTGACAACAACACCAGGCATGATCATCGTCGCCTTCATCGTGGCTGCCATTGTCGCCAACAGATATATGCCACCCAACACGCGCACCATCCTGATGGTCATGACCAACATCCCGACCGTCGTCGGTTTCGCCATGGTCGCTTGGTGCAAGTCTTCCGGAGCTCGTCTGGCTGGCTACTGTGCGTACATCACCTCGTTTCTCTTGAGAAGTTCATTTACTTAGAACTCGGCGTACAGGGATGACGGGTGCATCAAACGCGACATTCGTTGTCGGATTGTCACTTGTGTCCGGCAATGTCGGTGGCCAGACGAAAAAGGCGCTTGCATCTGCCGCTGTCTTTTTGGGTGTTGCTACAGGGTGATTATCTATCATTATGCTCTTTAGATGTACTCCCCGCACTAACTCCCCATCCTTCAGTAATATCGTCGGCCCCTTCTTGTTCAAGGATTCAGAAGCTCCCGTCTACTTGACTGGTATCGTCGGCTGCCTCGTCTCAAGGGCCCTCGAGATCGTCATCATCATCATCCTGCGGATCATCTTCGTAACCGCCAACAAGCGTCGGGACCGTGCTGTCGCAGAAGGGCGGGTGGACTATGACGAGCGGGTGTCCGCGCTCGAGGATATTTCGGACTGGAGGAACCCGGCTTTCCGTTACGTTGCTGTAAGTTCACTTCCTGCTCTTCGTTGGCATTATCTTCAAGTTTCCCTGATCCACTTTCTCCTTTCACATCTATCTGTTCTGTCTGTGACCACCACACTGATAACAAATGTTCTTCACAGTGAGGCCATGTTCATGATACTTAGTGTGCATTGTATTTCTACTTTCTACCTTCCTCTATTGTACATGGACCGACACCTTCTTTCAATTTCGTCCTTACCTTTGTAACACCATTTTTGTTGTCCCGGCGAATCACCATCGTATGTGTTCGCCACACTTCCCTGAGGCGAGATCTTGCTGGTTCAAGGGGATAAGAGACCAAAGCATCCAAGAACGATAAATACTGCTCTAAAATTGGCAATAGCCAAGAAACTCGATTCACGTCGGACTCGAACTGTAAACCAAGTAGCCGGGTCTCGGACTTGAGCTTGACTATGACGTGCCTTCGGACTCCCGCCGGAGTAGCAGCATTGAAGGTGGCGCACGCTCAGAAGAGCCACCATGCAGAGCTCATCTACACGCTCAGTTCTCTCTCGTCTCTTCTCCATATCTCGTCACATCAATAGCACGCCTGTTCCTGTTCCAACCCGTACGCGATTTATGGCTACTACAACGATGAATGAGTCTACGCCTACGATGGCCAGCGCACCGTTGTCTGACGTGACATTTCCCACTTCACCGATTCCGCCAAATCCGTTGGGGGAGGGAAAGTGCATCAGGACGGCAGCGGCACTCATGATAGGGTACGTTGTTGCTAGGCTCAGTTTGAAAGTTGCAGGGGAACTGACTTGCTGGCGTGGTGGCTCTTGATGTGTAGAGACGAGATCCTGAACGGAAAGACACTTGACCGAAACTCGAATTATTTCGCAAAGTTCTGCTTTGAGCAAGGTATCGACCTGTACGTCCTCTTACCACAAACCTTTGAACCTAACTTGACAGCAGGCGTAGGAAGCGGATAGAGGTCATACCTGATGAAGAAGAAGATATGTAAGTTCACAGTCGTTTCTCTTCAAGAATGTGGATTGGTCTTCATGGGAATATCGAGGAAGTATCGAGGCGTCGAGGAGAATGGTGAAGAAATACGATTTCGTTATTACCTCGGGAGGTATTGGACCCACTCACGATGGTGAGTTCGTCCATCCACGTTCGAGTGTGGCGTACTTTGTGGCGCAACACTTCTTCCGTTATTCCCCTCGTCCTTGTGTACGTCGATGTTGACGAGCACACAATCTCGGCTGGTAGATATAACATATGCTTCACTCGCCGCATCTTTCAACCAACCACTCATTCACCACGCCGAAACCCTCCACCGAATGGCCGAGATGAGCAAGAACCGGCCATGGGTGGCCCAACAGTCTGAGGAACAGCGAGTAGCCCGAGAGCGTATGGCTCTGTTTCCAGAGAAAGCCGAAGTGCTCTATGTGGCAAAGGATATCTGGGTTGTAAGTCGAAGATATAGTATATCTACCACTTCGAGATTGTCGCTGAACACCTTACTCTCTCCATCTTGTCGTACAGCCCGTGATCAGACTAGAAGGAAAGCTTTGTGTGTTCCCCGGCATCCCGGGGCTCTTCCAAAAAATGATTGATGGTCTAACACCGTATTTGCCATTGCCACCACCGGAAGAACGTCCTTTCAGGCAACAAGTCTTTACATCGTACGTTCTACAATACGTATTCGCAGCCATAAACCTTCGATTGCACACTGATCATCGCATCGTTTATATCAGGCTCCCTGAGTCTTCGATAGCACCCTACCTCACCTCCCTCCATAAACGAGTCAAGGGAGAAGGCATTAGAGTCGGGTCATATCCTCTTCTCATGAAAGGAGTGTATATCAGTCTCATTGGCATGGATAGGAAGAGGGTGAACGAGCTTTGCGAGGAAGTCGAGAAAGAAGTGCAGGGGAAGTTGGTCAGTGAAGAGGAGGTGAGGGAGGCGAAGGCGGAGTCGCTGAAGGAGTAGTGTGGTTTGGCTTTCTTATGGTTTGGGCATTCAGTACCTTATTTCTGTGATTATGGATGTATTGTCGCTGAGTATGGATAACACGTTGGACTCCAGCTCATTGTCGCAAACTGTCAGATTGGCATGAAACAAAATATGTGATGCATCGGAAACCGTAAAGCAAGTGCCCCGTCGAATAGTGACTAGGCCGTCACACGATATGCCACCAAGAAATCTCTGTAGATCGACATGACATGTGGCACCCAATGTGGCGAGGTTGGGACGAGGTCTTCCTGCACAATAAAGAAGTGAATGAATAAATCACGCCTGTGCTCATGATACAGCAAATAACATACATCGACTCAATATTCAAAACACCGTGATCAAGAAAGCCTTGAGTAGTGGATTTCTTTTCGCCGCCTCCTTAGGGAATATCTTCCCCGTCTTCTGAATATATTTGCGCAACGCATCGGCGGATTGAAAAGCCTTGACGACCTTTCCTTGGCGGCGCGCATCAACCAAGTCCACTATGTTCACAAACTTGCTCGTGAGGGCCTACAGAGTCCAGACAATGTCCGCAACGATGAGCATGGCTGTATTTGTAACACGGTCAAACGCCGGATTCTCACTCCCAAAACGCTTACCTTTTTGCACTTTTTGATGCTTTGAGGAACGTCCTCGTCCTTTATCCCTGCAGTCTTACACAAATCCTGCCACGCCTTCAAATCCGCCACGTTATGCCCGAAATGCTCTTCAAACCCTGTCGCAACCGAGGTGGCAAAGAACGTCCGCCTGCCGTTCCGATACGCCTTACTGCCCTTAGTGAGGCCTTCTGTGACGGCGAGACGAGCGAACTCGTCAGCAAAAGAATCGATGTCGGCCATTCTGGTGGTGAAGTTTTGGCGAGTAGACGGGTGGGGATAGTTATTGGATGAGAGGAAAGACAGTATGCGGTGAAGAGAACTAGGGTCTGTTAAAAATGGGTTGGGCAGAGGGGAGGGAGCGTGATTCAGAGGGATCTACTGAAGCTAATAAATAATGTGGCGCGCTTCACGGACATCAACAATCCACCCACGCCTGTCAGCTGGTATTGATGTCCGGAAGCTTGTTCGAGGCCTCGTTGAGATGTTAGGAACAAAAGGGCTCTCGGCATCGGGGAAAGGTAGAGGCTGGACTCGCCGCTGCGAGGACTGATAAAGGCAGCCTCGAGGGTATAGATTCGCGTAAAGAGGCCCCATGGGTGAGCCAGAGTCAACGCGATGAGAAAGAGATAGGTCAAAGAGGGCACCAACATGCCTTCACCGGGAGGTAGAAAGTGCAAGCGGAGATGAGACGAACGGACGAGGTTCAGCACTCGAAACAACTTCCAAATCTGTGATTGATAGAAATACATTGCCAAAGCATACATAGACATCGCGGAGGCTTAGTCTAGTCTATTTCTGCGAAACGAACGTCCGCATTAGCTTCTAACCAGGCCAGCCATTTTTTGAGGTACGACCCGCCGTGCTGAACCGTCGATGAATCCCCGACGATGCACTAATGTTTGTCAACTGATCAGCGACGAACGTTGAATAGAGGTGACGCAGGCGCACTGAACGTACTAGATGTCTTCTTGCTCGAGTCATTGCGACTAGCATCGGAGCATACGTGTATCAGATGTGAAGCCAGAAAGCGGACGAGATGGACAACCTCACCATTCAGTCTTCGCTTCTCTTTCAAAAAGCCAACCTCTCTCTGTTTTGTGTTAGCAACGAATGTGTGGCTTCCTAAGAACACTCATTTGAAGCAAGAAGACGTACCTTCTCGTTTGACCGTACAAGACTGATGATGACAGCCTCTTTCTCCCGCCCTTGCATCCCATCCACGGTTCCAATTTCCAGATCTGTGCCGTATGTGGGACGAAGTATGGAGGTCAGAAGTGTTACCTGTGCTTGATAGCTATATGAGGGAAAACAAACAGGTATCAGAATCGTGAGATTGAAAAGAGCGAAGTAGGAAACGAACGGTGTTATGATCGCGATTTGGGATGGTAAGATCCCGACATCGACCTGGACAGATGGATATGGCGTTAACATTGCTAGGATAAAACCAGTCACGACCAGAGCAAAACTCACCAACTGTTCAACCCACTTCCTTACGACCGTCGCTTCATTCTCGTTACACTTACTCCCTTCATCCCCATCTCCTTCCGTCCTCTCGAAATATTCACACCCTGCAGTATCGAAGAATACGACGGGAGTTCGGAGCACTTCCTTATCCACATTGTCTTCTTCATCCTTTGAGTTATCATCACCATCAGTATTGACGTTCGATAGATCGCATAGGAGATGGGAAGCGACGGAGGGGTGAGCTTGGAGCTTGGAGTTATACATGACTTGAGACGGGAACTGAGCGATTTGTTCGTGCATACTAAGTTGCACACCGAATAAAAACACGAGAGATCAGATCTTCATGCTTTTCACGAAAACTGAGAAGCGTCAAAAATGGCGACTAACCGATATTGAACGGTGAGCATCCTCTTGATACCTGGCCCATATAACTTCTCCAGCCGTTCAAACATCGTCGTCTCTAATGTTCTTGGAGGTCTAAGGACTCGTAGGCGTGCTTTCTTGGGCTTCACCTTGTTCTTGTCATCCTTCGTCACCTCTACGTCCTTCTTGGGAGTAGTAGATGCGGGTTCAAGTTCATTCTCGCCATCTGTGTCTTCAGAAGAACCTTCGGAGTCCGAGCCACTCGCAGAGTCGTCTTCACCTTGAGGCTTTGACTGAGGTACTTCGGCTTTTGGATCTGAGGGCTTGACTTTCGCCTTTGCTGCAGCTTTGCCTGTAGTCTTGGTCGCAGCAGCTTTCTTGTCTGCCTTCTTTTCCTTTCCAGACTTGTCCAGAGATAAGATCGTTGGTGGGAGTTGCTTTGGATCGCCGGCCAGGATGAGTTTCGAGGCTTTGAAGATGGGTATCCAGCATACCTTCATACATGACGGTAAGTATCTATGATCTAGGAACGGGTCCGGAAGAGAATAGCGAGAGAAACTCACAGCTTCAAGGGCCTGTGTTGCTTCGTCGATGATGACAACATCGAACTTCTGATTCCAGAGTTGTCTTCCTCCGGCAGAGTGGCATGTGGCGAGCACTACCTGACGGGTCAGACGGGATAATTAAATGGTGTTAGTACGGTCGTGAAAATGGCACATAAGTCCCTTCCAAGTATGGGCATAGGCATGGCGATATCTCCGCGTACCTGTGATTCGCTGAGCACGGTTTGAACAACTCCGCCTTCTCGTTGACGATACCTACCAGCAAACCAAGTATTTTAATAAATGTGCGTCGCAGTATAGATTAAGAGGAGTTGTTTTCACTCGCACTTACTCCTTCCTCAACGCCTTCACCTCTTCCCACATCTTCTTCCTCTCTAGCCCTCGCGGGCCCTTACCTTTCGCACCCTTACCTTTCCCCGACAAAGTATCCATGGCGGCCTGAAGCTCGTTCTTCACGTCCTTCGCCAACGCAGCCTATCCATAATTCGCGCATCGAAATATCCTTCGTTAGAGAGATCCCTTGTACACATATGACGCGTTAGAAATGGTTGAATATCTAAGAACATACCTGATCTGACCTTCCCGCCTTAACTTCCAAGGTCGCCTCCAACACCCCTTCATTATTCGCCATCACACGCGCCGGGTGTCCTACCCTCGTCACCTTCAGTTTTTCAAATTTGTTTTCCGGAGTGGGGAGGGCAAGAAGACGTTCGAGAATATTGTCGACTGATAGATTGGAAGCACCGCAGACGAGGAGACGTTTTGGTTTAGGATTGTAGGAGGACGTAGAGGTCAGTTGGCGGATGATTTCGATCAGGGTGTGTGTCTTTCCGGTTCCTAGAAAAGTACGCGTGAGTATACGTGAGCAAGGTAGTGGTAGTGCAGGAGGGGTGATATACCTGGCGGACCGTGTATACAAGCCAATTCTGGAGACTCCAGGGCAAATTTGATCGCTTCCTTCTGACTGTCGTTGAGCGAGCTGTCGAAGAACTTTAGATCTTTGACTGGTGCTCTGTCTGACGGTCTGGACATGCCGAGGAGCACTTCAGTTAGCTTGGTTAATTCTGGCTGGTTTTTGCCGCCACCCTATCCCAGATGAATATATATAGCCTTAAATTCAGCAACAATTTTGATGGGCAGATAAGAAAACGGGACATACGGAATGAGTCCCAGTGGCGGACGTAGGTATCGCGATCTTTTCGAGTTGGTCTAGCGTTTTCTCCATTCTGAGCGGTAAAATAATTGTGAATATAAATCTGAGGATGGCCCAGAAATGGTAGGCACAGAACTACCTGTCGTATGTGACACTGTTGGCGAGTTTGACTATTCGACATCTCTCCGGTAAGTCTAGGTCGTCTGAACTCGAATCGGATGCATCGACAGCGATGGCGATGCGCGTGTCCGATACCTGTATGCATGTTGAGAATTAGTCACTGGAGGCTTAGATCCACCATACCGTCCTCTGGAGGACATTCTCACCTTATACACAACACCCTCTACGAATTGAGATGTTTTAGATTCAACAGCTGATTTCTTCGCCTTCGTGCCTTTCTTGGATGCTCCACTCGCCGCCACATTTTCTTCGATGCGAGCAAGGTCTCCGGGTCTGATGAACAACGATGAAGACGACATGCTCAGACGGAGACGGAATAAGCACTTACCGAAGCGTATGAGGAGGAAATATGGGGTTCGTGTGATAGGCCGCTGGACGCTCTAACTCAACCAACCTGCACTTCTTCGAATCATCTCCAAGGTCATATGAGAGGTTGAGGAGAGGTACTTACGTCTTCCCCCCAAGACCGACACCTATAGAAGATACGCCAACCCCAATCAAGGCCAGCCCCTTCTGTTCAAGGAGCTTTGGGCCACAGTTCGAGAGTAACAGAGAAGTGCGTTCGATTTCGGCCTCACGTTCTTTCGCCAGGAGTACGCGATGACGGTCGATGAAAGCTGAAAGTTCTTTCTCTGTAGATAGCTGCATACTACCTGGAATACCTTAGTAGTCTAAAACAATGTACTGGGTCTCCGATGGGAAGAGGATGGTAAGAGAGCAGAGGAAAGCACGCACGCCACAGCTACTCTTAGGATACCAGCGATTCGGCTCCCTAATCTTATCAATCATTCCATTTCTCCAGATGAACCGCCGACTGTCGTTCTCGGAGGCAGCCCCTGACTCTGACCATAATGTTTACTTTTCGGAGACGAACAGCATCTCACGCATCTCCCTGGAGGTGTCTCTATGAAGACATTCACCCTCCAAGCTCATAGTTCACGCTAACGTCTTGCCTAGAGAATGTTGAGAGTGATCATAGAAAGGGCTCACCTGAGCCGTTTTCGATGTTTCGGTGACGTCGCGAGGACGAAGCATGCTTGGAGTCCCTTACACTTTCAATTATTCTAGGTCGTGTTCAGCTCTATAAAAAGCGTGCTGCCCTTACCCTCGCCCACGTCTCCAAACGCCCCAGTTCAGCCCTTTGCACACCCACCCTTTCACGAGTAAGATGTGTCGCTGGTTTGCTTTCATCAGTCACAACCCAGTCCTGCTCGAGGACGTCCTCATCGACCCTCCTCATGCGGTAGGCACCTCGATTGTCCGATCTTGATCATCCACTCATTTTTTTGTGGGCGGCTTTCAGGTAACAAAGCAGTATGCTCTTATATCTTCATCTACTTCTACGCAGACTAACGTTCAATAGAGTGCTTGATCATTACCTTCCTGGTTGGACCCTCTTGCGAGTATATGGTCTACATTCATTGCTCATTCCCCCACCTATTAGGTTTGATCCATCAGACGCCTGGGGAAAGCAAAGATGAAATTGAAGCTGCTCAAAAAGATGTTCAGCTGAGTGCGTTCTAATACTGTTCCTTATGGCATTTTCCGATACAAATATACTAATGTTTTCTCTACCCCCAGGAAACATCATGTATAACATCGATGGCTTCGGTGTAGCGTGGTACACGACTGCTCGTGCCGAGTTCGAGCCCGAATTTACCGAAGGACCTCGTCCGGCGATGTACAAGACTGTCGCTCCTGTGTGAGTAACCGAGTCCCCCAAATTGCCCCTATCTATATACACCGTTCCTTTGGCTTCGTTCTAATTTTGGACCATCGCCGCATCGTCTTTATATCCTATCTCGATTTTACAGCCTCACGGACCCGACATTCACTTTTGTTTGTGGCAATACCTCCTCGAAGACTATCCTCGCGCACGTCCGCGCGGCGAGCGCTCCTCCTATCGTGCCGACCAATAACCACCCTTTCATATTCGGTCGCCACAGCTTCATGCATAACGGCGGTGTGACCAACTTTGGCAAGATTGTACGTTCTACACGCCACCCACCGCCTGCCTGGCCTGTTTTCCTCTCATCGTCTTCACCCTTCGCATGTGTAGCGTCAGGCCGTCATCTCGAAGATCAGCAAAGAGAACGTCGCGATGATCCAGGGCAACTCCGACACTGAGGTTCGTTTTCACCGTAAAAGATTTTATTTATACTCAACCTTCTATAGCACGTCGCTGCGCTTTACTTTACGCGTCTGGGAGATACATCTATCACGCACCCTGTCGAGCACATGCGAGATTGTTTGGCATGGGCAATCAAGACCGTGCAGGATATTCAGGCGCAGGTGCTGACTCCAGAGGAGCTCAAGCAATCCGCTAACTCCCTGAACCTCTGCACTAGTAAGTCTTTATCTCTCTCCCTGTCATCTATCCCTGGTTCCGAGTCCTCAACTGACTCATGTTCAACCGACCGCTTACTCTCACACAACCATCTATCTCGTCAAATTACGCTTATAGCCGACGGAGAGCAGATGGTCGCCGTCCGCTGGCGCAACTCTGACGTCCAACAGCCCCCCAGCCTCTACGTCTCCACTACCGCCGGCGTCAAACTCAATCGCAAGCACCCCGGCTCGAGCACTGACGGTGTCAGGACCCCACAGGAACTCACTGAGCAGATCGGGTCTGCCAGGGAGTTGAGCCATGAGAAGAATGCGCATGGGTTGCACCTGATCGTTGCATCTGAACCGTCGAGTACGTTTTCTCTTGTCTGTTTTTTTTTGCGAATTGCCGTCTGTTTTCGAGTCCTGGTTTCCTCCACTTTTCGAATATGGCATAACCGTTGCTGATGTCCGGACTTTTCCTGCAGCGTGGGACCCGAAGGACTGGAAGTTGATTGACAAGAACGACTACGTGATGGTGGACAAAGACATGAACCTGACGGTCGACGCGTTGATGTTGCCAGAGTGAGTGCTGAGGGATGGACAGACAGATGATACAGGTCTTTGAATCTAGGGTGTCTCGTACGGACTATGTGGAGTACCGATCGCACGATGTTTCTTGGGACATACACGTGTTGTCAGCTTCGAAGTTAGGTTGTGTTACGACTTACGCTCACCTGCGTGCGATTTAATGTAAAGTAAACTCTGAGCGTGTACAGGACGATGATGCTGAACAATAAGGAGTTTTTATTTTCTCGTACATGGAACAGCACTCGGACAAAAAACATAGACGGACTTGAACGCGAGGTATACGAAAAGGAGTACACACAATGCAAGCAGAAAAAAACGTAAGAATGAAACTAACCACCAAATCGCCCTCGCTGTCGTAATTATCGTACACCAGAATGATACTCTACCTCACGCCCCTTCCACCCTCCTAATGGTCCTCCTGTCCCTCTCCCCTACAATCTTGACCAGCCCCTCCTGCTCCAACCTCGTAACAACCTCCTTGAACTCCCCTGCATCTATCTTCACACTACTCTGCTCCTGCAACTTCTGCACCGCATCTCCCCACTTCACACCCCTACTGCTCGCCGCGCCCCCGCCCATACCATCCAACAATGCCAACACCTCTCTCCTCATATCCTCCCTCATCTTCCTCTGTCCCTGCCCAGTCCCCGTATTCAACATCCCCATATCGATCTTGCCCGTCGTAGGATCGAGCGCGCTCGTCCGGATCGCGTCGCGCATGAGCCGATACGCTTCCTGGACGTCGTCGAGGTCGACGGTGGTGGAGAATCGCATGCGGGCGTGAGCTTCGGACAGTCGAATCATGGATTCGAGTTGGCGCGTGGTGGCGGTGATGCGTTTTTCGGAGGCTTTGGGGTCGGAGCCACCTACGCTGCGGAGTTTGAGGTAGGATTGGACAAGTTCTTCGGAGGCTTCGCTGGTGATGGCGGGATGGATGCGGGAGCGAGCGTAGGAGATGTAGGCTGACAGCTGGTCTAACGGCTGTAATGGAAGAGGATGTAAAGCTCAGTATTTCATTCGACACCAGACAGAGAGCCAGTGAACATACCAAGATATCCTGTCCGCCGGTTTCCGGTGCATCCTCAAGATACAAGCTGACAAGATGTTGAGCCAGTCTCCGATCGACGTGCTCGTCGACTTGGTCGAGCACAAGGTACAGCAAGTCGAAACGGGAGATCAACGTGGGTGGTAGGTCGATGTTGCGGGTGATGGGCATATTGACATCGTATTTTGAGCCGACAGGGTTAGCGGCTGCAAGGATAGAAGTACGGGCGTTGAGGGTGGTGATGATGCCTGCTTTGGCTATGGAAACAGTTTGTTGTTCCTGTGCGGAAAGGTAATATTAGATGGTGGTTTAGGGGTACTTTGCGATGCACTTACCATAACTTCGTGCAGGACACTGCGTGTGGCATCGGACATTTTGTCGAATTCATCGATACAGCAAACACCGCCATCACTGAGGACGAGGGCACCACTAAGAGACCAGGTCGGTCAGCTTATGCCTGGTTCGCGAAGAAGTCTACCACAAACCTTTCCAATACAAGTTGTTTGGAGTCCGGGTCTCGCGTAACGTACGCGGTCAGACCAACAGCAGAAGAACCCTTGCCTGATGTGTATACTCCTCGTGGGGCAAGTTTATGCACATACTGAGAACCATGTCAACATCTCATACCAAGGTTTTGTTGAAAAATAGAGCTCACCTGCAAGATTTGCGACTTAGCGGTACCTGGGTCACCAACCAACAGCACGTTGATATCTCCCCTGTATCTCGGTCCGCCACCGCCACCACCCCTCGCAATACTCTTATTCGTCCCTCCAAACAGCTGGAGCAAGATTCCCTTCCTCACATCATCCATCGACCACACGGAAGGCGCCAAACTCCTCGACAACAAATCATAGATATCGGGCCTCGTGCTCAATTCCTTCAACTTTGCCTCCATTTCCGCCTTCCTCGTAACCTTTCCCTCCTGCTCCTCTTCCTCATCGTATCCTCCGATTCCACCAACTCCGGGAATGCGATCCCCTCCGGCTGGCCGCGTAGATCTATCGTTACCGAGTCTCCCATCATGTCCGATCCGGATGTGCACGACGTCGAGGAAAGTCTTGAACAGGCTCTTCATCGTCCTCTGTCTCGGATTTACCCTCACCGGCACACTCCTATAAATCCCAGTCACGACGAGCCTGTCACCCGGCTTCGATACGTCCACCAGCTCATCATACACGCTCAACGACACCGTATGCGGGGTCTGGCCATCGGGAACCGCGTCCGGAGTCTCCTGAAGACGAATGACCTGTCTGTCCGCGAACTCGCACCGGTTGTGGACGAGCGACATCGTACCGACGGAGGCACAGACGTCGCGCGGGCAACGCGCAGGTTCGTCGATCTTGCCACGGTCGATTTCGACTTGGACGGTATGCGAGCAAGTGAGGCAACGAAAGAAGGCGGTTTTCATGTCAGGGATGACGGGCGTGGCGCGGATGACAAGCCCCTTTATGCAGACAAGTTTGTCGGTATCTATACAATATCATAGTTTAAAAGCGTCAGCACAATTCTAGCGTTGCGACTTGGAGAACAAAATGACTGTACCGCTAGGATTCAACTCTCGCATATTCGAAGACGGCAGACCGAGTGCCCTCACTTTATACACCTTGCCCATAATCTCTGCAATCTCTAATTCGCCCTCTTGGCCCTCCATCCCCTCCATCCCGGCCATCTGATCCTCCTCCGCCAACTCCAGCATCATGTCCTTCAACACTTGATCCATAGCGGGGACCACCTCCTGAGGATACTTGACCAACTGCCCATGCAGCTTTTTGCTGGGCCAATACGCCAATAGGTTCACAATATCCAGATTCAGATCTGTCTCTCCGGTCGTCCTCATTCTCCTCATATAATTCTCGTACAGTATGACTTCGGTCTCTTCGGGACTCATGGAAGCCTTCGTCGGCACGCCACGCTCGCGGTCAAAGGTCGTGCGATATTTCGGTTTGAAGTTTCTGAGGAAATCACGGAAATGCTTCATTGTGTCTGCCAGGTTGACCGTCGTTCCCCAGATAGCGCGGATTTCATCGGGCTCTTCAGAGGGGGCTGTTGGGGCAGAGAGTTGAGGGGCGTCGGAGGCAGGAATGGAGAGGTGATCGACGTCGGAGGAGGGGATTCCATCGAGGTTGCTGCCGTGAGGGCGCGGGGCGCGAGGGACATGACGGACGCGAGTGGGCGTGAGGCTCAAGGAAGAGTGGATATCACCACGTCTGTTCTTTGGTGCGGGATTTGCAACCGGACTCCTGCAGTCATTGAAAAAATTGGTTAGCCAAGCAGATGTGAAGGGATAGAGGCGACCTAGCATCCTGACGCAGTCTTTGCATCAGGACAAACGGTAAAGGCTTACGAAGGGAAATCAAGGGGTTCAGAATCTCGCATAGAGCCAGCAATACTACTCGAGGCCTGATACCTTCTCGTCGGGGTCTTTTTGGCCGGTGATGACGATCCAGCTTTTCAAAACCAATATCCCACATACATAGCCGCGATCAGCAGCTTGCAGTGAATTTGGCGAAAGCACAAGCAGACTTACGCGCAAACAAAGGCGTCCTTGGCGCTTTCTTCGGAGTACTCATCCCCATAGCTCTTCTCGCCATGATACTAGTTGGCGTTCCAGTGACCGTCCCGCTCTCACCGCGACCACGACGTGAAGGCGTACCCGCCACGGAGGGCGTACCAGCCAAGAAAAGGGGCTGAGGTTGATCCACATCTTGCATGTTAACGTCTCCATCGTCAGACGACGGGAAATCCATAGGCGGTGAAGACATAGCGGGCAAAAACTGAGGAAGAACGCAGGGAGACGAAAGCTAACGAAGAGAACGCGCTCGCAATGACGTGACAAATGACCGACGCGCTACGGTCACGCTGTGACGGAACGCGTTTACTTTAGGGCAGGCTCAGGTCCGCCACATTATTTCGCCACACCAGCGCGCACAGGCCCCAGGGTATCCGTCGTGCTCCGTCGTACACCCGTGTAGAAAGCACAAAGTTCATACACATATATTGCTTCACTACATCCCTCGCTCGTCGCTATGCAGCTTTACTCAGCAGCTACAGTTCCCCTGCCCAACCACTCCCCATAATACGCACAGTCCCTGGGATTCGTCGGCCCTCCATCCTTGCAAAACTCAAACACAGGGCACCTCCCACACGGAGCCTGGCTCCATCCTAATGCCACTCTTTCTTGACGGACGGCACGGTAGACGTAGGCACTGCCCGTAAACGCATCGACTTCAGAAGTTTCAGAGGCTACAGGAGAGGACGACCGGGCGCGTGATTTCGCTTTTGGTTTCTTGGAAGAGGACTTCGACTTGGACTTCGAGCGAGATCGGGATCGCGAGCGTTTGTGGGATTCTGAGTCTGAGGGTTCCGAGTCTGAGCCAGATTCTGATCCAGATTCGGATGAAGAGGCGAGGGATTTGGATTTGGAATTGGATCTTGACTTGGCTCCTGGCTTGGACTTCTTCTTCTTCTTGCCTTTGTCCACGTTTTCATCACCGTCACTGTCGTCTTCACTTCCACTCTCCTCGATCTTGCGCTTCTTGCTCTTACTCCTGTTCTTCTTCCCACCATCACTCTCACTTTCGCTGCCACTCTCCTCATCATCATCACTAACGTCCCTGCGCTTCCTCTTCTTGCCTTTGCCCTTCTCGTCGCTCCGTGACTTTGACTTCGATCTGGACTTGGACTTCTTTGGGGTAGATATCGCCTCGTCATCCGTCTCGCCCGACGCATCGTCGTCGCTCGTCTTGATCTTCACTTTTGACGATTTTCGTTTCTTGGAAGAGGACGACGAGTCGGGTTTGCTGCTTCGTTTCCGTTTCTTCTTGTCGGAATCAGAATCAGAGTCAGTCTCGGATTCGGACCCTGAGCCATCATCTGCGTTAGCTTCCCAGAGGGCTGCTCCGAACGCGGGAAGCTGACGCGAAATAAAATCATGTGTCAGCATACGATGCAAGTGAAGAGTTGGTGTAAGGAAGACCCACCTTCTCAACGTCCCCATCGAGCACGAGGACATTCAGCAGGCTCTCAACATGGGCCTCCGTCAGCTGCGTCTCCGTAATTCTACTCTTCTCCAGGAAGCTGAGGACGTGTTTAGAACTGGGGTATGATGGTGAATTGGAGATGGAAAAGAGTGGTTGCGAGGATTCGGGCATGTCTTCAGAGCGTTTTTGTTTCGGGAAACTCTGTGTGGCGAGATGTGGCGTCAGCGATGTCCCAGGATCGCATGTGAAGGGACTGAAGGAATGGGGAGAGGGGCAGGGAGGAGACAAAATAAGACGTACGCGATCCCGAATAAATCGAAGGCATGCACTGCATAGAAGCTTGATGAATTCTGTGTCGAGTTCGCCATCGGTATACCAGGGGCCACCTGTAAGTTCGACGGACGGTTCGAGGTGGGCCATCATGTAGAGTTTGCGTGTTGGATACTATACAAATATGAATGCATCAGCGTGTTACTGAATAAACACGAGCGTGTTTATGGACGAACCTTCACAGCACCAGTGAAGGGCTTGATAATCTGCTTCTGGGTAAGAGATTTCAGACATCGGTCAATGACGGTCTGATGAAGCTCAGTCTTGGCTTTCAGATGTTTTGTCCATATACCTGCTCACACAACAAGAGACAAGGCATGTCAGAAATAATAACGTATGGAGTGACCGGGCAGGGACGCACCGAGATTTCCAGCGGCCTGGATGTGACTCAGGACCATGTCTTCTTCGCCAGACATGCCCTTCTTACTGAAGGATGGCAATTATCAGAGCCCCTGCCATAAATCAAAATTGGAATAGTACCCACAGATCCATCTCTCCCTTCTGCACCGCACGATACAATAGGGTTCCTTTCGGGTCCTTCATCACTTTCAACATCCCCTATATATTCATCTCAGCTCAACGTCATACAGGCAGCATGCAGACTTGGATCGCGTACCGCAGCAGACAGAAAGTTTATGGCCTCTATGCGCTTGGAGGCGTCGCTCTCCAGCGCATCCATCTCCTTCTGTGTAAGAGGCTATAGCGCGTACAAAGCAAGCGTTAGTGTTCAGGAAACAATCGAACCGGGCGCTGGGACGCACCTTTCCAGCCGCAAGGGCGACTTGATGAAGCTTCTTCTCCAATGCATTGATCTTTCGACCTTTGGAAGAAGACATGGTAGTGGATGTCCAGCACTAAGCAGGATGGGCGCAAGCAGGTTCGAGGAAGAGAGACAGAAGGAAGTGCACGCCAGATGTTCGGGCTCTGTGCAGAAATGTGTGAATTTGCAATTCTGACCATGTGTGGCACTGATTGCCTCCGCGCAACGTCATTCAATTGTGGCACCGCTGCTACATCACTTGCTCTCCAACCGTCATCATCTTCGTGCTCTACTACCAAAACGCCATATATTCAGAGCGAAATGGACGCAAAAACTCTCGAGAAAGGCCAAGATGAGCTGTCCGCATACTTCGATAAGAGCGCCTCGACTGTAGGACAAGTATTTCATGGGTGTGTGCCATTGTTGTCTGGTGCCAACGTCTCTGGCTGAGCCGGTTACTGTACCTCAGGATCGAACAGAGATTCATTACACCCCTACTACAATTTGGAAGAAAGTCTTTTGCTACATGGCCCACCACCTCCGTACGTGTAATACTCGCGGTTTCATGGCATCAGTCCTGAAGGTCGTGTGCACATCACTTTTCTAGCTGTATTGCACTATCTTTTTGGCGTTGGCCGTTCCCCCGGTCTTGACATTCATGTAAGAGCTGGGGCTCGTTCGTATTTTGATATGTCGCTGACCGTCAACGTTTCAGCGGGTTCTCATTGTTCACCGTCATCGCGCTGGTCATCGTCGGACTCTGCGTGGCCTTCACCCTCTCCGTGATTCTCGTTTTGTTGTTCGGTATGATATCGTCTGCCTCGTTCTCTCATTACCACTCAACTAACATATTCTCATAGCCGCTATTCTTCTCGCCACTCTTTTTGTCAATCTCCTCATTGCAGCAATCCTCACTCTCGTAACCGTCCTCTTCTACGGCGGCTCCAGTCTCTTCGTCCTCGTCCGCGCTCATGGAGGCCAAGGTCTCTTCATGTGGGGCGAACAGATCAAGACACAGCTGACAGATGGCTTCAATGCTATTCCCAAGCCATCACAAACTGCTAACCCCATGAAATCCGAGAAGGGGGCCGATAATCAGCAGAACGCGGAGTCGGACTCGTCGGAGGATTCGGCTGTGGTTGTGAAAAGCGAAGAGACGGATTCGAGTAAAGATGATAAGACAGCAGTAACGACTCCTACCGGTACTGCGAGTGACGCAATGGCGAAGGGGAAGGATCTTTTGGGATGAAGAGATGGAGGTGAGTGCCCATACGTGATCATCTACTTAACTTTCGTGGACTGATGTTGACGGACAATAGCAGTTATGCCTTATTACCCTATTTCTGGACTCTATGGACATATTTTCTTATATACGACACTCAATTAGTTTGTACCAGCACCTGCTTTCTGTATGATTGCCGACATTCTTGTTTCTGCTTTCCTTGGGTTTGAGTGGCAATTCAAGTACCATTACAGACTCCGATTTCCGGACAGGCTTGACTCGATTATCTATACTGGTCCCTCGGTCTCAAACAAACGGCCGCAGAAGTGTCTTGGGGTGAGTTTCCAGTCTTTCTGAACTTCTCAATTTAGTTGACCGCGCCACCATTGGTGATCTTAGGCCGAGGCTCTGGCATTCTCTGACACTATGCATGCCATGCTCTGACAGTTTCTCCTTCATTCGAACTCGCGAACAACTTCCCTAAACACCTTCTGATCAACCGAAGAACTGCCGCCTTAGAGACATCATGCTCACTCTTCTCTAGTCACCGGTGCAAATACATCAACGGTCTTCACCCCGTCCGAGGAATAGCCAGTAGTTCGGATAACTAGAAGCATTGACAGCGCAGCTCGTTGACAATATAAAAATGACCGTTCTGACATGGTAGTCATACGTCTCGCTCCCTGGATTTTCCCTGAAGGCTGGCCAAAATGCTCTCATCTATCCTCGCCTCGGTTGCTCTGTTCGCTGGCGTGGCGGTGGCACAGACTGAGTACGGTCAGGTGTGTGTTATTCTACCTTTCGCGATGGTCATGATGTTCTGAAGAGATCGCACATTGTGTAGTGCGGAGGTCAAGGATGGAGTGGTAAGCTCATTGATTGTGGCCATGAGCTGACGGTTCCAGAACTAACCGGTCCGAAGGCGAAACGACATGTCCCTCCGGCTGGACCTGCACATACAGCAACGAATACTACTCCCAAGTATCTCTTCCAATGACTTCCCACTATCAAAATGTTAACGCTTTCGTTCGCACAGTGCTTGCCAGGGGCCAGCACCGGCACCCCTACTTCTGCTCCAGGAGGTGGTAGCGCAACCGCCACTTCCACTACCAGTGCTGCGAGTGGTACCACGACTCTCCAGTCAGGTTATTCCTTCATCCGTGCCGTCGTACGTCTTCTCCCTTGCACCTTTACGCCCTACAACGTTCTCATCCATCCCTTTCGCAAACCATTCTCGATACAGGAAGACCCCAACTTCCACAAGTACCTTCGCTCCGAAGCCGCCAACACTCCCACCACCGCCGTCCTCGGCGACCCCGACACCGCAGGGCAATTTATCATCACCGACGGTCAGCTGATCTACAACGCGAACGGGACGACACCCTTGTATGCTGTCGTTGAGGGGAGGGCGAACGATACGGTCACGAAGTTGGGAATGAGTTGGTCGACAGATCCGGCGAGCGGAGACAATGCGGGGACGTTCCAGTGGAGTGGGGACACGGTGAGATCCACATTCGTGACGGTTATTGTTGACAGGAATGTGATACTTATGGTCCGTGTGCTGTGGGCTTGGTAGCTTGAGTGGAGTATCCCAACTATCGACAGGCCTCAACTGAACGTGAGTGATTCTCTGCATCCTGTCACAAAAACCAGGCTGGCATCATCTTACCGAGTTTTATCTATTATTTTATCATGCAGGCCTGGCTCGTCTGCCCCGACGCGGATGACAACCTGCTCCTGTACATCAACCTCGGCAACTACGACTATATGACCCCTCCAGGATGCGCCGACGAGACTATTCACGCGTGAGTGATCTTGACATGCTCGTTCCCCCTAACGCGTTTTCTCCCAAATTGAACGTGTTTCAATTTGCAGTTATACTGGAGCCACGGCGACACCTTGAGGATCGTCTTGGGAGCTCAAGGGAGCGGCCCTGCAGGTCGCCGTTTGTGGTGCGGAAAATGTTCGTTCTCGTGAATAAGTGTAGGAGCGTAGGGTAGGCATCAAATAGTCTGCGAGACACGAATAAAAACAGGAACATATCGATAGTGGTACAGATTACTAGTGTCAATGTTCGAGACAACGTTATAGGTAGCACATGACTTGGAGTCGAAGTAAGGGTATGCAGAGACAGACTGTAAGCGATACACTAGTAATATTACATGAACAGACAAGAATCAAGGATCAAGGAGAAGAGTATATCAGATTATTCACAACACTGAAAGCTGATATTAGCCTCGAAAAAGTAGACGACAGCGCCAGACGGAATGCTCAGCTCGGGACGTGTGGGTTTAGTTGTGCTGTACAAATGTCAGAGTCGTATAGTATCATAACTTATCATCGTAAGGGGGAATTATTGTTCGTGACAAACCGAGCCAAGCTTTTGAGGGGCCATTTTAGGCGACCTAAACTTCAGTCTCCACGTCGGGCTGCCTAGACTCCATCGTGAAGTGCTCCTTCATAGAGTGCACACTCTGCTTAACCTACCACAAAACCACCCATCAACACTGGGTCGAAGATGTTCTCTCGAATCATGACAAGGGGACGAAACTCACGTTATCTTTCATCCACACTGCCGTCCTCGCAGGCTTAACTTGCATTACCCCCCTATGATCCATATGCAACTCCCTCTCCTGCTGCTTCCAATTCTTCAGCTTCTTCATCGGGCTCAACTTCTTCTTCGCAGAGGAGTCTCCGCTCGTCCCTTCACCACCTTCATAGCTGTCGCCCTCCGCTGTAGGTTCACCACTACCACTGCTTCCCGAGCCCGATCCGTATGACTCTCCATCACCCACGACGTCGTATCCCTCAGTGTCGCCGTCGCCGTGCTGATGACCGTCCTCCCGAAGCTCGGTCTCATCATCTTCCTCGGCCTTCTCATGGGACACCATCGTATTATCCTCCTCTTCAATATCGTGTCCATGCGCCGCTGTGTTCGAGTCGTTCCGAGTGGAAGTAGGAGATTGTGGCGAGATTGGTGACTGTGGCGACGTTTGCTGTGAGATCGGAGCGCCGTCATGGTAGTAGCCATCGGAGAAGGACGTATACTGCGTAGGAGCAGCAGACTGAAGACTTGTGTTCCTGCCTACACCAGCGCCACCCCGATCTCCATCAGGGCTATGTCCTGCTGTAGCCCTCGTCGATGAGTCCTTCGTCGCGTTGGTGGGGGCTCTCGAAGGACGGCTCGAGTCTCTAGTTTTCCGCTCTGGTGAATCAGGACCGCGATCATATCCGTCCGTTGCTCGGGTTGTCCAGGTGGCGACAGTAGGTGCCCGGGAAGGTAGGCTGGAGTTACGGGCGGGCGAGTGGCCATCAGCAGTCCGGTTCGACCAGTCATTCGTAGGAGCTGTGGATGGAACGCTTGAGTTTCGGTTCTGTCGTGCAGGTGAATGACCTGTATCAGCCACGTTCGACCAGTCATTCGTCCTTTGTGAGGGGAGACTCGAGTTCCTCGTCTTATCTGCGGGTGAGTGACCTGTGGTGGGGTTATTAGACCAATCGTTGGTGGACTGGCTTTTCTGCGTCGGCGAACGACCAGGTGGTATCTGCTCTCCTTGCCCACCATTCACATGGTTAGCCGCACCGTCCGGTTGGTGTTTCGCTGCTGCCGATGAATCGTTTCCCTTCTCCTCCGCGGGGGTCCCCATCGGCTGTGGCGTCTCCACCTTCTGCGGCGTCGCGACCTGCAACTCCCCAACTTCATCCCGCCCCCCATGTCTCCTCACCATCTCGACCTCATCCCACCTATCCTGCGCGGTCGCATTTTCACTCGTCAGCATCCCTCTGTGCGCCTCCGATATCCCAGGCAAGAACTGCACGTCCAACGTGATCGTCCCAATCCTGTTGAGCTTCTCCCTATCAGAGTCCCACGCGCCCAAATCGCCAGAGGGAGGAACGTAGTTCTGCTTCAACCTGGAATAATCTTTCCCCTCCTCCCTCCAAATCGGAATCTCGATCTTTCTCTCCTCCCGATCCACGATATCGCGCAACCAAAGCACGCCAAGCGCATGTTTCCCCTTCGTGATCCCACCATGCTTGAACGCAACGACCAAAGCAGCGCTATACCTCTGCCTCACAGGCAGCACCGTCTCCGCCTCCTCCTTCATCCAAACAATCTCCCCATCTCCTCTAACGTCGACAGCATGCCTCGCGACCTTCTGCTCCATCGAGGTCGTAGTCGTTTTCAGACGGAGCTCACACTTTTCCAAGTCTTTCTCAGACCCGTCAGTGCGCACGCTCACATCCCGAACGTGGAGCGTTCCGGTATCGAAGCCACGGAGGTTGGGCGGGAGTTTGGCGGCGACGGGGCGGAAGAGGACGGAGATGCGGATGCGGCCATGACCTAGGCCGTGTTCGAGGTGGTAGACACGGGTGAGTTGGGAAGCGTTTACGAAGAGGTCCGATAACTGTGATGTTTGGGTGAGCGTGGCTGCAGTCCGGGACAAAATGGGGGATGTTGAATTACCTTGAGCAAAACCACACCGAGAATGGCGTCGTTCTCCCGCATGCGAGAATCCTTGACAGTGATGGTGACGTGGGACGTACGCCAGTCGCGAATGAATCTTTCGCAACCAGCGTTGAAAATCGGAGAACTGCTGATGGGCTTGACACGAGTTTGATATATCTGCAGGCAAAGCATGTTACGATGATTTCACAGAAGGATCCGGTAAGACAAACGTACCAGCTCGTCGTTCAAAGAACTATCGCCACAAACCGTCGGTCAGTACGCTCGCTAGTTCTAAAATAAATAGAAAATATACGCACATCGTACAATAGCTCGAGGGCAGCCCTTCCCCTTCCTCCTTCTCTGCCCCCTCATCACTCCCCTTCTCCGTCTCCTCCACCCCCATCCCCACACCCTCCTTAACCTTCCTCCTAACCCCCAAACCCCCCTCATCCCCCTTCCTACCTCCCCTCCCCACCCCCAACTCCCTAATCTCATGCACCTGCACCCCCACAATCCCACTCACCCACTCCTCGTCCGGCGGACACACCAGCACCGCCGCCTCGAGATCATTCAGTGCAACATCCTTCGCCTCCTTGAACTCGTTCGATTCGCGCAGGTCTTCGGGGATCCCGGGGTCGACGCCGGAGGTCTTGTGGGCCTCGGAGGGCGCCAGTTTGCCGAAGTAGCCGATTGTGAATTCGACGGTTCCGGGACGGTCGGAGGAGTCAGGGGAGGTGAGGTGCGCGATGCGACGGTGGGGCTCGTTTTTGTGCCGCATGAGGTCTGCGTATGTGCACCGTCAGATATGCCATGTTATGTCGTCAAATGTGGAGTGAACGGTAAACCCACCAGTGATATCCACATTAACATACCCCATCATATCGTCCTATAAGCCATCCTATCAATATCAAACATCGCTACCCCAAACAGTCGTGAACACACAAAACGTACCGCACTCGCCCTATCCGAATCCCAAAGCTGGACACTCAATTCCTCCTTCAGCCTCACCACGTTCAGATCCACAGGCAAGATCGCCACCTCCTCAAACACAGGGTTCAGGTCGCCCTTAATGATCCTCGTGGAAAAGAGCGGTTTGCCAAGTTGGGAGAACGTCAAGGTAATGTAGGGATCTGATGATTCTAGTATTTAGCAACACGGAAGTCAGATGTAAATGAATACCGGTGGTGCGGAGCGAGGGCGAGCCGGGAAGGAAGAGACGAAGTATTCAAACCATCGGATGCATGAGTTTGCCGTATTGTGAATATATCCGTGGGATCAGGTGCACAGAGGTTGGGTAGTGTCAGGGATAGGTGAAGTCGCATATTTCAGGATGATAATCGAATAGACCAGTTGGGGAATGGGAAGAAGAAATGGGAAGGAACTAACCTGAACTTCCCGTCGTATCCATCTTCTTGATCCCAGTCGCCCTATGTATATGAACAACAAGCACGCCCAACGCCGCCGTATCCTTCGAGACGTCGCTTCCCCCGATCAACCTCTGCATATCGAGGATCAGCGACTTCGGGGCGACGTATTCCGCCGCGGCGGTGTCGATGGAGGAAGAGATAAAGCCAGAGATGAAGGGGAGGTTCATCACGTTGGGAAGGGCGCGGGACATGGCTGTGACGCCGATGTCGATGCGGGGGAGGCCGAGGAGGGTTACTAGAGTTGTTTTTACACTGGGGAGGTATAAAAAATAAAATAAGACCATGAGAGGGACGTTGATAAGATTGGGTAGAAGTAGAAACTTACAATGGTGGGTCCGGGATGAGTTGAAGGCGGACCCGTGCGGTTCCAATGGCGCCCTTCATCTCGACCCAGACAGCTGTGGCGTAAGAAGGAACGTCAACGCCGCAATTCCCACGAATAGGACGAGGGAAAAGTAAGGTCGACATACGGACGCTGACTCCTACCAAGCTACTTATTCCAAGGAAGAAGTCGATCAACAGGCTATATTACAGCAACAAGCGAGAAGAAAAAACCAGAGTTGTAATTTTACGCTATGTCTGAGCAAGAAAAAGAGGCCACTCACTGAGCGTTCTTCGCTTTGCTTGAAGCGTTAGTTCCACTAGGCACAGCACGGTAGGCAAATGAAACCTCGAGGTTTACATGATCCCCACTGAGCATTTCACGGTCTTCCGTGTCCAAAGACTCGAGCGCGTCTTTCGTGTCTCCATCCGGAAGTGCTCGAATGGACGTGATCCGCACTGGGTTCTCGCCCAAGCCAAGGTCGGACACACGTACAGAATGCTACAAGCAATCATCCGGAGGTATTCAGCAGTTTATTTATATAGTGAGGAATTTAGGTGATAGGAGAGCGTACAATGAACGACGGAACCGACCCCTGCATAATATCCTCCAACATATCCACCAACGAGCTAAACAAATCCGGATTCATAACCGGCCAAAGGCACCTCAACAGGGAGTTCGCCCACTCCGCGCTTTCTTTCATTCTCTCCTCTGCTTCTACCTCCCCGTCCCTATCCAAATCATCCCCAGCTCGGAGCCCCCGGATGCGTTCGGAGTGCCATTCACGGGTGTCGAAGGAGTAGTGGGCGGTGTTGCGAAGTTTGTTGAGAAGGGTGAGGGTTACAACGGCGGCCGGGGCGAGGCCGAGTATTAGGCGAAGGAGGGAACCGAACCAGGATGAGGAGGTCAGGGAAGGTAAGAGTGGCAGGGGTAGGAATAGGAACAGGAGGGAAGCAGCGTATGTTGCAGCGAGGGTGTGGATGCTCTTCGTTGACGTCATCAGAATTTGGTCTCTATGTTCATCCCAGTCTTCACAGATATATTATATCAGAAACTGTCATGTTAATTTCAGCAGAACGAAGTGCGCACCTGGTTCAGGCAATTCCATCTTCAACACATTCTCTCCGGGCTGCGTGTCCTCGTCGCCCTTCATGTTCCTGATAGTAACCATGTCGCCCGTCGTCGGATCCCTCACATGCACCGGGACACCTTTCTCCAACCTCTGCGCCCTCGATTCTGTCTGCTTCTCGTCGTCCTGTTGGTCACTTGCTCCCTGGTCCGCGCTCTGCATTTGCTTCGCCTTCGCCTCTGTGGCCTTCTGCGGTGAGATGAGGGACTTGAGGTTCGTGGTCACCTTTGGGATGGGATTTTTCCCCGAGTATGGCTCTGAGAGCTTGTGTGCCATGGTTGGTCACGGTGGGTTGGTACGGTCGTGTGTTGTAGTAATGCAGTCGAGGGGGGTCGTGGTCGTCGTGGATTCAAGAAATATAAATCGTTATGGTGGTTAGAAGAAAGAAAGACGTAGCGTTGGTGAGGATTGGGGAAGGTTTGTGAGTGGCGGTCATAGTTTATATTTACCTTGCTCTTCACTCCCTTGCCGAGTCTTCGCATCAACCCCACACGCGCGGGCATGACGTCGACTCCTCACCCAGCCAGCCTCACCATCCACTGGGGGTTCTTTCGTCTCCAAGCAGAGATGGTTAGATGAGTCTATTATATGAGTTTGCGAGCAGCTATGTCTACGGCATAATGTCGCAAGGGACATGATGGGTGGCACTAGCACTGCGAGGAAACTGTCCAACCAAAGTTGGCCTCGCGAGCTTCAAATTCGTCGGACCCGGCGAGTTGGCGAGATGACGTCGATTTGAGCTCACAACCGGCGGCACCAAGCCTCGCTTGGAAGAATTAGCCGAGTGGACTCCAACACCTCCACTACGCCTCCTGGGAGCCTCGAGGCAAAACTTAGTCGCCGTTCGACACTCCTTGGAATCAGCTGCCGCTCAGACAATAAATTTGACGAGGCGTTTTCATCTAGTCTTGACAATATCTCATGCTTTGGGAACCTGGCCAGCGCTGTCCACACTGTGCATCTATCTTTGGCTTTCTTTCAATTTCTCGCTCCGATGCAGGACCACTGTGTGGACTCTCGACTTAACAAATCGCCTATGCTTCAGTATACAACTAATCACCATCCAAATCATGGAGCAATCTGTCACATGATTCGTTTCACAAGCCCCACGGTTTAGGAACACGAGAATAAAGCGTGTCGTCCTCCCCGCACCCTCTCTGCAACTGCGGCGTGTTATTCCGAACAAAATGGCCCGTTGGCATACTCATGTCTCCATCTGTCAGTGTGTTTATTCACCAAGTTTTGAATGGCGGTTGATTTTGCCCACCCAGACGGCTACAATGGCGCTACCATCCTCCCGCGTTATCAACTTTGGTTGTGACTCTTCGCTCGTGTTCCGGATTCAGATTGAACGGTAGTCTGACGATTCTTGCGCAAAATTCGGAACTTGAACACGCACTCCTCCGGCGTCAATATCACTCACGAGCTTAGTGAGCATCTTGAGGTCGGCATAGATTTCAAGCTGGGTTCTCACTATCTGCCGCCGACTTGAATCAACATCTCCTTCAAGTGTTATGGACTAAGCAGGGTAAGCACCAACCAGTCAACATGACGTGGGGTGCCTGATGTGGTCTATACATACACGTCTCGTGCTTTGCCAACATCCTGATATAGGCTGTCTCTGGACCTCTCGAGCCATCGCCATGACTGGTGTGGCCACGAGTTATGTCGACCTGTAGCCTCGAAGGAAGCAAGTGATGCCCCCTTTTGAAGGCTCATTGTCTCTCTTTGGACTTGTAACCGTGTCTCACAAGCGGCGTATGTGACCGTTGCACAAGATCAGGTGTGTTAGTGATGCCTACACGAGTTCTTGATCTTGATGCGCGCACAGTCTGGCTAGCTACCCTGATACTTATGCCCCCACATCTACGAATCTGGTGAGTGGCCGTTGCAAGTATGCCTCAAGTCCCCCTAGCACCTGTCGAACTAGGCGCGATAGTCGTCGAGAGCTTGTTCATGGGTCAGTATCAGTCCTCTCACTCAAATGTCCAAAAAAGACGCGGGCGCGCTGACTCAGTTATGGCTTTGTACTAGGTGCCTACCTGGTCACTTTCGCAGTCAGCGTTCACTTCCTGTTTTTTAAACGCTTTCGCCACCATAATTCGGCACGATCTACCCCGAGGTCACCAATGACTATCATCTGCCTGGTTCTTTTCTTGTGCATCATGGCTGTATGTCCACCCTCTATACTTGGAGTGAACGTACATGCTGACAAATTCGCATATAGCACTGGATCCTCGACATCATCAGGCTTTTCGACGCTTTCATCAGCAAGAAGAGCGATCCTGTAGCCTTTTATTCGGTGCTATCCGATGGCAAGAACGTTGCCAGGTCATTCCTTTATAACTTTGAGACCTTTTGCGCTGATTCCATCATGGTAATCACCGTTTCACCTCTTAACAAAACTCTGAGTTTGTGACGTCTTCATCCCTAGGCGTATCGTCTGTATCATGTCTGGGGACGTTCTCTCAAAATATGTATCTTGCCCGTGCTCACGACTTCAATGATCGCCAGTACGCGTCTATGCACTTTCACATCTCAAACTAACGCTCCCAAGCTAATACACTATCTCTAGTTGCTGGAATAGGCATTACTGTCCAATTTGCCTCGATCCAACCAAATATCGATGTGTTCACCTCTGAGTGTGGTCGCTGGATCACAACGCTGTTCAGTGCTACATTGATGTAGGTACCGTTCTAATAAAATCTCATGAGTTGATAGTGGTCTATAGCACCTGCTTCTACTAGCACAAACGTGTATTCTAGCAGTAAGCCTCCTGCGTGAAATTTGGCTGCGTTTTCTGTCGTTCTGATATACTTGCTTCGTTCCCAGCGCTCATCGCATACCGCATCTGGAAGAGCCATACAGCTGTGAAGCAATCCAAATTCGGTTGGTCCGCGGCCGTCCCAGTGAGTGACACGAACTTGGATATGTTCGTGATCTAGCTAAACTTGAGCATCGCTGTAAACCAGCGGGCGATACACATCGTCGTCGAGAGCGCTGCCATCTATACGTAAGTCTTCTTCCAACTTACCCAGACCAGTATTGATCTTCCCTCCTGCCCTTCTTTATTTGACAGCGCGTGTACTCTGATCACATTCATCGCCTATCTGGTCGAGTCGAATATTCAATATGCTGCGTTTGACGCGGTCTGTCTCTCCTGCCCAACTCCCGATGCTCCCGACGTACCGCTAATCGTGTGTCATCTTTATTATACACAGACGAGCCCCGTCATTGGCTTCGTATTCTGTTTGATCATCGTTCGCGTCCAAGTCACCAAGACCACTGCATCCCGGAGCGACGCCGAGACTCGGGCCTATCCAATGCAGCCGATACATCCTGTTATGATTAGTATCGAGAGCGAAGTCGTATCTGATGGGCGGGCGTCCTACAAGGGTGGTGATTGTGATGCGAACGCCGTTGCGGACAGTACTAGTGTTTGACGGTGCCCTATTTTCGCTCAATTCCCTCAGGCTTTCTGGCACTTGTCTTGTATTGACTATACTCCTCTGCAATCTTTACATGTACCTTTTTTGTTTGTACGAATATGAATTTGCCTCCAGACTATATCTGACCGGAGGTGTCCTGCATACTTCCTTGATTCGAGCTTCTCAGTGTTGGAGGACTGTGGCTGACTTTCAATCTCCGAAGAATATTTCCATTCTCCGCTTTTTTCTCTTTCTTTTTTTTTTTTTTTTTTTTTTTTTTTAAA